AAGCTAAAACAGCGTTTATACAAACATGATAAACAGTTGAACTTCCTTGTTGATTATTGCAACACTTTCATCTTAGAAGGAACAAGGATTGGATCAGTATGATCGATTAAAACTAATCTTTATTAGACATCTCTAGGTCACATTAGAAGGTCAGCGCTAAATCTGGACACTTATACCTCGTTACGTATAAATATTTATTTCCGTCTTCATAAAAATCGCACCTATTTACTGAAGAAACATTATCAGTACTGTTGACGCAATAATGAGATCTATATTTCGATTTATATTTTTTTAATATATTAAATGATGATATTCAAATTATGCTTTGCGCACGACGTCGTCCGCATTCGGCCGTTCTTGCGAGTTAATCTTAAAAGATAGACATATATTGTAAGGTATATTTTTATGTAAGGGAAAATCATTCTTTCATACATTGTTTTTTGTTTCCTGCATCATTTTGCAGCGCACGCAATGAAGATTATGATATGAGGCACTTAGATGTATAATTTTCCTCGTTTCTTCCACATTACCTTCTGTTACTTCGCTCTATTTGTCGCAGCTTGATGTTCCATATAATTTTCATTTCGAACCAGTAGTTCCTGAGATTAGTGCGTTCAAACAAACAAACTCTTATGCCTTATAACATTTGAATTTGAATTTGGAAATATGTGTACGTGAAAAAACCGAGTATTAAATCAGCGTTCCAAATTCAATTCAAAAACCATTAGAAGTATTAGGATACTTCTGCGAACGACGACTCGCCTCCTAATGGAAAGCAACTAGGCTACGCAAGTAGGTGCTTAAGAGATTAACGAACGGAGAATCGGGGGGTCAACGCCCGGTTCGTCCATGTTAAATGCATATAATTTTAATGCTTTTCTGCAGACACTGATTTCTAAAGGACGTTTTGATGTGTATAAAGGTGCATCTACATATGTTTATTCGTGCGTACAAAGCTTGTATGTAAAAATCTGTATTTACCCTTAATTAAGTTAAAGGGGGACAATCACGGGGTTCATCCGATGGTGGGTGAAATACCCAGCCATATTACATCTAAACAAGATACGCTGACGATCTAATTTGGCTTTCCATATTCGGAAATCAACAGACAAATCGAAACGCGATTATACTCCACGACTTTTCCATCTATTGACGGTGGTTCGTGACCCGGACGGAATTTCGACATCCTTGCCACCCACTTAACATCCAGATTTCCAGATAAAGACTAACATGTTTCAGAAAAAATATAAATTTATTAAACGTTGGACCTGGTTACGTTCGAACTCATGACCCGTTGATTGCTACTTTTACACCAATGAGCCGTCAAAAGAGAGTATTTGCAGCAGTGGTATAACCAATGGATGATTAGGTATGTTATATTTCATGGAAATTGTATATTTTACAGTTACTACTGCTTTAGAATGTGCATTTCAACATTTTTAAATGTAATGAGATTTTTCTATAGTATTTATTCTATAGATAATGCAAATGATATCTAACGAACGTCGTCGAATAATATTATATCGTTACGATTTTATTGGATGTCGACCATAATAAATAATTGTGACGCAGTGGAATCCACCGCTGAAACTTATGAAAACAAATAGGTTGAGGAAAATTTTCTCAGTCCATCAAGACCATTGCTAATTTTATTCAAAACGAATCCATATTCATCTAAATTAAGCTTGTGGAAAGATTTATTCGCATTTATACAGTTTCCGCATTGACTGGTGTGCTTTTAATTATTATTATTCAAAGTAACTAAAAGCGAAAAACGGAGCATTTTAATTATTATGTTGGACCATTTCAGCTTTCATCAATTTGATACTGTTCTGTCATAAAGAATACGATATATTTCTCGGGATAGATATACAATGGTTAAACACAAAGCAGTCATTCTGACAACAAATACAAACATATTTGAAGTTAGAGTACAAGAATCACGTGGAAGTGGCAACTTTGCGCGTACGCGTTTTTGCTACAATAATACGTTCAGCACTGCAGGGCATCATCACGTCCTAATCTATATCTATACTAATATATAAAGCTGAAGAGTTTGTTTGTTTGTTTGAACGTGCTAATCTCAGGAACTACGGGTTCGAATTGAAAAAAATTTTTTTTTTGTTTGTTAGAGCATCTATCGAGGAAGGTTATCATAGGTTATACACATTCCGATGTGACAAATAGGAGCGAAGATACAGCGAGGAATGTGAACAAAACGAGGGATATTTTTCATCCCTCTAGGTTTCAGATGCGTACGCTGCAAAAACGGTTCAAGATTCCTAAAAATTGTGTATAAAAGAATGATTCCTTTTTAAATGGTCTTGAAAAAAGTCCGCTATCTTTTAAGATTAATTTGCAAGAACGACCCGAACGACGGGACGCGTACAACGGGATAAGAATATTGTGGGTAACACCTATCTACACTAATATAATAAAGAGGAAAGATTTGTATTTTTGTATGTAACGGATAAACTCAAAAAGTACTGGACCGATTTTAATAGTTATTTTTTCATTAGAAAGCTACATTTTCACTGAGTAAAATAGACTATACTTAGTACTATATTACGATAGAAATCTTTAGAAATGTCTATTAAAAGCAACGGGAGGTGTAAAAAATTAGCCATAAAATGTATTTTATCGCATACGCTGCGAAGAGTTAATATGATATTTGATGATCGTTAATATGATAGGACTATTATAATACTATAGAATATATCAATATCTACAAAAAAACATCGCGAGACCATAATATGTCTAACTATTGTAGTTACGTCACTATAACTACTTTTTTACATTTAACAAATTACTCGAAATGCCGAACAAATCAAAATTCACATGATATTTTTAGATCTCTGAGAAAGCACATAACTCTGGCTTAATCCGAAATGCAGACTGAAAATTTTAAGAATTTTGCCAAAAAAGGAGGCTTAATAATAAGATAGGGGTTGAAAAAGAGGATAAAAGTTTGCATGGAATTTCGTGGTTTTTGAAGCTAGAACAAGAAACTTTCTTCTTTGGCTTTTTGGGAATAGGAGTGGAAGTGGGAGTGAGAGTGAGTGTAGGAATGAGAGTGGGAGTTAGAGTACGAGACTTGTGAGGTGAGAGTGTTGCGGCAAAGTTGCACTTACAACATAGATTGGCTGCCTTAAATGCGCCCTTACATAAATTAATAAACAACCGGAATAATTAAAAATTCTACCCCAAGTCACTATTCCACGCGGACGAAGTCGCGGGCGCAGCTAGTTGTTAATAAAAAGGTAAGGTTAAGACTGTCTGAATCAAATGATTAAACATATTATCTTTTACTTTGTATCACCAATTACAACAGACGCTGTGATTTACAACAGTTACTTTTATAGCATTACTATAAGTAGGGGAGGGTGGTCCCTGGGGTGTTCTAACATCGGGGAAACATAATTTTCTACTTGCCAGTTAAATAAAATTGGTGAGTAAGAGAGTAGAGAAATGCGTCCAATTCATACATACGCTTATTTATAGCTTTTTATTCAGGAATACTTATCTTGTTTCATATATTTATAAGAATCAAACTGTAATAAATTCGATCTCTATTAGACATGTTATCAAAAACAAATATATTGTTTCGGCCATAAATATATAACTTATTAATCATTATATTCCCATCTTAGATAGTAAATAACATTAAATCTCCAAACTTAATCACGAAATATTGACAATAAGTAAAATAATTATAATATATTTTTTATAGTTTCGGATGTTTTCTTATTTTTCGTCAAGCAAAGCATCGCCCTTTGTTGCTACCTCTTATAGGGGCGATAACCTTACGCTGTTTTGATCTAATTTCAAATCTAATAGGAAGAGCAAAAACACTTCAGCTGAAAAGTGTTTAAATAATTTGTAAGGTTCTATCTATAATTTGAACAACTTGAAGTTAATGAACCTTTAGAAGGTGTTAATGTTTTCAAGGGGATTCGATTCCAGTTTATAATATAGTTTATTCGATGTTGTAATAATTATAGAAATTTAACAATAAAAAATATACTTCGATTATAGTTAATAGATCGATAGATAGCAGAGGTCAAGGGTTGACCACTGCTGCAACACATTGGTGACATCTGGTCGTAGCTAAAAGTAGTAGTAGTAGCATTTTGCGTTTTATACCGTTAATAATGTTTTATGTTCTTTGTTCTTTTCGCGTACACTAATTTACACGTTTCTTTCGATGATGCCCTTGTAATAGTACTTATTAAAATACAAGGAACAATATGGCTTCATAATATCAGGTAAGCCATTTCCGGGAGAAAAATATTTTTAACCACCAAGGGTCAGTCACTTACAAACTGTTGAGGGTTTGTTAGCACCTCGCGAAACTTTTGCATCAGGTTCACTTTTATTTGATTTGCAGCAGGACCCTTTTTAAATATTGTCCCAAACTACTTTGAGTTGAAAGGGTAAAGTTGAATGATCGGAAGCCAAGTGATGGTTTCAATAAAATGAGCACAAATTAGGTGTTCGAAGAAAACGGGATTTATGTGATTTAAAAGCATTCTGGTGCTAATCGAATTAATGCATCTTAGGGGTTTTGTGCTGACCCGAATTTAAAGAGTATACGTTATATGTATAGTATATCTTTTAGTAACTAGCTAGCAAAAGGTGTTCTTTTATAAAAAAAAATTCTAGGGAATTTCTAGTTAAAACAAATATTGTGTAAAGAGATGGTATGAGTGAAATAGGAATGGAGCTGTACTGTATCACTGTGAACAACGAAGGCGTATAAAATATATATATTTTATAACTACTCCTAGTTTTCAAAGAAATTTAATTTTAACTTTCTTAGTGATAGAAACGTGTAAATTAAACAAAAATGCCAATAAAAATAAAAAATATGTACCTAAGGCGTGGACGACTATAGATAGAGATAGATATAATAGACAAAATTTTACCAATTTAATCATAGTTTACAAAAGTTTTTTCAGTATAACATATTCGTCGCGTTGAAAGACATTTGCAAACTCTTACTATCGATCATTAGGCTCTTCCAGTATTGGAAGTAAACAAAACGAATGACCGTTGGGGGAATTTTCTTTAGCTACCTCATTTTCTTCAGATATTCGCGTTTCACGACCACGCTTGTATTTTTTAACTAAATTTATTAGCCGCGAGAGGAAGCTCTTTTTAGACTTCGGGTAAGGCAGTATTTCATTTAACGACAGCGACTTGTTGCCTCTGAAATCCACATAATTTCTTGACCATTCCGGTATTTGCAAATTACAGCAACTTTGAGTTTCTTCCCGCTGTCTAGCTGTAATCGCTTTTTCTTGTAAGCGATTTCTTAGGAACTGTAAACTCGCTGTATAAAAGAGATTAAAATCGGTATTCAGTTCCGAGTTACTTTGTTCCTCAGGGTCTGGGCCTCTTGAGCACGAGGCTATAGTGGGTGCCTCCTCTTGCATACCGTGGATGAGACCTTGAAAGACGCGTCTGATTTCATTTTCGAAATATTTAAATAAATATTATATCACTACAAACAACAATTTCATTACTAATCACGTGACAGCCTCGTGTCAAACAAATGACAATTATTTTAGTCAAGTTCCGTTATGTTTTTATTACACGAATTGTCAAATACTCATCGATATAATATATTATTGTTGGGATAGTGTGTACGCTCTTACGTCGCGTGGTTGGATGCGTTGGACAAATTTCTGGGTCAGTTATTCATTATATTAACAGGCATGAATTAATTATTACGTAAGACCCACCTTCATATGCAAGTGTTAAGGTTAAAATTACATTGCACGAGAGGTGCATGAATCAATAAGTTGAAAAAATTCGACAATGAAGTGTACCCGGTGGCTCAATAGGTAGCGCAACAGCACGGAAGGCTGACGATGCCGGTTCAGGCCCTGCCCGAGACAATTTTTGTTTCAATTTATTTTAGATTTTTAAATTTAGATCCAGTTTGACTCAAACCTAGAATCTAGGTCTTCTTAATAACGTAACGTTTAACTTTTGGTATTATATATAGACGGCCCTTGTCCCACTACTAACATCATCAACAAACGTGTGACTAAAAATATAGACAAACTTAAGTTATACAATCGAGCAATTTATGTTTATAAATAACGAAAGGAAATCTATACTCTACACCAAGATAGTATATTCATCCGGTCATTAACCTCGCCCGATCTGACCCAATACAGATTATATTAAGGACATTCCCTAGATTTCCTGCCATCTGGCAGCTAGGGTTAGTTCCGTGCTTGTAAACGGATGGTTTGAATTCTATCCCGTTTTATGTACATTATATTGTCTATCAAGATTTTACACGACGCTAGAAGCTTGTAACTTTTCAGATGGAGAGAAAATAAATAATAAATTGTTATACCTATTACCGACCAAGAAATATAGATATCTTTGCCGATTCGATATCAGTATTTAAAAATAAAAGTCGTAATTATTTTACCACTCACCTGGCAACACTTACATTATTTTTTATTACTAATACAACTTATTACGTATACAACTTTTATTTTATCTAACATGGGAATACATGTCATTGTAATATTATAGATAAATGTACGTTCTCATTTTGATGTATCTTTTAATAAATGATAGTAACGTAGTGCGTACAAAATTATTCCCTAATTAATTATTTAAAAATATCAAACATTCACAACGTTAATACGTTTTCTCTTTTGCTTGTACTCTACCAGTGTACAACTCGTAATTTAATTATAGTCTAGCATTTATTTGGTTTTTTTTTATGTCTCATGTATGCCATTGAATATAAGATACGTAGTTTAAAGAAAACGAGTAATTGGTCATAAGAAAGCTGTATTTTAACTTATAAAATAACTAAGAATTACAAAAAAATATATGTATAAAGGTGCATAGTTTCATTGCAATGTATATCTAATGGTGCATAGGTATAGTAATGTTAAAGGGATGAACAAAAAATAACTAAGAAGTAACATAATAATAGAAAAAAACACCATAAATTTGCGCAATATACATTTGGTGTGCATTTTAATAATAAGTTATTTCTATATACTAAAGGCAAGTATTAAGTAACAATTAATCTATACTAATATATAAAGCTCAAAAGTTTGTTTGTTTGAACGCACTAACCTCAGGAACTATGGGTTCTAATTGAAAAAATATTTTTTATGTTTGTTAGTAAATTTATTGAGGAAGGTTATAAGTTAAATCATCTCCCTGTGATGAACACAAGAGAAGATACAGCGAAATATGTGAAAAAAAAATGGGAACATTATTCGTCATTATGGGTTTCCGAGGCGTACGTTGCATAAACGGTTCAAGATAGCCAAAAAATATGTATAAAAGAATGATTTTTCTTTAAAAGATCTAAAAAACCGCGACGCTATATGTCTACCTTTTAAGATTATAAGAACGACGGAAGTGGTCGCGACCGACATTGTGGGTAAGATAAAAAAGTTTGCAAAAACGAATTTTGATGGCCAAAATTACGATAATAAATGTGGGACATAGCCAGAATTCGACCGAAGATTTGGCCACAGACAAAAAATTTCCTTCGGATAAGCCTTGCTACTGCTTACTGAGAAACATCGTAAATGGAAAACGTTGAGAGAAAGGTAAACTGAAACGAAAGGTATACTGAAACGGTACTGTCATACACAGTGTATGACAGTATACCTTTCGTTATTTTTTAAATTGGTATAATTGTTAGAGGCGATAAAAATATTTTCCGAAATTACCAAGAGCGAGTTATTAACTGGGTAGTAATTTAAGAATCGAAAATAAATTGAAAAAATTTTCGACTCGGGCAGGACTTGCATCGGCATCATCATCGGCATCAGCTTTCCGTGCTGTTGCTCTAATTTTTTGCACATCACATACAAGACTTTGTAGCCACATTTAATATAAATTTCCTATACTTATTCCTTCGAACTTGGTCGCACTTAACATCTCTAGACTTTACTTAATTATTATATAAAACTAACATAATTTAAATAAAGTAGTAACGATTTTTCAATTGCGAAATATATTAGTAAAATTTATTTTATTGTCTCCCTGTGACCACGGCTGGTGCAAAGCGTTCAAAACGTCAACCCGTGGTTAAAATAATTTCTAAATAAGTTTAACTAATATACTTCGAGTTTTAAACAGTTGAAGTGTTTTATGTAAATGTGTCCACATTACACTCGCGCAACATATGACGTTACATACTCACGTAAACTACAGACAGTATTTAAACTTACATAACCAAATAATTAACATATTGTTCTAAGAACAAAGTTACAAAGTACATACACAAATTGACATGAAATAGTCAATTTGGTGCAAAATTAATCTTGTATCACAGGCATTTGACGATCAGCGTTTTAAAATTACATTCCTTAATGCTACGTGAACTATAATACATTTAATACTACATTTGTATAATTAATTAACGTAAAATTTATAACATACATCTTCTAAATTAAGTGTTAATAAAAACCACTCTATAATATCTAAAATAATTTTAAAGTAGGTTACTGCAATGTATTTAAAATAGTTTGATCCCTTCCTCCTTAAGTCGTCTTACGACTTCAGAGCCTATTTCTTCATCACGAAACTTATAACCACTAGAAATTATTGCCTTAACTACAGCATAGTTGTTTTTAAGCGATTCCAGCCAACCTGTATAGCTAAAATCTGGCCACACACCTCCATATCTCTCTGGTAAGTATTCCGGCCGGATGTGTTTGTGAAGTGAAGTGACGTCATAACCGTGGAAGTAGATTCTGGATTGCATATCTCTGGTCAAAAATGGCTTGAAGATGTTATATATCTTGTCGAAGACCCAGGAATGGTTGATGATGTGTATAGCGTGCGTGGTAGCAGGAAAACTTGACTGGAATATAATGATGTTTTTTTTTAAATATGGAGAAATTAAATTAAATCAAGACTCTGTATTTGCTACTTATGGAGTATTATGAACATAAAATAACTTATTCTTAAGGTCCACTAAAAGTAAAACGATATAGACATAATAAGATGTAAGAAGACGGGTTATCCCTAAGCAGCAGTACTGTCTTCCAGTAAACAATAGAAACTGTGAAAGATTACGCGAGAGGTGCATGCATCAATATGTTGAAAAAAATTGACGATGACGAGTAGGACACGGTAGCTCAATTGATTACAGAAGCGGCACGGAACGCTGTAGATTCCGGTTCAAGTCCTGACCGTGACCTAATTTATTTTAATTATCATCGATTTTTAATGTGTAACTTTGAAAAAAAGGTGATTAAAGCATGTAAATTATAAGTTTTTAAAACCAGCATGTTATATAATGAGGAATAATACTTACCACTAATAACTTGACAATTTTCGATGCTACAGATGGAGTCACTTGCCACGCATGATGTATGCCTATATCCTCAAGATCGAACAGAGCGACACCTCCCAGTATTTGGGTGCGTACCTCAAGCACACCAATCTCTAACGCAAATATTGTCGCCTTAAACAAATCGTCGACCCCTATTGTTTTTGTATCCCAACATCCTGAAAAATGTGAATTGTACTCTTAAAGCATGAAATTTGGCATAGTCCTTTATACATTAAAATAATACTTTAATTGCTCAGGCCACGCAAATTTATGTCATATATAAAGTTAGTAATAAGTTTAACTAATATATATCGCGTTATAAACCGTTAAAGTGTTTCAAAAGTTAACTTGAATAACCTACCAATCCTGTACATAAGCAGCCTTCTGCCATCTTGATCTCGATATGGTGGCACGGACATAACATTAGCATCACCAATATTCCTGAGGTCCAACGGATAGACGTTTTCGAATAAATCCGAATTTTCGTCTTTGAATCGGTAATAATTGACCATCTGCAAAATACATTGTATCAACAACCTTATTGGCATATCTTTACTACTATGTTACTTTAAATATTAGCATGGACATTAAGTGTTAGTTTACACAAGGTCGACTATTACTTATAGTAGTACGACCTCGCGGGTCAATAACAGCTAATAAGCGACTGGCTGTGGGTTTGATCCTTATATGTAATCAATTTTAATATTAAATGGTCACATTTCGTTTAGATGTTATATGACTGGGGTATTCCTTACACTGAGTGAACCCCTACTTACTATTTTATTTAACTACTTAAAAATCTTACTTGAAAAGCTGATATGATGTCATCTCTAAATCTCAGTGTTACTATTATTAGTTTATCTAATTAATAACATTGCATGTAAGAATACGTCATATAGGCATAGACCTTCATACTTCACCAGGCAAACACAAGTAATTGCTACCCTTACGCTCAATGAAATAACACAGTAAGATTAAAACGAATAATTACCAGTCTATGTGCTCTTTGTGGTATAAAGTTGCGAGCTCTAAGAAATCTTATTAGGAACTCGTCGTCCATTCGTAACGGTGTGCACTCCCCTCGTTCTGAAATGAATTTAATATATTTACTTAAATTATTTAAGCCTTTTTATTTCTTTTTCTCCTTTATCAAGTTGCCTGGAAGAGATCGCTTAGGGATAAGGCCGCCTCTTATTTATAAGTTAGTACGTAAGACCTTCTCTTATATATCTTTTTTCCTTTTGTGGTATCTGTTATAAATAATAAATTAGAATTGCATTCGAAAACAAAAACATTTAACATAAAACATTGCTTATCGTAAATTAATCTAATTAGAGATTATCGGAATTGTGATATTGTTGTTTCTAGCGTGTTAGACTGTTTGTTTCTTTTTTCATCAATTATATAAGCAGGGCTCTATTAATGAGTTTCAATATTTATAACAAAGGTTTCATGTTGTTATAGTACTAAACATTGCCTATAATGCTTTGGACAACTCTTAGTAACGTAACACGCTTAGCTCTGCGTGTAGTCAAGATATTATCTTGTGTGAACTTACCAAACTGCTAACTTATACACGGTTTGAATTATTTAAAAAGCATTATTTAAACACCAAACCAAAACAATTAGCCTTGGCCCCGCAATTATTATAACTTCATTCACTCAAACCATGGTCGTGAGAGGCATACGATTATTGAATGTCAGTTACGGATCGTGTTTTTGTTTTGAGCAATCGGACCTTTGATTGAACGTCGTGGCTACATACCTTTACTCACTGAGAGCTTTTATTGTTACGTCTTTTTGGTGCGTTCGAATTTATAATGTCAAACAATTTAAAACATGTAAAAAATAATAAAGTGTTCTAATGTCAAACATTAATTATCATCATAGTCTCCCCGTGACAACGTCTGCTGCAAAGCATCCGAAACGTCGGGCCGAAGTAAAAAATAATTTTTAAATAAGTTTAACTAATATACATCGCGTTTTAAACCGTCAAAGTCCATTGTATAAACATTCATTTAAGTTTGTACTGGACTAACTATGGTACTAACTTAGATTGATTTAGACCATGGTTAAACCAAGACTCCGCAGTTCTTGTTAAAGTATTTTTTTGTAATAAGGCCGATAAGGTTTCGCTAAAAACGCATTTATTTTCGTTGTACTAAACAGGAATGATTCCGGAAGAAATCTGATGCAACATGGTTCACTAATAACCTACGCTAAACATCAAAAGGAAACTATTTTATTGTCCAGATAGGCTAGTTATAGTTCTTTTTCCTTACCGTAGATCATTTCTCGAAGCTCGTGTATAGCCTGCAGACGCGTATTGGGATCCTCACCACATCCACTACGAGCATATTCAAGCAGTTCCGGCGGTGGTTCACCTAGATCTAGTTCAACGTTGAAATCGGGAGTAGGCATAGTTACCTGGAATATAAAAAAATCATGTTTTTTTTTAATGATCTCTGCTTCTGTTCTGGTACTCTATAAGAAGGCAATGTAAAATTGGACAGTGATCGCAGAATAAATCAGTGCTGAAGTTAGCTATCAATAAAAAAAAATATGCACAAAATTATCTATTTCAATTAGGTTTCTTCTAAATACATGAGGTTTGGAACTGGTTTCAAGATTGTCCCAAAAATATTCTATTAAAGTGAAGTCAGACATTGCGAACCTTTGTTTTAGAAAGCTCTCAAAATTATATGAACTATACGATGTAAATAATATTAAATACACGCTTATACAATGATTAATTAATAATCGTAATATTTATTTATTAACTTACATTACCGTCCATAATTGTTTGTAACTCAGAAGCACTGTATCTTAGATAATAAAATATACTTAATCAGAAAGACCTATCTAATCTTACCTACATACATTTATTACCAGTAGCGTAGCTAGGTGGACAAGGGCCCCAGTCTACATAATCCTAAAGCTTACGAAAGAATCGGGTCCTCATCCCCTCTTTTAGCATAGCTTGAATTAAATGAACCTCCAAAATTATAAATAGCAACAAACATATTTCAAAAATCCTTTTCTTCTACGCTAATATCTTCTCAAAGATAAGGTTAGAGGGCCCCTAAGTTCCGGGGCCCTAGTGCACTGCACCCCCTGGCCCTACGATATCTACGCCACTGATTATTGTTATCTTATTGGTTACTATATTATGTACTTACTTATTTATAGTAATCAGAATAGTGTACCGACTTGATAATTAAAACTAAACGCCGTGTTTATTTCAGATGAGTGGTTTATTTATATTATAGTAATCCGTTAGGTGATATTCTAGTCCAAAACAAAAACAGTTTATCCTTCATAGGTCCTATTTATATAAAACAAGATATTAAAGCATATCCTGTGTACTAGTATGTAAAATTCTGCTTCGACCATAACCACTGACAAAGCTCGCTAGCAGTAAGCCATTTTCTATCCCATATATTATATTGAATGGCTCCTCCTGTTAAGAAAGTAAAGGATTTTATCGAGACAGCTGATCGCAGGGTCAAGAAAGGGAAAGGCGTGAAAGTTAGCTGAAACATTGAACATAGAATTACCTATACCTAGACCACAATACAATTATAAGGTGAATGTGTATTGCTGAAAATATATCCCAATAGATTATTAGCACTAAATTTACATATGACTACTTTGACGAGATTTGGCTCCAATATATATATTACATGGATATTTACACTAATTAAAATTTTAATAATAAAAACCTGTGATGTTACTATGCCCATGTCTTGAAGAGAAGCGAATCTCATTGAAAAACAATTTTCTTTTATTATAATTTAAATAAAGGTCCTGGAGATTCTAAAAGATCTTTTTTTTTGAAATATGAAAAGTGTTATCTGCCATTACATACATACTTAAAGAAACCTCAACAGTTTGAATATTATATCGCTTTGGGGTACTTTAATCTATAAAAAAATACATCTGTTCACATTTACCGTAAAGGACAGTAATGTTATTTTGGCGTTCGTTAAATTATTCTATCAGAAAGTCAATTTGAAAAGGTTTGTCATGTGTCATACATAAAAGGAATTGTAACGAAATTATCATATATTAGTAAATATATTTTGTTATTATTGTAAAATTCTTGCGAATCTCCGATTTTTATTTTATTTTTTTAAAACTGAATATCATCGATCAAGTTTACGAGTTTACCTATTATAAAGTTTCATAAGATGAAATAAATCGTTCAAATCCAAACATTACTTATGTAAAGTTGAGTGACTATTGGGAGTTAGGGCTTAGGGGACAACTTTTCTAACAAGTTAGTGTAGTTATGCTAATCAGCGGAAACCGTACCCCCTTGTACTGATACGTCTTTTTCACTTTCATACATTAATTATAAATAGGTATATAGCCAGGATAAAAGAACAAAAAATATCAAAACCTCTACTTAAAAAGGTACCATATATGATCCGGCACTTCCAACGGCCCCGTCTATTACGTGTACCGCTTGAAGTCCCGGATTCGAAAATCGTATCCCGTAGTAGTACACATTTAAATAAAACACTTTAACAGTTTAAAACGCGATATATTTCATATATATTAGGAAAATGTTGATTGACACGACCCGTTGACTATTGCTACCATTAGACCAATGAGTCCGTCTTAACTGACATGGTTGTCTGTCCTTCTCTGCCATAAGAATTATTTGTACACACTTATACAAAATAAAAACGAAACGCTTTAATGTCAAGTTGCAGTGCTGTTAAAATCAAAACACCTTAATCTAGCGAGTTCAAGGCAGCCCGTTAAGTAACAGCCCGTGTTGTTTAAATGCTCAATGACTTACAAATTCCGATTCGTAACCTACTGAGACCTACTAACTTACCTTGAAGCTTCGACGTTACCCATATTCGACACTACGAAGGGGTAAATGCGTTAATAATAATCTATCCTAATAGGGAATAACCATATTATGGTATACTTATCTATGGTTGATGTCCTTCCTTAACGAAAGCATAAAAGATTCTACTATGATTCTTTTGATCCTTCCCTTATACCTTAAAATTTACGTCCAGTAGGTTTTCCTATAATGCATTAATATATCATGTATTCTACTCTCCTAAGCATATAAAACCAGTTTAATAACTTAACACATGGACAAAAAATGATTAATTTTGTCTATCCGAATAGATGATAATATTTTTTAATACAGTGTTGCTTTGACAGGTGACGAGCAGACATTTCTTTTTATTTATGTAAATACTCTTTACATACTTTCAAAGCTACCTATTTTTATAAATATTTACTGGTTGAGATGGTTATAGTATAATGTTATTGACTAACAAAGTTACATAGTATGTAGTTGATTAGCCATAAGAACGTCATAGGGCTTTGTCTTGATGTAGAATATTTCATTGGATGGAACAAAATTGGAACTATTATAGTATACCTATAAATCAAAATGATTTGAGTAAATTTGTGTTACGTAAAGTTAAATAATACAAAGCATCACGATACGACTAACAAGAGCGAAGATGCAGTGGAAAATGTGCAAGAAGTGTGTGAAAACGGTTTGGGATACCAAAAATTTAGTATATATATGTTTAAAAGAATAATTCCTTATATAATTATCAAAAAATGTCCGCGACACTGTATATGTTTATCTTTTAAGATTAAGTTGCAAAAACGGGACGCGGACGAAGTCGCTGACACAGCTAGCTAAGTGATAAATGCAATGTGAAAATAGCAGCGATATAAATAAATCAGTTGCCGCTTTGAAGAGAATGTTACAGCCCTGCGCGGATTCAGACACGTGCACTGAGAGCCAAGGTCAGCCACTCGTTGCTGACCACTGGCCATTCAAACGCAAAATAAACGATGTGCACCGATATTTACCGGTAATTTTGAATTACCGGTTTAATCCGTTAACCAATTTAATTTACGTTAATTCGTTAATCCGTACTAAGAGTATCATATATATGTTTTATTGTTTTGTACCTTATTAGCAAAATAGCATAGGAGCAAAGGAATTCTTAAGATGCAGACAAACGTCTTTTTACGTTAGTCAACCATGCTCTGTTATTGTAAAATAATATAACCCAGATTAGACATAAAGCACAGTTAAAGTTAAAACTAAATAAATAAACTCTGTATTAAAATAATCATATGGCTCTGCGAATTGTAAACCGATATCAATACATAATACCGGTATACATCGCATAAAATAAAGGTAAATTTAAACAAAACAAAAACAAATCTGAAACACTTAACAATAACCCGAGGAACTAAAAAATATACTTTGTATGTAAATAATGTAAAATTTTATGAGACAAAAAACTGAAGTTGGTACCTTTTTGTAAAATACCTAACGGAGTATAGATTGAGTGATAGATTTCTGAAATTTGCTTTTAATTTGAAGCTATTCATAAAATAATGTTTTATTCATACATAGTATTTTATCCTTAATTGAAATAATAAAAATTCTCACCAAGAATGATTAATTTATAATTTTATTGTACCGACATATTTTATATGAGAGTACCTATAATAATACTTGATATTGTTCTTTGTTATCACGAAACTGTAACTAGAGCGATGACACACGCGTTCAGATGTTAACACATTATATATACCATTGTATTTCAAATGTTACAAGGTATTAAAAAAAGAACTGTAACATTTTTTAGTATCAAAAATATGATAAATTCTTATTTAGGTAAAATGACATCTGTCTAATTTTAATTTTTTTTTAAATAGATGAACAAATTGAAAATTTCTAGAGTATATTAAAAAAGTTAAAATTTTGAACATAGAATTAACTTACTTTTTGAAAAAAGAATCACTGAGCAACGCGCGCTGCCCTCAACGACACCGAAAGCACTGCGCATACGAGATACGACTCAAGCGCACGCCTAAGTGTAATATACATAATAGCAAGTATCAATTCTTTTAATTCACATTCACACATAATTAATATTTACATAATACTAATTCTACAGTATTTTTTTTTAAATTCTATCGCTTACATAGTTTATTGCTGTTGATAATAATATGAATGAAACTATATAAGAGATGTACATATAAATAACAGACATACAATTAGCATTACTACTTAGAATATTTTCTTTCTTAGAGTCATAACTGTTAGCCTAGCATACCCTCTACAAATTTTGTCTACCAATTCATCGTTCATAGAATGTTAAGACTTTTTTTAACACAAACTGCATAAATGTGCATGATGTCTGACGAGCCATCTCGAGTAAAATTTATTTACATTTGTGAGAGAATTATGTCGTAGCGCGCATAGTAGCCTGGATGTATTCTAGAACCTATCTAAGATTTCCTCCAACAGACAAACCGACAAACCATTACTAACTTACTTTATATTTGTGATATATGTATATTTAGTATTTACGCTAACATTATAAAGCTTACGAGTATGTTTGTTTGAACGCGCTTCAGTCTTTTGGTGTTGGGTTGACCATACCTCAAGAAGGTTTATAGGCTACAAAACATCAGGCTGCGATGAATAGGAGCGGAGAAACATTGGGACATGTGGAAAAAAGGAAAAAGTTATTAATTTTTGAGGGCTCCCGTTACGTGCCCTGCGAAAACGGTCCCAGGAGCAAAACAATATTCCTATACGAACTGATGATTCTTCTTTAAATGATCTAAAAAGTATCTGCAATAGTGTATCTTTCAAGATTAACTCGCAAGAACAACGGGACAATATCCCCTTTATTTACAGCTATAATTTATAAGGTGCCCAAAATAACTATTCCACGCGGACTAAGCCGCGGGCACAGCTAGTATACAATAAAACATAAAGAATAAGCTTTGTCTTTATTAATTTTAATCGTCGTATGCGCGATCTTATTACAAAGAGTTGCTACTTCGCAGGAAACGAAATATAACACGAGTACGTTCTTGGGATTTGGCTAAGCATAATTTGTTTGTTATAAATTAAACATGCGCTGAAATTTAATACTACATTGTCACTAATATTTTTTGAGAATATAATATAGTCTGTATATTTTACATTACTTTTTTTATCTATTACATTTGCCGTCTCAATTCTTATCTCGTATGAAAAATAGTGAAAGCCTAATATATTATTTATCAGACTTATTTGCCCTTTGATATAGGTTCTCCAGGGCTCGAACCCAGAACCCTTGCGTGTTATACAATTGGGCAATTATATCTGACACATTCCACTAAATATGTATAACGAATTTGCGCTGTAGAGAGATAACTATTGAAATAAAACAGGAAACCAATGGAGGTCTGAATGTGTATGTGAAAGCCCGTTTCCCTTTCGTGGGGCATGGGGCGAATACATTTCTGTGTCCGTTACACTGATCCGTTCTTACAACGGGCAAGTAGTTAATCAGACTCTGCCCTGCCCGACCGAATTTTATGTGTCCCTGGGATTCGAACCCAGAACCTCTCGCGCTTAACGCAATGCTAGGCAATACGTATAACCATTTGGCGGTCTGAATGAGCATAGATAAACGCGTTTAATGACACCTTTTAGAGCTAGTGAACCCTACTGCTTCTATGTCATATTTTATAAGTCAGCTGCATGTAATAATCCTTCATAATACAAACAACGTGACGATGTAACTCAACCTCTTATGCGCAAAGCATTTTTCAATGTAAACATGTTTCACAATTCAGCCAAAGTTATGTTGCGAGTCGTTAGATTATTATAAATTATTGCCTAACCGAAGGCGTTTTTAAATGAGTCTTATTAACTTTCGTAATTAAAGAAAATACACAAATGAGAGTCATAGATAGATATTTTTTTACATTCCCATTTCCCGTGGATCGATTCTTTGAGGTCGTGATGGTGTTCTATTCCTAGTGAAGCATGGTGTTTATTGCATCCATTTCTATTTAGATGACATGTATCTAATGATTTAATTCATTTAAATCTAGATGAAATGGTAGGCACAAAACGTTATGATCAGTCCATTTTGGCTCCAAGGTATCACAAGATTTTCTAAATACACGTGAACAGTAAACGAAAGTTGTCTATGATCTATTATTCTTAACATTAGTTGAGTAGATACATATTAAAATGCAACCCGTCACTATTTCTATGTCAACCTAATTGCATTTGTTTTAGTGTCTATGCCGGACAGAGATTCATATTAAATTAGGTCTTTGATTCAAGCGAAATTAAGAAAATGTATAAAAAGAAACCTATTTTCACTAACATATTTGTATCACTATTATAAAGTTGTAAACGTGCTAGTTGCAATTGCTTTTAAGGCTAGGTGTGGTCGTGTTTGACTTTTAAAATTAACAACTTAATTGCCGATAAACCGACCAAAAGGTAGGATCTTCAAAATTTGTATGATGCCTATTAGTAAAGTATTAGAGTGACATTGCAGTAATAGTTTCCACAGTCGTACAGATTGGCGTCTCCCTAAAGGGTGCATTCACAAAGGTTGCTAAACTACAGAAATAAGTCAAATAAATATAATTTATAGCTGTTCCTTACTTCTGTTCGATATGGTCTTTTGTAATCTTGAATGTGTAAAATCCTACAATTTTGAAAAAAGTAGAATTCATCTATCTATCTATAATATGGCTGACAACCACTAATACCGGTTAGTGGGGTTTCTACTCAGTTAGCTATAAGTACTTAATTTTATTTAATTCTAAATGACATTTTAGAAATCCAAGTTTTACCTAAACAAATTCCAGGCGTAGTGCGGTGTCCTAACGCTGAACTAACTACGACTAACAATAGTGGTCGGAGTACTGCTATCTGTCAAGAGATGGCGCTTAACAAAATGATTTCAATTTTTAAAAATTGAAATAATTTCGTTAAATGTAAACATTTTTTAAGTGTTTCAATATCTAGTCCATAATCCATAATTCTAATCTCAATAAATATTTATATTAAAAAAAAACACTATTACGTAGGTCTAAAAGAAACTCTTAAACTTTAGCACTCTTATTACAAAACGAAGATTAACTATTACGTACTATATACTTCACAGGTTTATGGATTTACGTTTTTAACCATTTGCCTTTTCAAATTAACATACATATCGCCACTATCGAAAATAAACTTTATAAAAGTCTTTAAAATTATCAAAAATTCACAATAAAACGTCCGTCAGTTTTTAAGTAACATTCTATGAGACGCATATAAATCAACATGCAACGAAAATATACTATCTCAATTAATTCAACTGAATTATCATAAGAGCTTATAGCATTTGTAATCATTAAAAGCGATCCAGTTTCATAGAAGTAACGGAGGAGGTTACGCGTTCCCGCCACTCACCGCTCGTTTAGTTTCAAAGTTGAAATAGATAAGAACACACGTTTCCAACGAAATTTAACTGGTTGAATATTAAAGTGTCAAAAAATATTATAACAACGTTTTCGTTATTCAAGTGAACAATGCCGGAGTCGGAAGCTCTCACCAAAGTTGTTCTGCGTGATGTCACACCAGAAGGTAAGCTTGTTTATTTTACCCAAGATGACTCAAATACAACTTCTGCTCTATCTGTTTCGATTTATTTAATCGTAATACGAAGGTAACTAACGTTTTTGTTTATTAGTAGTCTAGTAGTTTGTTGTGTTGTGTTATTGCTTTTTATAAGTAAGACATGGTAAGAATGTTTATTTCTAGGTTTTTTAAATTAAATATCATTATGATTTTTTTTTCATTATATTGATATTAAGCGTCGTATTTAATTTATTCGTATTATTATTATAGTTATAAAATTTGTCGTGTAACACCTTATTTATTTATTAAAATTTTACAAACAAAATTTATTAACACAAAAAGGCGTGAACAACATACATTTTTAAAATAAATAACTTTTTATTCGACTTCAAAAAGGATGGATAAAGGATTTTCAATTCGACGATTCTTTATTGGTCGAAAACAAGGCCTGCGCAGTTAAACATAATTACTGCATTAAATCTTTTTTATGAGTAATATTTAATTTTATTAATTAATTAGTTTAATCTTGATACAATGTATAGCACGCGCGTAAACTATACAAGCTACTTAATTGTGAATAGTTAATAGCTGTGTATTGAACAAGCTGTGTCCGCGACTTCGTCTGCCTAGAATTTTAGGCATCATTTTATTTAATTTTACAAACAACCTCCTCAGCTTCATAAATTATAGCTGTAACCCACGACTTTGTCTGCTTCCTGTCGTTCTTGCGAGTCAATCTTAAAAAAATCGACAATATATATATATATTTTTTTTCGAATATGGGAATATTTAACCGTTTTCGCTCCTAATAAATTGTCCAACCAAAAAAAAAAAAAATAAATTTGAACCAGTATGTCCTAGCGTGTTCAAACTTGTTTCTTTGATTGCGCTAATCTCAGCTTTATAATACAGAAATTCTTCAGCTTTATAATATTAGTATAGACTGGAAAAAAAGGACCTATTATATCACTAATCCACTCTCACCGGAGTTTTGTAAGAGATCGCTGGGGTAACGTTTGAATATTCAAGGAATTACAAAATTCTTTTGCAAGGCCCGTCTCTCGAAGTTGGTTGTAATTTTATTGTACGCAATTAAGACGGAATGTAATATTGTTTGTGTTTTGATATTGTCCATAAGAACTAAAATTACGTAGAAGTTTTTTCTTCAACGAAAAGCTATATCGGGTTTTTTATCATTAATTGATGTGACGTGGATTATCGGAATCCGGTTTTCCCGGCGTGGGGTATGGGCCGGATATGTCTCTGTGTCAGTGGGATCGATTGTATTTAAAGGCAACAAGTGGTTGATAGACCTTAATTTTCTTTCTCATGATATAAACCGTGCTCAACGTTTATACTATTTTCATTTTCACGGCGGCGACCAAACTTGTAAGGATAAAAATCATGGAAATACCAGAAATCCAAAACCTATAATTATTTGTAATATCTGATGCACTGTAGAACCAAATTACAATGAGACTAGAAAAACTTTTGCAAAACTGATGCTCAGGGTCCGGGAGAGCTTCAATATGCTGTTCTGTCCGAACAAACGGCTCTAGAACAATCCGGGTTCCTTCTTCACCCGATGATCTAGATTCCAAAAATTACTACCTGTATGATCAATAATTAAATACACAGACTAATTTCATTAAGGTCATACTTAAATACTTCTTTGTTCGTAAATTAACAATACTTATTGTCTGAACAAATTCAACTAATTACATATACTTATTTGAAAATGTTGCGCCTGATTCTTGTTTCTGAAGCGTTGTTTAATTGTTAAATTAAAACTATCCAATCAAACGTGAATACCGTAAATATCGTTTTTAATATCATTTGCCAAGTCAAGAGACATTTTGTAATGTTATTGTTATTTTTGTTATGAATAAGTAATTTATACATACCTAAAGGCTATGAGTTCAAACTTCGTGAAACAGAGCAGAGGTTACCTAATGACACAATTCAATGAATCATATTATTTATCATAGAACAAAATACGTAGGTAAAATGTTTATTAAGCATAGAACTACTTTATGAATGCTCATATTATACGGGTTATATATTATTATTTTTCATGTGAAACAGGTTTCAACGGTTTAAATCGAGATCATTTATTAGTTAACTTATTTTAACTTCATCATCATCAACTTTTCAATGCAGTAGGTCAGAGTCAAGTTTACGCCGACGATGCCGGTTCAAGTCGAAATTTTTTTCAATTTATTTTCGATTTTTAAATTAAAAAAAGTTATTAAAAAGGTATCTTTTGGTAGTGTAGTCTTATAAAAACTTATAAATTCTTAGTTTATCGGCGATTGGAGAAAAATAAATTATTTCCATTAAATATATTGTGCCCTGTAGTTTAGATTGATAACAGAATTAGAACGTATTCTATCGCTTTTCGAAACTCAATATGAAATTAATAGGTCTCTTATCTATGATGAGTTATATATTAATGTTATAAATATAAATTTCTTACAGTGAACTTTTTATTAACACAGAACACTTGTAAGAAGGTAAAATTGTGTATTGATATTATTTCTTATAACAAAAGATAGCAGAACTATTTGAAGAGACATTTTGTAAATTAACACATGGCTGTCATTTATATTTTCCCATTGATTAAAAAGCCACAAGATCAAAGACAATATTTAAATACAGTGAAGAACATTGACTAACATTTTATTAAGCGCAGAAGTGTCCAGAGGTTGGGTAAAACATAAAAATGATACCTAGGTAAAATATATATAACGCTTTAGTGATAAGCATATTAGTTACATACAGAGATTCGTAATCTTTAGGCGAGCTAGATAGCATGGGCCAAGTAGAAGCACGTCTCTCACGTATTACCTCGGAGACGTGCTTCTGAAAATTTCAAAATATCTTTCTTATGTAACACAAGATAAGAAAGATTTTATACCAATTGATAGATGCATATTGAAAAATCTGTTTTTATTATTAGCTTTTTTTTATCATTTTTAAGAAATATATTAAATTATGCTACTCTTTTACCTACTACTGGAATAAAAAGTTCAATGACTACAATTATGAAAGAGCTTTTATTCTTTTAATTTGATATTCTATCATATATTAGTATCTAATATCATTAATGTAACCAGGTCACATCCTCTGAGTGCAATTTATATGGTCAAAACATGAGATAATAAAACTAGGTCATTTTATCTAATTCAAAAGTGATCGTGCCAAATAGATATTTATAACATAATCTAATTTAATTATCGTTAAAACAAAAGTTTAGCAATTTAAAAACTGTATTAATTTGTACCAGATCCTTTCAATCGTAATAGATTTTTAATTTTCCAGAAATTATTCTTCACTCTACTTTAAATCATTATCGAAATACATGTTTTTAATGAATCAAAATGTTAAATATATACATGGTATAGACATGATTATTTCAATCTTTAAAGTCAAGATACTCAATGGGACCTAACCATGGTACTACAGAAAAAAACACAAATTATTACAGTTAGTTTAGTCTGTATTAAACAGTATAGTAATATATATCAAGGGCCATGAATGTTCAATAAAACCCTTTAGAGCGTTGCCCCCAGCTGTAGCCGGTTCTAGGTCAGGTGCAATGTGCACGCGAGGGCACGCAGGTTACACCAAACACCGCGTTGGTTTGCTTTGCAATTTGTCAAACTTATTCACTCGTGACGCCGACACATAATACAAAAAACCAATCTGTATCTACTAATTGAACATCCATACAGATTTTTCAGATACAACAAACTATGACAAAAAATTTTAAAGGTAGAATATTATCCCTATATATGTATAGATATAGCTATAAGTACTAGTAGAACCACACCAACTCATATTCTTACCAAGTTGTTTTACTAATGTAGTAAAACAACTTGGTGTAAGTATTTAAAAAACAATAAAATACTGTAAAACAATGATGCTTACATAAACATAATTACTATGTCAATAACAGCTGGCATCAAAATAACATTGATTTAAACGCCATCTATTGGCGAGTACCTATATCAAGTCAATGAAACAACACTTTCACCTAGTTCACAGTAGATGGCGGAATAATAGACTAGTCTAGATATTTATATATTCTGTGGCTAAGTTAATGCCTACATACATATTCGACATTAACTTAGCCACAGATAGGCTCTGTAAATATTAAAGTATTTACTTCTCTTTTATATAAATCTTTAAAGTGAGATGACTCAACTTTAGTATGACTAATTTATTTAAGTATTACTCATTTCTAATTCTGAAACCGTCGTTATTATTCTCTAAAAAAACCTTTAAATTAATAAAGATAAAATAACCCAAATTCATTTTATTAATAAATTCATTCATTTAAAATGGTACACAATAAATTCAATTAGCTGTTTACAGTATATATAAACATTGTTTTTTATACACGGTACGTATATAAGATTAGGGGGAGAGAAAGAAAAACAAAAATTCCCACCTCACTTAATAATAATTAGCGGTCGTTAGTTTTTATTAAAGCCGCCGTAATATACCTAATTACCGAACAGAGACCAACTGACAGTTCTATTATGTTACTGTGCTACTGTATATCGCATATAAATCGTCCCAAATGTCTAACGAAGCGCAGTTTAAAAGGTGTTCTGACGGTGTACACGTACGTTTCTAACATTTGCTTCTTGAAAGAGTTTTAGTCAAGTTCGGAAAATGGGAAAATGTAAGTTATTTTCATTAGAAAGACTATCAAGGAGTTCTTATTATTAATTTATTAGAAATTTCCCTTGTCTTTACAATCTTATTAGATTGAATTAAGTTAATGCACCTACATAATATTCTGCTATTTAACTACTATTTAAAAATATCTAAATGTATTATTTTTAAATATTATTTTTAAATGTAATACAATCTAAAGAAAGCAAAACAAACTTTTCAAAATTATTTTTAGATTTTAAGGGTACTCTGTTTTGTTTTCTGATGTATTTTCTTTTTTAAAATATAGAATTAGCTTAAATAAAACTGACTCAGTGCATGTTATTTTGAATTGTTAGGCGAATCAAGTGTGCAATTCTTACTTGTATAGGATAAAATACATGTTTTCCCTTTTAGATGACATACGTGCTTTGTCATGGTCTTCATTTAAAATAAATAAAGACAATACAATCTGTCTATAGTTTACAACTTCGTTTACAACGTGTCTCCCCGAGACCCGGGCTGCCAAAAACATGCAAAAGCGGGGGGGGGGGTTTTTAATATTTTTTTATAAATTTTTTATTTTTTTTTTTTTTTTTTTTTTACAATACAATCTTTAAGAAACAAATTTATGTAAATTCAACAATTGTAGAAATTATACTGAGTAACTGAATGCTGAATAAACTGAGTAAATAATGTTATTATTTAATAGGTCAGTTACCAATATTTATCATCAATTAATTCACCTTTAAATTATTGCGAAATTCATTGTAGAATATAAGAAAAAAGCAAATTACGAATTTACGTATTACCTACTCATACAGTGATTATAGAATGATGAGTTTTAATTTGTACTATTATTGTAAATAAAATGTTTATTCCAGTATCTCAGCATATGTTGTCGGATGTCTCATACTTACCTGGTATTCAACTTGGTGATTTCCTTCTTCGGTTCGAGTTAGAGGAGCCTAATGAAGCAGTTAGAGAAATAGCCAGGCGGGAACTTCGTGAAACACCCGAAGTTGTAAACCCAGCAATAGAAGAATTGAGGAGGCTCTTGGAAGGTAGTTGTTGAACCATCTTAAATTATATGATACGAACTGAAAATACATCAAATTGTAAAAAATTAAGAATATAGACTTAAACAACGTTAATTAGTTTTAAAATAAATATAAGGACATTCAAATGGAGGTCGAGGGTAGCACATTATCAAAATTAAATACAGAGATACCTACAGTAAAATTATAGTGTACTTCCTGAAAATATAATCTTAAAATAACTCGACAATATAAATTTACACTTTTACGAGTTGTCAATTGTAATATCCCAAATAGAATATAACGCTTACGTTGTTATGAGCAAGATAAGGTTATAGACATATATGGAAAAATTAATATAGATGGAAAATTTTCAAATGTGTAAGTAACAAAGTCTTTTCGCATCTTTAACCGCAAGACGATTGAGTTCCTTAGATATATATTTTTTGTATTCATGCGGATATATAAATTTGTAAAACCGGAACATAGAAGGAAATTACCAGTTTGTTACTTATGTATTTTTTTCGTTATATTCAATTTTCTTGCAATATTTATCTCAAACAGGCTTGACTTTTAAACTTTAAGTTTGCTTACAAAGGATAATTCAGTATACTCTTGCGCCTCTGTAAACAGAATTAACAAAAAACTAACTTAACCCTTACTTTCAGCGGACAAGGAACTTTACGTTCCGTACGAGAGAGATGCGTGGTTGATTAGATTCCTTCGGCCTTGCAAATACTATCCAGAGAGTGCGTATGATTTGGTGGGTTCCAGTTTGTATTAATACTAGATATTTCTCGAATAATTGGTGTCTAAAATTCCGCCATTATTTGGAATGCTAAATTTCCTTATATATCCCCAGCATGACTTGTCGTACTTCGTGGACTAGGCATAAGAACCCGTTTTGACCGGACTGTTAAATATATGAAATAATACATAATATTGTCTAAAACAGAAAAATGCATTTGAATTAATAGTTATATAATAATGAGTTCGAGAGCAAAGGAGGTTTTTCATAATATTTGTGCATTTAACAAATCCGTAAAATGTTGTATTCAGCAGTTGTATCAGCGTGGTAAATTTACTACCTTACAATTTCAGATAAAACGGTACTACTCGTTCAAAGTGAAACATTACAAACACTATGAAGGATTGACGCCGAGTAAAGAACAGAACGTATTCAATCAAAATGTACTCAAGGTCCTCCCAACAAGAGACCAGCTGGGAAGAAGAGTACTTGTGCTAGAGCTTGGCAGTGAGTTAATTTTTTTTATTGTGAATATTATTTTTATACTCAATTGCATATAGCGAGAGGTCATGGTAATAACGCTCAGTTAAGCAACGAAAAATAGTTTCGTTTATATGTATTATATAAGCAGAAGGGTAAGAAATAGATAAATAATATTTTTTCCGTATAAACTGTTTTACCGACATTCCTGAAATTGACGTCTGTCTCTACGATCCGTATATTCGAAAGATTTGTACGGACAAAAACTATTAGCCCATTTTAGCGATATTATAGTGGGCACCGATATCTTGTAAAGAACAATTTAATGTTGATATTTATATGCCTAATGCAAATATATTCCTTAAAACCGACTAATGACGCAGCGTGTTATGGTACAATGGCTTCCAAAGTCAGTAGTTTTTGTAGACGCTATTTTCATACAGCGATTAACTATTCCATGACTCATAGATGAATATAAAAGACATTATTATTTAAACAGTAACAACGTATAATTTAAAGATGGACAAATTACATGACCAATAAAAGAAACAAAATCTAAGTATGGTTCCGCGCAGCGAATTTATTTTTGGAGTGTTTTTGCTATTCAACGTCAATCAGAGTACCATAATACTACACCATTAAAATCCAGCAATCAAGTATTCTTACTACCTAATTTTATTTTTGTGACCATGTTGTGGTTGTCAATTATACAAATTGCAGTGATATTTTACACATCCGTTCATTGTTCAGATAGGAGATACAAATGAAAAATGGCCATAATTTACATTGAACGAACATAATATTTATATTATGGAGTATAAATATTTTTAGTTTATTAATATTATATTATTTTATAATGTATTGCAAGTAAGGAGGAGAAATTGATCGTTGTCATTATAGTACATATATAAATCTATTGAACATCGCGTCACAATACGCTTTACACAGGCTGCAGATGTTTCTTCAGCGTAATAATTTATTATTTTATATAAAATAATTTAGTACTCTCATACTGAAAATTAATAAACTTATAGTTCTTTTAAAGTTCGGTATTGAAAATTACATACTTAACATAAAACGAGTTTAACTAGGTTTGTTAACCAACGCGATATAATTAGTTACAACTTATTGGAACTGTTTGCAAACCTTCGCAGCCATAAGTTTTAAACTTGCATGCTTTGTTATTCTAACATGAAAAGTAACATATTTCCACGTTTTTATTGACCACGGTTCTGCTTTTAGGTTTAAGCCTAATGAGCCACTTGATAAGTTAATAAGATGTATTCTGATTTTCAAAATAATGCTAAAAATAATTTTGTTTCTCAGAAAAATGGAACCATAATAAATGCACTCTCGACGAAGTATTTAAGGGCTGTGTCATTTTTCTGGAGGCCGCCATGTTGGAACCGGAAACTCAGATCTGCGGAGCCGTGGTAATCTTCGATATGGATGGACTTTCTCTTCAGCAAGTCTGGCAGTTCACGCCGCAGTTTGCCAAGAGGATCGTTGATTGGCTACAGGTCTGCTAAATTATATATTTACACGTGATTTACTTGTAAACAGTAACATAACAGAACAGTTCATTTTTTTATGCAAAAAAAAGAATTTAAACCAGAATAATTTTAATATAAAATATATATTTCATACAGCTGACAGAAGTATAGATCAATGACTATATAATATTGGATATTCGGAAATCTACAAGTTGAAACCGACTTCACGGCCTTTCAATGTCCAAATTTCCAAAGGCCAACATATTTTAAAAAAAAAATAGTTTTTTGTATTTTTTAAGTAAAATATAATTTTTACCACTTATAGGCATACAGATAATAATCTATAAGTTTGTATTTCAGGAATGCATACCACTACGTATCAAAGGGTTGTACATATTGAACCAACCGTTCATCTTCAACATGGTGTTTCAACTCTTTAAACCCTTACTGCAAGATAAACTTCGTTCTCGTATTGCATTCTTTGGACATGACAGGGAACTCCTTTACAAATACATCAACCAGAAGTGCTTGCCCGATAAGTATGGAGGAAATCTAAACATACCAGACGTCAGTGGGGCAGAGTGGTTGGAGTTGCTGATGCATTGTGATAAGGAGTTTTTGGGTGAGCCATATTTATTTTTATATATACATTCTACCATCACAGAATATACCTATTGCGATAGAATTATTACTTAAACATTTAAAACAAATGACGTATCTAGCAGTGATTTTTTGTCCATTCATCCAACTTGTTGATAATTTGCTCAGAACGCTACCGTTAGCGTAAGTAACTATAGTCGTAATCGTCTCCACACGTATCGATCCTCAACAGACAAGATATATTTTTAATCCAAAGACCGATCAAAATCATTATCACGAACCCTTATTTAGGAACAACAGGTAGATAACACTTGTAACTCTTAATTAGATACCAGAATATAATAACCACACTTATTAGACAAAAGAAGAGAAGTTACAGTAGACATATTACTAGTAAAGGTTTTCAATATCTACACCAACTTAAAGGCACAAACATGTAAAACTAGACAACACACATGCCTATCTACACTAATATATAAAGCTGAAGAGTTTGTTTGTTCGTTTGAACGCGCTAATCTCAGAAACTACCGGTTCGAATTGAAATTATTTTTGTGTTGAGTAGAAGAAACAACGGGTAATGTGAAAAAAAAACGGGGCAAATGATTCATCATTATAGGTTTCCAAAGCGTAAGCTGCAAAAACGGTCCAAGATACCCAAAAAATTTGTAGAAAAAACGACGTTGTGGGTAACAGTATAAGTTTATAGTCGCAAGTAGTCGCTGACATAGCTAGTTTATCATATACACACATCATTTGCTAAAACACTATAAATCCAGGTATTTCGATTTTCAAAATTTTGTCAATTGAAATCTCTCATAAGAATCAGAAAGAAGTCAGAAACAACCTTCTTTTCCTTAGTAATTTTCGTTGTTATAGGATCATTCGGAATGTGAAATAAATATCTTCTATACTTTTGTTTTCTTAGTGTTCATATTTCTTTTATTATTTCAGCAATCAACTCATATGGATACAAGAAAAACATATAATAATCGTAGTATAGTATAGTCACACTGTAGACATTTTCAACGGTTTAAGTCGCAAGCTATTTTATAATTACTTAACTAAGTGTACGTTTTAAACCGTTGTAAACTACAGATATATTAATTTAAAAAAACATTGAGAACGAATGAGAGCCAAGCTTGCCTGGTACTATAAATATCAATAAAAAGAAATCTAAAACTATAATTTAAATTTTTGATATTACTATACTGTTAATTGTAAGACGTAAAAATCTGTGATAATGTAAATTGACTCATCAATGGCGAATTAACGTTGAGTTAATCATCAATTGACTTTTACAAGTTTATATTTCTTAAATTAAGACTAATATTAAACATATTATTGCATTCCCTAGACCTTAACTGTAAACATCTTACCTTTATATGTCAAGATCTGGTTTATTTATGTGCTCAAATATTTAATCATCATGTTTCATATCACATTATACAAGAAAATTCTACTTAATGTTAATGAGTAAAAGTAGGCTGTGAAAGAAATATACACGTTTAACACTTACCTGGAAAAAGGAAAAAGAAAAATATTTAGCAGCGACATTTAATAATGTTTTCCGATAAAAAAACTGTATACTAGGAAAACCTAATGGTAAATCCGATATTCCACGTTTTTTCGGACAAAATGCTACTTAAATTGTGGCATGTTAATGCTTATAAATAAGTTTGTCCTAAAAAACAAGACAATTAATAGCGTGTCTTGAAAATGCTTCTTTTAATTATTAATTTATTCAAATAGATACGTAAAGAGCTAAGAAATTATGTAAAATAAAAAAACTTTCCACAAATAAATGTGTTTTATTTACGAAATGATTAAATGAAAAAACCGTTCAATCACACCAAGTCACCAATAACATGTACTTACGACTATGTTATTATAAAATTGTGTAAAAAGGTAAGAATCAAAAGTATCGGATAATTTACGACACTACAAAACCATATCACTTAGGTACTGTCTTATACTAGTTCCAATACCAATTCATTATTCACCTTAATTATAAGATACCACAGACGTTGATAATTAAACAAATTAAATTTCTGTCGTTTCTTCTCTTTTCTTCATTTGTTGTTATTTTTATTGTTGATGTATCCTTCCGCATTTTTAACTGGAAAAATTTACATAAATATCTTAAGTGTTAAATTACATTTATGAACAGTGATTTGCTGATTTCTTTTTTGATTATATGAAGTGATATTTATAATCTTCAGATCAACTCTTATTTACAATACCACATTCAAAAACGTAATATTACGCTTATGATGAAATTAAATCCCTTAGAAATAATACATGATAGTTTTGCAAAATGTATTTAGATAAAGATTAAGAAGTGTCTAGAAATACCTCGAATGTAGAAAGTATATAATTTTACTAAATATACCAAAAGTAATCCAATTTACGTACCTTTAAAAGCATCCTCATAATAATACAGCATGTTCCACATCATATCTCCAGTAATTTCGTCATCAGGTAGGTTTCCTCCAAGCCGCTTCATCAAAGCCACGCCATCTATGTGTTTTAATAGAGAACTTTTATCGAAACCGTGAAAATGTATTCGTGAACGTAGCTTTTCCCGCAAAAACGGTTTGAAAATTGCAAATAACACGTTGAATATAAAGGGCTGGTTCACAATGTGTACTCCTTTCAGACGAATGGGTATGCAATCCTGAAATTAAAAGAATGGAAATTATTTTGACATCTCAAAATTTAAATAAAAATCGAACGACTTCGAACGTATATTTTTTTATTTATTTAGCTATTTTCATGCTAGATTTGTGCTTGACAGATAAACATGGAAATCATTTGATGTAAGGTGAATTACGCCAGTCGTATAACATTCAAACATGTCTACCTACTTTTGCTTGATGGACGGTGGTTCGTGACTCGGACCGACTTCTTTGACCCAAACAAGAAATTTCCACATTTTCCAAAAGATTACATATTTATAGAAAAAATTAAAATAATTCTATGAAGAAACATATTGAACTTGAATTGAAGTAGATTATTAGCCATACAATGCCATTTGGTACCCATAGATCTCTAATTTATAGTACCAATAATATTCAGTTAAATGAATTATTTTTCTTTTTTATACAAGAGTATTTTGCTCGATTTGGTTCATTGGTATAGGTTATTGTGGTTATTTTTAAATTTTATATGAATATTGACTTTATTACTTAGTAATCTCAATCGACTCATTAATCTTATTACATTTACAAACATAAAAACAGTAATTAGAAGGACTTTACTCATAAACGATATTTATATATTAACACGCCTATCGTATTGAACAATTTAACAGCAATGATAAATATTAGAATGTTCGTCTAAACAGGCAAGTTGCATTAAGTAGGTCAGTACAACTACACTTTCTTTATTAAACTCTACGGAACCGGTTTAATCGAAGTTAGAATTTTGTTTTATGGCAAAGACTACTGTAGTAATACAGAGATTTAAATTATTGAGAAAGGTACCTTTAAAAATCTGTTTAGAACATTAGAAATGTTTGATAATGTGGTTTTTATTCTAAAAGATTATAAACAAAACAAGTATTACTTAGAATGGTATTAAATAATTTAAAAACGAAGGTTATCAAGGGTAATTACAAATAGGTACTGAACTTTGGTAGAGATAATAATACAAGATCGTTATTTGCCTTATAAATCTATCAATAAGGTGATAAAATATTATCCTGTTTTGTTTTAATGCATAGTTATAGATCGACACTAAGCAACTATGTAATTACAATGGTATACTTTGAAAAATAAGTGACCGATATGAAAATCGTAGTTTTGAAAAATAGCCGCGAACACTATACTAATATATAAAGCTGAAGAGTTTGTTTGTTCGAGCGCGCTAATCTCAGGAACTACTGGTTCAAATTGTGTTTGTTTTGTTAGATATTAAATATGTATAAAGGAATGATTCCTCTTTGAATGATTTAAAAAAGCGACGTTATATGTCTATCTTTTAAGATAAACTTTTAAGAACGATGGGATGCGGATGACGTCGTGGGTAACAGCTAACATTTATAAAGATGAAGAGGAGGTTTGCAAAACCAAATTTGATGTCAAAAATAATTATTCTACGCGGACGAAGTCGCGGACATAGCTTGTTCAATATACAGCTAGTTTTATATATAGAAACGAACCTGAATCCAGTCTACAACCATCTTGGCAAAAGATGGAGTAAATTGCATGATTTGCGTAAAGGATAATCCGTTCATATCTAAAACTACGTTCACACCGCACACTTGGGTGCGTGGTTCTTCCATGGCAGACTCCAGACCCAACTGCACTCCTCTGAAGACCTCTGATAATGGAACATCGCGAGGCTTCCAACGTTCTGAAAGTCAATTTGAAGAGAAGTTAAATAAGCTGAACAAAATACCAATAATAAAATAATAAATAACCGAGTGGCGAAATAGTTTCTGTGTTTAAATCTAGAGAAAACTTAATAAACGCCTTCGTCGGGTACCTAATGCTGATTAGTTCCCGGAATTAAATTATTCCGTGAAGGCGATAAATTTGTATGGCCGATTGAATGCGAACGATATTAGACTCAATATAGATTTTATTAAAACAATGTTAACGGTTTAACACGCGAAATATAAAATAACCTCTTGAATCGGATGCTTCGCATTCTTTGCAGCAGTTAAGGAATTATCGTATAAGGTTTTAAACCGTTAAAAGTGTTTTATTGAAATGTACTACGGGCTTAAACTGCAGACAGCATTTACTAATATGTTTTTAGTGACGATGGGTTTAAACTGATCAGATATCATTAAAATAAATCTGATGTCAATGTTACATGTCTGAGTTTTCTCTCCTTTATGTGGAATATACAATAAATAGTAAACAATTAATAGTAAAGCGGAAGAATTAAAACAAATAAATAATAAAAACGATTGGTTAAACCTATTCGATTACAACAGGACTTTCGTTCGTTCTATTTAGGTTCCATGGATAAATAACAATTGTATAAAGTGGAGGGAGGCCATGGGATAATTAAACGGTACTGAGTAGTAATAAAGGGATCGAGAACTAAAGATTTTCTTATAAGAGGAAGCACGTATTGCTATGTCATCTTGCAGAGAGACATCGTTATTAAGAATCAGCTATAATGTACGTGATTTCTACGTTCCTTCATACACCTGTAACAAACATTTTTTTTTCCATTTGGCTTTCTAAGTTACAGGAATGAAATTAAGTATTGTCTATAGTTTACACAAATAGTACCTACATCTATACTAATATATATAGCTGAAAGTAAAAAAGTTCGTTTGTTTCTGTTCAAGCATTTATCGAGGTAGGTTATAGGCTATAAAACATTACGCTGCAACTAATAGTGAAGAAACAGCGGGAAATGTGGTCAAAATGAGGAAAATTATTCATCTTCGAGTTTCTGTTACGTACGCTGCGTAAACGATTCAAGATACCCAAAAATATAGTATTATATATTTTTGTGAAAATGACCTGACACGAAAAATGTCCGCGACACTATATATTTCTATCTTTCAAGATTAACTTGCAGAAACGGGACGCGGACGAAGTCGCTGACACAGCTAGCTAAGTTTTAAATGCAATGTGAAAATATCAGCGATATAAATAAATCAGTCATAAATCATAGTTTATATTCAAATATATATAAACTATGATCCTCTTTAAATTATTCAAAAAAATGTCCGCAACAGTATATATCTTTTAAGATTAACTTGCAAAAACGACGGGACGCGACCGACCCAAGTTAAAGATGAAGGAGGTTTGTAAAAACATATTATGATGCCCAAAATAACTATTCTACGCGGACTAAGCTGACACAGCTAGTATTAAAATAATACGGTCGTAAGTTAATATTTAGCATTCTAAATGTTAATAGTGTTTTATTTAAAAGAACTTACCTCCAGATTCCACTACCATAATGCGACGTCCATGCTGGTCTCTAGGCGAGAGTATAGACACGATGGAATGCTTGAAAGCCGCTCTGACTGCACTAGGACAAAGATCTCGACAGTTTTCGGCGTGTGACAAGCGGAATTTGTAGTACGCTTGTATCTGGAAGGGTTAGGAAATGTAGTATGTTCCCTTTAAGAGCGATGGACAATATTTACAACGTCTATGTATAATCATCACTCAAGCCTGGCTTAGAAATATTTAATAAAAATCTGTCCTAAAAGTGCCTACACGTTTCACATTAATATTTATATCGATTAAAAATATACATTTAATTTTTTTACTGATTATTAACGAAAAAAACAAGTGGCTATTGTTTGTGCTTTTCAGCGAAAAGCTTGGTATATTATAGCTAATAACAATCGTGGCTTCGATACCCACAGGGTCTAACATGTTTATTTATTAATTTTTAATTCCGTAACTGTGTAAAATGTGTCTGTAAAATCTAAATTTTCAATGTAACAGAAATATCAAAATTCTGTCCATAGATGAAAATACCGTGGACTTTAATCGCTTTCCGACAAAATATGTAAATATATTTCGTGTTTTTAATGCTAGTCTTTTTTAAAATACACGGTGATCACATAAAGGGAATTCTTCGCAGAAGGATTCTTAAAAGAATTAAAATTAATAGATTTTTTAACAAAACTGTATTATAAAATACCCGTTTAAATGCACTCTCGGCGTAGAACTTGCATGGCCTTAAGAACTTCATTAAAAATGCGTCATCCTCTATTGGTATAACAAGGTTTGATTCTCCTGAAAAAATGAAAGATCCATTGTTTAATTTCTATAAAAATAAAGCCTAGGAATAAAATATAATATTATTATAGATCAAATGTCACCCATTGTTATTTTTGTTATTATCAAGTAATTGATACAGCTAATAATTGTAAGAAGACAATTCGCTTTATAACTTTGACCGTGACCACCATAATGTACTTTACTCTGCAAATAGCTCATAAAAATTCGATAAGTATGTATAAACACGAAAAATCCATTTCATAAATAAATATGTATTTTAAATTATTATTAAACTCACATCTTACAAAAATGAAAAATACCATTCGGTTTTAAATTAATATTTACAGATTATAAATCACTTTTGTACAGGATAAAAGTCGTAATATATTTAAATACGACCTGGCCACCTTTGATAAGAAATATAATGTTTACGGTCATCCACACCATCTACGAATTGTATACAATAAGAATAATACAAACGAAGTGTGAGCTTAACTTAGAAGAACTATAACAAAACAAATAATTACTTTTGTGTTTCATCGGTGAAGAGTTACCGACTTTCACTTTAAGCGACCTATCATTAGTAACATTTCTTGCTAACATGTCCACATTTTGTAAGACTTAATAAATCTAGATGATTTAATAAAAAAAAGTTAATTAAACCTAAACAACAAGAGGGCTTAAGAAATCAACAGTGTGGAAAATTTTCAAAAGTAAAGATGTTATTAAATACAGTTCAAAGCTTACGAAGGATTTTAAAACAATGTACCTTTTAACAGTTCTCTCAGCTCCTTCAGAGCCTTCTCTACATTCTCGGGCGTCTCCCTGAGTTCCTTTTCTGCTTTTTCTGTGTAACACTTTTCCGTCAGAGGATCTCTCTCTAGCTCTATTCGGTGCCCACCCCACAAGACGTAGGGGGTGCCATCGGCGTTATATTCCAAACCCATATCACGTATTGAATTTGAGAGAAGACGGCACTATCTGTTTCTCTCCGTTACAGGCAATCTACAACCTCCGGTATGTCGACAATCCCTTCACTCGAAACGGCTATTAAGAAACTGACACAGATTTCACGAGACGCTTGTAAACATTCTGATTTCTATACTTTAAATTATTTTCTTCTAATAAAACACTGTTCTTATATTATTTTCAAAACGTTAGTCGTGCAAAGCTGGTAGAGCGTCTAGCGTTGCGTCTCTGGTAGGACTAATACCAAAGCTGTCGATCCCACCAACTTGTGATCACGATTCGTTCTTGAATTCCAAATTATGGCACTTTACTGAGCAAAGTTTATTTAACTATGATTATGAAGAATATTAAGCATTTCTCTGAATTTTAATAAGAATGCGTATTAAGTCTATTCATTTGAATGTTTGTAGTCAATTTGTACATGACAATGATTTTTTTATAATTTTGGCAATCGTTTAAAAATGGGTTTCACAGTAATAACAATCTTATCGTTTCGACGTAATTTGATTAAGAATATGATTATTTTTATAAACCCTTACAGCGATAAGGATGCTTACGTTGGTTGATAAATAAGAAAATAATTTAGGTAGGTCGTTGAATAGTATTTTGTTACAGTATATAAACGTTTTACTTTGCAATGGAAATTTTACATTGTTAACTTATCTTGAAAGAACCATAAAGGCTGTTGATATAGATGGTCTATCTATCCAAATCACCATTTGGCACATATATTACTTTTTTTCTAGTATATCACCAGATCTTTTAATTTTTTTTGTTCTCATTTCGGAAACCGGATATATCGCGTCTAAGAATTGATATTTTTTAGTATACGGTTAAAAGCAAGAGACGTTACCGTTTTTTTGTCAAATGGCAGATAGTTTACTTTTAGGTTTGATTACCCAGAGAGAAAAATTGGCCCTTTACGGAATCTTATTAAGACTTCGCTATCTATTTACCCTAAGCCGCTGGCTTTTTCAATAACCGCGATAATGAGTTGCAGTTTTGTACAATTTATGTATTTCAGTCGCTGCTGTAATAAAAAATACTAAAAACAAAATGAAATAATCATTTTTGAGGTCATAAAAGAAAACCATTTTTTTTTCTAAGCTCCATTGTTCTAAATATTTAAAGCGTACTAATTTGTGACTTCTTTTTGGTGACTTAGCGAATAGTAAGGAACCTTCTGGCGCGAGTCCGACTCCCAGTTGACCGTTCCTATTAAGTTCTACAATGATTTATTTTTCTCACAACGTTCTACTCTTAAAAAAAGAATGTACGAAGACAAAATATTTTACTTTTTGGAAGGGGTCATTTGTATAAATTTATTGCACTAACACTGGTGTCATTTATCAATTATATTAGCAAATATATGAGTCTCAAAAAAGTGTTACTTAGTCTTGTCGTAAGTGATAAAAACTAAACAAACACTCTACAAAAGGATTTTGGGTATTTTAAAACAACATAGTATTTAAATAAAACACTTTAACGGTTTAAAACGCGATATATTAGTTTAACTAATATATCGCGTTTTAAACCGTTAAAGTGTTTTATTTAAATGTGTACTACTCGCGTAAACTATAGACAGTATTTAACATAGTATTTGTTAAACACTCGCCACGATAAGGTTTGTTAGAGCTACTGCTGCTGAAACAAGTGAAATACGGAATTCGAACCTCTCACGCTAAACATAATGCTTGGCAAAGCATTAAAAAGATTACAGTTCGAGCTCGAGAAAAGAGAATAAGACTGTTCTTGTCGTTATAAATCAATAAAAGATGGACAGTATTGACTGCGCCTTGATAGAAATATTTAGCAAATTATTCCAGCATCAATAATGCTTTCTTTTTACGTTGACGCGCAAAATGATGTGGTTTTAAATATAATAATAAAAGCACAATATTTTCTATACGTTTATTCAAATGTAAACCCAGCACTCGGTATAAATATGAAAAATAAATTGAGCAATTTAGTTAAATTCAATATTCCGTAAACTACAGTATTTATACAGAAGAGCACTCTACTCTTCAGCATAGACTTTGGTTTGTACATATTTCTATTTCTTATAACACTAAATATTTGTTTAAAATAAAATGGAAATACATAGTTTCTAAATTGAAAAGGACCTCTTTATTGCCAGATGAATGCTTTTTACTACAGTTTTCGTAAATAAATGTGAGATTTTTAAATAAAACACTTTAACGGTTTAAAACGCGATATATTAGTTAAACTTATTTAAAAATGATTTTCAACTTCGGCCTGACGTTAAAGTGTTTTATTTAAATGTGTACTACTCGCGTAAACTATAGACGGTATTAAATGTGAGATTTACTATAATTTACAAACTAGAAAAAACCTGACTTAATGTATATAGATAAAATCAAACTGAAGTAATTTAACATAAAACGTATTATTTCGTCCATATATTATCCAGCCATGGTGTAATAAAACATATGAAATATAAACGCCTATTAAAAATCTTCAACTGCATCCATGTCAGCGCATTTACACTATTGGTTTTTATGAAGTTTCACAGCATAGCCACAGCCTTAAAATTAATGAAGTTATTTAATGTTAACCTCTCTAAATAAACTGTAAAGTCATGAAATTCTCTCAAACTTAGCTGAAGTCGAATTGCTTTATTGAATACACTTAATTTATTGCTAAAAAGGCAAATCAACAGTTTTCAAACGACAAACAGTCTTAATTTAGATCACATATCAATTTGTCCGCAATACACATACAAGTGGTCCAAAAACTACAAATGTTCTTTATAGTAATATCAATAAATTCATATGATAAAAATAACAAAGTTATAACATTAATATCGTAATATTTGTACGTAACAATTGTCTTTTGAAATTATTTACGCCGCATAACGCTGCCTTTGAACCTTATACATTATTACTTATCGCCTATTGGTCCTTATTCGTATAACTTAACTAGGTACGTAAAGTAATATATTTTCTAATATTCTAAAAATGCCTCGTAATGAAATAATGATACAGTAATTAATGATAGAAGACTTCATCAGATCGTAACATCATTCCTCAGTCACACATATTACTGCACTTTTTATTCTATTTATATAACTAATTTCAAAACATAATAACTCAATTACTGAGTTTAATACCTATTTTAGTTATGGCATAGTATTCAAACTATGTAAAGATATTGTTATTGCTACACAGTAAATGAAAGTCGCATAGTTGATGGAACCTAAACACAATATTAAGAATTGGAACTACTTTCTTGTTGAGCTTCAAATGCGAATTAGAATTATTTGGAAGTCTTAACGAACCCATAAGAGTTCCAGTTATCTATGTGGGGTTGCAACTCGTTTATGACTGGGTACCAATCGGCTCCCGAATAGTCGATTGCTGGCAATTCACCGCCGTAGTCTGCTGGCAAATGTGATGCATCCAGGTGCTTGTGGAGGGATGCCATTTTTGTGCCATGGAAGAATATCTGGAGAATTTAAATATTTGTTCTAAATATGTTATCTTATATAGCCGTGGTTCCTTTTTTATTTTTATATTAATCGGTATCATATTTAAAATGTCGACAGAGTCGCATATTTTCCTAGCTGTGGCCGCGACTTCGTCGGCATAGAATAGTTATTTTGACGACGACCGCGTCTCGTCGTTCTTGCAAGTTAATCTTATAAGATAAACATATACTGTCGCGAACATTTTTTAGATCGTTTTAAGAGGAATCGTATAAATTCATTCGTTCTTATTTTTGGGTGTTTTAAACCCACTGTTTTGTTCGTTTCTATTGGTGCAGCGCGATGTTTTATAGCCTAAAGCCTTCTTCGATAAATGCTTTAAACAACAGAAAAATAATTTTAATAAACAAACAAACTCTGCAGCTTTACAATATTAGTAAATATATTCTTCAGTATACTAACTCTGTTCTTGAGTTTCTCCCTGATGAGTGGCTTGAACATCTTCCAGACGACATTGAAGATCATCGGCTCCTTCACGAAGTGGACTTCCTTCAGCCGTATAGGCATCGCGTCTTGAATAAATGTTAGCAGCCGCTTAGAGAAACTAGGAGTTAATCCCATCGTCTGGAAGAAAATTACATTATTAATAAAGATGAAAATTTTTTTTACACTAAATAAGATGATGAATGAAATGAAAAACTAATTAGTTGAACTTATTTTCACCCGTGGCCATGGGAAACATACTGTTCGTGTTTTAAACAGTTAAAAGTGTTATATTTAAATGTGTACTCGCGTAAATTACAGACAGTATTTAAAACGATGACTTATAAATACACACAAAACAATCATCCAAAAACAGTTCAGAAATTAATTGTTAAATCGCCTTAATAAAATAATTCTAGAAGATTTATGAACACAATGTGAAAATCGATTGATATTCCTTTGATAAGGAGGTCTTTTAGCAATTTTAAACTAGCAACTCCATAACCTTAATACAATTTTTCTAAGAGTTTTAGAGAACTAGGCGCAATGCTAGAGAGATATATGAAATCCTCAACTATGTGGAATAAAATAAGTTGACATACATCTTAAATGTAAACAAACGAAACTTCAACGATTACTAAAAGAACGTGCTCATCGATGCTGCGTCCTTAGTATTCCAAGGAAAATCCACTTCCTAACTAAGCACGAACGGATGTTTAAATACAATATTTACCAATTAGTTTAGATAAAACGTAACAAGTCGTTAATACGATATCCATTATATTTATCACATATACGATCATTTAATTCAAGGTAAGAAATATAACAATTAGAACGGCGATCTTTTTTACTTTACTGACGTCCATCATACATGCACTCATCGTTTGATTTATCCTATTGCTTAATTAGGTTAGGTCAAGACACACGTAATTTCAAAATTCTAGTAAACAAAAATGTAATAATAATTCAAATGTCTAGTCAAGCAACGAGGAGATCGACTCACAGATTTAACGTAACTTTGTTAAGTTTACACTTAATAAAGTTACGTTTAAAACATTAAAGGACTCATAGTATTAAAGAAGCACTTAAAACCACGGGCACCAAATGTGTTGGAATTTTTGCGAGCACCGAAACAAAATAAAGAAATATTGATAACTTTGTCTACATAAGTTAATAGCTTTGACCGCCTCTGTAGTCAAATGGTTAAACGAGAGGTCCTGAGTTCGAATCCCAGGGAAACATAAAATAGTTTCGGTCGGGCAGGGCACAGAAGTCTGATCAACTACTTGCCCGTTAAAAGAACGGATCAGTGAAACGGACACAGAAATGTGTTCGCCCCACGAGGTGAAACGGGCTTTCACTTACTTTTGTCTACATGAAAAGGTTTTACGGTTATAAAAAGCGATATATATTAGTTAAACGTGACTGCGTTTTAAACCGTTAAAGTGTTTTATTTAAATGTGTACTACTCGCGTAAACTACAGACAGTACTTAACCCTGTCTTATTTCGTCTTCCTCTTAAAACCATACCTTTTACCTATCGTACGTCTAACGTGATTCGCCATCTGATAACATTTCATTCCACACATTTTATATATGTTTAAAAAAGTGTCTTCACGCAGTCCATAGGTACATCCCAAGAATAAGTAAATACAGCCTCGGACGTGATGTCCCTTGAAGGAACCCTGAGATGAATTTTCCTTCCGGACGGAATGACTAACTTCGCCAATACACCTACTCCAAATAAATATTTTTCTTCAAATTAATTATCCTTCCTACGTGATATGGGAACAAAGTACGTAATTATTGAGGTTCGGGCCTGTGCACTTATGGCTAGTACCTAACATCGTATCTTCAACACAGTTGCGCAATGTAATTTGACAGTACAAAGATGAAACCAAGATGCAATGTCGAAATACAACAATTACACAATATACTTGCTCATTGGAAACCCTTTCAAGTAACTACATCATATATTCAGAAATTGTTAGCAAGAATAACAATCTAATTAACCTTTGAATTGAAAACATTAATATTTTTTTACATGGTATTGCACATGAAGGCACTATATAATTTAAAAATCGAAAATAAATTGAAAAAAAAATATTTTAGATTTTTCGACTCGGGTAGGATTTTAACCGGCATCGTCAGCGTTTAGAGCAACAGCTCGGAACGCTGACGATGCCGGTTCAAGCCCTGCCCGAGTCGAAAATGTTTTCAATTTATTTTAGTTTTTTAAACCTTTGAATTGTTTTAGAGTCCGTACCCAAAGGATGATATTATTTTCAAAAACATAAAGATAACAATTAGGTAGGTTGTTTGTCATTCTGATATCTTTGCAAGTACGATGCGCTCTTGATTAGTTTTTATTGCATATTAAATTTAATAAGACTAATAATAAAAAAGACTAAATGACCTAGAGATTCTTCTTTAACTATCGGGGCACACAATACTTTATTATGAATTAGTAAAATGTTAAACAACCATATAATAAAATATCAATTCCATATGTGTTTTAGTATCAAACGATAAACAATAATCTGAATATCGATTAATGACTGTAATCACCTAATTCATACAAAGTTGATAAATCAAGGTTTCTTTTATCTCAAATCCTGTTCAAGAATTCCGTTTCGAAATTGGTTTATAAGGATCATCGTTAAACGATAAAATGAAGAGTAACAAACAACAAAGAGATAACAGAACAATAGGGCTTCAGCAGAACCGTACAGTACCTTTGTTTCTTTCATGCCTACAATATAATTATTGTACTTCCAAACGCTTGGCCAAGGACTGGCATGACTCACAAAGAGCAAGTTGTGCGGTTTTTAATAATGAATTTCTTTGTCAAAGCCATGACGAATCATGAAATAAGTTGGGGACAGGAATTTTTGTATTTATACTTATATTAAGCATATATTTAATTATTTGGATTGAAATCATCATCTTCATATACTTATATAAGCGTTGTGCGTATGCGCAGTTATTAATTGCAACTCTCGTAATATGATATTGTGAAACTAGAAACGAAATTAAGCAATTTTAAATCTGACTTTGCAAATGCGGTAGTATCAGTTTCTCATATACTTTTCCGTTAGCTCATAGTTAACTAGTAATAACCTACTTGCTCATTGGTTTAACCTTTTGTTTGCTTGCATTGATGGGGAGGACCTGAGTTCGAATCTTAGGAAATGTAAAGACATTTAGACATAATAGAAAGCTATTAACTCATAATTAAACTCGATTTGATTACTTCTTTAATACATTAATAATGACAGCATTCGTTGATCCCAGAAAAATAGATTTTAGAAGGTAGAAATGTAAGCTAAGTGTTTCACTAGTGTACCAAACTACTTGAAGTATTGTTTATTTGCACAGTCATAGATATATGTATCTAACAATATAGTATTACAGTCACGAACAAAGTTTCATTTATACATTAATAACTAGACAACACGTGCAGAAGATATATTTATCAGCAACATTGACGTTGGAAATCTTCATTCATTTGTTATGGCAATGCCAAAAAAAGTGAAACGTATTCTCTTAGCTTGATGCTATGATTATGCAAACGAAATGCAAAAATGTTACTTAATTAACATACTTAAATATATCATGTCATGTCAGTCATGGGTTTGATTCTCACTGGCTCCAAACTATGTATTTGAAAATAATTTTGTTTAAGTAAAACACTTTAACGGTTTAAAACGCGATATATTTTAGTTTAACTTGTTTGAAAAATGTTTTTCACTACGGCCCGAAGTTTCGGATGCTTCTGCGTTCCGATTTCTGCAGCCGTGGTCACGGGTGCTGCAAAGCATCCGAATCCGTTAAAGTGTTTTATTTAAATGTGTACTACTCGCGTAAACTACAGACAGTATTTAATAATTTTGTTGCTTTTCTAAACCTTGAGTCTACAACAGAAAAAGTATCAAAATTCGATCAGAGTTACGAACCCACGTCCTATGATGAAAAAGCCGTGCTTGCTTATCTTATAAGGCAACTAGAAATATAATTATGGTAACAGGTCTCTGCGCTATTTTTCAATTGTTGTGCATTCGGGTATTGTGCCAACTGCCAAACAAAGGTGTGAAATGGTTTAAACATTACAGCCAAATTCGTAAAGTTCAAAATCATTTGACAACTTCTCTTCAGTCTTTGGCAATCAAGTGACTTTCTTATAATCGGGAGTTTATTGACTCCGCGTCGGTCTCAAATGATATAATCGTAAAAAATACGCAAATCAAATTATGTCTGATCAACTTAACTTTTTACAATTATTTTCGATATATATTACGCTTTGTTGTGAAGTACGCAGATTGTTGAACGAAACTCGACGTTAACGCATAAATAATGAGGTCAATAAATAACGTTACATAACATATTCAAACACGCGTAACAACGATCATAATTAAAAACACTGTTTATTGGCATCAAAATATATTATTTTTTACGCACTAACATTTAGTAATAAAAAATATTTACATACCATGTAGTACATATTTAAATAAAACACATTTAACGGTTTAAAACGCGATATTTAAAAGTAAACTATTTTAACTAAGTCCCGACAACTCGTATATATTTCATATCGATATATTTCACATTTTAAACCGTCGCGAAGCTAAATGTGAAATAAAAGTGGCTAAGCCATATGTTAATTAAAGCATATATACCTGACTCCATCCCATATTGTGGAAGTCCATTATAACTACGGTGCCACGAACTTGGGATTCTGGCTCTAACATGGCTGCTTCGTGGATTAAGTAGAACAATCTGAACAGTTGGTCTGCCGTCACCTTCTTTGGGTCCCATGTACCTGTAAAATTAGGAAATTGCAATAACCAATAACAACGATAACGTGAAACAACTGTTATTGCCTATTCTTGGTTAATTATATTGTATGTATGTACCTTTAAAATAGCTGTAAGGAGTACTATAATATATAAATAATGTTTGTCCTAGCTAATATCGGGACGCACATAATGCATATTTAAATTATTTACAGAAGTGATGTAATTACTCTAACACAAGTAATGGTCAATCAACAATAACGAATATTTACCGCCGAAAGATTTTCTTGAACAATTTATATTGCAGTTTTAATTGTTACTTAAGAACAACCGTAAACATTGTGAATAGATCATAACTGTAAAGTAGTAAACATTATACAGCAAACAATTACATAGTTCAAGAAATTCTCGTAATTTCGAAGAGCAAAATACAATATTATGCATTCATATTTTATCATGTTTTTGAAATATTCGGCTTGATAAGGTAATAATACAAAATGCAAAAATCTCTACAATGTACTCGTATTTTTTAGTTATAGAACCAGTGTTAAACAGCGTCTACTTAGTAGCTACATAATAATAGTGTGGTATGAAAAGTATTTAAATTAAAAATAGAAAAGCAATTAAGATTTTTTTTATGATAGAGTAGGAAAGACTAGCATTGCGTTCCTTTGATGGAAGGTGAAATACCAATACCAACCATGTAACATCTAGACCACATGTATGTATCAACCTATTATGGCGGTGGATATCTGAAATCCAAAGACTGAACGCTATAGATCTTGATGGCTATTTCATCTGTGGACGATGGTGCGAAGTTTGAATGTTTCAGAAATATTGTAAACATTGCTTCCGTTAGACACGGGCCCGTCAAAATTTGTTAAAGAATTTGTTTTTATTTTGTTCGATGATAAATGTTTTGATAACAGTTTCCCGTTTGTTTTTATATCAGTTTAACATTGATATCTACGTATTCATATCCTGTTCATCTGAACAGTGCATCTGCACTTAAATCAGCTATGGACACACGGACACATAAAAAAAAACAAAGATAGGTACAAAAGTATAAGCAAAGAGTGTGTACTACCCTCTAAAAGGCAATTCCTTACCTCCAACATTAACTACGAGCACTCTTCTTCCCTTATGATCCCGACCCTTCAGAACATTGACAACCTTGTGGTCTAGGAAGGCGTCCATTTCATGTTCAGGTAACAAACCGTCCAGTAAACAAGCATTTTCTTTTTTAAATTCAGCCACGCGCCTCATCTATAACGAGTAAAATATATATTAAAACTACAACTTGCTTGAGCTGTAGATTTTTTTGGTTAAACACCAATCGGACGTTAAGAGCTTACACATATTTAAAAAATACACTTTTACGGTTTGAAACGCGCTAGAGAGCATCCGAAACGTCGGACCGTAGTAAAAATAATTTCTAAATAAGTTTATCGCATATATTTTGCGTTTAAAACCGTTTAAGTGTTTTACTTCAATGTGTACTAATCACGTAAACTACATACAGTATTTAGCTTTTAGATATTTAGACATGACGTTCACGGTAATCAATAGAAAAGATTTTAAACAAAAAGTCATTTCATTTCTTGCTGAAAGAGTTTAAAAAGATAAGTATCAACCTAAGAAATATAGTTTCAAGGACTAGAGAAAGATATAATATATTCAAAATCTACCTAATTATCGTCTAACATCATATAACTATAAGTTTATGATCTTATCAAAATCCTCGTTAGATAATTTAAAGGTTGTACAATTTGAGGAATACTGTAAACCTTCACAAGTTCTTGAAATAGAAAAACGCTTTCGTAGCTCAAAGGTTTAACGCGTTGCGTTGGATTGTGTTAAGCGAAGGGTCTTGGGTTCGAATACCGGAGAAACATAACAGCTTCGGTCGGCAGTGATCAGTAAGCAAACAGAGAAATGTATATACTCCATGCATACACATGCATAATAAATAAAATACATATTATGTTCCAGAGACATTATTATGATCGCTGATAATGTAAACTCGCAATTCAATCATGTTATCATAATAATCGTCAGTTTACATTCGTTGGCAAAACATAATATGCATCATTTCCTTGTTTCTTCGCATAATATCATCGTAACAACATAAGAGTGTTGCCACTTATTTACGGGGACAAGGGCAAAGTTTAAAGTAACTTTAAGACATGAAACACGCTAGATTCGCATTGATTTATAGCACTTATTGTCAAGGCATGTCTCACTGCAACAAATAAAAACATTCCTACATTGTTACTATACCAAAGCTATGCTCAGCGACTTCGTCTGCAAAAAACGTTCGTTTTTAACTGTAATTGTGCCGAATGAAAACCTTTTTTAAGCTTTCCGACGAAAATTTTCTTGTAGTATTTTCGAGGGTTCTCATGTACATACAGATTGACAGAGGAAAAATATAAATTTAATGCTCACTCTCTCATAATCTTATTACCTGTACAGACAAACTACTTCTATAGTTTGATACACACGTTATTTATCTATATTACGCGTTATCTCAATTGCTTCAATAAAGTAAGGTTTCAGACATAATTAACAAGCCAATAATGCGCATGTATATTAATTTGCAACATTGTTGTTATTTTTCTTATGACATATACGGGCAAATATTGTTCACTTTGTCAAAGGTGATGATGATATACTCCTGTAATATAACATCTAAGCAAGATCGGCTGTCAACCAATTTTTCAAAGTTTTGGACATCCAAAAGAAACCTAAACGCGTAATCTGGTAAATAATAAAAAAATAACGTTACGGCCTGATTTGTGGACTGTGGTTCATGACTAGAACGAAATTGCAACATGTCTACCACCCATTTCATATCTATATTTCCACTTTACACATGTTAAATCTAGTAGATAGTATAATCCTACCACTATTATTAGACCAACGTTTAACATTTAACGTAACTCTGATTAAAAATCTTTTCACTTTTGGAAACCAAAGACGGCTTATTCATTGCGTCACCGAAATTTTGTAATCTCTACATAAACCTACTTGAAAGATATGTTGTAAACACAGAGTAAGGTGTGGAGGCTTAGATAATTTAAACTTTTGTCTCATTGGTTCTTATGTCATGTATCTATTTGTTTGTTAGTGGTTTCATATTCATTGAATAATAATTACGATCTGCTGAATATATAGAGATAAAATTATTAAGTTAGAAATAAACAATAATTTTAGAAATGATCAAATTAAGTATTTAATTATTTTCTTGTCTCATTGGTAACGACTGGACTGATTTTATGAAATTCTATTATCGTCTGACCGGACGGACAACTGTCTGTGTTTTGTCGTTGTATCTGACAAGGGTGAACAATATGTAAAGTTCTTCTTATTTTATCGACCAAATCAGCAGATACTAGTCGGCACCTACGACACAGGCTTGTTTTAGGTCTAGATTAGAGATACTAACGGCACAATGGAAACATAAGAAAGAATTTTGATTCAATAGATTTTTTTATTACGTTTAATTATCGAAATGTACTTAAAAGCCTTGTCTATCGAAATTTTTAAATCACAAGTTAATAATATACTATATTTTTGTTATGTACGTAAGAATAGAAACTAACTAACTACTAACTAGGCTTCAGTTAGACAATCATGCACTCACAAAATCTTCGGACAGAGCAAGATTGTAATTGTGTTAGTGATTACACAAACGGTGGCGGGTTGACGTCTGATTGCGAATATCCAAGCACGTACCACGTACAACTCAGCAACTCAGTTCTACAGCTAAGCGTACCTTACACAACCTCTCTTGAGCTATTAAATATAATTGCTCGCCTAACTAGAACGCCGGCTCTTAAACCGTTATTAATTTCCAAAATCGGTTAATATGACAACACTGATCCAAATTATTGAATCTACAAATTAGATAATAGTAATTGAGTTCGTTTTAAAGGAAGTCCGGTGCTGCAACATCGATTTACTAACGACCTTCTTATATAAATTCAATTAGCACCAGTAAGACAAAGATTAATCAAATTAAATAATATTTAAAACCGATTAACTACGTTAATTCTGAGAAACGGACCTGACCCGGGCGGAATTCAGATATTCCTACAAACAATTTAATATCCAGACTTCCAGAGGTCCAACAAATTTAAAAAATATATAAATTAACTAAAAACGTTGGACCCAGTGGGGATCGAACCCCCTACTCGTTGATAATTAGCAACAAATTGCTACCATAAGTAAGACAAAAAGGGTTTTAAAAGAAAAGAATAATAGCGGTAACGAAGGTGAATTTTGTAATACCGTATAACCAAACTAAATGGATAATTTATTTTCCTTGTCTAAAATCCAATAATCACGCACGCTTAATTATAGGATGTAGCACCGTTTGAATTTTAACATAGGTTAAATATCATAGTTACCAACAATATTTTTTTAACGTACGGTTTAAATTGATTAAGACAGCCAGCCCATATTCTGAAGACATCTACACTGTTTTGCATTTTGTTTAACATTCATTACGACGAAATGCGACATGTATAGAATAGAGCCATTAACTTGTCGTAATGGTGTAACAATAGACCAAAATGCATTACAGCAGCAAATAACTTATGGGTGCTAATTGTTAAGGTCATGACGAAGCACACCTTGACACCAAGTGAAGTATGGGCTTATTACTGACGTGATATTACTACATAAAAATATCCAATTTGTTTAACAATCTTATAAGAAAACAAGTGAACGAGGGATGTTATTAAAAAAATTGTTAACAGTCAAAGTAACAAACAAAGCGTTGAGCTTATCAGTAACATATTTTTGTGTCTATATTAGCTCAACTAATGACCTTTTCTTGTCAAGGCTTTATTAGGAACTACAGAGATAACATTGGGAATATAAGAAACTGTTAGACTCAACAAAATTTCAACAAACACAAAACATTTAAATTCCTTTATGACTTATGTGAGGTATACAGATGTGAAGTAGTTACATTTACGAGCGGTCTGTCGGACTTAACCTGCTACTTAATTGCAAAGCCTTGAACACAAGTTTTCTCTCACAGTTTATAATTCTAACCGATTGATATGCAACACCGATCATTGGGTGTACGTACCTACATAATAATTATTAGTAAATTGAACGTACTGACAACTGAAAATTTTCACTTCATTACTATAGTAGCATAAGTCGTGACTTACTTTTATTAATGTTATTTGACATACTTGATAAGAAAGTAACAACAACAATAGATAAATTGCTGACGCAAAATATGTAGATCGTGGAAACAAAGGGTTCTCTGGTTTATGTTGATATGCGTGTACACAAAAAAAAAACGTTAACTAGATTGATTACAGCAGCAGCACGCTGTGGCTGCTGGTTCAAGCCCCGCCCGGGTCGTAATTTTTTTTCAATCTAAAATTGATTTTTAATTTATAACGTTAACTAACTAAACTAATACTAATATTTGCAACGTTAAGAGTTCAATGTTTCTCAGGAAGGCGACCAGTAAAGAAAAATACGATATAAATTTGACGAAAAGACATTAAGTAAGGCTTAAGTACTTATGTACGTGGTAAGTCTATGACAGAATGGGATTTTAAAATGGTAATTACATTGGTGCATCTATCTAAAAGCTGATCCTTAGAAAGGATCGAAGGAGCCTTGGTTTGTATAACAACCACACTATTGACACACACCTCTTTCAACTGCATTACTTAATTGGAACAGGTAGTTTTGACAGTGGGACATTAACCTCAAAACCGGACTGGTACGTCATTGCAACTACATTTGGTGCCAACTGGAAAACCTTTATTCAGGTAGATCAATATCTATCAATAGTTCTTTGGTATGATTTATTTTGTTTCACTAATTCTTTAATTATTTTTGTCTTTACTCTAAATGTATTAACGTGACGGCTTGACGTAAACGGACAAATAACATCGTGATAGTACAAAAATATGTTCTTTTTGAACGTATTCTATTAAAAAAACCTCAGTTTGTATTACTATAAAACTAAACAACTAACAACACATAGACACAAAATTGTGATGTTGTAAGTGTCTTCCACGCAGATGATGGAGATAATCTGTACAAATAAAAATTAAATTGATTTGACTACCACGAACATACTATGAAGAACAAATGTATACTAGCTGTATATATGACTGTTTATATGGAATAGGAAGCCGATAGTGGACTTGGGTCCACAGTTTATTAATATCCGCCGATGTCACGTAGGGCGCTGATAACAATGCGATATCTCGCTTCGATATGGGTTGCCCTTTGACATTGCCCTGTTAGACTGACTCAGAATCTTCCTCTCTTTACTCCTAAACATGCTCTTACGCAACCACTCTTTTCATTAAATTGCTATTGACGATTTTAACGGAAATTTGCTGTTAAAAAAAATCATTGATAGTGTCATTATTAGTAAATTAGTCGGTATTATGAAGATTACGCGATCTGATAAAATGTACTGTGCCCAGTTACCCGACTGCAGAAGAAATTATTCTATCCGGTTTAGTTTCTCGCATACCCTATAATATTCATGAAAGTAGCCAAGCTTTCTAATAATACAGACCTCTAGCAATTATCTTATTGCATATTAATTTTTGCACTTTATATTAAAATGTTAATATCTATAACTTCCAGACAATCAGACGCTCGTTAAGGCAAAAGTGCAAAATGACTGCCCAAAAAATGGAAAGAACTAAGAAGTCATAAATGAAGATGAATATAGTGTACGGTATAATAAATAATTGGAAGAAAGAATTAATGAACCTACATCTTCAAAAACACGCAAATTTTCTTTGAATTTTGTGAATGTGAATTTCGGAATAAATGCAAAGGTTTATAAAGATTGACATATTGGTTATAGAAATAAAAATACATTTACAGTTAAAAGTGCGAGATGTGTATATAATTCGATGAGCTTGGGAGGGACCTGGTCGATCGAAGGGTTTCAACCCCGCTAGTGTTATATTTTTTTATGTAAATAGATTTTTAAATTAAATTTCAATCGGTCAATTTGTTATAAAATAAGTCTCATCTTGAACTGTTCTTAATGAGAATATGAATATCAATATCTGCCGACCTTGTTGCTCGTCCTCTGAATGCATTATAGCGAAATCCGATTGAATGAGAACATTCAAAACTATTAAACCATTGCAATTTTAATTACTTTCTTAATTATTAAAAACACTTTATCTACTCTGGATTCAGTTGTCACGCTAAATTAAGATAAAGAAACAATGAATATTTTGCAAGTTGTAAAGCTGTTATGACCTCATAAAAACTTTCAAAGGTTAAATAATAGTAAGTATGCATAATAATACATGAATATATATTTTGAACTTGACTGCACCTAAAGCACTCGATTATGATAAGTAATATAAGAATTAAGAATAGTAGGTAGCTTTCGCTCGCGATTTCGTCTAATTGGAATTGTGTAGGATGAATACTTTTCTTAATAATAAAAAATTGTAAATCGACCTAAACTCATTTTTACCAAGGAATTATTTTATGTAGGTACCACCCTAGACAAGATCCGTCCTACTGGACTCATTTGGAGATTAGTGTGTGTTCACAGGCAGGCTAGCGGTTAAGATAAGATTTGATTTTTCTCTTCGTTGTACAGATAGTTTGTTTTGTTTTTTTTTTTGTGTCATATAGATGGATAATGGTGTGGCTTAGTTTACAGTGATATAAAGAAAAGTGAAAGAAACTTACAAGTGCTAACGCGCTTTCTGGATACCACTTGCAAGGCCGCAGGAATATCGTGAGGATTTCATCATCTTCACCAAAGTAAATGTCTTTATTCTCTTTTAGCAGCTCTTTTAATCTTTCAAGAGCTTCCTTTACTCTCTCAGGAGTTTCTCTCAACTCCTTCTCAGCTAACGCCTTCGTCTCTGGCAACAATTCCACATTCCGTTCTAGCCTGAAGTCAGTTGACGTCATTTTGGGAACCTGAAATTATAATGCTTTTTTGAAATCTCAAATTCTATTTTATGTAATTAAGATTTATATCAAAAATTTCACTGATAAACCGAAGATAAGCAAATACCACTGTAACTGTAATAATAAAAATAAATCGGTTTTATCTGATAGTAAATTTGGATAACAAGAAAATGACAATAATATAATTACCCTAACATGTATTAAATAATAAATGATATATAGGTCAAATAGTATGCAAGAATTATTGCTTTTACCCCTAAAGAGAACTAAGTGGACATTGACATTGAATGAGGCTTCCCCGAAAGGATTTTACTGTTTGTGTTGATACCGCTTAAGTGTATAAGTTTTGAATACTTTAGTATGCTTAGTGCTTAGTCCAAGATTCCCTACGTGGGGGCTATCTGTGACCGTTGAACTGATCACTTTTTTTTTTTAAATTGTCTCATTATCATCATCTCCGCTCATCAATCAATGTTCAAATCGAATCAAATCAATTCAATGTTTAACAAATCATTTAAATAAGAGTGGGGTAATTTTAGCTATGGCGATTTATTATACAATTTCAGAGAAAATAAAAATATTTTTACGTAATTAATTATGTTATTTCAATAAATTAAGTACGTACCTACGTATCTTTAAAGATAACATTTACTAGCATGCATTGATTTCTGTGTAAAAATAAAATATTGTCGTCAACTCGATAAGAAGGTCAGTAACATATCTAAGTAGGTACCTACTTATTTATTTTAAGCTTTTGGCATTTACTGTTAAAAGTAATGTAGTTTGTACCCCAAATAAATTTGCGTAATGCTATAGAAACAATATTAATAATAAATTGTAGTAATAAAAACATTATTTTTTTCATTAAAGAAGTCGTGAATCGGGATAAATGTGCATATTCTAATACGACGTAATATAACAAGAAGTATTTATCATCTGTTTTTGCTATTTTTATTTATGCAAATGATAACGTGATTCTTATAGTTATTCTATGCTTACATACAATTTTAAGCAACACAAAGAATCAGAAGTTACTTTATATACCTATCAGATTTCTAAGAATATTTTTTTCAATTTAAACTTTACGTGCACCAATATAAGATCACTAGCATTTTTGTATCGTATACACAAAGAAGACCTTAACCGCAAAAATACCTTAATTTACATATAAAATTCATAGCCGATAATTACACAGCGGCATCGAAATGTTTACATACAGCAGTTTGATCACGTGTACAACAGAGTATTATGAAAAACACACTAACCTCACACGCGTAGTGGATCGCACGCGCCGGTAAAAACGACAAAGGGCGGGAAATGGATCGACTAACGTGCAACGCGCGAAAGATTGAAGCGAATGCGCGTGCGCGCAACTCCCGCGCCGTTATATAGACAGCTGATAACGCAGTCGCTTCGTGCCCCTGACTGTCCGCAGCGGAACCTCCGTCTCACATTCTTTGTTAGGGGAGTCAGAAAAGTGGCAAAAATATTTTTTCTCAATATATTTTACTTTCTTTGCTGGCCTATATTGCTTAAGCTGATAAAATCAGTACTACTGCTAAAACATGCAAGACACCCATTTTCAATTGGATAAGTGAAGTCTTCAAAATTGACTATGGGGACATTGGTTGTAAGCTTAAGATCTAAGTATTAAAACCCATAATCAAAATAAGTTTATATTTTGCATAGTCAGAAAAGTCTTTCAAATGTTTTTGTTTTAAAATTATGCTAAGTCAATGAACTATAACGTAAACAATGGAATGGACATGAGTAATTGGCATTTTGTTTCAATAAAATACACATTATAATAAAAACGCTTTACTTGCTTAAAATAATAGGTACAACTGCTTGCATATGTTTATAATTAACTTAGAACCATTGTAATTTCAATACAAAGGTAAAGAAATAAGATTGGTACAAAAATTATCCAAGGCTTTTATTGGAGAATATTTTAAGTCAAAGTAGAATCATCAACACCCCGCAACGTTATATCTGCAGAACTTGAAGCTTCTTCATCACTGTCTAAATCTTCATCACTGCTTGCTTCCTGCAGCATAAAAAAATGTTATCTATTTATATGCTAACTATAGTTTTTTTTAACTAATAACTGTTGGAATATAGAGCTGGGATACCAAGTAAGAAAAGTGGAATTTCAAAAATCAATGGGCGATGTAAACTCTAGTCATAGAAAAATAAACAACAGCAAGATAAGACTATCTATGTACTCAAACTGTTATCTGTTGTTACCAAATATTGATGGATAATTTCCAAATGACTTAATTATAATTTTAATAGATTGTGAAATAGTAGATTTTGAATTGTACATGAAGGTCACAAAATAATGTAGGTGTAGGATGTTTTTGTGTGAGAGGCCGCAGATAAAGGCAAGAGACACAAAGGTAGAATATCATAAATATACATTTTTTAAAGTAAATTTGGATTTAGATTACAAATTTCTACTAAATACCATCAAAATGTAGATGTAATAATACTGTAGTAAAAGAAAGGTTAAAATGCCTTTAGTACAGCGAGTAGTATCAAAAAATACAGTAATAATTTAAATTATTATAGTTTAAATACTGTCTTAACTAGTTTCGCGAGTAGTACACCGTTAAAGTTTTTTATTTAAATATTATAGGTATTATTCTGTCTCATGAGGTTCTTTATAGTCTTGCTGCCATTTGAGTACCAGGGATTTTTTGTTCATGCAAGACAGAGAGGGAAGCAAATACAGATTTACGTTTGCCAGAACGGATTTGACAAAATCCTATCAGTATGTTTACAAACATCACAGTAGAAAATTGCAAGTTTTGTAAATAATTTTGTTAAGATTGTGTCTGGTTTAGAATTTACCTAATAATACATACCTCAAATTTAAGGTCAGTACTTTTATTCATGACATTTTGCTTTATATACTTGAATATAATGTCTCGACAAATGTGAGCAGTATCTACTGCCAGCCAACCCCGGTTCACGTGACATAAGTATCCCGTCGGGGGTTCCACCGCTAGAATCTCTTGCACCTCAGGAATTTGAACATCACAATACTGTAAAGAATTTATAACATTTAATAATCTTCCTTTGAAATATATCACTATAGGTATATATGATAAATTGTAAAAATGACGAAAACAATGAATTAAATAAATAAAGACTTTAACAGGTTAAAACGGGAAACATATTAACATATAAACTGCCCGACGTTTTATTTCGTCCTCCCATGACCATAGCCGCCGCAAAGCATCCGAAACGTCGGGCCGCATATTACGCGTTTTAAAACGTTAGTGTTTTATTTAAATGTGTACTACTCGCGTAAACTATAGAGAAGAAACGATGAATTGATATCTATAATAATGCTTAAGAAAATATTTATTTTTTTATACATTGGAACTTCCAATGTTTTACATACATATTACTTACTTTTAGGCAACATTGTTCAATACAATAAAGTTATTAATTATGGTTATAGGTAATCATTACAATATGAATTCCATTGTTATGTCATCAGTATTATTGTAAGAATAGAAAAGTATTTACAGACCATATTTCACTAAGAAATTATGACATTAATGAAGAAAGTTGTATATGTATTGTCATCTCTAGTCCAACATTTTATATACAGGAAATGTAATTTTTCTCAGTGGAATACGTGTCACTTTTATCCATAACTAGCTGTGCCAGCGACTTCGTCCGCGAGAATCTTTATTTTGGGCATCTTAATTAGTTTTTGCTTAAAAGATAGACATATAGCGTTGCGGACTTCTTTTTAGACCATTTAAAGAGGAATAATTCTTTCTTACACATTTTTTAGGTATCTTGAACCGTTTACGCAGCGTACGCATCTGAAACCCACAGAGACGTTTTGTTCACATTTCCAGCTCTATCTTCGCTTCTATTAATCACAGCGCGATGTTCTATAGCCTATAGCATTCCTCGATAAATGATCTAACCAACACAAAGAATTTTTCAATTCGAACCCGTGGTTCTTGAGATTAGCGCGTTTAAACAAACTCTTCAGCTTTATATATTAGTATAGATGCCTACAATGTACCATGTAGAATATTTGTCGCTGTGGAGGCAAGGTGTTCGGCTTGAAGTAGACTGCGCCTTCAGGAATAACTTCCTCAGAGCTTTCATCAAGCGGCCATCTCTTCACGCGATCCTTTTTTACATTCAAGTGGTCTTGCGTGACGCATGAGTATACCCCAGCTGAATGTAATAATTAGTAATGCTTAGTAAAATGTGGCAATTAAACTATGGAAGAAAAGCATTCCCATACAAGATATTTAATACTTTTCGCAACTACTTTACACTTTTTTTTTAATATATATATATATAATTCATTATTTCACCAAATAGCCTTATTTATGAGGAAAAATATTACGTACTATTTAAATAAAACACTTTAACGGTTTAAAACGCGATATATTAGTTAAACTTATTTGAAAATGATTTTAACATTTCGGATTTTGCAGCAGCCGTGGTCACGAGGAGACTCTTAACTAATATATCGCGTTTTAAACCGTTAAAGTGTTTTATTTAAATGTGTACTACTCGCGTAAACTACAGACAGTATATTACGTACTAGCTTATAAATAAAGGCGGCCTTATCGCTAAATAGCGATCTCTTCCAAGGGCCCTGACGTACAGGAGAAAATAAATTATTTTAACAAAGAATATCAATGGTACATAGTAACAGTACACACGAGAGAAACAAACTTAAATATTGGAAACGTAAAACTCATAGAGCATTTAAAGCAACTCTTAAAAGAACTGAGTGATTGAGCTTTTCTGATATTAGTGGGAAGAGAGTTCCAAAGACGGATAGCTTTAACTGTGACGGAATTATTGAAGAAAGAGCTTTTATGTTTGGGAACAAATAAAAGGAGATTATCAATGGAACGAAGAACACAAGTGTTTTAAGTTAATGTTTAAGCAAACAAAATAAGCCGGAACTCTTTTTCTAATTTCAATTTAATTTACAAGCTACCTACAAACTACATGTTAAGAATATTTACTTTAAAACACATTAGTTATATATGTATAGAATAATATGAAACCTGTATGCCTTAGCCTAAAGTCTAGAGTTTGGTAATATCTAGCATAAGGATCCTTCCGGGGGTCATAGCCAAATTTTATCCACAACATTCTCCATGGACCATTTTTATTGTACAGTGCCAAGCAAGGCAAGATTATTTTTAAATTAGCACTCCTTATTTTCGTATGATGTTTTATGTGATTAAAAGACCAAACAGGGCGCTCATCAAACATCTGTAACATATTTTCAAATTTGTTAATATAAAAAACCTTAAGTACTATTAGTTTTGCTTAGGTAATATTTATTTTTACTTTTTTTACATTATCATTAATTTATTTCACACTATTCAACCGATAAAGAAATCGTCTAGCGGTTTATGGGAACCGGATTATATACCTTTTTGACAGTATTATATTCTTCCTTTAATTGAGGGCTAACAGCTGTCTTACTATTCATATATTCTACAAAGTACTCATGAGGCTCTGTTGGGAGATCGTCAATTAAGTTAAAAATGTATCTTGGTATTGGCAAACTCCTTTCAGACCTCATTTTATGAACTTCATCTTTGGCTGACACACTCATAAGAGGTTGTTCTTCATTCTTTACACTATAGACTTTTTTGTCCATATAAAAATAGTTCATAGGCTTATCAAACCTTACAAAGTTACCAGGTACAATATGTAGAGGTGCAGGGCCCCTAAAAGTTGACAGTCATTAATATTTGGTACATAGCATTTTTTTTTAATTGTGTTCAATACAATCTTCAACTTACTCCATAAATGAAAGTTCATCTAAACCACATGGAATAATTTTATCTAACAAACACTCTGGTTTACTAGTGTTTACTACTGGTAAATATTGGAAGTCACACATTGCTGTAAAAAACAAATTGTACCAATTTCAAAAGTTGGCATAATTACAATAAATTTGCTTAGTATGACAAATTTATACACACCTTCAAATTTATACATGCGTTTAATGTGCCCCATAACCGAGGTACTTATTACTTCCCTTTTTATGTTCCCATTTTCATTTGACTTTTTAACTTTGACCTTAAGTAAAATACCAGCAGCAGGTTTGACTTCTCCATTTATTTTCTTTACACTAGGGTTATCAGGTTGGAAGGTTAATGTAAGTTGTTTCTTTGACTGTTGGGTACAAATCTAAAATAATAGAAATTGAATTACTAACAGTGTTCTTAGGATACTGAATGTTGATAAATTAAGGTTAAGACTTACTTGGGAAATAGTTTTTATTCCACCCATACATTGTATCGCCTTGTTATCATTTTTTACATTGCCAGGAAACAAAACACAAACGAGCTCTTTATTAAATCCGTTATTACTATCCATCTCACGTAAAAAAAATAAGTATAGTTTATTTGTTTACATTTCTTCTTTATAATAATACATGTTAGCTCCGTATATATCACCCTAATATTTATCGAGTTAATGTAGCAATAAATTATTTCTTAAAAAGTTTTCAATCCAAGAATTTTTGATAACTATTTACTTTCTAACAGAAAACGTAAATAAACAATGCTATCTGAATTTCCTAACCATAAAATTTTGCGCAAAAGCATTAACTTCATGATTACCACAGGTAACCGCAAATTGGCTTAAAGGTCCCGTTACCAGGCCATTAAATATTATTAAATTAAATGAAAAATTTTCAAGTATTTATTTCTTACATTACATTACTGTTATATGTATGCATGGTAATCTATATTCCATGAATAGAATGGATAAAAGATAAACATTATATTATTTTATTAGAATGAATTAAAATATGCAATAATAACATTGTAAACGTGATTTTAATGAAATCCACAAGTTGTATCGATATTGTTTCTCATACTAGTAATTTTTTTTAAATATAATCGAAGCGTTTTAATCAAGTCCCATCTCTAAAAATAATGTTATCTGTGGATACTGGATATCGATTCGAAAACCGCCAGGCGCCAGTTGTTTGCTTTAAAATTTAAATTATAAATTAAGAACATATCAGTCATTTACTTTAATTACGTTTTTTTTTTAATCAAAATATATCAGTATTATAAATAAAACGGGCACATAATTATTCAAGTCGAACGTTAAGTGTCTAAGTACAACTATATCAATTGTAATTAAAACCTAACCTACTATGGCTGATGATGATTTTAGTAAACTCTTGCAACAAGCCGAACAGTTAACTACAGAAATAGAGGGCAATGAAGATCTACCAAGAGTGGAAAGATCATTGGGGCAGGTGTTGGAAGCTTCTCATGAACTGTATTCAAGAGTAATTCAATCGGGCTCTAATGATATTCAAGCGTAAGGACTACAGTTAAACTTTTAAAAAACTTATATTTCCTCAATACACGCACATTTTAAACTTAAAATATATTTACAGACATCTTTTATTTGGATCAAAAGGGATAGATCTTCAGCAAATATCTCAAAAACTTGAAACATTATCTTCAAAGAGAACATTTGAGCCTTTACAACCCATAGCTGACTCGGATATTGAAAGTTTTCTTAAAAATGAACGAGAAAATGCTATTCTATCTCTTATTGATGAAGTTAACAAAAATGTAAGTACACTTTCTCCATTTTAAAATCTCTGCACTAAGTACCATACTACATAGTTGATTTTTTTTTATATTTATTATTATTCAGTCACTGCAAACAACTGAGGATCAAAAATGGGAACACATGTTATCAGAATGGAATAAGGAAAAGATAAAACTAATGAATGCCATGATTGGTCCCTCGCAAAACTGGTTAGATTTGAAAAGAGCTCCTGAGCCACCTAGCATAGCTGACACACCCAAAAAGTTTGGTCATTCCATGTTAGATACTATTGAATCAGCATATGCTAGACAAGTTCAACAGTACAATAAATTGGTATTCCAAGGAGCAAAATCAAAGACTGCACTGCATCATAAATTTGCACAGGTTGCTGAGGAGTTTAATGATTCGGTATGTTTTTTAACATTATATGTATAACACGTTTTATATAATAAAGAGTATTAACTTTAGATCACTAAAAAAGTATCTTTATTTAAGTAATATAGCAGTTTTATTTATACATTTAATGAATAAAGTAAAGTCCAATAATGTAAACCTGTTAGTAAAATGTGACTTTCCATCGATTACCAGGCTGTATTTCTAGAACCAGATAGAGTTGAATTTTTCATAAATTGTTTCTCTGTTGCCAAAGTGCTGTTATATGAAAAAGATAATACTAAGTACTACATATATAGGCACGGATCTCGTACACTAAACACATTTTGTGTGTTATCAATATAGCGAAAGCTGGCAATATTTAAATTTATATGTTAATATTTTCAGAAAGTGAAGGAAATGTGGGAGATCATAAAAACCATGTCAAATATACCTGCACTCGTTAGGGATGAGGATCCACTGAAAGTTAGAGGAAACCCAACTATTCAACAATGTTTAATAGCACAGGGCAAGAAATATTTAGAAAAAAGGTAGACACATTGTGACTTAAGTTAGTAGAAGTAACCAAAACTAAAGAGGAATTATCAAACAACTGGTACGTTAATGTAATAATTTAAAGAATATCAATATTGAAAATTTCTTAAAAATTTGCCAGATACAAGCAGTATATGAGTGATGTTGTTCGGGCCAATCCTGCAGCAGCAATGCGTGGCGGTGAGCCTGGAACTTTTCCCCTTGTGCGAGGTTTTGTAGGACTACGTCTACAAGGGCAAAGTGCCCAAGGACTTGCAGACGGAGTAATTGATGATAGACCATTATGGCCTATGGTTTATTATTGCTTAAGAAGTGGAGATGCCGGTGCTGCATTGCATTGTCTGAGAAAGGCTGGGTATGATAATATGGAGTTAGTTATAAAAGCCTCTTAAATTTATCTAAACATGCTATAATCCGCAAATAACCTTATATAATATTTACGGAGCTAAATAAACCTTATTTAGCTAAGTGTAATTTAGAATACTTTTGCAGTTATTAACATTATAATTTATAATACTAGTTCCTAATAATCACAACACTACACAATAATATGTTGTATATTTATTAATATTTTTAATTACATACTAATTCACAGACGTGAACATGAAGAATTCATTGCTGCCCTAGAAGAACACATGAGAAATCCTGAGAAAGCACTAAGTGAAAAGTTACAGACAGCAATCAACTTTCAGTATAGAATACAAGTGCGAAACTCAAGTGACCCTTACAAACGTGCCGTAAGTACATAGGCACTAACCCAACTTATATGTATAGTCTTATATATTTTTTTATTATTTTGTCCCTAAAGCTCCATAATACATTTCATGTGGGAACCATAATGCGTAAAGCCACCATTATTGTTACAGGTATATTGCATAGTGGGATGCTGTGATGTTAATGATGAGCATGCTGAAGTGGGTAAAACTGCAGATGATTATCTGTGGTTGAAGTTATCTATGATTAAAGCTAGAATAAACAATGAATCAGAGTCATTCTCATACTCAGATCTACAAAAGATGATCTTAGAAGAATATGGTGAGTATTTTACGAAATAGGACAGCTGTTGGATTATAGCAGCGTTGTGTACTATATGCACAGGGATTTTTTATGTAACAGTAAAATTTAGGTTTCCCCTTGTGGGGCCGATGTATTTCTTCTATTTTACTGTACTCTGTAACTATAACACAGGAATTTATCCTGAAATTCTAAACTGGCAGCTAAAAATTTTACTTGTAATTGAATAATTATTGTTGCCATTTTTATTCATTTTGTTACCTTTAATTACTTTCTTGAGTTACTAAATTATTATGGCACTATAAGACATTTCTGACAACAGCTTTGAAGCTTCCTAGTTCCCAAGTTAATAATTAATAATTATTGTTTGAAGGTGAAACACATTATCATGCTTATGAGAAACCACTGGTGTACTTCCAAGTGTTAGCTCTGACTGGTCAATTTGAGCCAGCAATAGAATTCCTCTCCCGCATACCCAGGTAGGTTACTTATTTTACCTGTTGATTAATTGTGATGAACTGCACTGAACTCTCTTAAGTGGTGAGTGGTTTAACAGCGTGGCTCGGCCGCTCTTATTTGTATTTAGTTTATCTTTTAACCTATTTTACAATTAATTATTAGTTGTTTGTTGCAAATTTCAATTATTATTTTTTGTTAAAGATACCAAGTTCACGGCGTTCATATGGCTTTAGCACTTCACGACGTGTATATGATAGGAACTCCACGCAATGTACAAGCACCATTGTGTATGTATTTCCTACAATTAGATTTAATTATTCCCTGAACTTTAAAAAATTGTTAAATGTATTTTAACATTATGTTTATTGTAAGTTATAGTTAAATTTTATATTTCCAGTGTCTGTGGATACGGATGACCCCATACCACTTCGTAGGTTGAACTTAGCCAGACTGCTGCTACTCTATGTAAGAAAGTTTGAACTCTCGGATCCGTGTGATGCCCTTCACTATTATTACTTCTTGAGGTAAGTTTGGATCTCTAACTTACCTCTTTTATAATGTTAATGGCTGTGCCCGCGACTTCGAGGTACTCTGGGTAGAATTTTTAATTATTTAGGCTGTTTATTAATTTATAAAAGGGCAAATTTAAAGCAGCCAATCTATGTTATAAGCGCTACTTTGATGCAACACTTCCACTCTCACCTTATACCACTGCTACTCGAACTCCCATTCCCACTCCTTAAAAGCTAAAGAAGAATGTTCTTTGTTCTAGTTTCAAAAATTTCACGAATTTCCATACAAATTTTCATCCCCCTTTTCCTAACAACCCTTTTTTGTCATTAAAAATCCTATGTCCTCTCTCAGACTCTAGAATATCTGTGTACCAAATTTCATTTAAATCTGTTTAGTAGTTTCGACGTTAAAGCCGGACAGACAGACAGAGTTACATTTGCATTAAGAATATTAGTATAGATTATCCAGTTTATTAAGTACTACCTTAAACATATTTTTATTTTTCTAGGAATTTAAAGGATCCCAACGGCAAGAACTTGTTCATGTGCTGTTGCTCTGAACTAGCTCTGGAGTCCCGCGATTACGAGCTAGTCTTCGGGAGAATGGACGTCAATGGTCTGCGATCCCCTGGTTTGGTAGATCAGTTTAACAATCCACATATCGATACTAAGGTACAGTACAGTCTAACATTATCTAGATTGTATTAAGATCAAAAGGTTTTTTATTTTTTAGGGTTGTCCTTTCACATTACTTAGAATTTTCTAACCCATTGCTGATATGTAGTGAGGTTTAAGACCACCCTTTACTAAGTTGGTTTAACTATTTCTTTTAGGTCATAGCACTCAATGTGGCTGAAGAACTGGTGAATAAGGGATTGTTTGAAGATGCAATCACTGTTTATGACATTGCTGGGGTGAGCACCACTATTTATAGTTATATACTATATATATATAATTTAAGTTTGCGATTCTGTTAGATTGCCATATTTGGAACAATGCACTAGCTAGTTATTTTATACGACGTCAGTCGCGCCCCTTCCCATCGTTCTTGCGGGATAATCTTAAAAGAGAAGATAGCGTCGCGGACTTTTTTAGGTATCTTGTACCGTTTTTGCAGCGTCGCCTCGGAAACCATAATAATGAATAATTTTCCCAATTTTTGGGACATTTCCCACTGTATCTTCGCTCCTAGTCACACGACTATCTTTTATAGCCTATAACCTTCCGCGATAAATGCTCTTACCAACAGAAAAAGTTTGCGATTGTCGACGACTTACCATTATGGTATGGTATATTGTGCGTCGGCGTCAATGCCAAAATAAATACTTGACGTATTTTGCTATAGATTGAAAACAATTATCGAAACCTTATTTCAGAACATGGAACGTGTGTTAGAACTATTCTGCGTACTGTTAGCGCAAGTTGTGAACAGCGGTGGTGGTGTGGGCGGGCTAAGAGAGCGATTGTCCATTCTCACGGAACACATCTCCAAACGGCTCCGGTCTTCTGACGCAGCCTCCTTGCCAGCAGCACTAGTCGAGGCTTACACAAAACTATGCAAGCTGATGACTTTCTTTGATCACTTCCACAACGAAAACTATGAAGGAGCACTTGAGGTAAACAATTTTTGTAATCCTGATAAAAAAATGTAATTTAGCTTGTGGTTATCTTGACTTTTTAAAATTCATAATAGCTATGAATGCGAATCTTTGCCAAACATTTCATGGTTTGTGGCTTAATCAACTTGTAAACTATTTTGTTAGAGGAATACTGAGATTACATCATTAAGAGGATGATAAGTAGTGACTAGTATATATAATTTAAATAAAACACTTTGCAGCCTTGTGGTCACGTGGAGACAGTCTCTCCGTGACCACGGCTGCTGCAAAGCATCCGAAACATCGGGCCGAAGTTAAAAATTATTTACAAATAAATTTAAGTAATATATCGCGTTTAAAACCGTTAGTGTTTTATTTAAATGTGTACTACTCGCGTAAACTATAGACAGTATTTAAGTATATATAAGCTTGTGCGCGTCGGCTTGCCTTATAGGTCACTGCCCGATTAAATAGTCATTGTCTTTCTTTCAAATACTTAAGTGTTGTGTTATTTAATCATTCAAAAGTAGAGTTATGTAGTTTTTGGTGATTTAATTTATTACTTTTTTATTATATTCCGCTCTTAGTATTAAAGTATACTATAATATTTACAAGTTTGAATATATATTATATATAACAGACTTATATGTTATCTTTCAGCGTCTTCGTGAATGCGAGCTTGTGCCTCTCAGTAACGCGGAACTGGACACTCGGGTGTCGGCTGCCCGATCTGCTCGCGGCGAACTACTTCGCTGTCTGCCCGCCGTGTTACGTGCAGTCTGCACTATTCTTATTGCACAACGACAAAAGTTACGCGCTTCATACCATGTGGCATCGCACACCACAAATCAGGTAAATGCATCTACCTTAATCAGTGAGACACTATATTAAAACGGCCTTCAAAAGATGCGCCAATAATCAATATTATTACCCAATAGTCGCTACTATAGTTTTTTATTTTTATTTTAGCAAGTGGAATGGTTACGCGAACAAGCAGAAGTTTTGAACACGTTTGCCGGAAACATAGCGTACAGAATGCCCGGCGATACCTACAGTCAGTTGGCGCAAATGCAGATACTTATGCATTAATTTTTTAACATTAATAAATTAGCGCATTGTATATAACCTTTTTTTTTACACTTCCTGAGTAATAATTACCTATAAATAAAATATTTTAATCATCTATACCTATACTAATAAAAAAGCTAAAGTATGTTTGTTTGATACAAATTGATACAAAGTTTTAACGCGCTAATCTCGGGAACTACTCGGTCGGAATTGAAAAATTCTTTTGGTGTTGGTTAGTCTAATAGGAGTTAAGAAAAAGCGGGAAATGTGGAGAAAACGGGGAAAATTATTCACCTTTGTGGGTATCCGATGAGTACGCTGCTCAAACGGTTCATGATACCCAAAAATATGTATGTAAGAATAATTCCTCTTTAAATTATCAAACAAATTTTCCGCGACACTATATGTCTATCGTTTCAAATTTACTTGTAAGAAAGACGGGACTCAAGCGGTGTCGTGGGACGTGGTTGCCCACGTCGATGTTGATGCTCAAAATAGCTATTGCTAAAAGTCGCTGACTCACCTAGTTTTGAATATAATAGCAATAAAAAAACTTAACTCATAAGCTTTAATCTATTTAAGTTGTATGACAAAAGTATTTGAACAATAATAAAATACAGTCAACATTATATTCAGTTATTCATTATAGATATATAATTATTTTATTAAGAAAACACGATAATATTGGTGTTATTTAAATTTCTTAGGTCCAAATATAAGATCAGCGTCAGGGGCCCCCTTGGGGTGCTGGTATTTCTGTCGCATATGCTGCCCTCTGTTTGGATTGCCGGTCCTCTCTGAGCCTCCGCCACTTTCCGCGCTGTATTCTTCTTCCTCTTGTCGCTCTGATATATTTAATGTCAATCTGAAAATTATATAGATATAATAAATTACACTTACTAGATTAAATACTGTCTATAGTTTACGTTAGTAGTACACATTGAAATAAAACGTTAAAGTTAGTGTTTTATTTAAATGCTCACTAGATTAGTTAGTGTTTAAGCCAGTCTTCTCTTTATTATTGTTTTTATTATTATATACGAAATATATTTACCGCTTAACTCTCTCCATTTCCTGTTTATCGGCTAATGCCTGTTGCTGCAGATTGCTAGCAAGTTCGGGTGGTGCGTTAAAGGACTTGTATTGAGGCTTTGTACCTTTTCGAACCATTAACACAAATTCAACTCCTTCTTTTCCTTGCTGTAACAGAGCAAAAACATTTGCATGCCAAGTTATGATCCTATGAAGAATAGATTTTCTTTTTTCCTCCTGAGTCTTTACAAGCAAAAACATAAAATTACATAATTAATAACCATACCAGCAACTGCTCGTACGTTTTCTTAGTTGTTTGTCGGCATGTCATGGGGACTGCGATATCACGCTGCTGTGGCCGGTTCTCACGTTGTCGTTCTGCTATATTTTCCATCACCATCTTTTCAAAGGCCGATTCAAATTCTACATCTTCCACCTAAACAGAAAATTTGTTTTAATATTCTAAAAGTAAAAAAAAAAACAATAAAGCTGCTACCACAACACTTACAGGTGCAGGACGTTTGGATTCTATACTCATATCCACGTTTTGCATTTCACTTTCTTCATTCCCTGCATTTTCTGTGAGGGGATCGTCATCAGAACTTTCCTCGTGAATCGGTGGATTATTATCTGTTTCATCGTCGGTTTCAACTATTGTGTCCAAACCATCCACCATACTATCTTCTCCTTGATCTTCATTTTCATATTCCTCCTCTCCTAATTCAGGATACAAAGTTTGTCTAAGCTCCTCGATCGCGTCCTTGCACTGCTGCCAACTCGAAAATAAAGTCAGTTTCGGTCTTAAACTCGTAAGACACTCTTGATAAATGTATTTTACGTATATTGGAAACTTATTCTCTTCAGTCCAGTATGGGTCAGAATATTTGAACCAATAGTAATTTTGAAAGAACACTATGAAATAATCGAGACGTTTTTTACTAGATCCACTATTGAAGTATGCACCGCAAGTTTCTAGCAATGCACACACTAATCTTATTCGAAACACATTTTCAGGTGGATCCAATGGAGATACATTGCTATGGTCATTAGACACTCCAAATGTTATAAACGAGTACAACACTGTAAAAACATCGCGAGAATCTAACAATTTGTAATTGTAGAGTTCTCCTAAATATCGAACAGTGGCTATCCTTCTTTGGTTATATCTTGGATGAGGGTCTTCCATTGTGAGTCGAACTTCCTCCATAATAGTATCGACGACAGCTGGAGCTACGGCTTCTTGCCACGCCGACAACTCCGCTGTAAGTCTGGCTAACGCACGTCTTGCGCTAGCGCGAACTCTCCAGCCACCGGCTAAATGAAGAATGGCTACTGTGGAAACTTCGGCATCTTCCCAATTTAGTTTTCTCATAAGCCTCAAAATCTTCTCTTCATTGCTCTTTTGCAAATCCTCATGGAGAATTTTTCTTATAAATTGATGCATCGGGGGTTCTTCTTCTTTAGGTTGCGCGGGCGCCTCTGGTGGACAAACATAGTAAAATGCATTTTCAATCTGGGTTACATATCGAGAATCCAACGCTGAGACAGTCTGTAAAGAGAATTGTAATATAATCGAAAACTCAATATATTCATACTATTAAAAAATACTTGCCTTTTTTCGCATCATTTGTTGTAAATATATCATAGTTCTTTGATGGGTATCAGAGTTACAATATAGAAATCTTCCACAGGTTTCAAGTAAATTGCAGGCCATTTCTATATGATGATGTTTAAAGTCATGCAGCAATACTTTTAAACAATACAAAGCTTCCATTTTTGAGTAAAGGTTGAATTTTACCAACTCCCCTATGAATCGCACAACTTTTATCTGAAAATATATGTACAATATTAAGAATTTGAAAATAAATACAGATGCATATTAGATTAAGAGTTCTAAAAGAAAACAACCTTTGATTCAATATTTATCTGATCCTTTTTTCTGACGTGGTATTTAAAATCTTGCTTGAGCATCTGACATAAATCAACACAGACATCTGGCAAGACAGGATACAAAATGGCTGCAAACCGTGAATAGAATGGCAACAAATCTAGCCGTGTCCTGGCAACACTGAACAGTACTCTAGTTAACTTTTTCCTATTGTTCTTAGTATTGTGATTAAGAACAAAATCTACAGCAGCATTGTCAATTAATTCTCGATTAATGCAATTTGGCAGTTCATTCAAAAATGCATCCAAAGCATATCTGAAAATTTGAAATAAATATATTTATAAATTACCTTAATATACATTTTAAAATTGAAATTGTAAATGAATTTATGTATGACATGGATAAAAAAATATTACCTGTTAGACACATTTGATGGCTGTGCCTCCTCTTGTTCTACATCAGGTACTGATGGTATCTCCTCACTATCACTCAAATCATCTTCTTTAATATCTTCATCTAGCATTTCTTCAGTTACTGTTTCTGCTTTATTTTTGACTGCCTAAAATTGTACAAAATTATATTTTTATGTACATTATTTTTTATTAGCAACACATACAGAGAAAAAACTTATTTCAACTAATGTTGCTTACTTCTTTCAATTGATAATTTGGCATAAAAACTTTTAAATCTGGCAGACTTGTATAAAATGTTCGAGTATCTTCATCTTGCCAAGGATCTGAAGCAGCCTGCATTATGTATTCCTCATTACCCCCAATAGTTACTGTTCCCTGAGTTTCCGTTACATTGAGGGTAAGTGTGGGAGGCTCACCAGCTTCTCCAAGCTCTTCACCAAGGACTTCTGCAAAATTCTGTGCCCCCGCTAACAGTTTGTCATATGTGGCCTGCAGAAGAATAGATATATAGAAGGTACAATACATACAGAAATCACAATGATTCACGACTGACACCAAGCCCTTGTCATAATCGTTTCACTGTAAGTAGAAATTTTATGAATATTTTTTAGTAAAATAAAAAAAAAAATTAACTTTAAACCCCAATCCTATAATTTAGAAGTAGTATCATCTTATTTTATGGTAGATTCCTAGTGGATTAAAGATGAAAACTATACTCCTAGTTTTTAGTTAAAATCCACAAAGAATTTTAAAATTTTCAATATTATTAAAATAAGTTGTTGTATTGAGATTATTCTGTATACAATATGCATTCTGGGATACTGACCTGATGTTGTTCCAACTGATCTTTTCTTTCTTGAGAGAGTTCACCTCGGGTATGCAAAGTCCTCTGGTTAGCTGTATGAAGAGCTTGCAACTGTGCTCTTTCCGTTAGTAAATGCTTAACAAGTGAGGCAAAATAGTCCTTAAGCAGTGAGCGGACTGCTGCTTGCTTCTCAGCAGGGAGAAATGCATTTCTAGGAATTGTTATGTTGTATTTCTGAAAAAATTCAAACCATAATTTTTATCATTCTATTTTAGTTTACATTATTATACAAGTTTGTTCCAGTGTTAGTCTACCTCAGCAGTATCCTTGATTTTCTTAGGAACCAAACCAGCATAGTCTTCACCACAATGTTTACAAAATGAAAGTAGTATAGGTATATTATTATGATCCTCTTTGTCCATATTAATAAGTACTGTGAGGACATTTCCCAGTAGTGGCAGTCCAGTCTTATTTGTAAATATTCCAACGGATACTAACTCAGCATAGAATCTTAAGTCAACTCGTAACTTCGATGAATTCGCTATTTTGTCTGTAGCTTTAAAAGTAAGAATTTTTTGCCAGTTTTCAAAAAAGAAAGACGAAAATTCAGTGTATGTACGATGGAGTGCAGAACACAAATTGATTGCAGCTGATATGTCAGACATTTTAAGTTTTGCCTCAGCTAGAGCTGCCGCTACTTCTGATATGTATTTTGTAAGGTTAAGGGTATTTAAGTCTTTTGTTAAAGTATCTAATTGGGAGCTACTGAAAGATTTAAGTTTTTTAACAAATGTTGTGTTTTTCTTTAATCCCGAGTCTAATTTTGAAAAATAATTATCTGGTGGTCGTGTACAATTCAGGTTTAAGGTTCTCAGATCCGATTTATTTTTAATTCTGCATTCCAGTTGAGATATATACTCAGAGAGGTTCAAGCGTTCACTTTCTTCTGCGCTCTCAGACGAGTTCTCAGGCAATTGACTATCGCCGTTAGCTTCTGCATCTTGCTCATTTGAAGTCATGATCTTGATTAACAAAACGTACACCACGTAGAGAAGACTAACAAAAGTTAAATTAAACACAATACATTTATGATACTAGTTATCAATACCATCGATCAATAAAAGTCTATGTGAAAATTTACAATTTTTTTCTAATTATTGTAAAATTTTATCACAGATAATATGATTTTGGTGACATCACTATTCTTAACCTAATGACAGAATATTGAATAATATAGATAATAATATTGTTGGACATATATTGAAGTTTTTGTAGTGAGTAATAGAGGTGTTTAAATAAAGCACTTTAACGGTTTAAAACGCGATATATTAGTTAAACTTATTTGGAAATTATTTTTAACTTCGGCCCCCGCGACCACGGCTGCTGCAAAGCATCCGAAACGTCGGGCCGAAGTTAAAAATCATTTCCAAATAAGTTTAACTAATATATCGCGTTTTAAACCGTTAAAGTGTACTACTCGCGTTAACTATAGACAGTATTTAATAGAGGTGTTCTTTAATAATTAAATTATAAAACATATGTGAATGTACAACGTGTACCTATCAAAAGTTACCGAACTTTTTAATTAATCGGTACAATAATGATCAATATCTATGGTATAATCAGCTGAATCCATTCATCGATGTCTTCGATGACTAAGTCATAGAAAACCACACTTGTTTACTATTTTAAGTATTTTTATGATGAGCACAAAAATAAGGAAACATAAGCCATACACATAATAATATATAAAAAAGCTGTAAGTAATATCATAAAATGTGTGGTATTATGTGTAACATTTTCTTCACTACATGTGATAACGATTTTGCTAGGGTAAGGAAAAAAATAATTATTATAAGTTTAATAATATTAACTATAACTTTAAAGTTATTTAATACATCTCTTTTAGGACAACAAGCTTTTACAGCGTATTAGCAATAGAGGGCCTGACTGTATTCATTCAATTTCCTATAAGATAAGTGATACATTATCATTAACTTTTTGTGGTGCCGTTCTTTGGACCCAGGGATCCAAACCTACAGTACAGCCAGTGGAAAATGATAAAGCTATACTTCTTTTTAATGGTGATGTATACAATCACCATTGGGATAAAAATATCAGTGATACTCAAACTTTAATGAGAAAGTTCAATGATGTTAGTATGTATTTTTATCATAAGATAGCAATTACTCTTAATAATTTTACTTATATACGAAAATAACATGTTTAGTAATATATTTTTCAGTGTAACTCTAGTCAGGATGTAATTAATGTAATTCATTCACTCAAAGGACCATTTTCTATTATATATTTTGAGAAGACATTAAAAATACTATATTTTACAAGGGATAGGCTTGGCAGAGTAAGCTTGCTGCTGCACAGATCGAAAAAGAGCATAACAATCAGCAGTGTACTGGGTATGATACTGATCAACAATCAGTAGGTAAAATAATTAATCTTTAATGTTGAATTTTATCTTGTGATGCTACTATGTATATCTGTACTTAGGGAGGAAGTATCCATGTATTGAGATACCTGCATTCAACATTTACAAGTTAGATATAGAAAATGGAATAATTTCACAATTTTCATGGGATTGTCAATCATTTGAAAGCTACAATCTTGATGACTGGATACAAATGATACAAAATCAACAAGATTTACCTGATGAAGAAAATATTTTTTCTGTTGAAGACACATTCGATTTAAGAGATGATGTAAGTTATATTTGTAATCTTTGTTTAGTCCTTAATTTATTCAGTAACAATTCATATGTAAACAATACATTTTATAGGTACATATAGTAGATTACATTAATGAAGTATCAGGAGCTAAGAAATGTAAACAGGTAATATTAAAAACACTCTTGTCTCATGAAACCATTGGGAAAGTAGTGGAGACTTTATTACATCTTCTTGAAAAAAGTATTAAAACTCGCATAGAAACCCAACCAAATAAATGCAAAGATTGTTTGAGTAAAAAGGGTGAATGCAAGCATTGCGCTGTCGGCATTTTATTCTCTGGAGGTATAGACTGTACAATCTTAGCACGTTTAGCAGATAAATATGTGCCGATAAGCCAACCTATTGATTTAATTAATGTTGCTTTCAAAACTGAAAGTGTATCTTACGAAGTACCTGACAGAATTACTGGCAGGCAGTCGTACAATGAGCTAAGGAGTGTTTGTCCTTCCAGGTAATATATAAACATTATAATTCCTAGTGACTAGAAACTGTGATGTTTGTATCACCATTAACTAAATAGTATTTACTTTATAAATTCTTTACAGACAGTGGGTATTCCGTGAAGTTAATGTGGACAAGAAAGATTTAGAATTGTGTCAATCTGCAATAATAGCTGATCTTGTTTATCCTCGAAGAACTATATTGGATGAAAGCTTAGGATCAGCTCTGTGGTATGCAGCAGGAGCACAACACAGTAATGATGTGTCACCATGCAGAGTAAGTTCTCCTACACTATCATACTCCCAAATATTTGGCAATTTGATTTGTTAGACTTTTTTAAATTAAATTAGTTAACCTTTTATTAGTTGAGTTTGTATGAACTATAACAATAATATAAATCTAACTTTTTTCAGATACTTTTACTTGGATCTGGAGCAGATGAATTATTTGGCGGATACAGTAGACATAGAAATGCTTTTAAACGTAAAGGATGGCCTGGCTTAGCTGCAGAATTGACGTTAGATTGGAACCGTATATCGTATAGAAATCTAGCTAGGGACAATAGAGTAATTTGTGACCATGGTAGAATACCAAGATTACCATATTTAGATGAAGAGTTTTCTACCTATGTCCTAAATCTGAAACCTTGGCTTAAGTAAGAAGCTGTGTATAATATTATGTACAATGCTTTAAGTTTACATTTTTTTTATCAGTTTTAAAACGCAGGCTAATACTATTAGCCACTTATCACATGTGTAAACTACAGAATCATCTGAATTGTTACAGGTGTTTTCCTACTGAAAATTTAGGAATAGGAGTTGGTGATAAGTTGATGTTAAGACTGTTAGCAATGCATCTTGGATTGACAGACGTAGCATTATTGCCTAAACGTGCTCTTCAATTTGGAAGCAGGATAGCAAATAAGAAGGAAAAAGGAAAAGATATTTCAAAACACATGCAATAAATATACATCATTATAATTGTTTTTTCTTTTATTTGAGCTTGGCCTACATTTAAAAAACAAAATTATTTACTAAAAATCTAAAACTATGTTTGGCTCATTAACTTTTTTATTTATATCTTGTCTGTTAAACCACTATTGCAATAGGCCATCTTGATTTAAAAAATATAATACTTTATTATCTATAAATAAAAAAGAAAATTTGTGTTCACCCAGCAATCTGTGGGTGTCAAAATATATTTAGTCTGTGGGCTGTCATTGTTAAATAACAATAAATGATAATTGTCGGATTTGAGATTAGAAGTCAAAAATAAATTGAAAATGGCTGCGAACCGTCGAAAGCAAGACGACAAAAATTTAGAAATTTTACGTGAACTCATTTCACAAAATGGTAATAAATATTGCTTAGATTGTAATCAAAGGGGCCCCACTTACGTTAATACTACAATTGGGTCCTTCGTTTGTTCAAAATGCTCCGGAATGTTGTAAGTATTGTTATCTGCGTACTATTCATAAATTAGATCAACAAACAAAGTATGTAATCATGTTTTTCTAGACGTGGTTTAACTCCACCTCATCGTGTAAAATCTATATCCATGGCGACGTTTACTCCGGAGGAAATCGAGTTTGTTAGAGTAAGAGGAAATGATTACTGCAGACGCGTATGGCTTGGCCTATACGAAGGTGAAAGTGTGAACTACACGGATGAACAACGCGTTAGAGATTTCATGTCGGATAAATATGAAAAGAAGCAATATTATCTTGAATCAGCACCAAACAATGCGCCTGTTGTAAACGGTACCTCTTCACAAAGAACCAAAATTAAACAAAAATCGAATACTACAACTGTTCCTGCGCCGTTGATTGCGATATCGCCGCAAACGTACAAAAGTTCTAGTAACAACAATATTATAAATTCAGCAAAGATGATGTCTACTTTGTCCTCTGGTCAAGAAGTCTCCCATAAAGTAGCAAGGCCTGCCAACAATCTAATTCCATCCATGGTTAATGGCTTTACTATGCCAACCGCTGCACCCATGCCACCACCAGTACCCGAGTAAGTAATTAATAATTTACCAATTGTTACTCTAACATTTCGCCATTTTTTAAGAACAAGATTAATCATGTTTACTTTGTTACAGTTTTCCAGTTGATTTTTCTACTGCAAATATTTACAATAGCGCACAAAATAGCTCTCTTAGTAGCAACACAAACAATAATATTGGTAGCAGATATACACCTACAGCAACACCATCCTTTGAGAGCTTTAATGCAGCAAATAATACTTCAAGTAAGGGTTTTTTTTTAAATGTTAAGGTTTCTATTAAGTTTGCATGGTAGCTTAATATCTGGAACACACAATTTTGAGATGGTTTATCATACAGTAAAGTACACATATTCCTCGAGGTACTTTATCTTTTTTTGGTTTACAGATGACCGCTATGCAGCATTAGCGGACCTTGACTTAGTTTTTAGACAACAAAAGACTTTGGGTGAGTGTTACTCTTAGAACATATGAAATCCCCAGCTATACTGTTAATATGAGATTAACTTAAATTATAAATGTAACATATTATATTACATATCAATGTCATTTTTAATGTTTTAAGCTATATTAGAGCTTAAAATATCATAAATATAAGGGAGTACCTTATTTACTATATTTATTTATTAAAATACCAGTGCTGCCAGACTTAACACATTTTTAATATAATGAGTCTGGGGTGGTTCAGAGGCAAAATTTCATTAAAATAAGCCAAGTAGTTTAGGTGCATGAATTCTTTTTTGAATGAACAATAACTTACTTGATATTAGATATCACACTAGATAAAATATATATATAACTAGTGGCCCTGTCCCGGCTTCGCACGGATAGACATAATTAAGTACATTAGAATCACTAAATTAGAAAAAAAATGTATTGCGCGTCCTGTCTATTAACGACCGTGCTCTATCTCGCTGGTTCAGGAGCCGCTGCGAGCGTTCAGTGTTAGTGTCCCGTGCACGCGTTAAAACGTGCTAAACTAAACTAAGTAACTTTGAAAAAACTTTTTAAAACCACAAAGATGTTTAAAAAAAATCGAAAATTCAATGTCGTTTGCGCCCACTGCGTAAGGAGCCCACTGCCCTGCTATCGGCGAATTAGTTACTCAATGCGCGGCGTGTATTTTTATTTCTTGATATCTTTTAAATGGCATGTGCGATTTCAATAATTAAAAAAGTAATCATCAGGTATTGAGACAGTCATGAATTAAATACTGTCTATAGTCTCCCCGTGACCACGGCTGCTGCAAAGCATCCGAAACGTCGGGCCGAATTTAAAAATAATTTTCAAATAAGTTTAACTAATATATCGCGTTTTAAACCGTTTAAGTGTTTTATTTGAATCAGTCATGAATTTTTTATTTGGATAAAAATTTATAAACGGTATAGATAACACGGTCTGATTTTCATCGGCATTTCTATACGACGAAACTGCAATAGTTAGACACTCGCGATGTTTTTTGTAGATATTGATATATTCTATAATATTGTCGAACATTTTTCTGTCCTATCATTAATACTTTTCGCAGCGTATGCAAAGAAAGACATTTTACGGCTATTTTTTTACGCCTTCCGTTACATTCAAAAATACAAATCTTTCCTCTTTATAATATTAGTATAGATAATATATATACTTCTGCTGTAATGAGATTTCTCTTCTTTACAGAAGAAAATGTGTCCAGTAAGAATCCATTCCAAAGTGCAACAAGTGACGCATTGAGCACAAAAAATCCGTTTTTTAATGGCAGCTGGAGTACAACAACTGCACCTGTTTCTGTTAATCCATTTATGGTAATTATCCTTTGATATTATATAACACAGCCACGAAACAATATACATTGTTCACATTCCGCATTAACTGATACTTGAAAAACTACAGTTATATTTTATTTTAATATTTATAGTCGTCCAGCAACGGGAACTTTGTCAACTCCAAAAATCCCTTTCTTTGATAGCAACGTACAACCAAGGAAATGAAGAACAAATCTACGTAACAAAAGCACAAAACTGCTACAAATTTATAGTTGTGTAATATTTTGTTAAATGACATAATATATATTTATTCTAAGCATTTACATTTTGCCATAGTGCTTATTGTAAAGGTTGTAACTTAAGTGCCTCAATCTGCCTTACATGTTCAGATCTTATATATATATTTTTTGTATGGCTTGTTAATTGTATGGGCTGTTAAAGTAGAATATAAAATGCTCTAGTATTTGAAATGTATGGATTTACATTATAGATAGAATGAAATGTTTAGATATCAATAGAATTCGGTCTGAGCTTTATTAATTGTAGTTAATTTTAGTGTCAGCAAAATCTTAGTCATTTTTATTGGCACAGTGTATATAGGGGCTTATTTAGCAAATGAAGCCTTGAAATTTTGTTAGAATGACTTGATGAATTTCTGAGTAGTATGAATGGGGCCATTGTTAGTTCGCTACTTATACATATGTGATTGATTAGTGTCATGGAAGCGTGGTACCTGAACTGAAGACAGACAAATATAAAAAAGTAAATTACTTTCTTGAGATTAAATATTTAGAAATTTTAGATTACTCTGGTGACGCTTTCAATTCATATGGATTATTTTGTGTATCTAAGTCCTTAAATAACAATCAAAATACTCACCTTTATATGTATGGTGTTTATTCTAGACGGAAACTATATTTGCTTTAGAGTAATTTACTGTACAAATAAATAACATGACATATTTCTAAATTAGCACAAATTCGTTTAATACGTAATCATTTAAGACAAATTCAATAACGAGATGATAAAGAAGAGAGGCTAATTAAACCAAGTATAGTATTGATTTTATAATTTTGTTTTTACAATCTCATTATGCTATGACATTGGTTTTATAAATATATTTTAAAATTAGCTTTAAAACAATGAAATCCTCTCATATGCTATTTTTATCTGTGATTGTAACCAGTAACAATATGTTGTGTGAGCTTGTTATCAATGTTCTTACTGCACTTTACTATTTATTTAGATGTAACTAATTTTTACTCTGGAGCACTGAGATCTGTTAATTTTTAAAGATGTAAAAATAAATAAATGAAATATTAAACTATTGCTTTTACTTGTACCAAATGTACCAGCGTTTAAAAGCAGGAGACACGTTAATAAAACTTTTTAAAATACACTTATTTATTACTTATCTCAAATTAAATTAATTATTATATACAGATAAAAAAAGGTCACATTTTACCTCTGCTCTTGGTCTTGAAGGTTGGGGTAGAAAAATTTTCAGGTGTATTAGGACTGCAAAAGATTTTAGAGTCGGTGATAGATGGTGAAGCTAGTTTAATAGCTTCAGGTAAGTCTGGTAAGCTAGCAGGTTTAGATGATGACGCTTGTAAACGTTTTTCAGATATAGCCTTCAGTATATTTTTTCCGGCCTCCTTTGTCTGAAAGAAAAAATAGGCAACGGACTTAATAAGTTGTAACTAGTTTAATAACAATTATGTTCTCTTAAGTTTTATCATACAGACAAAATAACTTACACTATCATACTCCAAGCATTTATAAGCATAGTGAGAGGCATGATCAAGTAAAGTGAATCTTAAATAATATTGAGCCAGGTATCGTAAAGCAGCTGGCATCTCCTTGCTTGGATGATTGGCTGGATCCTGACATGCTGCTGTATATGCAGCTGCTGCACTATTTGGCATGTTAGATTTTTCATATAATCTAAAAATATATATGATGCAGATTATGAAATGGAAAACACATTATTCCAGACACACATTGAAAATGATTGCCACAAGTGACCACGGCTGGTGCAAAGCATCCGAAACGTCCGGCCGAAGTTAAAAATCATTTTCAAATAATTTTAACTAATATATCGCGTTTTAAACCGTTAAAGTGTTTTATTTAAATTGCTACAAGTTGATAGAAAATGTAGTGTTTTAAAATAAAAAAATATATATTTGTCACAAGTAATGCTGCCTTGCTTTACAAACCACCTACTTTGCTAATTTAAAAAGCGCAGTTCCTTCAATGTCCCCAGTGCTATGAGCTTTATAATAACACTTAAGGGCATTAGGTATTTTATCCATCTTTTCATAAGCTTCCCCAAGTGACACAAGCATTCTTGAATCATCAGGCTTAAGTTGTGCTGCTCTAGAGTAGTAATAGATGCAGTAACCATTTAATCCTATCATTTCATATGCCTGGCCAAGCCCATTCCATGCTCTGTAGTCATTTCTATTTACTTCTAAAATATAAAAAAAAACAAACTTTATGTATATAGCTTAATTTTTAAATAAGGATTTTCAATTACTTTACTTACCAATTGCCTGTCTATAACATTGTATAGCTGCATTGGAATTCTGTAATTCAATAAATTCATGCCCTATCAGAATCCAGCCTGATAAATAGTGTGGGTCTAAAGACAGTGCCCTTTGAAAGTAAATAACTGCTTTATGATGTTCCCTTCTTAAACTGTAATAATTGCCTAAAAATTATAGATTTATATGTAAAGTTAAAGCTTATAATCACAGTAACCAATAATATGGTGACTAATAAAAATATAATTTCATTTGATTTTTTTATTAAAGAAGTTGAGATAGAGTCATTAAACAAAAATTACCTATAACACAACAAGTTTCAACTCTGTACTTATCAATGGCAGCAGCTTTTTGAGCAAGATTTGCAAGTTCCATCCTTTTGTCTTTCAAGAATAACAAATGTGAATAGACATCCCAGTTGTCCAGTCTGTAAGGGTCACTTTGATAGAGTTCTCGGAATAGAGCAAGAGAGGAGTCTACATCTAAAACAATATTCTTTATATTAATATAAATTTTGATAGAGTGTAGCTTTATTATCAGACAATACATAAAGCTAACATATATACCTCGAACATCATGGTGAGCTATAGCCATTTGTGCAGTGATGTATGTACTCTTTTCAAAGCCAGCAGCTACAAGAGCTGTGTATACCTCTAGCGCTTGTTCTGATAACTTCAGTTCAACAAAAGCATGGGCTACAAATAAGAACATCATCCAGTGGTTAGGATACTGCAAAGCATCCAATGCTTCATATTCATTTGCAACACCAGCTAATTCCACCCACGCACACCATAATGTCGGTCTTAAAGCAATAGCAGATTGCAAAACTGATACTGCCTGGCTTCTTAAATCCAATTTCTTTAATACAACACCTTCTAAGTAGAGCAGGTAACCATCATTGCTATTTTGATTTGTCTAAAATGTATAAGTTATTATTTAAAGGATTTGTAAAACTGGTATAGAATCTATATACATATGTGGGAGTCATATGTATATAGATTCTATACTTGTTTTACATATACAGTGTAAACCCCCTTTAACCCCCCCCTATCAAACTCTCTTTTGTCAATTGTTTTTGTAGCTTGTTTTTCGCATATTTTTCCATTTAGTACTGAAAACTATCTATAATGGCACTAGAATGCACAGTCCCTTCGGTGTCGCTATATAGAGTTTACACTGTATTTTTTATATATAATCTAAGTACTTATTATTTTTTTACCTTAAAATATGATAACAAATCTAGCAAGATTTGTGTAGATTCCGGGTTCTCAGCACCCATGTCAGTTGCATTATCTAATCTCTTCTTTTCACTGGACATATACTGACTGTATCTATGTAGGAAGATGCACTTAGAACTTGTACAGTTTTCAACAAAGTGTGCAGCTCGATCATACTCTTGGCAGTCAAAGTACGATTTGGACAGTACATAGGCTTCACGCTCTTCTTTTATAATTCCCTCATAGGGATTGTGTGCTTCTGGGTATTCAATTTTGTGATCTTTTAAGGCATAATTCAGCTCGGATAACCATTTAACAGTCTGAATTAAGCCGCGATCACTACATTCTTGGATTTCTTGTAAAATATCCAATCTAACTTGGTTAAAATCAATTTGTATATCACTTTTCAACATGTTGTGATAATTATTAAAATTAAGTACACAAGTCATTCAAACTAAATAAAAATCTTTGTTACTTGATAATGAATAAGTGATTTTAGTTGTGTTATTTCAGTTGTTTCATTTACTAATGGATTAATCTGTATAGTTTTGTCCAAGTTTTTAATAATTTCTTCAAAAATGATAACGAGTAACGGGTACCAAGTAACAACAAATGTTGACATTAGTTAACTTATAATATTGTTATACTTATATAGCCTATGGTTCAATGACATTTCATGCATTTATAAACCATTTCTGTCACTGACGCCAAAATATATTTTTGTCTTCTTCTTCGTTTGAAAGCTTTCCCATTATAAATGGACTCTAATGGGCAAAATATATTTACTAATATTAAAAGATTATTTCTGATTATTACCTGTGTCATCTATCACATAATGAATGTCTTGTTTAATTTAAAAAAAATATTGTTTGAATATTATACATATACATGGCATTGACAGAATCAATTTAGAAAGGGACAGCTATCGAAATATGAAGTAAAAGAAGAAGAAGAATATTCTTTCCGTGTTCTCGTTACGTCATCGATTTAAAAAAAAACATCGATGTCATAATCGAAAGCTCAACGCCGATGTTCGATATTTATTGAAAACCGAACATCTATGCCAAAATTTATTAAGCAACAGATCAAATTGTTTCCTACCCCAATATTTTTTTATTAATTGACCAAAGAGAAGTAATTTTGGCCATGAGGTTTTTGGTCGTAAGTTGTTGTAAACTTGATGATCGATTAAGTTAACATCGATGTTTTTGCTGTCAATATCAACGATCATCGAATATCGGTGTTTATTGAGTATTCCTAGTTCACACCTGTCATTTTGTATTGTATTCGTTGTAATTGTAGTTTGCCAAAATTACGTTTAATACTTCAGTGTTTTACATTTTTTTAGATAGTTTTTAGGTAAAATAATATAAGGTAGTCATTATTAATTGCATTCTACTAAGGACGACGGCAAATCCATAGTCCCTTTTCCACGGAGTTTTTCCGAGCATGAGACAACCGTTCCGAGCATCAAATACCTAGTTCTTTCTTCTATTTCGCGGTGTTTGATTCTTAGCAACGTAGAATTGCTTTAAGGCACTCAAAGTGCGCACTTCAGTAGACATGGCAGATCCAAAGGCAGAGCAACCTACATCAGATGTAGAAAATAACTATACACCTAGTAATGATCCCAAAAATATGCAAGAAGTAACACAATATGTAAGTTTGAATTACATATTAGTAGTTTTAAATATACTTACTGGCTAGCTAATTGTATTTCTTCCATATATACTTGCAAACACACTTAGCAATGACATAGAAATATAGATTGAATAAATTATCTATATAGATATTTGGGTGAAAAGAAAAGTAATATATGTGAACTGATCACATATCATTTAATTGGTGCCCTAATAGAAAATAAATCTGTAACCTTGTGGATTTATTAAAAAATAATATTTATTCCAGGTACAATCCTTGCTACAAAACATGCAAGATAAATTTCAGAGTATGTCTGATCAAATTATTAATAGAATAGATGAAATGGGTTCACGTGTGGATGAGTTGGAGAAGAATATCACAGATTTGATGACACAGGCTGGAGTTGAAAATGAAAAATAGTTTTATATTTCTTTTTAGCACTACGTTTTTTATTTCTTCAGTTGTAGGTGTATATTTTGCATTAAAGTCTAAAACTACAAAAGCAAAAAATTAAAATATAGTGAGAGACACAAAAGTTCAAACTATTAATTGTGGATTCAATTGGCACAGTGCAACATAGCAATAATATTATTTAGGGTAGACAAACAATTATGTATAAGGATAATATATATTCATAATGCACATTAAATAATACATACTATTTGCTGTAATTCATTAAAACTGAAATATACATAATTTATAAGTTTTTCTTAATGGATTCCATTATATTTTGTCTTCAGACATACCTTCATGACAATATAAGGTTTGGTAACAGGTAAGACTGATTGAACACTAAAATAATGTAACATTTGTCATTAACATATGGTAATATTTGAAAGTACAATACAAAACTGTACTGATATAATCTATTTCTAAATTCAGTTTTAATATATTCATTGCATAATTTTTTTTTTTTGACAGTTGAACCTACCATTCTTCAACTAAATGTATTATGCTATACTAATTACCACAATATGTAAATCTTCACCAAGTGGCACAATACATAATAAATAGGAATCATCTTATCAAGTTTCCAGTCTAAACATAATATACTAAGTCTTACCCAGTTATCTAATATTTATTTTGATTGTTAGATAGTAGATAATTTTTAATTTCAAATACAAATTGAATTTGGTGATAATTCGCTATTTATGCCTATTCCTACTTTCATGGAAATAACTAATTTTTACACCAAAATATTATTAAGATGTCAATAGATAGCAATCTTAAATATAGTGTCACCCTGTGCTATCCCCTCCCTCTGCCGTTATTGAGGGCAAACATCACCAGGAGTTTAATCAATAATTACTTTTTGTATTTTCTTGGCAAATATCCTTATTTTAATCCTTTGTAAAGCTAGTTATTTTAGTGCTAATGATGCTATTACTTTGAGAGAGTATACAAACCATCATTTTCCTGGGCTTAAATGTTCTCGTTTGGAATTCCATGCAGATTTCTAATATCTTTATGAAACCGTACACGGTACACCGACATAAATCTTAATCTTTACTTAAATAATTAACTCGCATCTTGCGTCTAGTATAGCGAACGCTGCCTTACGTTTATTATTTTCAATAATTTATTACACTAACAGACCTCTAACTTATATGAAACAAAAATAATTAAGTAGTTGTCTAGTCCGTCAACAGAGCTAATCTCCTCCGAAACTTAGTTTAGTTCTTTATTTACTATACAATAAATAAATAAAAAAATATACATCTACTCTTTATTGATCAAGTTACTTATATTAAATGTATATTTTTTATTTCGACTCGCTTTCCTCTGTGTAGGTATTTTCTTCTGATTCATCTGTTTCCTGTTAAAGAGTTGAGAGAAGTGTTAAACAATAATATTCATTTAATATATAATTAAAATACATAAGTTTTAATTTATTACCGAGTTCGTATCATCATCTTTAGAAGATGCATGGTTCAGAAGTGCCGCTATTGAACCAGATCTTGCCCTCATGTTTTTATCAGGAGACCGCGAACTCTAAAAAAATCATATACATATTTAGTCCCATAGTTTATGATACATGGCATGCAATCGCTTATTCACAACTGAATATTGATTATTATAATGTAGTGCCGTGTAACGCAGTACCATCCCTTTACGGCGTTACGCATAATAATGTCGTTTGGTAACAAGCATACGTATATTGATTAAACAGTACATTATAATTGAATTATAAGTAAGGCAGACATAATTTTAAGCCATATTTTATTTAATTTACTAACAACGGAATCTTCATCCTTTTTGGGTGAATGTTGAGGGTACATCAAGGACGCTAACGAGGAAGATCGCGCTGATATTCCAACATTGACTCGTGTTTCAGGAGAATGTAGTTTGCGCTTAAAGTCCTACAATATTTTCCAAATCATTATTAGGGAATTTATTTATATATTTCCTATCATGCGTAATACATTACCGTTAGATCCTCTTGACTGGAAAGTCCTGTATTTAACAACTTCAAAGAGAAATATAATTAGAAATATCACAAAAAGGTTATTGGCGTCGTATTTTGTACTAAAGTGCGATAAATGCATTTACAATAACGATCTATTCAAAGTAATCATGCGTAAGAGTTAAAAACGTACCTCCAAATCAGCTGTATCGTTGATGTCACTTATTTGCTTAAAAGCTACAGTCAGCAATTCAACAGCCTTTGCATGAAAAGTCATTTCCACCATTATAAAGTCCGACAATAACCCCTTTAGTTGCTGTAATTTACGTCGCTCGAAGAACTCTGTGAGTTCACTGAGTCCTTTAGCAGTGCGAGACATCTCGGCAGATGCCTTTATAAGTTCCGATTCTGCATAGGTCTATAAAGCAACTTGAAGTATGAAACAAAACGATTTTCGGCGTAAATATTCTAAAGTATATGTTCTTGTACAATGAAAAATCAGGCTATGTATTTAATTATAGTAATCATTAGAACATTGGCACGTGAAAGAAAATAATATGAGACAAACGCGAACCACGACCAAAGCGTTCACCAGATAAAGTATTAAGTTAATGCAGCGATCGTCCATCAATTTCAAGTTAACATAAGTATATAATAATATCGACATTACATACCACTTGTTGTCGGTTAAATGGTTGCCGCTCCCGTGCTCTATCTAGAACCTTTTTTCTTGCCATTTCCTTCTCTCTAACATTCATAGTGTGTTTTAGCTCCTCCTTGGCGTGCTTGCAGATATTTTCATATTGGCAGAGCTCTCCTATTACCTAAAAAGTATAACAATAAAAATTTAATTAAATAAATACATAGTTGCAGTTTCAAAGGCGGTTCGTTAAGTAAGTAAATACCTTAGCTTCTAAACGCTGTACTGCACAGTTTCTATATTCTTCTATAGCTGTTAGGGTTAAAGATAAGTTGCCGAGACCGGCACTTAATGATTTGTTTATAAGCTCGTTATTAGCATAATCTTTAAATAATTTTGCAAGCTCGTCGCCCATATCGCGTAATCTGCAATTATAATATTATCCATTTCTGTTTCTTATAAATTAATTGTGTTTTTACACCTAATACTCCTTCACCGTACTTAGGTGATTTATATAATTATTAATTATGCACATGCGAGTATTTAAATATAGCAAGTAGTGTAAGTATTTCCCTTATAATCATATCATATCATTTAATATTGTAAATCTCCGTCTTCAAGGGAATCTTCCCTTTCAATCATCGCTTTTTATCGATAAGGCCGCCTTTTCTGGATTTTTAAATTAAGTTTTATTTTGTAACATTGTGGTAAAAATAAAGTATTATGGTTGTTTGTTTGTTTGTTATTTAGTTATCGTTAATTATCTACCCGCAGTTAGATATTAATAGCACGTATAAACTTAATAGTTAATAATTATGGTATGAAGAAAAAAGCACCTTGCTGTTTTGCGTGTATAATCACTGAATCCTGCGCATAATTCGCCAAAGTTTTTTTCCACATTAATAATACGATCTAGGATAAACTTTGCTTGTTGTTCGTAGCTTAAAGAATTAGAACTATCGCCTTTAAACATTGTTATACTTTTCCAATAATTAGTACAATTAAGTTTAAATACACGATTCTATTTCATAACTTATTAAAATATATTTAACTGTTTGTTTGGCATTGATATTACTATGGCAACGCGGTTTTGATTTACATAGTATATAGTATACAAGCTTACGGATTACAGAAAAAATCCAGAGTATTGTATAAGTACATGTAGAATAGTTGCATAGTTACAAATTTAAAATTTAAATATTAATAAGAAAGACTACAATTTACAAGGCTGTTACAGCCGCAAAATTACTTTTAACCTAACTTTATAGGGAAACACCTAACAAAACATTGAACAATTGTTAAGCCATTAAATATTTTATACAAAGATATTCTTTCTATATTTAATATTATTATAACACCTAAGTTCTTTCATAAGCAAGACCTGTCAAAATTTTCTTACGTCAATCATGTCGTAATGTCGTCATGACGTAAAGTGATACTTGTCAAAAACAGATGGTTTTTATTAGTTTACAAAATAAGACAGTTTTATGTTAGTTTAAGTGTATAATATTAAAATGAATGAAGAAATTGACGAATATGATATCTATCATCAAGATTTTACTACTGCGTCTGAATGGGAGGTATTCATAGCACGATTAGAAGAAGTTATGCTGGACTGGAAATTAACAAAAACGAAACTTCCTAAGCTCACTCAGGAAAACACAAAGAAATGGTCTACAAGAACAGAAGAAATAAGCCTGCTTGGTTTGGATTTTAGACTTACCTATCACGTTTTAGGCAACGTAAAGGACAATGTAGATGCAGAAAATAATACGGAACAAGATTTATTAAAAGAATTACAAAATGGTATTTGGGACTCCACTACAAAATTTATGGACGACTCTGATGGAAGCGAATTTCCCGTATCAAATTGGTTTGGCCTTAAACGATATATTATGCTTTGTCCCCGGTCACCTCTCGTAGATGGAGGTATTATTAAGTTAGTTATGAGTTCAGTGAATATTGCCTTTGCAAATATTGATTGTGGTGTACCATTTTTTGTTAAAATACGCGAACATTTGCAACATGCATATTTGGGTTTCTATGAAGATAGTGACTTTAAAACTAGCTTTGACACCATACATTTAGAACGAATTTCCAATCAGTGTTCCCACATCAGTGGGCTTGTTGGTATTTTTAAATCAAAAATATCTTCACCAATACCTCTTGATGCAGTTGTTATTTCTGTAAAATTTTCCTACGAACTGAAGTACTCTGAAACCTTTGCTTGGAGGCAAAGGCTGTTATCGAATGAATTTTTATCAATAGATGGTTTCGATGTGAAGAAATTAATTGAAATTCCATTTGGGTTTGATACTAATCCAATAAAGAGTGCGCTACTCAATGCTATATGGCCCCAGTTCAGAGAAAGTGCTATAGTAGACTCTTCTACTTTTTCCGACATTGATCCTTTAATGGCACCAACTTGGACTATAACAATAAAATTCCACAACAATATTTGTGGTCAGTTATCTGATATGATTGACAAAGTTATGCACTTATTAGATAACAGTCAGCTGCTCATGGATATATTAGGATTAAGTAAAAGTTTAGGTATAGTAAATCCTTTGCATAAAATAACTGAAGCTCCTATAACAATTTCAAAATTAGTAAAGGCTGCTATGCGGCAAAATACTACAGTGGGGGAATTCAAGGGGCCTATAGCAGATGATTTGTTGATGACATTGTTGTATTACGTTTTCCCTGATGCTGTTGCTTTGAGTACATTTCCCTATACAGAGGATTTAGATGTTGAGAATAAAAAAGTAAGTAAAAACTTTTTAGTTGTGTTATCTGTCAAAACATATATGAGTATATATGTAACATATCTCTTATTGCTTTCAGGAGAGTAATGATACAAAGCTTTGTAACTATGTTAAAGCAAGTCCAGTTGATGGCTTAGTGTGGCGATTATCTGTGGCATCAGCTAGCCTAATAGTAGCTGGAGGACTCTCTTATCTCGCACACTTTTGGTATGAGTTCACTCAAGAATTGCAATATAGATGGGAACACAAAATACTTATTCCAGGGTAAGTATTGAAATAATTGTTACTATATTGTTTCATGTTGCTTTGCTGCCCATGGATTTCAACTCTTTATAAAACTTGTTTGTGTACAAAAAAAGAAGCAATAAAATCAAATAATTATGTATTTACACATCAATACACTGTAACTTATCTATAGCACCTTCATGGATCTGCTTCTTTTGTGTCTTAATAACACACTACATATGTACATGAATAGATTATACATACATATTTTTAGTTCGACTTCCTTAATACAAATGCTTAAACATAGTATGTTAACACAGTTAGTAAACTGATAGAGGGGAGATTTAAATTTTAACAAAACAATTGCTAAAACTGCAGGGTACAGAGGCATTATAATCCTTTAAGTTCCGTTAAGTCAAGGATTTAAAATTTAAAATAACATGAATGACTTATAGAATACAAATAAGGTCCAACTATTACTTTACTATCTGGACTTAGATAGTACTTGTTATTCATGCTTTACCTTACATAAAAAACACTAAAATAATTAATAATATCACACAAGAGTACATATACTAAATAATGTTGCCTAAATTTAATATAATAGCAACACTTTTCATGAAAGAAATCATTTATATTAGTTAGACGTCCTAGTATATATACAAAATCTGCAAATTGAGCTATGACCACATGACTGTTATGTTTTAGGTTGTCATTTTCTCTATCCTAACTTTTACTCGTGCTGCGTAGACTCAGTTTTCTCTTGAACCATACCCTTGATGAGTTGCACATTTGGGGCAGTCAGAACGTCGGCGTGGGCGAGATTGTGTTTTGCGATTGCACCCAGAATTGCATGCTCCTAGAGTCATTTGTAGCTCAGGCGTATAGGGCTTGTGCCGCAATACTTGTTCCGACGCCGTTATTTTCATTCGCTATAAGGGGACGAGTCCACCACGAGTTGTAGGATTTCGTGCCATGTAAATGTCCATATCGTGATCGGTCCAGTTATCAGATGTGTCACAATAACCCAACCCGAGCGAGCCCACACTGTAGCGACTAGCGGGTCTTGATCGCGACCGGGGTCTTCTTCTAGATCCAGCCGTACCGCTCGTCGCTCCACCGGCAGCACCGCTTAATGATAATCGAGACGCTCGCTCTGACGCTGCTCCCAATGATTGCCGTGATTGTCGAAGATCTGCAAAATATTTAAAGATAATTTTATATGTTCTGTTCTTATAATAATGGTTAAGTATTGAATAATTTATTTGATATTTTCGTATTTGATATAGAATAAAAAGCCAGTAAGAAATGGAAAATTCTGCCTCACCGGTTCTCGATCCTAACAAGCTTCCAGGATACCCAGATGGGCCATAACGGGCAGATTGCGAATAACTATGTTGTGATTGGCCATCGGCTAAAGAGCGCGCCCTACCTGGGCGACCTTGCAAGGTGTCTGGAGCATTTGGTTCAGTAAAAGAGCGTGCCCGAGGAATAGATCGTGCGCTATAAGCCGATACTTGGTCCCACTCACGTTGCTTTCCAAATGCCCCAAGAGTTGTTAATGAAGACAGTGGACCATTTGGACTTGGTGTACCGGTTAAACCTCCACAACAAGGATTTGGCATTTTTTCTGGGGGCTGTGTATGAAGTCGATGTATTGTTCTAGACCGCCTTCGCGAAGCCGCCGCAAAAATGAGTACTGCCACGACGATAGTGCCGCATATAGCAGCACTAGCTGCTATCGTTATCTTATCCATATTCGTGGCAGCTGCAGATACTGTACGTACTTCTCTGCATTGTGAATAGGGTACTGTCTCTGGACTGACGTGAACTTCCTCCAGGGAAATGACGCAAACCACGATACATTCCTGTAAATAGGTTTAATGAAATTATTATAAAAAATTTAAATTATATTATTCTCGTATATAGCAAGTGTCAAACAGTGTACCTGGGATGGAACATTTTTTATTTTAAATTCTCTTTCACTGGCTTCTAGAGGTGGTCCTTGTTTAAAGCTCTTATCACCAAATAATCTGTACACAACTCGAAATCCCAAAATATTTGCAACATCGGAATCCCATTGTATGATAACAGAATTGTCTTGTCTATATGCGTTTTTAACTATAACTTCATTCGAGTCGTCTATTTTAGATTTTTGCTGTGAAAAATTCATAATTAGTGGCGGTCTTTGGTTTGGAGCGTGACGCCAGGTAGGTGCTGCTGTCCTTACTGCTGGTATTGAACTAGTAGTTTTAGCCGTAGATGTCGTAGTCGGAGTAGTCGTTGGGGTGGGAGAAGTCTCATTGCGAATATAACCTATCGTAGTCAATGTTGTCGTAGAAATTGGAGTCGATGAAGCAGTAGAGGTTGTGGATGGTGTTGTGGTTGTAGATCGGACATCAACCACCTTTTTGGTTGTGTTTGGTACTGATTCTAATATTTCGGGCATTTCTTGTTCGCAGACAAGTTCGTTTGGTTCAAAACTGTAAAAACCACGCTCGCGAAAGTGTGGAGGATTGCCGCAAAATTGGGGATTTCTCTCGCGCGATGTTACTTGAAGTTCGCCATTGCGAATCCATTCAATTATCCACCGCAAGCGACAATCACAGTTTAAAAAACGCCCGCCTAAGCTAAGACCTCTTAATGTATGATTAAGGTGAGCTAATGCCTTCTCGGGAACAGTTGGTAGGGGATTACCATCCAAGGCCAACAAGGTTATAAGTGGGTTTTTTGAAAATGCACCGGTAGGTAATTTATTTAACAAATTAAATCCGATATCTAACACTCGTAATTCGGTTAAACTTGCTACTGCTTCTATAGGAAATTCTGGCAAAAGGTTATTAAGAAGACTGAGTGAACTGAGTGTGTTTTTGACCCCTAAAAAGGCGTCGTGCTTTAAATTAACTAGTAAGTTTCTTTCAAGATTTAACGCTGTTAAAGACTCTAATCCTTCAAAAGTCTTAATACCGACTGGTCCTGGTAATTCACGAATGCTATTTTGGGAGAGATCTAAAAATGCTAGATTTTTAAGGCCCCGAACACATTCTGGAACAACCTTTTGTTTGGTACCTTTTAAATTTAGATTTTTCAATGAGTTTTCTAAACCGGCTAGTGCGTATGGCGCTAGTGTTACATTATTATCAGAGAGTTTTAAAGTAGTTAGTTCTTGTAAAGTCGAAAAGGCGTGATTTTCTACGTATGTTATTCGATTCTTTGATATATCGAGTAGGGATAGACTTTTTAATATCTTTAAAGCCTTGGTCGGTATTTCCATTAGTTCATTATCTTGAAGGTTTAAATTTTTTAGAAACGATCCTTGACCCCGGAAAGCATTGTCGTATATTTTTTTTATTCCACAGCCAGATATTTGTAAGTTATGTATGGCAAGGTTTATAAACAGATCATCGGTTAGATCAGTTACAGTCGAGTTATTTATATAAAGTAGGTCTATGGTGATTTTACGAGCGTTCGAGTTTAATGCGAAAAGCAGGGCTGGGAAATCCACCTGAAATTAAAAAAAAAGGAGGAAATAATCACAACTGTACATTTGACACACATTTTGTGTATTTAAAAAGTTGATCTATTAACACTTGAGGCTGAATCGAGAGTAAAGAGTTTTTTACCTATTCGTTTATATTCCTAGTTATTTTTTTTTATATTGTGTAAAATAGGATAATGTTGGAAAAACATTACCAGTAGCTACAATATTATTTTTTACATCGTTTACAATATTAGTTTTAGAAAACATGCCTTATAAGGGAAAAAGTACTAAGTATACCTGATCGCACTGTACGGACAATTGTCGCGCTAAGTTATACGCGCAAATGCACGTTTCCTGCAAGATTGGTGATTCCTTCCACGGGCACTGCCCTTGCGCATGCTCGGCGAGTGTGACTGACAAAACCGTTATTAGCCACGCTTTGATACGGAATTTCGTACGTTTCTCCTGGAAATCAATAGAAATATTAATCTATACTAATATATAAAGCTGAAGAGTTTGTTTGTTTGTTTGCTTGTTTGAACGCGCTAATCTCAGGAACTACGGGTTTCAATTGAAAATTTTTGTGTTGGTTAGAGCATTTATCGAGGAAGGCTATAAAACATTGTGCTATGACAAATAAAAGCGAAGATACAGCGGGAAATGTGATCAAAACGCTGCGAAAACGGTTCAAGTCACCCAAAAAATTTGTTTTGGGGAATTGTTTCCCTTTTAAAAATCCAAAAAAAGGGCCCCCCAAATTTTTTGTTTTTTTTTTTTTTTATTTCCCCAAAAAGGCGGCCCCGCCCCCCGGGCCCGGGGTTCCTTAACAAAAAATTTGATGCCCAAAACAACTATTCTAAGCGGACGAAGACGCTGACACCGCTATTAGGACCAAAATTAATTCGATCTTAATTCGATTGCAAAATGTTTTATGTAGACGTTTGTTTTCATAATTTCTTAGTTGATACCTTTAAACATATAAACAAAAGGAGTTTCAAGGATATAACCGCAAGCAAAGATTAGTTAAATAATTAATATTGTCTGGTGATTTATCGAAAGTTTCACGAAAGTCATTTCGATAACCGCTTTCCTCTTGATCACAGCCGGCTTTCTCGTTACATATAGCATGATGATGTACAGTAATTTTAAATAAAAGAGTGTTAAACTAAAATAACTTAAAAATATTTGTTATTGATATCGTAACGTCGCGAATATTATCACTAATTGACGTTTGTCGTTAAAGAGCGCTAATCCTCACTGACTACCGACGTGGTGGGTCTAAGTTTTCTATATATGCTAGTTTGTTTAATAGTCTCGTGTTACGTAACTATTTGTATATCTAAACTATACAAGAAATGGTTACCATACAACGGCATAATTATACCCAATAGAATGATCTGTAATCAAGCGATGCACGGACCGTTGTAGAGAAGTGCACAGTAGGCTACGACGAAGCAGCCCGGAAAACTAGCTTTCCCTGAGCGTGTATTGCTAAGTACCTACATGTCTGTTGCGCATCGAACCGTACCATCTGAAGTATCCACTACCACGTTAAAAATGCCATTAGTTAGATTTAGGGCTAGGTTATTAGGCTAACTGAACTCGTCTGATATATGACGCTGCTAGAGACAGAGTGACCTAATAACAAAAACATGATTTTCAATAAGAAAATAAAATATATCTTGGATAACAAGGCGTAAATGAATTTAACTATTATTGATGTAAAAATTACGTTAACAATTTTCGATCACAGTGCTCTTGTAGATTAACTTTTCTAGACTATGAAAATATAAATAACTCAAGTCATCAAAATTGCATTTAGGCTATTCTGCCTCTAGTGGCCTCATACCTATATTTTTTAAGTATACAGATATGAACTTTGTTTAGTTTTAAAAACAACCTAACATTCAAATTGGCGTGTAAATCATTTAGTTTGTGTCTGGTTTCTAAATGAATGTGAAAGTTTGGAACTTCTAATTACAACATTATTATTGTATACATTTCTTTTGAGGTTGTGCCGTGGTATGAGACCGTAACACTGGCCTATTTTGGCGAGTTACAATCCGATTTCGCCGTTAACGGTAAACTACGATGGCGACTCGACATACGTTAAGATTTGAGTTTAGGTGGCTGATTCACTTTCGCGTGGCCTTTGTGGAACCTGTTTTCAACTGTATAATAACAAACTCATTCAGCGTATTGTATAAACTTGAATTTGGGGGTTTCATAAAAAAAATATTGTTGCTACCAACTGCTTTCTTATGATTTTATGTTTGGAGTAATTTACATTAATACTAAAAATCTCAGTAAGACACTTCAATTTGAATTAGTTATGTGCTATATCATAATATAATACTCTTAATGTTGTGTTAATACACAAGATAAAACCGATTACACGTGATTATCTATTTTAAATCACAATATATAATACTTACCCAAGTATTAAATAATGATTAACTTGACACATCAGTATTAATCTATTTTACTTTTCGAACTGGTATTATTTTAAAATAAGTTTTCTAAACATACCGTTGAGTGTTGACATACACTGCTTTGTTAAAATTGATTATTTCGTAATACAAACATAATAATCTAGTTCAATAATAACTCGATAGATGGAGACACTTGTTCGTTGAATCACGCAAGTGTTCGTTGTTATAAATGTTATATGAATGATTAAGACTAGCTTTACTTCATCCTTCCCAGGACCAAACGGGGAATGATGATCGGTTTTTCACGCGTCTGCGTGAAGTCCGCCACCGATTTGTTACGACGCATGGCGGGCTAAATGCCTTCTGACCCCTATTTTTAAAATCTTTTTATTAAATAAACTTATAAGAGTGCAAGTTACTGTATTAAGTGTGTGTGATATCCCGTTTCCCCCTCGTGGGGCATGGGGCGAACACATTTCTGTGTCCGTTTCACTGATCCGTTCTTAAACAGGCACGTAGTTAATCAGACTTCTGTGCCCTGTCCGACCGAAACAATTGTTTGTTTCCCTGGGATTCGAACCCAGGACCTGTCGCGCTTAACGTAATGCTAGGCATTACGTTTAACCATTTGGCTACAGAGGCGGTCGGTATATATAATGTATATATAATATTTAATACCTTTCTGCGGACATAGCTTTGAACGACGCGACGATGTGAGCATATACAACTGTAGTTTTACCGTGATGACAACCAACTAACGAGTAGCTATACACATATACATATAGCTTCGCTAGATTTTTATCCAATTCCAGAATCATAAACAACACCTTGTGTTGCGATGGAATTTCATATCAACGTCATATTTTTATCATAATTATGTTTGTTAAACTTTAAACCCTTGGGATGCCTTGCAGCAAATTTACTAGATTATGGATATAATCAATTCTAAGCTTTAGTCCTAAACTCGACTTAACTTAAAGTTGCCTTTCCATGATGAATCAAGATACTAACCAAGATGTCGATTTAAATTTTGACTTTATCAAATCAATATTTATGGATTTACTAGGGAAAACTTTGTCAAATGTGATCAACGGCTTCAATCGGGTGTAAGATAGAATAAGTGGTCATTGACCTCACAAAAAAGGATAGGATCTGACTATAATAGAACAAAGAGTACTGTTGATCTGTTTTTAATGTTGCTTAGGAACATTGATGTCGGCATCAATCAGTAATTGATTATCTTGCTTACCTTGAATTTATCCCGTTAGATGGCGCTGTTAGCAGTAAGAGACAAAATATTGACAATGTATCGATTGTAGATGTATGCTAAAGCAAATATTTCAACATAATAAACAGCTAAGTATTGATTAATTTCGAATTTCCTGATATTAGTCCGGATCACTCCTATTCGCTAATATCCGTAAACGTTTTTTAGACAAATTAAATTACGACTAATTTTGTAATATCTGAAGTAGATTTCCCATTCATTGAAACATTAAATCAATTATTACTACATAAGTTAGGATTTCCGCATGGATTAAATATTTCAGTTTTCCCTGATTATCAGTTTGTCGTTTGATGGACAGTCGATTCAACAAAATCATTAATAGTATATGGAATTATGAAAACCTGTTTATAAACGAGGTTTTTAATAAATCTAAAGCCGAAAGACATTTGTTGTCTTGTTTGCGTGTTACTATAGCAGCTGTTATAAGTAAACGGAAAATGTTAAAAATAAATTAAATTAATAAAAATTAGTGCGCATTCTATTCGTAAAAGCGATGTGTATGCGGTGATGCATAAATGAAGCGGCGCGGGCGCAACTATTGCGGAAACTATTTTTCTCTTCTTTATCAGGAATGACACGTATTTTTCTATTGTTTATATTCTTTATTTTCGGGTTCCTACCATTTTATTTTGAATTACAAGAGCGTTTTTTGTTGGGGATTTTACTCTTTGCTTATGTATATGTATAAAGCTATATTATAAGTAATTTAACTATTTTTACAAACAAAAAGTGTTGTATATTTTAGCAGATTACTCGTTCGACAAAGTTTGACGATAAGGTAAATCGCTTTTATACTATCATGCTGAAACAACTGTACATTCTCATATGCCACTTTAAATACTATATTATTTATTTAATTAGAAAGAACAATAAATTATATATACTTTAGGAAATATCATTTCTTTTGCGAAAGCAGTGCGTTGTGGTGACCGCGATGTCCAGTAGTGCGGGACCAATATTAACGTTGTACTAATAATGCCGCATACATTTTGCTATCTTCTCCATTAAGCGCTTATATTATATAGCTTTTCAAAATTATTTCAATTAACCCCCCTACTACTACTCGTGTAAACAAAAGACATTACTTGTAAAATGCCTCTGTTTAAAAATTCAATATTTGTGTTAGAATACTTTTGCGTCTTGTTCAGTTGTGTCTTGAGTGCGCAGTAAACACAGTTAAGTTCAGCGAGGGCAAAACCATAAGTCAATTGACATTTGATGGGAGCATGATAACAAAACAGAGGCGAGGAACGTTGACATAGTAATGTTTACCGAATGTGTATATATAGGTTAGAGATCTCAAGAAGACTGCGAGATTCTCTTTGCAAAACCAAACGTTTACTATAGACATCTAAATCCTTGGACACTATGTAAAAATTTAACGAACTTTTAAATTTAGAATGTCAATTGTAAACGAAAATTTACTAAAGAGATTGCTTAATGTTACTGCGGCTTATAAATTAACTATTTGGTGTAAAGCGATGTATGGCTAATGACGGTTCGTGCCTTCGATCTCTACCGGGCCCAATATGTTTCTAATAAATTTTCTAAAACATGTTGGTTTGGAATTATAGATATAAAATAGGTTGGAGGAACTGATGAAACAGTCGACGATCTTAATCGCGTTTTGGTTTCAGTCTGTGGATTTCCCAATATCTAGAGCGAAAATAGGTCGATAGCGGTTAATAGTTTGTATGTATAGGGCTGGGATTTTTCACTTTCCAGCAAGTTAACCGCGTGGTTGTCTATCCTCCTCTATCATAGAAAAAGACTCAAAAAGAAAAACACTCAGAATGTAAATAGATTTCTAATCGTTGATGCAAATGACTAAAATGATGTCACATTTCACTTCTCTAGAGAAGCGCACATCATAGTGATAGAAAATAACTTTCTTTCATACACTTGGTGACATGTTGCTGTGAATATTTCTCTACATCCGATATTTCGAAAACCATTTAGCATTGTCTACGACTTTCAAATAGTTACATTCCTAGCTATCTGTATAAGACTAGCTGTGCCCGCGACTTCGTCCATGTTGATTTTTTTGGGTATCAAAATTTGTTTTATGCAATACTCCTTATCTTTATAAATTATATTTGTTACCCACGACGTTGTCCGCATACCGTCGGTCTCGCGAGTTTATCCAAAAAAATATACATAAACTGTCGCGGACAATTTTTTATATCATTTAAAGAAGAATCATTCTCTATACATATTTTTTGGGTACCTTGCCCAAACATCAAGGGGACCTTTTAAAGATGAATCATTTTTCCCGTTTTTCTTATAACCTTCCTTTAACTACCACAAATATGCTTTTTCAATTCGAACCAGTAGTTCCTGAGATTGGCGCGTTCAAACAAACGAACTCTTTAGCTTTATAATATTACTATAGATTAGCCTATTGATAGTTCCCACCGTAGGGGAGAGCCCCAGGGCAGAGGCCCTGAGAAGGTATACAATAAGGAAAGCCTAATTTCTCAGGTTAGGGAAATGCTTGTTAGTAGGTAAACCATATATGTAATGTTCAGTTCTAAGTTTTCTTGCGATATACATGAAAATAATATGTATAAAAGGTACTTATTATTATTTACATAGCTTTTCTAATACATTATTTTTGTACCAAATAAATAGACAGTCCTTTTTTGGCAACGATATAGAAGTAGAAAGTTCTAGTATGTCCTGTTGAACCATTTTAAACATAAAAGGGCAATGACAGATTGAAGTTATGTCAAAATTTACTACGGTTTAATTAAACATGCGAATTAAGATGTGAAGATAACAGAACAAAGAGAGCCGACGAATAGCATTCATCCGGAGTAAACAGTTACCCGGTCCATTGTCTAAGCTTTTACTATACAGGGAAGTGAAATTGGCAAAAAACTACACTTGACAATGGGATGTTCAACAAACGCACCGACATTTCGATCTTACAAGCATTTAAGAAATCTTATTAAAGAAACTGGTAATGTTTCATTTTGTGTCCCATATTTTCTCTCTCACCCATTTACATTTGAATAGGGCCGAAATTTGGTTTTGCCAATATAGGCAAGTTTAAGGCGAACTTTGGCATTAGGCCGTAATATGGTATCACGTCATAAAGAAACAACAGCAAACTAACATTTTTGTAATAAAATGTAAACACCATTCTTATCATATTATTCTTCTAAGATGCATAAATAAAGAATATAAGGAGATAATATGGTAATTATTGTATATAAATAAAGTATCTTGGAAAAAAAATATTTAAATATTATATTTAATTTTAACGACAAGGTTTTTAAATTACTAGAACTACTACTAAAATATAAAACCGCCTAATTTCTTGTTTGCACATCTTTTGTGTACTGGAAAGAAATATTATTTTTTCAGCTGGCTAGCATAGACTATATAATAATTTTAAGTGTTCTAGTAGGTGACATATTAAAAAGAAAGCCTTTTTTAAATACTGTCTATAGTTTACGCGAGTAGTACACATTTAAATAAAACGCTTTAACGGTTTAAAACGCGATATATTAGTTATCGCGTTTTAAACCGTTAAAGTGTTTTATTTAAATAAGTCTTTTTTATTAATAGTTAACTCAACAATTCATTACATATTTTCTTATAATAATGTATAAACCAAATATAAAAAAGTTAGCAATAAAAATAAATAAAGTAAGGAATTTACCATGTTATGCGGATCCTCAATTAGAAAAGCTGTTTTTCACCCACTTAATTTTCACCACGTGTTTTACACTGTCACAACTTATCTATTTAATATAGATTATTTTCATTATAAAACTCGTGGATGGTCACTCCGCTGTACTATTTATGGTGTCGTTGCGCTCGGCTCCATGCCTGACGTGTTAACGGTGTCTATCTTCGACTGGATGTGCGTATGCGATGCTGTTTCCCCACCAATCCGAAGTTCTGACCCATTGATAGCTCGTCCAGCTACGTACGGTAAACAAACGGTTCACCGACCGATTAGGTGCTAAAGAATCTTGAAAAAATTGCTTCACGAACGCCGTCCACCAGAAAGCCGCTCTTGCTATCAATTAGTAATTCAAAACGGTAACGGTTCTGCGAGCGTGGGCGCGGCTATACTTTGCAGAGTTTCTGGGTCACGCTATAGAATGAGAATAAAGATTTTTTCATTTGTTTCGATAGTACGAAGTAAAATGATTTAATGAACCAAAAAAAAAATTCTATTTACAATCAAAGTTAAAATGTTCTTATTTGCATAGTTATACGAAAGAGAAATTTCTTCTTTGCCGTCTTGGGTTCTTTACTCAATCTTTTGAGGTCATATATATATTTCGTTGAATTTCTTGCGCAGTGAAAGTTATAATGACGTTGGTTTTACGCGAATGCAAGTCCACTTGCTATTAGTAATGCTTTTCCGAATATGAAGTCTTTGAAATTGTGCTTTTTTACAGAGTCATTGGCGGTGTACCGAATGCTCGAACGTGTCTACTGCACCAGAAGTTACAGTTATTAAATTGTTGCATCAAACGAGCGCTTGAAAGTTCTAATACTCTGTCAGAGAACTCATCCGAAGAAGAATTTTTTGACTGTTTGGATGATGAAGATGCTGACGACACTGCTTGGAATCGCCCGACTGGAAGACTTAGCCGGCTGGAGAACGCAACATTAAAAAACGGGGCACCGCTTTACATTCCTAAAACGCAGGTAAATTCTTTTCGTTTATTGGAATGCATTTTTAATTTTCTTGACCTAATCGTTATTTGATTTCAGGACCCCGCGCCTAAAACAGAAGATCAGTTAGAAGAAGACGCCGAACTTATGGTGCGACTAGGAGATGATGCTAAAGCTTCTGAGTTAAGAGCGAGAATGATGAGCGCATCCCTATTATCCGACATGGAAGCGTTTAAAGCTGCCAACCCAGGAGCTGAATTATGTGATTTTGTTCGTTGGTATTCGCCGAGGGATTGGAAACCTGATGATGGTGGCAGTTTAGGAGATCGTATGTTGCTGCCTGGAAACCCTTGGATTGAAACTTGGGACGTCGCAAGGCCGGTTTCAGCTGCAAGACAAAGAAGACTTTTTGATGAAACTCGAGAAGCGGAGCAAGTTATACATTTTCTTCGATCGCGATCGGTCTCCGCAGTAGTAGAACTACTACTACCAGCAATACTTAAAGCCGGTGCAATTAAGGCTATAACCGAAGGTGCTGTGGGAACCAACTCATCCATCGGTAGTCTCGATAAAAGAAGAACGTATGAAATTGCAGCAAGAGAACTTTTCGATGCTGAACTGGAAGTGTGTAAATCAAAGTGTGTTCGTAAAGTTCTAGGAAACAGCGTCGAAGGACAGCCTTTGGACGTATCGGGTAGAACTAGAATTTTAAACGCTATGGGGGGAAATTTACCGGCACCCTCTAAAAGAGAATTCATTTTGCGTGTCAAAGATTCGGTGGGCCCTCAGATCATGCGCGCTGCTCTGTCACACGAAATGACTATTGTGGGTGCTTTTACCGAGCGTATTGTTTGTTTGTAAAATAAAATACATAATTTTTATTATATTAAAGTTACCATATTTTAGACGTCAATTATTGCAGCCGAGAGGAGGTGGTGTTAAATATTAAATAATAGTACTAATTATTATTATATTATTCGGCTGCTTTGCTTCGGGACTTGCCGCGGGGTTCGTTTCCAATATGTAAGTAATTCAGTTCCGTGACATAAAAAAAGTTGAGAAGGCAATAAATATTAATTATAAAACAAACTTTAATGAACGTTTACAGACATATCATGCACACGAAACATGCTATTTGAAACGCTGCCTCGCAAGTTTACGTAACCTTTTTCATTCTTCAAGAAATTAGTGGTCGCTAGGGAATTTAGCTATATAAATGGAACATAGATTTTTTATAGACAAGTTATACGAAATTTGTTAATGTTAACTTAAAATGATGTATATGGCTTTACTATTTTATGCGGAAAACACTTGACTGAATCAATAGTAAATGATCATATTATTGTTATTACGGCCTGTTTGCAATGCGTTGCGTCTATTCTAGACTAAATCGTTTTAAAGTAGACGTACACTTTTAGCTGTAAATTTTGAATCTAAGATTAATCTTTTTGAATAAACAGTGTAATACTAATTGTCATTTCTTGTTTTACTATTGCAGAATTATGTTGACTACATTTTATACGAGAGTTAAATAATAAATAAAGTTTCTATATAATTGCTTTTTAATAACTGTAAATTTTCAGAGGTCTTTTAATTCTACAAGGATACTCGAACCAATGCTCTTACACTCCTAATGCTGCGTTCAATTTCATTTTTAATTTTCCTCAATGATAAGTAAGACATTAATCTGGCTTCAATCGTTGTCCAATAATTTGAATATTAACTTCTTCTAATTCTTACATATAATGACGTAAGAATATACAGTTACGCTAGGTGTTGTTTGGTTTGACCTTTGTCAAATTGTATCAGACACGACGTTGATGGAGGAGAATTACTACAACATTTTAACGCCTAGCTGAAATGCACCGCTTGGCGTTAATACCGTATTATGTATGGTTCAGCGGTTGAGTCTTGGCCTTTACCTATCTGATTTAAGCAAGGACAAGCTTCTAAGTATACAACAATATAAAACCAATTACGTATAGTATTTGAGTTGGATGGTACGCATGCGCGTTCCGGCGCGTGCCAAGATCATCGGGATTCGGGATAGCGCTCAGTGGCTTGCCGATTCGCCCGTCTAAACGTTCTTTACTGTACGCGGATACCTTTCAGTTATAGAATATTCTCTCAACAAAATATCTATTCGTTTTTAAACATTTTAAAGTATTCAAGACGACATTAAGTTTGCATCTAATTTATTGAAATGGTTTACTTAATAGTCAAAATTGCTTATGATTTGACATCGTAATAATGTACCTTTACGGATCCTTGTTGTGACATGAAACTAGGGTGGACATTGGTAAAGATTGAAAAGATTTCGATGATAATGTTTTCGGGAGTTGAATAAAATTCGTTTGCGTTTAGTGGCGTTAAAGTCGATTGATTTACTACTTGTTTGCTACAATGTGGGTTTAATGTTTTAGGGTGATGAAAAACAGAATGGATGCTATTTTGTCTGGATATCAGGTAATGCTATATTCTTCTATGATTATGAAAAATGTGAGTAATATGGTAAACTGTGATAAACATTAAAAATTTAGTTTTTATAATTTTCCGGCCTTATAGAAAAGGTTAATATAGTTATAATTTAGGTATTTCATATCTTAGAAAACCTTTATGTTTGCAATTTTGCTTAAAAATGAATAAATTCCGCTACTTCCAACATATTAATAAAGTAACTTTGAATTTAATTATTTTTGTTTCGGTGGCAATTTTCTTAATATTTTTGCAGTTTTATAAATGTAAAAACAATAACAAGCCTTTTTATTTCTTATTTTTACATTAGTTGCTGATAAATAAAACAAATTTTGCTAGTACGATAGTAATTAGTAGAATATGATAGTAATATAAATATAGTTTCTTGAACTTCACAATTACGACTAAACAGGAAAAATAATGCGGTATGGTTTTGTAACATCCAACAGATTCTAATTTATTATTTATGGCGATAAACTAAACAAGTTTTGGTATTCCAAGAACAGATTAACTCTACAATTATTCGAATATAGTTAACACGCCATCTTTACACTGAATATAGAGAGGAGAAAAAGTGTACATTATGATTATTATTTTGATTATTTAAAAAATACACACGAAGTTTAAATTTAAAAAAGTGTAAATCGAGTAAGGTTAGGGCATCCATATGAAATGGCTGTTGCATATTTCATTGAGTACAAACAATCTCGTATTAGACGCACAGCACACATGACTAACCATTCACTCAGATTCGTATAAATTCTTGAGTGGAGGCTCGCTAAGCATGCAAGTATGTTCAATGGAGCGTTGCGGCCCCCATTTCCAGTGGAGGGTTCACACTTCACAGGCCTGAGGAACGTAATTTTTATTACTATGATAGAAAAATGTTTTCACAAGAAAAAAACTATTAATGTCATCTCGTTAGCTTGCCTTACGTTTAAAAATATATTTTTTACTTTAAAGAAAGTATAGGATGTTAAAAATGTATTTTACATTAAAACAATTTGATTAGTTCGTATTTTAAATTACTATTAAACTAGTTATATTAGTGAACTAGCTAAGCTAATACCATACTATAGGTAGTACTATAGCGTACGTATGATGTAAAACAGAATTATTTTATTATTATAATAATTACTTACTTAATTACTTCAGCTTTACATAAATACTTATATAAAGCTGTAGAGTTTATTTGAACGCTCAGGAACTACGTGTTAGAATTGAAAAATTGAATTATTTTTGTGTTGGCTATAGACTATAAAACATCGCCGTGTGACTTATAGAAGCGAAGATACAACGGAAAATGTGAAGAAAACGCGGGAAATTTTCTATCTCTGTGGGTTTCAGTTGCATACGCTGCGAAAACGATTCAAGATACCTGAAAAATATGTATTAAGGAATGATTCCTCTTTAAATGATTTTAAAAAGTCCACGACGCTATATATATATCTTTAAAGGTTTGCAAGAACGACGGGAAGGGACGCGATCGACGTCGTGGGTAAAAGCAAATTTGGATGCTCAAAAAAACGATTCTCGCGGACGAAGTCGCTGACACAGCTAGATCTTAATAAAGGGATAACAACGTACTATAGAAGCATACATAAAAGAAATCAAACACTATTCAAAGCCTAGCTAATAATAAAAACAGTACTACAAAACTTGATAACATTGTTGAGGCTAGTTGGATGTTGACAATAGACTCAATATCTAGGGCATTTCCTTTATTTCTGTTCTGAACCAATACTTTATAGTATAATTTACAAGCTAAACGTTAATCTATAAACAACATGACTATAAAGAAGAATAAAACATTTTAACAATACTTTTCTTTTGATTTAACCTTCTGTAAGTCATTTTTAAAACTATTTATGTGCCATAATACTTTTATTATCCGAAAGCAATCATAAAAATCAACAAGTGTCAGTGTTGTTAGCTGATGAAGTAACAAATTCCCCCTTTTTTAGTGTACAGACTTGACAATGATATAGATTAAATTAAAAATATTTTTAGATTATATAATACTAGCTATGCCAGCGACTTTGTCCGCGAGAATCGTTATTTTGGGCATCCAAATAAGTTTTCGCAAACCCCGTCATCTTTATAAACTTAAGCTGTAAGCCACAACGTCGATCGCGTTCCTTCCCGTCGTTCTTGCAAGTTAATCTTAAAAGATAGACATATCGCGTCGCGGACTTTTTTTTAGATCATTTAAAGGGAAATCATTTTTTCGTACACAACTTTTAGGTATCTTGAACCGTTTTCGCAGCGTACGCATCTGAAACTCACAGAGATGAAATATTTCCCCCGTCTTGTTCACATTTCTCGCTGTATCTTCGCTCCTATTAGTCACATCGCAATGTGTTATAGCCTTTAACCTGTCCCGATAAATCCTCTAACCAACACAAAAAAGATTTTTCAATTTGAACCCGTACTTCCTGAGATTAGCGTGTTCAAACAAACAAACAAACTCTTCAGCTTTATATGTATATTAATATAGATTTAATTTGTCTGTACGGACTTGAACTAGCATCTAAATTTATTTATTTATTTAGAGCAATTAAACCGACAAAAGCCAGTTACATTAATAATTGGAGACACACATATTATTTAAACAATAACAATTAAAAATAGTTTATTACAAATTACATTAGGAGATAATTTCAAAGGCAGACATTTCTAAAACGTTACTTGCTCGACCTACCGTTTATCAACACCCTTTTCGAATTTCTTCAACTCATTAATATATGTTACTCTCGCGCAGTATAATTTTAACCTTTACTTGTAAAATCCCATCATGTCAATAACATGTAAAAGTAAAGTTTTTAAATGTTATAAAACTATTGGGCTTTAGATTAGGTAATTTTGTAAGCGACGTATTTATAATTGACACAAAATTACTATTTAAGTCTCGTCAAGACTCAAAGTCTGCTTATTTTTGTAAAGGCACCGACCAAAAATAATAACGTTCTGCTTAGTTTTACATCATTATAATGTGTTGACGAATATTATTCTACGAGTAACGGTAAATTTTTATGATGTAAACATACCTTGCCGACTCAGTTTCTTCAATATAAGCATAGCGCACATATTTTTCCATGAGCACAGATTTATGTTCGCCGATGTGTCGTCGTGTATTATAGACATATATAGTTTATTGGTATTTAACTAGAAATTGTAAAATACTATATAACCAATACAAGATACAAAAAACAATCCTACTTAAATCTACTCCCATATTTCGAATCGTAGATTAGCAAAATCTTTAGTTTATTTGCATACATGCTTTATTAACCAAAACGATCTCGCAACACACAAAAGCTCATGGGCTGTTGACAGTAGTTGATTTTGGCTCTTTGCCAAGCAAAACGGTATCGTAACAAAAATCTGATGAGGACCCTACACCTACATTTTGGCATGACGTTTGTTTACATTTTCACAATAAATGCATGTATTTCTATATCAGCTAAAATAAATAAATGTTATATACGAGTTAATATATACTTTTTAACACCTTTGGATGTATATATCTACAGTCCGATCAACCATCTCTATCTATATATATATCTACAAAAGTAAATTAACATTATTATATTATGTAGTTTAAGCATGCTTATATAATAAAACATTTTGCCAGTTAAAAATCAATTTACATTTTGCGATTCAAACCGTTGAATTGTTTCTTTTTGTTCAAATTCATATCGTGACGACACACAACGTTTTACGTATCTATATCTATTTGCTTATATTTATTATCTCCTGTATTGGAATTCATGATTGTAATGCAACTTATGTGACAGACTGCGTATGCGTCTTGGACCGGCTATAAAGTCAATGCGCTGCAAATTATGAGTGAAAAATGAAATCGCCTTTTAAACAGCTGCAAAACACTGAATTTTTATTTTGAAACGATGATCGTTCTAGGTCGTACTAAATATCTAAAACATATTCGTTATATACATCTATAATAGTGAAGTAAATATAGAAACTAATATGAACGTCAATAATCTTTAAACGTCTGTAAAGGCGGAAGATGTAAGAATTGCAAAGGCTTCCCTAGACTCAATAGATTTCCAATTGCATTCGGATTGAAGATTGCCGAGGCGAGCATGTGCTCGCTTATGTAAGCTGCGGATATTTTACAATCCCTATGATTAATTTTCTAGTCGTCGTCGCTAAAAAAGGAACCATATTTAGCCTTTCAATACACATTGAATCGAATATGTTTCTAAATAAACCCTGTAATAAAATAAAAAACCCTGAAACTTTATTCAAATAAAGAATAGAGACAAGATGAAAGACAAGCATGAGGTCGATGAAAGACGAAAGACCCCAGTCACCTTACATCTAAATAAAATGCGATGTAGACTTATTTTGGCTAAGACTAGGTCGACAAAAGTAGAATTAATGAACGTAACGTCTTCATTTTATCCCATAGGATCGGAAATGAAGCATACTGAATCATATTCATGGCTATATAAATCGTTGCCTTCTAAAAGCCGATTTAGCTCTACAGAAAGCTCTTTAAGATTAGTAAGGTTATCTAAAAATACTAGACATATATACATCATTTTTGCAGACGCATTTATGGTTGGAAATGTAACTATTTTTATAGGTTTTAGCATCATGTATAAACTACGGCTCGTTGTCTGCTACCATTCAACTGACATACGAGCACGGTAGTTAAAAAAGTTTATTCATTGCTTTGGGCAAATAAACAGGCGTTTTTTTTATATTTTGTAATTGCGTAGACTTAAATTTTACAGAACTGCTCTTTCAAAAACTTAATTCTTTGTTTACATCATAATTTGTAAGGTTCATAAATAGTTGAGTTCAAAAATAATCATCAATGTTTGTTTGAACCGAATAATTTTGGTAAAGCTGGTGCCTTACAATAAGCTGTATATGCTAACTTATTATTTTGGCTTATAATTTGCATGCTAATGCAAATAAGTAATACATACGTTCAGTTATTATTAGAACGCAGTAAAATTACAAAAGTAAATAATGGTCATACCTGAATCTTACATACTCATATTGTTCCTTTTCATATAAAGTAAATACGAAATATATACCAGATATTGTGTATGCATTTTTACATGACGCTTTTTGCAGCGAGGTGAGTGGAGGTGAGCGATGTGGGCTCGGTGGGCTGCGCTCGCGCTGGCATGTTGCGCGTGCGCAGCGCCCGCCGGCCCGCTCTCCGCACCCTCGTCTCTATGTGATACCTTGCAGCTGAAGAAACCCCCACCAACGCCGACGGTAACTATACAACATAATATATACTAGGTTATGTTAAATCAAAATTAAATACTCGTACATATAAACTCGAATTACAGACTGATAATATATTGTGTGTAATTAAAACGAAGGCTTTTAATTAACCTTATGCAACTATTCTAACCTGTTGCTTCTTTGTTTTAAAATATGTTGTTTCTATTTAATCAGCATGTTTTTTATAGAACATACGTGAATATGAGGCTGCCGTAGTCCAGATAGCTCGAGCTCTATCAGAATTAGTGGATCAAGGTGTTGCGGATGAAGGCAGAGCGTCGGCACTAGCTCGGGCGGCAGCAAAGACCCCCCTCCATCCACCACCAGCGGCCGTTGCTCTCGGAGCTCCACAGCTTCACCTCGGAGTATTATACGTATCAGAACCGGGCCACCTTATCGTGTTTCAGCAAAACAATTCTGCAACTCTACAACAGTTTTGGAGGACGCTTGCATCAGCGTGGAACGCTAGTGTCGTCATGTGGTCAAACGCCTGGTTCTCATGTGAAAGGGAACGGGGGTGGTGGGGCGGTATTGCGGCTGCTAGGGGTGCAGGATCGACAAGAGCGGCAGCAGCTCTTTTTAGACATTTACCGAGTTTGCCCTGTGAGGAGTCAATGTATGAATGGTTGGGAGGTGCGCCGTCGTGCGATTTAATGACAACGGAGTGTGAAGCACTGCCTGGGAGCGACGACCATAGATTAGAAGTGAGATTATTTCTCTTAAATTATTATATCATAGATGTCATTAGTTTGCTGTATTAATAAAATTTCCTTTCAGTATCAATGCAAATGTCGATCTGATCATTGGCACTCTGAGGGCGGTGACTGGTTATCGAGCAGTAAAGTCAATGAAATTGGAAAGCTTGTATGCACGCCCTGCGGTTTTGGCAGCAACGCTACCGCTTGTCTCCCAGATTCTTATAAAGCCGCGTTGCTCGCTGCTAATCTAGCGGGCATTCTGCTTTGCCTCATTATTGGTCTTATCATTATCAAGAAAAGAAAATGCAAGGTAATTCATGAATGCAATTTCAAATATAAATTTTGTACAGTTGTGTAGTAGATGAAATTTGAATATATATAATTTGATAGAATCTATAAGAATTGAGGATTGAATCAACTCTCTATTTTTGAATTTGTAGGCTTGAAAATAGAGTCAGACCGAGTTATATTTTCAGTGTGAATTCGTTGGTCGTTGGTAGTCGAGTGTTATAAATATTATACTTTTTTGGCTATTTTCTGGGACTTATAAAAGTTTTTATCGTCGTATATTACCTATACAAGTTTATTTTAAAGTTGTAATAAAGGTTGATCAAGATGACCTCCTTTTTATTTTTGGCCCCAACCAAAAATCTCGAAATCTGGACATTATTTAGATGTTAATACTTAATATTATGTAATAGTAGATATTTCATAGCTTAATTTACTTTCAGGCTGTTGCAATGGGCATGTGGACAGTTTTAGAAGTTATTGTTGTTGGTGCAATGTTTATGTATGGTTCCGTAAGTATACTTACCTACACTTAATGCAGAAAAATATATGCCATTATATTTAAGAGCTGAGTATGAGGTGTAACTGAACAGAAAAAAAGCCTTTGAAATCAATGTAATCTGTCTGTTCGTACACGCTAAACTTCGAAAAAAACTGTATGGATGTACTGATAGAATATTTTTTTTTAAACATATTTAAATTATATTTTTCTAAAAAGAGGCTACTCGAAATTACACAGACGAACTCGCGGGAGACAGGTTGTATTACTTATGTTAAGTGCAAGTGTGCAGTATTTCCATAAAAATATTATTTATAAGAAATTAACCAATAGTATTTTATAGTAGTATTGCATAATATTTACATTTCTAAATTTCTGACAGGCTGCAGTGCAATATATACCAGCAGTACAATGGCGCTGTGTGACGGGCGCTTGGCTACGAGAGTTGGGATTTGTAGCATGTTACGGATCCATAGTACTGAGGCTATGGGTTTTGCTAGCAGAATTCCGTACGAGGAAGGCCCATAGATGGACTCCAAGAGATGCTGAGGTACAGAAACAGCTAATTTTTAATATTATAACAGGGTAAACTTTCGAAACGAAAGTTTTGGGTAATAAAGTGAATTTATTGATCATACTTTTTATAAAACTAACTGAATAAAAAGTTTCATTGCATCATTTTCCTACTTTTCTATTATTATCTTCAATTCATTATTTATTTTTACAAATTTATTTGTAAACTAATTGATTGATTGAAAACTGAGGTGATACATTTATAATACATATTCTAAAACTATTTTCAGGTACTGCGCATTGTAGCGGCCATGTTAATAGGTGCGGGCTGTTATCTAGCTGCCTTTACAGCAATGTCGGCGTGTGAAGATGACGTAGGTGGAGGTTGCGCCCGTACAGCTTGGCATCACGTTACAGCTGGTGCTGAGCTTCTGTTACTTATAGCTGGACTAAGAATAGCCCACGCTGCTAGAAATGCTAATGTGCCATTTCAGGTAAAAGTACTTAACGATATAGATAGCTAAGTTAAAATAACAATAGAAAGAAAAGTAGTGAACGTGATGTAAGAAACCTAAATCAATAATAACAAGATAAAAAGTACTGTTTCAACTACTAAGCGAGAGCGTGACTTTGACCATTGTAGTAATCTTATTGAGAACCCATTGATTTCATGTCATTATGAGATGCAGTAATAAATAAATATCATGTGCTTTTTATCTCGTACTAGATGTTCCCTGCAATGTTATCACGGTTTAAACAGATACTAAATGTATTCTCAGGTTCTTCTTGCCGTCAAAGTCAGTTTGAGCATCTATAAGGAGCTCACTGTAAGCTTAAGCTAAACCTCCGTTTTGCTTAAGACCCGTGGATTTTCGATAAATAAGAGCAATATACAAAAATATGATTATTGAAAAACTTTTTACTATTTGTTACATCAAGTTCCGTGCCCTTCCTATATAATATTTACCGCTCAAATCGGATTCAAACTTTTTGAAGACATGCTTAATCAAACAAACAAACAAACACTACAGATTAAAAAACTATGCATGTAGTAGCACTTTAAAATTTTTCAGTGACAGTGCAATAATTTTGTTTACGTGCTTCACAATATCTCAAGTACTTTTGCTTATCGAATTGTGATCAATGTTGGTCCAACATGAATTAACAGGATCTGATTCTAACCAATTTTGCATAGGCAGTCTTTTAGTTAGAACTTTGACATAATATAATAATATCTAAGAAACGTCTTGTACATTTGGCGTCACTAGTTTCTAATTAAAGGCGATCACTTAATTTGGTTCTCACGTCCAGGAACGTGGTTGGCTAGCTTCAGCTCTATGGATAGAAGGCGCTTGTGGAGTTGCATGGCGTATTGCGGCCATTTCTGGTGCAGCGCCAGAGAGATCACCTCTTGTGGCAGCGGCTCGAGCCCATTTATCATCAGGAGCTGCCCTCGCTTGTGTGTTAGCACCGAGGCTTTGGCATGGATACCGTGCCAGATCCTTAGCGCAGGAAGTTAGTAATTTTAGCTAGGAATTATGGGACCTCCTATTTTAAAAAAGAATATTGCGGGATGTTTTTTTAATTATTTTAAGTAATTTAAACCTCACATTAATATAGCTAAAGCTCTGTATTATCGAAAAAAAAATAACGTTAAATCTATTTTAATACAGGAGAAATATAAATAGAGCACATTTTTGTTAATTCACCTTCTACTGTTTTTTTGTATCGATGGGTGAATGTTCGTTATTTCTTGAAAAATCGCATACAGGTCTCCCGCCGGGGCCCAGCCGAAGGTTTCGGAGTTGAAGGTGAAGAGGAACCTACATCGGAAGAAGTCAGAGCTGAACTTAAAAGGCTGTATGTGCAGCTGGAAATATTACGAAACAAGACTCTGCGCAGAGATAACCCTCACATTAGCAAAAGACGAGGTGGCCGTAAACCTCCTCACAGGCGATTTTCTTTACAAGTACGTACAAGATATACCTAATTAAATATAAAAAGAAATACGAACGAAAGTTAATCACATTATTTTAGTCTTTATATATAAACTGCCAAACAGTAATGTGGAAGAATACGCACTACAAAGTCAAAGTTGCAACATGTATCTGAAAGCCAAAATAGGTTAACAGTGCATCTTGTGTAGATGTTATATGATTAGCCACCTAACATCAGGTGAACTCTAAGCTTGTCTGTCCTCATCTATCATAAAATAACAATTCAGCAATAGTTTTTGTGTCATTATAGTACATATTTAAGAAATTAAAGCTCTTGATTTACTCGAAAATATGTGATTAAATGGATATTCATCGCCCACGCTTGGGACGGGTGGTATCGTCAGTAGAAACTTATGTCATAATTCGAGAGACTAAACTAAATTCTAGGTAACCTTCGTTATTGGATTCTTTCTCTTTCTGGCTCCCAGTTATTTTATATCTATCTGTTCTCTTATTCAAAATGTGTAACATTATTTTGGTTATTGTTTTATTTAATTTTTGACTCCCTTCTTTTGATGTTGTGGTGAAAATAACTTATCTAACCCTATAATTGGTGGTGGTATTTGGACCTATCATAGTCATTGGCATTAATTTAATGTTTCATATTCCATTCCGTCCTACGTAGAAAAAGGGCAGTCGTGAAAAGGTAAGGCGTTAAAGATATATTGCGCACGGAGCACCTGCATGACCGTGGCTAGGCCTTCGCCCTTCCCTATTTTTGGGTATAGCACATCCTATCATTCCCAGCACTTACTTATGCTGTTAAGCCGATATGTGAACGCTTACCCCGAGTGCCGACCAAATAGCATGGAACCGAATTATATTTGGCATCCTCCGTAGCAAACGAGAAAGTACTGGTTACTTATCAATAGAGATGAATATAAACTTAATATCTAAATTGTAAGACACTCTGAATTAAAAAAAAAGTTACTTAGCTATTATTTAAAACTTGTACTACGTAATATATATAAACGCCTACCTAGTACAGGTATTTATATGAACATGTGCCATCATAAATAACAAACACTAGTTAATTATATTTAAAAATGTGTTCAAGCTTTTGTTTCAATGATTCGCTACGATCTTGGTGTGTGTGTTAATGTTTTGCTTAAACTAATACAAGTGGAGTAAGAAGATTATTTTTTACGTACAGAAAAATACTAATGTTGTTTCATTTATAGGCTTTACAAGCTCGGCGTGGCGCCAAGAACAAAGGTGCAGGCATTGAAGTTAGCGAAGCTGGTGATGCGTCAAGAACGCCTGAGGACTCCGTATGTTCTGCTGAAGGTCCCTCCCATTTTACAGACGCCGATACACAGGCGTGATCGCTAAACATATTGTTTGTATGTGCTAATTGAAGACATTTTTAATGTTAAAAATGTTAAAATTTTGATGACCTGGCGTTGCCGTTGGTTTACAAAGTACCAAACCGAGTAACTGTGTCGCCGTTTTAGTTGATATATGCACATTAAAGATAAAAAATAGAATGTAAACGGTTTAAACATTTACAATTTATCACAACTATGACAGGTTGTGTAACTTAAAAAGCATGTTAGATGTCGCCCTTGTGGCCATTAACATTTTTCTATTATTTTTTCTGTATATAAACTTACATGCGCATATAGATGTAAAAATTATATTAATTTAGTATTCTAGTACGTTGATGACAAAACCGCCGATTTGAAATTTTCGGCTTTTAAATGAAGTACACATATAATATTGAACAATAAAAGTAATTTTGCTGAAATAATAAGCAAAAGACAGATTTTATACATTTCTATGTATTAGTCTACGTTATTTTTAAAATGTATATCATTGTATGTTTAATCTATATAAAATATGTGTAGATATAGTCTGGTGTCGTATATCTTGTCTAATATAGGATGTAATACTTCGTTTGCACGATATATCATTCTCTATTACACAAGGTATAGGTTTTTAACTCACCTCTACTTTTTCTGTCGAACTTATCTGTCGACGTTATGTGTAAAAATCTGTTTAGCCTACGTTAAAATCTAGTATCTATGATATATTTTTTACTCGATCTATTATTTTAGACAAGTATAGGCCGGTGGCTGTGTTGTCTACAGCGGCGAAGGTTTTTAAGGCGGCTATCTACCGTAGTTTGTATGAGCAAGTTTCGCCTCAATTATCTGATGCTCAGCATGGTTTTTGTTCGGGTCGTGGGACGTCCACGAATTTGCTCAACCTCGTGAATTATTTATTTCCGACGGTTGATGCTGGGTCGCAAGTCGACGTCGTATACCTCGACTTTAGGAAGGCTTTCGACATTTTGGAAAATGGCGTGGTGTTACAAAAATTGGCACAGTTAGGATGCGCTCCTGGACTTCTTCAGTTCTGGGCATCATATATGAGTGATCGGCAGCAATATGTAGATTATGAGGGCCACCAATCGCAGACATAATTTACCCGGTCTGCAATAAGTCAAGGTTCGAACCTTGGACCTTTCGAGTTTGTCGTCACGATAAATGATTTACCATCAGTAGTAGAGCATAGCAAGTGTTTACTGTAGCAGACGATTTGAAAGTTTTCCTACAGGTCAAAGACGTGGACGATTGCAGATGCTTACAAAGCGATATCCAAAAGATATACAGCTGGAGTCTGCAAAATAAACTACAATTTAACTTAACTAAAAATGCTCTGTGGTTAGTTTTACACGCGCCTGTAAATCTGTTAAATTTGATTATGCCGTAGGGACAACCCGCATACGAAGAGAGACCGAATCGAATCCGGGATCTGGGCGTCTTATTCACGAACGACGTAACGTTCGTGAATAAGACGCCTAGATCCCGGATTAGAAGGATAAGAAACCTTGGTTTTGTCCTACGACAAACCAAGGACTTTACGAATATGGCTGCGGTGCGGGTACTGTATGGCGCATTGGTGCGAAGCCATTTAGATTTTAACTCCTCTTTTTGGGCCCCGGCCGAAGAAAAATACAAAGTTATGTTGGAACGCATCCAAAATAAATTTGTTAGGTATTTGTACCATAAAATGTATGGAGTATATCCATTTTATCCTTTAGTGTATCCGACCCTTTTATATTAGGCATGGTCGGGTTCAATGAATTGAAGGTACGGAGGGAGTTATTCCTAGTAATACATCTGGTAAAAGTATTGCGGGGTCGAGAGTTGAACCCAGGAGTTCTACAGTCCTTACACTTGTCAGTACCGGACTGATACGTGTGGAGGCGATTACGGCCACCGTTACTTGCTGTTATCAATAAGCTGCAAGAGGGGATCGACATTTTTACGTGCAGCTTGGGTGAATTGACAAAAACACTCTATGAAATATGTATATAATAAGTCTATCGCAATGGAATTTTTTTCTGAAATGGTGGAATATGTTTATAGTGAAATAAATAAATAAATTTTGATAAATATATTTCCATTTTCCACGTAAAAAAATATATTTGTGTTTACAGAAATTGATCATTCAATGCGTTGTAATAGTGATATAAATATAATGTATAACATTTTAGATATGGTTATATATTAACTGAGACCGTGCACTAATGTGTTTTCAAATAAAATTAACTTAAGTGTATGTAAAAATAAAAGTTGTTATTCGTAATACTATAGCCAATTGTTGATTTGTTTTATTAACGATATTGTTGTGCTTATTTAATGTGGTAATAAGTGAGAATTATTATGGTAATATTGTAAAATATATAATTCATTGTACAAATAAATAGAAACTGATATAAAACGTTTGCCGTTTTCTTATAATATTTCAGGAATATAGCGATGCTGTGTAATTTTAATATCGTCATGCTAACTTTGAAATTATAGATACCTTTCATCTTAATTGTGTTTATATTTTTTTAAATGTTGTTTTTTTTTAATTTTTTTAGTGTTGGTTTTAATTCTTTTCTTCAACATTAAGAGTAGAATCAGAAATTATTTTATACGAATTCCATATCGATGTCTAGAAGTCCAAAGTTGCGATTTGTGGGACATTTTTTACCATACAAACAGTACAAATTTATTATTGTCTGACCAATACAATCTTGGGATCTTCAAGTCTTCCTCAAGGCTGGTATTGCATTTTCAACATTCCGACGTTAGAAATAAACTTTATCTAGTGATTTGATCTCTTTCAAATCAGGATTACACAATTAATCTTTATGGTTTGCGAAAGCAGTACTCCGACATTGATCTACAAAACAAATCTTGTCAATTATAAGTATTCGATACATGTTGTGATAGTGAAAAACACGATTAAAATCCTTGATGCAAAGATAAACTATATCCTCGAGTTGTGCTTAAAAAAATCTTAAGAAGTGTTTGTTACGAAACTATTGATTTCTTAATATACTAATTTAAATATATTAATTTCCGTAGACATTATGTTCTCTTTTTTAAAGTCGCAAGAAGTCTCGTAAACAAAACAGTACTTGTATGACGTCTTTGTGATATAATACAGTTATTTCTCGGCCATATGAATTCTTAAGAGGGGATATTTACAAATCCTATTATATAAACGCGTAATATCTTGAATTTTGAAATATGACATTATATTATATATTTTATTTTTGACGTTTTTGCTCTACAACTCAACACTACGTGCCTGGCTTGTAGACTCTTGTTTTCGCGAGAGATTTCGTAGCGCGTATGTTAGTCCGGCTTCCTTCTATAATGTAGTAGTAAATATATTTATTTTTATATTTTTATGGACACATTAACAGTTATGAAGGTAGTTACAATAAATGAAAATTCCGTTAGGCAAGGCCAGGTACGTCTCTGATGACTGAATATTATTTACAGGCAAGCAATGGAAACAATATTTTCCTTCCGGAATTAAAACTTCGAACATACACATTAGAGACACGAAATGCAACACAAATAATAACTAGTTTGAATAGGTGTTTTTAAAGACCATGATGTTTATAATAACATGTGACTGATTAGTATAATTGCGACAAAATAAATGTCATGTAATATAATAGTTTCTTTGTTTTATAGTGTCTAGGTTTTCTATAAACTTGTAACATTTTATAAGAGTTAGGCAGTAGACAAAAGTATACCTCTTTAAATCTATATTATTTAGTATCTAAGTAGTTTTTATGTAATAACTAGCTGTGCCCGCGACTTCGTCCGCTGGAATAGTGACTTGGGGTAGAATTTTTAATTATTTAGGCTGTTTATTAATTTAAATAAGGGCGCATTTAAGGTAGCCAATCTATGTTGTAAGTGCTACTTTGCCGCAACACTATCACCTCACATCACTCCTACTCTAACTCCTACTCTCATTCCTACGCTCATTCCCACTCCCATTCCCACTCCCACTCCTATTCTCGCTCCCACTCCTATTTCCAAAAAGGCAAAGAACAAAGTTTCATTGTTTTGGCTTCAGAAACGACAAAATTTCCATACAAACTTTCAATCCCTATCAACGCTTTTTTGGCATTAAAAAGCCTATGTCCTTTCTCAGACTCTAAAATATCTGTGTACCAAATTTCATTTAAATCAGCTCAGTAGTTTTGGAGTTAAAGCCGGACAGACAGACAGACAAACAGATTAACGTTCGCATTTATAATATTAGTATAGATATAGTATTAATAGTGAGTAGTAATAATATAGTAATGCAATATGTAGTTGGTGCACAAAAATGCAGCCAAAAAAGAACGTACTTAAATCAGTCAGCATTGCAGAGACAGCATAAGCGATCTATATAAATCTACCAGCGCGTTTGAAATGTGCTTGGCCGCTCGTTCAACGTAGTGAATACGTTATTAACCAGACGATCCGGTGTGGTTGTCTCAGGCTGTATTTGAACCTCTAACAGGTAAAAATAGCTTTTCATTTTTACTTGATAGATCCCGTTTTACGCTTAGGCTACGATACAAGAGTTAATTTATTGTTGAGGTTAACTTTTGTTCACGTTGCTTAAGTATAATTAGAAAGTAACTTCTTTCCCCATGTGACTTTTAATTCTCACAGATAAGCACGAGAAATAACGAAAAGACTTGTTTCCATTCTTGCTATTAGTAAAATAATAAATACATTTGTAATTTGAAAATTGTTAGTCCTTGCATTGTCCCTTCGAATAAATCTCATATGTATAATTTGGTTGACGTAACAAGCTTTAAGATATGTCACTGAAATATCTTAAAGTGATTTGATAACACAATACAGACTAACAACTCACGGTATATAAGAAACATTTTTTTATCATTCCTCGACGCACTCCCACGAAGACATTAATTTATGATGGTACTAAAAATAGTGTTTCCGTAAGTTATATTTTCAAATTATATATTTTCCCTTGACTATACATTTGGTGCTTTAACTTTTCGTCTATTGAATTGCTAAGACGTATTACTAGATTGCATACTATATACGTCCCCATTATTCCAACGAGATCGACTAAGTGTTAACCAGTATTCCTATTTTATTTAAACTGAGTCACAAAAAAGGTTGTTCTTAGATTTTTTTTTATTTGCAGCCTTTTAATACTCGCTTGGTCGGGTAATGGAAATGCCGTAAAACATAGTGATAGTGCTAGTGAACCGCGGCAGTTTCCTGAACATTTCCGCTTTGGTGCAGCCACTGCTTCGTACCAAATTGAAGGAGCTTGGAACGTTGACGGTAGTATTTTCAATTTTAACTCCACATTAATATCCTTGCCGCGAATTAACCATGACTATTTCACGAAATCTTACTTATTTCAGGTAAAACTGACAGTATCTGGGACCATACATCCCACACCAAGCCTTGCATTGTTGTAAATTGCGAGACAGGAGATGACGCTGCCAAATCATACTACTATTATAAGAGAGACGTCGAGATGATGAGAGAATTGGGACTGGACTATTACAGATTCTCTTTATCATGGCCGAGAATACTTCCGACAAGTTTTCCTCACGTGATCAACGAGGCTGGTGTAAACTATTACAATAATTTAATCAACGAAATGCTAAAGTATAACATTGAACCCATAATTACTTTATACCATTGGGAACTGCCTCAAAAGCTGCAAGACCTAGGTGGATGGGCTAATCCCAAAATAGCTGACTGGTTCGCTGACTACGCCAGAGTAGTTTTCTCTCTATTTGGTGATCGCGTTAATACCTGGTTGACAATAAATGAGCCAAGAGCTGTTTGCTATCAAGGGCATTCTGCAGCCACTAAAGCCCCTAATATAAACATGACTGGGTACGCTGAGTATCTATGCGCTAAGAACTTGTTAGTGGCACACGCCAAAGTATATCATATGTATAATAATGAGTTTAGACGTAGTGGAACAAAAATTGGAGTCGTTTTAAGTGGACATTGGCATGACCCAGAATCTGAGAAAGATAACGAAGCCACGGAAGATGTCAGGCAATTTGAGGTTTTATTTTTATTACGGTCTTTGAATATTATGTACATTAATAGTTTATATTCTAATATTTTACTTATTGCAGTGGGGCCAATACGCACATCCTATTTTCTCAGAGAGCGGTGACTGGCCCGCTGTAATGAAAGAAAAAGTAGCAGCGAAGAGTCTTGAGCAAGGATTCTTTAGTTCTAGACTACCAGAATTTACTCAAGCTGAAATAGATATGATAAAGGGCAGTTCAGATTTCTTCGGTCTAAATCAATATACAACCGCTCTGGTTTATAGAAATGAATCAGTAAATGGCAAGTACCCTGTCCCTTCGTATTATGATGACATTGGTGCAGTTTTGTACCAGCCTGAGGAATGGGAATCTTCGTGGTCTGGAACTACGTGGATGAAGGTAACTACACAATTTATTAAAAAAAAACTCTAACGTTTTAAAACCCGATGCATATTAGTTGATCTTGTTAAAAAAATATTTTAACTACGTCCCGACGTTTCGGATGCTTTGCAGCGGTCGTGGTCGCGGGGAGACTGACGATGGAGGGTTTCTCTGATGTCAAGGTAAAAAACGTCGGGCCGTAGTTAAAATAATTTTAAAACAAGTTTAACAAAAGTATATTGCGTTTTAAACAGTTAAAGTATTTTATTTAAATGTGTACTACTCGCGTAAACTTCAGGCAGTATTTACACGACTCATTATAAATTAATTTAATTTTCTATTCTCGAGAAGAAAAATTAATAAATTCTATAATATATTTTTATTTGAATTATTGAAAGAAATTAGCTTAGTTAGACATTTGAACAGTGCTTAAATTAGCTCTCTATGTATTTAGTTCTAATCAAATATATTTTTCAAGATAGTACCATGGGGTTTCTATAAGTTTTTGACAAAAATTAGAGAAGATTATGGGAACCCACCTGTTTACATACTGGAAAACGGATGCTCGACAGATGTTGGTCTTCAAGATGATGTGAGAGTTAAATGTTTAAAGCTATATTTAGATGCTTTATTGGATGCGATAGATGAAGGATCTGATATCCAAATGTACACTGTGTGGAGCCTTATGGATAACTTCGAGTGGTATGAAGGATATGCGTAAGTACTTTAATTTGAAATCATTATGATTATACTCGTACTCCAACCGTTGTATGGGCCAAATTTTCTGAAAGATATCGTAATTTGACAATATCAGACAAAGTTAAACGAAATCAGTCTTTAGGAGAAATTGATCATCAAGTTTTTATTCTTTTTCGTCTCAAATACTCTTTGACACAATATAAACGGTTGCCGTCGTCAAGTTTAATTTTATCACATAAGGTGAAATTTAAATACAATAAATGTTTCAACTTCAGCCAGGAATGACTATCAGTAGTTAGCTATATTCTATATACACTAGTTAATTATATTTATTTCAGCGATCGCTTTGGCCTTTATGAGGTAGACTATAATGCTGAAGAACGTACTCGTACACCGAGAAAATCTGCTTATTATTACAAAGAGCTTCTGCGTACGCGCACCCTGGATATAAACTACGAACCGGACATGTCTGTTCCGATGACAATTGACGAGGGAAAATAAAAACGAGTTACATTTTTATAATAAATAAACAAACAATTTATTGAAGGCGTATTTTTTTACTCATATGAAACAATGTGTATCTTGATATGATTTCTAAAATAACAAAGTATAAGTCCATGTCAAAAATTATATATATATATGTTACCTTTTACTACTAGATACAGTTATGCACGTTTACATAGATAAAACAACTACTCTAAATTTACATTTAAAAAATCTTTATTAATCATGCTTATGCGAGAAGAGTTGGAAATATGTTTTACAACTTCAAGTAGTCTTTTAGCTACAATATATAATGTTGGCGCAGAAAAGCTCGGGTCTCTGGATTTCCGAATATCACAAGCCAAAATAGATCTTTATTTTTTATGATAGAGGTGCATATAGCATCTAAACAATGCGCTGTCGCCCTATTTTGGCTTTGGCTATTCGGAAATCCACAGAATGAAACCAAAATGCGATTAAGCATCACGGCTTTTTCATTTGTGACGGTGGTTCGTGACCCGGACGGAATTTCAACATTGTTACCATTCATTTAATATTGGGATTTCCAGATGAAATCCGATATGTCAAAAAAAATATAAATTGATTAGAAAAAAAATTGGACCCGGTGGGGTTCGAACCCACGTCACTTTCGAGCGCGTCAAACGTTTTTTTCCTATTTAAAATCACCCCTACGGCTTAAAGTAAGATTACCCCGACACAGCCCAGGCGGTATTTTATTAAACTATAAGAGCAAAAAGAGACTTAGATGGGTTTAAAGTGTTTGTAAAAAAAATCTAATGAAGAAGAAATAAACACCTGGCTTTTGTGTGCCGACATTATATATTGTAGATGAAGTTGTAAAAAATATTTGCAACACTTCTCGCATAAGCATGACATATTCCTTGATAGTGGATTGTTTAGATGTTATATGGAAGTATTTCACCTACCATCAAGTGAATCCCACGCTTATCTGTTCTCATCTATCATTAAAAAAAACAAGTTCGCATAACAAAGCATTTTAAGCGAGCTGGACGAAAACAAAACGAGACATATCCGACCCAATAACAAACGATCAGGGACATTGCTCATCGATATAAATCAAGATAGAGAAATTAATAAATATTAAAAGTATTAACGGCCTTTTATTACTGAGATAAGAACTGAATATTATGTCAACAACCTTGTGACAAACGGTTTTTATTTATAAAGGATTAAATCCACTAAATGTTTCGAATTTATAGTATTTTTGACTAATGTTAAAGAAGTATAAGGCGTGAAACTGAAATATATAGCACAAAGTCTAAGTACTTCCAAGTATCAAAGTGTAGTTATAGATATCACATACTTAATCTAACAAAAGTAAATTTACTATATGTACATGGAAGATTAACAATGCAATCTTAAAACATTGGTAGCCATATGGCTATATTACGTATCCATGGAAGTGTAAAATGTAACTAATTTCGACGAATCCACAAAACACAAAATTAAAAAGGTGAAAAACATGGAAAATCTTGTATTAGGTAAAAGTAGTCCATGATAGCTGAAGGTACATATGGATTGAAGATATTCAACGATGACGTGTAGGACACGGTAGCTCAATTGCTTAGAACAGCAGTACGGAACTCTGTGGGTGCCGATTCAAGTCCAGCCCGTGCCGTAATTGTCAATCTTAACAGATTTTAATTCCAAAAACTACTAGACTGTAGTTTTGGTATTCTAAACTACCGTTTTTGGAATACAATCTCACTGATACACGTACGTCATTTAAGATATGTCAATCACTAATTCTTATCGATTATCTTATTGTATTGTCTATATAAGAATTTAACCCTGTAACTCCTCAAGATTTGCAGTGTTCCATTATGTTACGAGTAACAGTTTTGATGTAAGTTTTTATGAAAACAAAAAAGGGTTTTATTTATATTTTAATAACAATTAACCTTTAAATTTTAGCTTACTCGTGATAACTACGTCAACTAGTGGACGTACCCTAAAACGTGATAGCAGTGGCTTAAGGCAGTTTCCCGATGGCTTCCGTTTTGGCACTGCGACTGCATCTTACCAAGTTGAAGGAGCTTGGAATGTTGATGGTAGCTTGTATAACAAATAATGCAGTATGATAACTAAACATATATATTAATGTTTATATTTGTATTTATAGGTAAGACTGAAAATATTTGGGATCGTTTGAGTCACACAAAACCGTGCGTCATTAATAATTGCGACACAGGTGATGTCGCGGATAACTCATATTACAATTACAAGAGAGACGTCGAGATGATGAGGGAACTAGGATTGGACTTTTATAGATTTTCAATTTCCTGGTCCAGACTACTCCCAACCAGTTTTCCCGATTCCATAAACGATAAAGCAGTTGATTACTATAACAACTTAATTAACGAAATGTTAAAATACAACATTGAGCCGATGGTAACAATATACCATTGGGATTTACCACAAAAACTACAAGATCTCGGTGGATGGACTAACCCCAATATAGTCGACTGGTTTAGTGACTATTCAAGAATTCTTTTTACTTTATTTGGTGATAGAGTAGGTACATGGTTTACTATAAACGAGCCAAGAGAAGTTTGTTATCAAGGCTACGCTGCAAGTTCTAAGGCCCCCAACTTAAATATTACGGGTTATGCTGAATACCATTGTGCAAAAAATTTATTGGTTTCTAATGCAAAAGTTTATCATATGTATCATGATGAGTTTAGTGGAAAAGGCGGCAAAATTGGAATTGTCTTCAGTTCTCGTTGGCTCGAACCTGAATCGAAGGATCACAATGAAGCAGCTAACGACGTTCTACAGTTTGAAGTGGGTATAGTTCTTAACCGAACATTGATTTTATAATCTTGAGTATGATATTTCTTTGGTCATAACTACAATCATATATTACAGTTGGGGCAATACGCCCATCCCATATTTTCCGAAAATGGTGACTGGCCGCAAGTGATGAAGGACTACATATCAGCGAAAAGTGCAGCGCAAGGATTCTACAGATCACGGCTGCCACAGTTTACTGCTGAAGAAGTAGCATTAATTAAAGGCTCGTCCGACTTCTTTGGACTTAACCATTATACAACATCATTGGTCTATAGGAACGAATCTTTAGATGGTCTTTATTCTTCACCTTCTTATTACGATGATATGAATGCTGGTCAATATCAGCCCTCTAATTGGGTTGGTTCGTATCCTGGTACTACGTGGTTAAAGGTACTCTCCCTCGTTAACCCTTTTGATTTTGTTCTGTTGTGTGCCCAAATAATTTTATGCTGTTTAAAAGTTATAGCTTTTTATAAATAAAACGCAATTTTATCAGGTAGTACCTTGGGGCTTCCGCAAACTTTTAAATAAAATCAGAGAGGAGTACGGCAACCCCCCCGTTTATATAACTGAAAATGGTTGTGCAACTGGAGTTGGTTTGATGGACGATAATAGAGTGGCATATTATAAAGCATACTTAGCTTCTATGATGGACGCAATGGACGAAGGATGCGATGTACAGCTTTACACTGCCTGGAGTCTCATGGACAATTTCGAGTGGTATTTTGGATACGAGTAAGTAATATAATAATAAATATAATAAGTAAGTAACAATTTATAAAATCCAATGGGTTCCAAATTATTTTCTTGTTTGGTTGAAGCAACATACCGTGTTTCGTGCCGTATCGTATCGTATATCGTACATACATTTATAATTTAACATTTCTGATATTATTATCAACTTTAAACTATCGGATCAAACGGGAAAACCGGAGATAACTAAGATAGCAAGTTTAAGTGCTTTTAATAAATGTTAACAAGTTAAGGAAAGATCACATGTTTGTTCACAGCGACCGTTTTGGCTTTTACGAAGTAGACTACAATGTTGAAGGGCGTACACGAACTCCACGCAAGTCTGCCTATTTCTACAAGGAATTGCTGCGTACGCGCCGTCTTGATTCTAACTACGATCCAGACACGTCAGTCCCTATGGAAATAGATATCGGCCATTAATTTATTTTATTTAGAAAATCACCTAATTTGAAGTGATTACGTAAGACGTCAATAGGCAAAAACCTTCGTTCAATAAATACGTTGGGTTTTTATATAAATTGTGTGTTGTCTTGATACTTCAATTAGTATTTTAAAGCTCTATGCAAGTATGTATCTTAATTTATATGTATGACTAGCTGGGCCAGCAACTTCGTGCGCGTAGAATAGTTATTTTAGCTGTTACCCACGACGTCGGTCGCGTCCATTCCCGTCATTCTTCCAAGTTAAAAATTCTATCGACGCTATATTTCTATCTTAAAAGATAGGAATATAGCGTCGCGGCCTTTTTTTTCATTCATTTAAAGAAAAATCAGTCTTCGATACATATTATTTGGGTATCTAGTACCGTTTTGCAGCGTACACCTCGGAAACCCATTATGGTGAATAATTTTCCCATTTTTTTTCACATTTCTCGCTGTGTCTTCGCTTGTATTAGTCACAGCGATGTGTTATATAGCCTTCCCTGATAAATGCTCTGACCAATACAAATTTTCAATAAATAATTTCAATAAAAATATTTTTTTTAATTCGAACCCGTAGTTCCTGAGATTAGAGCGTTCAAACAAACAAACTCTTCAGCTTTATATATATAGATTTTGTCTCAAATAAATTTATTACTGATTATACCATTTATAATTGGTATACATACATACCATCACCCTATAAGGTTGCTTACTATACATTTCATTATAGTGTGTCAAAATGACGTAAGATTTACATAGTACATTTTAGATTTACTTTTTACTTGAGATCGAAGTATCTTCAAAAGACATAAAAATGCTATTAAAATGAACCAGGCGTAAATTAAAACACAATAGATTTATAATTAAATGTTTGTAATTTTTATAAAGTATTTTTTTAAAGGAAAACCTTTTAATTAGCTTCCTGATATCTCATTCGTCGACTATCCTGTTGTACTAGCTGTAAGTTTTATGTGATAAATAAATAAATAAAAGTAAAATTAAAATAGCTCTTACATTTAGAAATGCAATATTTCCGAAATGAATAGTAGTCTTATAATAAAAAAAAAATTTATTCCAGATATTCTAGTTGCCTATTAATCGAGGGCCAAGTTTTAGTTTTAGACGAATCTTAATAAAAAACTTAAATTTTAAAAGTCAAATTTCATTTCAGGAATGTAATGTTTCAAAGAACAGATATCAAGTGAAACGTTACATTTTAATTTTTATAATTTATTAAAAAAAAATGCCTTTAATATTTTTTTTTGTTTTTTTAATAAAATTTAATGGTTTTACAATTGTTAATGGTTATTAATTAATGCGGTTTAAATTATCGTCACGAAATATATATATATATAAGGTTTCTACTGTTTTATCGACCGCCTCTGTAGCCAAGTGGTTAAACGTATTGCCTATACGTTAAGCGCGAGAGGTAAACATAAAATTGTTTTGGTCAGGGAGGCAGAGAAGTCTGATCAGCTACTTGCCTATTAAAGAACGGATCAGTGAAACGGACACAAAAATTTGTTCGCCCCATGCCCCACGAGGCGGAAACGGGATTTCAGACACACTGTTTTATCGTTTTTAACAAGACAGCACATTTGTCTTGTTTTCATAGCAAACATCACACTAAAGAAAAAAGTCGACTTTATTTGACAGGAGCAATGTTACATATAATTTGTCGAAGGTTGAGATATTTATGCAAGAAATCTGTCAGTAATACCCGTCGTCTCAAAACAAGTTAGTCTTCATTTTTGAGGGATATATGTTGTAGCGCACATGTTAGCCCGGCTGTGATTAGACAGATATTTCAAAACAAATACTACAAACAAGTTCGTAAAAATATTTACGCATTATTTGTGTAATGTGTTATCTTCTTTTCACACGTGACCTTTGTTTAATTGCTTTAAATAGACGGCATTGATGAATCATCGACCAAACGTCCCCTGTCGTAAAAACCTACATTAATACTATTGAACGATAAAACTAAGCCTGAAGTATTATGATCTTCTTGGGGGATAAGATATATGTCAGAAGACAACAACAGGAGAAAAGCGATATCGGTATCAATATCAACAATATAAGAAGTAACGAGAATGTCTACCACCACATACCTTATTCAGGAGCTTAGACGTAACCACAATGGCGTTCCTTAAAGTTATAATCTTAATGTAAGTTTTTCCGCTTATATTTAGGTGTCTTTTGGCTATGTTCTGTTAAGTATACTTATTACTAGAGCAGAAAGAAGAGGGGTTGAGATTTCCTGAGTTATTAACGCACATTCTATTTACTATTTCTTCTATTGAAACAGTTACGTAAATGTGAGACTTAATACTTCTGAGCGTATAAAAACTTTCAGATTTAAATAAAACATTATATGTTTAAACGTATTATTCGTTATAATAATGGCCGAAGTTAATAAGACTTATTCCTTTTAAACCGTTAAAGTGTCTTTTTTAAATCTGACTAATCGCGTAAACTATAAACAGTATTTAACATCTTTCAGAGTAATCATAACAGTTGCCTCTACAAATAGAGCTGTTTCTGGAGGCAATGTTCGAACATTCCCTAAGGATTTTCTTTTCGGCGCAGCAACGGCGGCTTATCAAATAGAAGGAGCTTGGAATGAAGATGGTAATACAAGTCTTACTTATAGTTACGGGCGTGTAATTACATTAAACAATGTTGAACAGTTTGAAAAGTGAAACAGTTAACTGTACATAGTACTTAGTTAATTTTAATTAGAACCCAACAATTTTGTGCTTTTCAGTATCCACAATTAAAGTTCCAATTAATTTATTTTTATATTTCGCCTTAAATAAAAGCCCCGTTAAATTTGTTTTTCATAAGACTTCAATAATGTCAAAATCTTTTTAACGCTTATTTTGTAAACGAATAGTTGTTCTAATGTTTTAAATGTTTCAGGTAAATCAGAAAGCATTTGGGATCGCATAAGTCACACAATACCATGTATAGTGAAAAACTGTGATACGGGTGACATTGCGGCAAACTCTTACCACAACTACAAGAGGGATGTTGAAATGATCAGAGAACTCGGATTAGATTTTTACAGATTTTCTATTGCTTGGACAAGAATACTTCCTACAAGCTTTCCCGATAAAATAAATCAAGCTGGTGTAAACTATTATAATAATTTAATTAACGAATTATTGAAATACAACATTACACCTATGGTAACCGTATACCATTTTGACTTACCTCGAAGACTAGAAGATCTCGGTGGATGGACCAACCCAAATATAGCAGATTGGTTTTCAGACTATGCTAGAGTAATTTTTGAATTATTCGGAGATAGAGTTAAAACATGGTTTACCATAAATGAGCCGCGAGAAATATGTATTCAAGGCTATGGCTTACAAGTAGCTGGCACTTCAGAATACATTTGTAGCAAAAATATGCTTCTAGCTCATGCTAAAGCTTACCACATCTATAACAAGGAATATAGACCAAAACAAGGCGGAACTATTGGTATTGTATTAAATGCCTTTTGGCATGAACCTGAAACCGAAAAAGATATAGAAGCAGCGGAAGATATGAGACAATTTGATGTAAGTACTTCTACATTTATATTAGAACAAAACTATTTAATTTTGAATGTTATAGACGAAGAATATGAATTTGAATTTATGTTATACTTTTTATTTAAATTTTAACGATATATTAATTTTTAAGATTTCGAACACGATTTTATTTATTTCAATTAATTATAATTCTCAAATGTGTCAATTAATGTGTGTTCTGTTCTTAGCTTGGGCAATATGCTCATCCCATTTTCTCGGAAACAGGGGGATGGCCTCAAGTAATGAAGGAAAGAATAGCAGCTAAAAGCGCAGAGCAAGGATTCTTTAGATCACGACTACCGGATTTAAGTCCCCAAGAGGTGGAGTTAATCAGAGGCACTTCTGACTTTTTTGGTATCAATCATTACACTACAACATTGGTCTATCGAAATGATTCCGTTCAAGGGTACCATAATTCTCCTTCGTACTATGACGACGTTGGAATTATTTCCTATCAGCCAGAGACTTGGGAAAGCACGCGAGCATCCTGGCTTAAGGTAAATATTAAAAAAATATTTACTTATATACCTCAAATAAGATATTTCTTTATTTCCTCTTTATTACAGAATAATATTGTATTTATTGATAATTTCAGGTAGTTCCTTGGGGCTTTTACAAACTTTTAAATAAAATTCGTGACGATTACGGAAATCCTGCAGTGTATGTAACCGAAAATGGTTGTTCAAGTGAACTTGGGCTCTTAGATGACCAGAGAGTTTCATTGTATAAAAACTATCTCAGTGCTATGTTGGACTCAATTGCAAAGGGTTCAAACATTCGAGCTTATACTGCGTGGAGTCTTATGGACAATTTCGAATGGCATATGGGATACCAGTGAGTACATCCTACTAATAGTTATAAGTGATGATGTTTGACTCTTTCAGAACAACGAAAAAACCTACCTTTCTGCGAGTTCTCTAGGCGGGCCGTCCCTATAAATCTTATGTTCCGCATAATTATGCATTATGTGTGAAATGTTTCAAATGCGCATTACGTATACTAATCCTAATCCTGCGTAGACGAAGTCGCGGGCACCAGCTAAATAAATAATCTTATTTGTCAAATGTACGAGATAAAATATTACGTATAGTGTTTATTTTGCTATATGTTTCGGTACCTATATCGAATCTTATCCCTTATTAATAATGTTATTTCTTTTAGTGACAATTTCGGTATATACGAAGTAGACTTCGAGAGCCCGGAACGCACCCGAACTCCTCGGAAATCAGCGTACCTATATAGGGAAATTGTGAAGTCTCGCAGACTTAACATGGACCTCAAAGTAGATATGACAGTTCCTATGAAAGCTGATTAAAAGTAAAAATTGTCACCCACAACACAATTTTACTTGAAATAAGAGAGATTTAATTGATGTAATTAAAAATACCATCCCATCTGTATTCTCTAAACAAATGACGATTGCAAACCGTAAGCACAATATAGTTCTCTTGCAATTATATTTTACTTTTACCCGGCTAGCCTAAAAATCAGTTCTTCTTATTCTTCATACAAGAAGTATGTAAATTGTAGTTATAAGTGAATATTGTTCAATTGTTTTATGTTATAAAATGGCAATAAATATTTGAATGTTAATATAGTTCTCTATTTTCTGGTCTGACGACGACAATATTAATGATATAAAAGTACTTCTTAGAGACGATACAAGGTGCAACTGAAGTGTGAATGTTTCAGTAATTATTCTCAATATTTTAGATAACTAATTTGAAAATAATGAGGCTGTAACAATAATAAGTGCAACTCCGACCTCTATTAGTTTGATATTAATCAGCAGTAAGCGTTAACCCATCATAATGAAATACCGAAGCCCTAACTGCATTAAGAATATGTGAATAAGATCTAAATTGCAAATGGGCATTTTACTTTACACGCAGTAAAAAAAAAACATAATTTTAGTGAATTGTGTAAGGCCATTGTTCATCATATCATTGTTTTTCGGGCTGTTCGCCCGACGTGGGCGGGAAGAGGTTTTGACGTTTCGGCATCACGAGCGGACGGTACCATCATAAGATGTTAGCTCTTCGATTTAAATAATTAATAATTCTTCGAGCAATCGAGGCCGAGCAGCCCGAAAAACAATGATATGATGATTTTAATGACATTGATGATTCTTTATTTACTAGCTTTCTTATTAAATGATTGTAATACAGTCCCTTGCTTTGATAAATGTATGTTTGAAAGTATTAATAGTATAGTATTATGGAGTTTATAAATATTTTAAAACGCGATGAATGTTTCATAAAAAATAGTTATTTGTTATAAAAATCGGTTATAGTGTGATGTCCATTTCTATAGTAGGTATAACTTTCTCGATTTCGTCTTTGAGTTTCTATTCCAATTTTGCGTACGAGGGGTAGGGAAGGTTTTGCACAGTGCAGCCGCGATACTAGGTACACTACTCGTGGACGTTCGGTTCCAGTTGCTCGCGGTCATTGACCCAGACTAGACATATCTAAGTACCTACCCGCGCTATTTACAAAAATGGTGAAGTGCATTAAATGCAACAAGTTAATAACTAAAAATTTGCCTGGATTACAGTGCATTACGTGTAATAAATGGACGCACGGAAAATGCGCCAACTTAACTAACGAACAGTTAAATGTTCTTTTCTCGACCGAATCTGCGGATTGGAAATGCCGTAATTGTTCCGGGCCAAAATCTAAACCGAAGCGGTTATCGTTTATTATGCCCGACGCCGAAGAAGACGATATCTCCGACTCCGAAGACCAAATCAAATCGGGTCTCAAGAAGAACATCTTAAACGAAATCAAAATAGAAATACGGGATATTATTAGAACGGAGATGCAAAGTGTCATGCAATTTTATATAGAAAAAATGGATGAGTACGAGCACAAGTTTAAAACATACGAAAACGTGATCTTACTAATTCCAATAAAAATACAAAATTAAAATACGATGCATTGCAACAAAAAATAAACAATATGGAACAAAAACTGCTCTGTAATCAAGTGGAAATACACGGTATTCAAGAAGAGGAAAATGAAAATATATTAGAAATATGCAAGAATTTTTGTAATATAGTTAAAGTACCGCACGGGAGTGTTATTAAGGCGTATAGAAAGAAGTCCAGGAGAAATCGATCCGACAAGAAAGCGACATCCCCAATTGTGGTAGTTCTTTCCGACGAAGATAAAAGGGATAACTGGATGGAAGCATCAAAAAAAATTAGTATTACCTCGAAAGATTTAGGATTGCAAGGTGAGGGTAAGATTAGAAACTTTGAAGCCCTAACACCTACCAACTCATTTCTACTATGGAAGGCAAAATCCAGCCTCCATGAGACTGGATTGTGTAAATATGTTTGGTGTAAGAAAGGAGTGATAAGAGTTAAAAGAGAGGAAGGAGACAGAACCTTTATCGTGCGATCAGAAGAAGACATAGAAAAAATAATTTGTGAATATAGTGAACTGAATTGTATAGAGAAGGAAGACGAGGAGTAAGTTATTATTTTTATATTATAATTTTACGCATTTATTACGTTAATTAAGATGGATTCAACTAATAATGTAAGTTACGAAACAACGGCAAACTCATGGAATGAATTTATACACACGCTACCCACAAGAAAGCAAGCCCTAATAACACTTCACGTTAATATAAGATCTATTATAAAAAACTTTGCTCAACTGGAATACATAGTAAATAGTAGCAAAGTCGTTATCAGCATAATCGCTTTAACCGAGGTGAATATATCGAGCGAATGTGTCAACACGTTCCAGCTAAAAAACTATGAGATGTACCACGAACTGCGCGATGGGAGAAGAGGTGGTGGTGTCATCCTATACGCCCATAAAAGTCTAAACTTTATCAGAATCCCTACGACAACCTTTAGTTTCGAATGTATTTCCGGCATTGTGACCCAGTCAAACAAATATAAAGTAAACGTGTGTGCAGTGTACAGACCACCGAACCTAAGCAAACAGTTATTTATATCCGAATTAAGCAGCGTTATACCTGTATGTGCACAAAAAAATAATTATATTTTACTAGGTGATATGAACTTAAACTTATTGTGTAAAACGAATAGCTACGTAAGTAACTACTTAAATAAACTAAGCGAATTAGGCTTCCATCAGGGAATTAGTCAACCTACGCGTGTTGAGTTAACAAATAACCGAGCTACGAGCACATGCATCGATCACATCTTTATACGCGAATATAATAACTCAAAACCAATTCACACCGTGGTCGTAAAGAATACGCTGGCCGATCACTACATAACCGGTTTAGCGATAACAGAGATCGAGCGAGATAGTGCGCAATGCAAAAAGATACGTAGACTCGATAGTAATAAGGTTAAAGTTCTATTGCGGGAGGTTGACTGGTCTCCTGCCTTAAATTATAATTGTGCAAATGATGTACTGAACTTTATTATTTGTAAATTTAACAAAATTTATGATAAATGTTATATCACCGAAACTGTAGAAAACGGAACATGACTTGGGCGAATGAAAGAATGTTATCTATGTGCTCTAAAAGGGATGAGCTACGTGCCATATGGCTGAGTGACATAAATAATAGTGCTAATCATCTACTTTACAATAAATATAGAAACAAAACTAATGATTATATAAATAAATTAAAAAATAAAAGCATTAAAAAAGAGATAAGTGTAAATTTTAAAAATTCTAAAAAAGTGTGGAATATAATAAATTCACTATGTGGTAAAATAACCCGCACAATTGATGACATTTTAACAAAACATTTCCAGAATAATAGTGTTAGTGAGATAGCTAATAACTTTGCCTACGGATTTGCACAAAACGTAAATAACATTAAGTACGCGTGCAACACAAATATCTTAAGCGAAGAGACATATGTCACTCAGCCGTGTCTCACCATGAGACTAAAAAAAGCAAATAGCGAAATTGTCGAAACGATTATCAAGACACTAAACCGAAGAAAAAGTCCTGGGTTCGACGGTGTGCGGGTCTCTGATGTGAAAGATATTGCGTGCCACATAAGCCCTGTATTAGCACACTTAATAAACTTGTGTATTACGCAAAGAACTTACCCGGACAAATTAAAGATAGGTGTTATCAGGCCGATACATAAAAAAGGCACATATAAAGACGTCAATAATTATAGACCGATTACTATATTGTCAACCATAGATAAAATTTTAGAAAAATATCTAGGTAAAGAAATAGAAAACTTTTTGGAGAATAATAAAATAATTAATGAATATCAGTTTGGCTTTCAGAAAAATAAAAATACAAGCCAGTTGCTGTCTAAATTTAGTAATGAAATTAACTCACACATTAATAGTAAAAAACATATAATTGCAATTTTTATAGACTTCTCGAAGGCTTTTGAAACTTTAAATTTTTCCACACTATATAAAAAAGTCGCTCAAAGTGGTATTCAGGGTCCTCTGCTTGACCTCCTGAAAAATTACCACACTGACAGGAAAACTACAGTCAAAGTAGAAAACGCCTACAGTAAGTTTATAGCAACCACAATGGGCTCAGCCCAGGGTTCCGTGGTAGGGCCAACCGAATACCTGCTCTACTGTAACGATATGTGCAATGTCATAGAGGGGGGTTCCGTATACCAATTTGCCGACGACACATGTATTCTGGTAGCCGACACAAGTGTCGGTAGGGCGCAAAAACATATGCAATGGAACTTCGACAGGGTATGTGCGTGGGCGCACGACATGGGACTAGTCATTAATTATGATAAAACAAAACTAATGCATATACATTCCTCACGGCTGTCGTATGACCTAGTCCCATGCGTGCGATCTCACTCACATCAATGTCTCCATACGCAGAACGACAGCAGCGGCCAATGTAAGTGCCCTATTCTGGAATCTGTTGCCCAGCATACCTACCTAGGCCTTAAAATAGACAACAGATTTACTTGGAAACCGCATGTCACGTTTGTTTGTAAAAGTTAAGAGCTATATTGTGTAAATTAAGTCTGCTTAAGTCCACACTAGAATATTCGACTTTAAGGCTTATATATAATGCGCTAGCCGATTCAGTAATCGGGTATGGACTCAGCAGCTACGGGAGGACCTACAAGACCCACCTGAGTAGCATTTACAGGATACAGATCAAAATATTAAAGACGATAGCACCGAGGGTCTATAAAAATTGCAATAGTGAACATGAGCTATTTGAAAAATGCAAAGTAATGCATATCTTCAATAAATTTAATTTTTTTTATTTATGCCAAGAAATAGGTTATATCCAGGAATTAGAAGTTAAGAAAAGACCTGATAATTTAAGACCCCTCGATTATTTGCCTAGATATGTTCTGCCCCCTTTTAACAATGCTTACGGAAAGCGCACACGCACTTATTTATTGCCCTTGCTTCTGAACGAGTTAGATGAACACACGCACAATAAACTAGTAAAAGATCCGGGAAGAAGCAAGGCAATTCTTAAGCCGTTTTATATCTAGTTTTATATTATTTTATATTTAGTTAATAATGTTATATTGTTTGCCTTTTTTGTATTGTTAATTTTTAAGTTAATTTTAGTTAAAATAAGTTAATATTGGAGTATATATGACCCGAGCAGAAGATAAGAAACCGTTATAACGGTTTAAAAAAAAATGTTTTTTAAATTGTATTATATATTAGTGTTGGTGTACAAAATAAAAAATAAAAACGTCGGCGAAGTAAGCGAGATGTCTTCCTTCCCCGACAAGATTAACTTAAACATGATGACAAGTAGATATTAAAAGAGATAAAGTTTTCGGCTCTTGGTCTCCCTAAGTATTTTCAGGTCGGACATCGTTTGACTATTTAACCATTTATAGGGTTCAGGCATTTCAATCTTACGCAAATTCGCCCCGTGTGTATTGTGCCACAACATTACAGTTAGACATAATATGTTGTCGCTATAATTTTTAAAGATTTGATTTGATGATCTGTAAAATCATTAGCTATTTTGATGCATAATCAACAGTTCCGCAGCGTATGCGACAAAGATGTTTTGTAATAATATATACCTACCCACTTTACTAACATTTTAATAAGGATCCGTAATATTTTCTAGTAATACATATTCTCTATGTTGCTCATGGCTGAGTGTATATTTCTATTGATAAGTTTTTGAGTTGTTTATCACAAACAAATACACATTCCTCTGGTATGTAATAATGGAAGACATAAGATACATTTGTATGTTACACACTTATTTTTTAATTTTTTTCGTATTTATTTAATTAATGGCCAATGTCGATTTCCATAGGGATCGACATGTCTGGTTCGTAGCTAGGGTCGAGAGTGCGCGTGCGAAGCAATTCTTTGTAAAAGTAGGCAGACTTGCGTGGAGTACGGGTACGCTCTTCGACATTATAGTCCACTTCATACAGGCCAAAACGATCACTGCAAAAAACATACGATTGCTAAGTAAAAAATCTAAGTTAAAATAATTCAAACAGATGTTTTTTTTTTATAAAACACTTTAACGTTTTAAACGCGAAATATACTAGTTAAACTTATTTACAAATTATCTTAACTATGGCCTGACGTTTCGGATACTTTCCAGCAGCCGTGGTCACGAGGAAACTAAAGATGGAGGCCAGATCCTTGCAGAATTGCCCGGCTAGGTTCGCCAAATACCACCTACGACGCAACAGATGCCACTAGCGTAGCAGTTTTTTCTTTGACATAAGAGACATCTACGACCCGTACGTATTAATCCACACATCGGGCCGTAGTTGAAATGATTTGCAAATAAGTATAACTAACATATTTTGCGTTTTAAACCGTTAAAGTGTTTTATTTAAATGTGTACTACTCGCGTAAACTACAAGCAGTATGTATTCTGTTAATTAAATAAAATTAACTACATGATATATAGAAGTTCAATAGGAATTTTTCTGTCTTAATAAAAAAAAGATTATTAAAATAGGCATCGTCGTTATTATACAATTTATATTCATACATACATCAGAGCACAAAAATATCGCATACCAAATATTATATTTTTTTTCACTTTCCTTCAGAAAGGGTTATTATCTATATTCTATGTGATATACCGTCTGCCTATTATAAAAAACACATTTCCCCATAACTATACAATATATAATTATATTATTGGCGCGCTATGAACTGTATGTACATTACAGCTTATTGCTTAAATGTGTTTTATAGATAGAGTTGAAAAATATTACTTTTCACATTACTTACTCATATCCAAAATACCACTCGAAATTATCCATGAGACTCCAGGCAGTGTAAAGCTGTACATCGCATCCTTCGTCCATTGCGTCCATCATAGAAGCTAAGTACGCTTTATAATACGCCACTCTGTTATCGTCCATCAAGCCAACTCCAGTTGCACAGCCATTTTCAGTTATATAAACGGGGGGATTACCGTACTCCTCCCTGATTTTGTTTAAAAGTTTACGGAAACCCCAAGGTACTACCTGTTTAAGTAATATTTCAATTTTATGATTGATCAGTAATATGATTATTTATTTACATTACTTCTCGAATATTTAAAAATTGAATTAGATAATAAAGAGGGTTTACCTTTAACCACGTAGTACCAGGATACGACCCAACCCAATTAGAGGGCTGATATTGACCAGTGTTCATATCATCGGGATAAGAAGGAGAAGGATGTAGACCATCCAAAGATTCGTTCCTATATGCTATTGTTGTCGTGTAATGATTAAGTCCAAAGAAGTCGGAGGAGCCTTTTATTAAAGCTACTTCTTCTGCAGTAAACTGTGGCAGCCGTGATCTGTAGAATCCTTGCGCTGCACTTTTGGCTGAGATGTAGTCCTTCATTACTTGCGGCCAGTCGCCATTTTCGGAAAATATTGGATGAGCGTATTGGCCTAACTGAAATTAAATATTTATCATTACGGCCCAATAAATAAATAGAGCTAACGATTGTATTAAAATCGTTATTTGGATTAAAACTGTACTAACGTCAAATTGTAAAGCGTCGTTAGCTGCTTCAGCATGCTCCTCCGATTCCGGTTCGATCCAACCAGCACTCATAACAATACCGATTTCGCCGCCTTCTCGGCTAAATTCATCATGATAGATATGGTAAACATTAGCATGCGCCACCAATAAATTTTTAGCACAATGGTATTCAGCATAACCCGTAATGTTGAGATTAGGTGCCTTTGCACTATCAGCGTAGCCTTGATAGCAAATGACTCCAGGCTCATTTATGGTAAACCATGTGCGAACTCTATCACCAAATAAACTGAAAACGACCCTTGAATAGTCACTAAACCAATCGACTATGTTTGGGTTAGTCCATCCACCGAGATCTTGCAGTTTCTGTGGTAAATCCCAATGATATAGTGTGACCATCGGCTCAATCTTGTATTTCAGCATTTCGTTAATTAGATTGTTGTAATAATCAACAGCTTTTTCGTTTATATAGTCGGGAAAACTTGTTGGAAGAAGTCTGGCCCAGGAAATTGATAACCTATAAAAGTCTAGGCCTAGTTCCCTCATCATCTCAACGTCTCTCTTGTAATTGTAATAGGAGTTATCAGCGACATCGCCCGTGTCGCAATTATTAATGACACACGGTTTTGTGTGACTCAGACGATCCCAAATGTTTTCAGTCTTTCCTATAAAATTAAAAGCGAAGTTAGTACGAACGTTTTAGAATACTACGCTATATTAGTACAAAGAAACCTACCGTCAACATTCCAAGCGCCTTCAACTTGGTAAGATGCTGTCGCAGTTCCAAAACGGAAAGTATCGGGAAATTTTCGTAAACCATTGCGTTTACTTTTCACGGGGCTTCCGCTCGTCAACGTAGATATCACGAGTAACCTGTAAATGAAGGGTAGTTAGAATTAATAGATAGTTGAGCTTACTTTTTGTTCCAATGTTAAAACTTACGTTAATATTATTGCTCGTAGCATAATGAAAGACTATGTGTAGATGACTTCTATCTGCGACGATTACATAATGCTTATATAGCGAGCACAATAAGATAATCGATAAGAATTTTTGATTGACGTATCTGAAATAGCGGGTATCATAAATAAGTATATGAAAGGGAAGTTATTCGAAAATATTTTCCTTTTATCGAAAGTGTTATTAAGTACTGCAAAGTATGTTACAGTTCTTAATAATAAAATTACTATTTATTTTTATTAATTTGTTAATATAATTTATAATAAGGAAAACTTGAAAATAGCTTTATTAACCTCTAGCTGAGCCAGCGACTCGCTCGCGAGAACTGTTATTTTGGCCATTCAAATTAGGTTTTGCAAACCCCGTCATCTTTATAAACTTTAGCTGTTAGCCACGACGTCGATCGACGCCCTTCCCGTCGTTCTTGCAAGCTAATCTTAAAAGATAGACATATAGCGTCGGACTTTTTTTTAGATCATTTAAAGAGGAACAATTCTTTCCTACACATTTTTTAGTTATCTTGAACCATTTTCGCAGCGTACGCAACTGAACTGACAAATCAATATTTTAAATCATTTTCGTATAGTACTTTTTAGTAGCTAATAAATACTATACCTACACACTAACATTATAAGGGCATCGAGGTTCATGTTCTCGTTCGTTGTACTCCTTACTTTGAGAAATACTTAAGTCAAAATAGAGATTTTTTTAGTGAAAATTGTTGCAGTGTTATTAGTATCCCCTTATTGGTAAATTCAAAGGTATTTTCTTTTTAATATTGAATTTCACAATAGGCAAAGTCTAGAAAGAAAATAAAACATTCTTGTCGTCTGTCGATTCTTGTTAGCTTGGACAGTATGCTCATCCTATTTTTCTTAAAAACAGGGGACTAGCCAAAATGTACTTGTGTCTTTTTTGTTATAAATCATAATGCACTTACCACAATAATGGTTTAGTGAAACAAAGCAGTCTATCAGCCTGAGGAGCCGAAGATGTATTTTAGAACACTTTTTGTACGTCTTAACAATTTAGTAGACTAGACAAACAATAAAATATAAATCAAATATTTTTTATTAATTTTGACTAACTTATGCTGCTCAGAAGTTTTTCTACTGGCACAGTTTAATATTGGTTATATGAATCGGAATCGATCCGCACTAAATTATCAAACATATGAACAACTCACACTTTACCGAAAAGAAAAAGTATGTCATAATTGCTTTTAAGAAAAAAAGACTAAATGGTTCCTAAGACAGTTTCCCTACATCTTCTACGGTGTCAGATTTCCCTATTCGGCTTGCGGTTACCAAAAAGCAAACTTCTAACCGCAGTATTTTTAAGTACTTGATACAAAAAAGAAACTATTCCAATACTGATTTCATTATTTAATTAGTAATTAAAAACACTTGTATCTGTGATATAAACATTTGACCACTATAAAACATTTATTGTGGTTAATGTAGGCATTCTTTTTTATTATTATTATAAACTTTTTATCCTGTCGGCTAAGTAACAGACTGTAATAAAATCCTAATGAAAATTAAAATTTTCCATTCATTATTATGATTTCTCTTATTTTAAATTAACTTTTGTATTTGACAGAGAATGAAAAAAGTTGAAATTCATTTAAATATTACGAATCACTTGCATGAGATTAAAGGAAAGTGTTGTTTGAAGACATTTTCAGCTAATTTTCCTCGTCGTATGAAAAATAGATCAACATCAAGATTAAAAAAATATAATTAGCTCTTACTACCACATTCAATGCTTATTTTTTTAAAGGTATAACCAGGATAATAGAAACTAGGATAAATAAGTGAGTTTATTACAATAAATAAACAATTGTTAATTTCTTGGTTTATTCATGCTTAATGTCCTTCGTCAATCATCATGGGAGCAGACATATCCGGCTCGTAGTGCATATCCAGCGACCTTGTGCGAATAATTTCCTTGAAGAAATACGCCGATTTACGCGGAGTGCGTGGTCGCTCCGGAATTGAGAAATCAACTTCATATAAACCAAATCGGTCACTGAAAACCGATAAACGTGTTAAAAGATTGAAGTTAAGTAATATAATATAGCTATGTAATACTGTATCTAATACAGGAGAAAGAGCTCGAATCTCTATAATACATTTATCATTAGCCAATTCGGAGTTATCAACCGTAATTATTTTAGGCAGATATAATAATCTAAAATGTCAGCCTTAACTTAAATTATAAATGCGACACACACGGCACGACATTTTCAATCCAATGTTGAGTAATTATGCAATAAAATAAATTAACAAGATTACTGTTCAAGGTTGGAGAAGAGTAGATCGCCAAATTTTTTTTCGTTGAAATATAAATAGATAAATGAATGAAACTCTGAAATGTGTCTGTCATTAACATTCTCAATACGCTAATCATTTGTTTATCAACAAGAATCTTACTAGTATCCCTTCATCCACTCGAAATTGTCCATCAGACTCCATGCTGTGTAAACTTGTACGTCAGATCCTTCATCCATAGCATCCAACATGGCTTCTAAGTACAGTTTGTAATACGTCACTCTCTCGTCATCTTCGAGACCTGCAGTGATTTGCATACGCCCGTTCTCAGTAACAAATACGGTGGGATTATTGTAATCTTCTCTTATTTTGGTTAAAAGTTTATAAAAGCCTTCCGGGATCACCTAAAATATACCTCTTTTAATTTTCAACAAGAAGAAGGCACGGCAAAGACGGCGAAGGCAAGACATTTAATGAAAACATTTTAGAATGATTTAAAAGTAGATGACACCAACAAGACTCATTCGCTGTTGTTCGTTTTTTGAGTAACATTGGTGTCTCCATGTTTTTTTGTTTTATTTTTCTAAAATACTTAACTTATTTAAGCTCTTATGTGCATAGGCGCTCTTACTGACTTACCCTGACATTTACGCACATATTAAGTTGTAATATTAAAAAAACATAAACACACCCTTAACCAATCGTATCCAGGCCAGTCATCAGGCTTATAAGAAATAATGTTGATGTCATCGTAATAAGAGGGAGACGCATGGTAACCAATGACAGAGTCATTTCTATAAACTATAGCGCTGGTATAGTGGTTAACGCCGAAGAAATCAGAGCTCCCCTTTACAAGTTCAATTTCTTCTGACGTGAACTCTGGTAATCTTGACCTGGTAAAACCCTGTTCGGCACTCTTGGCGGCGATCTGACTCTTCATTACGGGTGGAAAATCTCCGCTTTCCGAAAAGATAGGATGAGCGTACTGGCCCCACTAGAAAAAAATATGATATTTCTTTTAATCGACTTGCCTGTCAATATAATTTTATGTCAATGTAGCTATATATACCTCGAATTGATTAGTGTCTTCTGCAGCTTGCACATCGTTTTCAGTCTCAGGGTCATACCAAGTAGCACTTAAGACAATTCCAATAGTTCCACCATGTTTTGGCCTAAACTCCTTGTCATACATATGGTAAACTTTAGCGTGTGCAACCAGCAAGTTTTTCGCACACAAATATTCAGCATACCCTGACATGTTATACAGTGGAGCCAATGAAGCTCCCGCGTAACCCTGGTAGCATACCTCCCTTGGTTCATTTATCGTGAACCAATACTTTACACGATCACCAAACGATTCAAAGGCGACACGAGCAAAATCAGTAAACCAATTAACGATATGAGGATTTGTCCATCCACCTAGATCTTGTAGCTTTTGTGGTAAATCCCAATGATACAGTGTAATCATGGGTTCAATGTTGTACTTGAGCATTTCGTTAATTAAGTTGTTGTAATATTGTATGCCAGCTTCGTTAACTTTATCCGAAAAACTAGAAGGTAGTATTCTTGGCCAGGATAGGGAGAACCGATAGAAGTCTAGGCCGAGTTCTCTCATCATTTCTACGTCTCTCTTGTGATTGTAATACGAGTTGCCAGCGACATCGCCGGTATCGCAATTTTTGACAGAGCATGGTCGAGAGTGAGTTAAACGATCCCAGATGCTTTCAGCTTTTCCTATAAGATAATAAACAAGTTATATAATGTATGTAAACTTTAATATTTTTCACATGTTATTGCACATGATGGCACTGTATAAATTAAAAACAAAAATACGACTAGGACATGACTTGAACCGGCATCCAAAACGTTCTTTGCTGTCGCTCTAACGGCTAAGCAACTGAGCTAGCTTAGTCCTACACGTCAACGTCGAATTTTTTCAATCTGATCAAATTGATACATGCAACTGTCGCGCGAATTATAGAATGTTTTTTCTTCAGCCATAATGAAATAACAGCTTTAAATAATATTTTTTTTAGAGTGAGAATCAACTCAATTAGGGAAGCATAAAGGTAACATCGTATTACTAACCATCGTCATTCCAAGCTCCCTCTACTTGGTACGAAGAAGTAGCCGTCCCAAAAAGGAAACCGTCTGGAAACTTCCGGACCTCGTGGCGTAAATTTTTACCATTTGCAAGAGCAATAACTAAGACCGATCTGTTAATATACGTGCATGGTATGTACAGGGTTCTGGCGGCAGATTTTATTTTTAAAATTGAATATCTTAATAAGTTGTAAACACTGCGGGGGAAAGTGGTGTCATTAGAATCACCGATGTGCGGATTTCTTAGTCACCATGTCGCAGTGGTCGGGTGACATCGCGCGTTCGCTTTGAAGCATTTTTCAAGAGTAACGATTCTTACGTACTCGCTCGCCGACAGTTTTGTTCACATTTCAATATTCGACGGATAGGCGATGGACCGAGTGTGAATTTAATTCGTTCGTGGGTGGAGAGGTTCCGCGCAACTGCTTCGGCTTAACACACCACGGCCAGGACCTAGTCGATCGTCAAGGACTCCCGAAAAATTGAACTGGTTGAACGCAGTTTACGTGAAATGCACGACTTTCGATACGGAAAAGGGCAGCTTCACTGGGACTTCCAAGAGCATTGTGCATGAAATTTTGACAAAAGATATGAAGTTTCATCCTTTTTAAAATCCAAATAATTCAAGAATTGAAAAAAAATGACTTTGCGTCACGCAAATTTTTTTGTGAAACCATGTTGGACTTTTCGTTGAATTCCATTTTTTGGAGCACGAGGCTCATTTTCATTTAAACGGACACGTAAACAAGCAAAATTGCCGTTACTGGGCTCTTAGAACTCGCAATCCTCGACTGAAGCACCAAAAACCATTACATTGCCCAAGGGTAACTGTTTGGTGCGCTTTATCCACGAATGGGATAATCGGACCATTTTTTTTTGAAAATGCACGGGGCCAAGCGACGAATGTCAATGGTGAGAATTATCGGCTCATGATTTCGAATTTCTTTTTGCCGAACCTGCGAGCTCATTCATCATTCTCATCACACACGTGGTTTCAACAGGATGGTGCGACCGCACACACGGCCAGAGCTTCGATGGATTTGTTGCGAGAAAATCTCCCTCAAAAACTGATTAGTCGCTTTGGGGACATCCCGTGGCCACCGAGGTCACCCGACCTAACTCCAATGGATTTTTTTTTGTGGGGCTACCTCAAAGAGAGAGTTTACGCCAATAATCCGCGAACTGTTGTGGACTAAAAAAAATTCGGCAGCAGCGCAATTGAACCCAGTTTACTGCAGCTGTGGCACGGAAACGAGGCCGTTTCGAACAGTTGTGCAACAGGATGGAAGACATTTGGATGACATTATCTTTAAAAAATGAAATCCGCATTTGTACTCTGTCTTTTAATGCTTTTAGTTAAATTATATGTCAAACATATTATTTTTTATTTCAATTTGAAAACATAAATCCCACCAGACACCCTGTATAATATAATAACTGTGAAATACATATATTATTAAACTGATTGTAAAACTTACATTAGTCCTAGGCGTAACATGTTCGTAAATTATAACAAAATCTCGCACTGGGAATATTTTTTGCAACATATTCTTTTATACTTATGTCGAAAATATCACTTTTTGATACCAAGATAATACTTTAGAGTTTGATGGACATATCTAAGAAGCAATATGTAAACAATTTTAAAAATATCCAAGCGTGAGTTGCTTTTAATAGGTTGCAGATTCCTATATTTTTTACATTTGTACAAGTCTCCATTTACAATTTCTCTTGCATTAAAATGATGAGAGATTGTCAAAATATGTAATAAAATTATATGCTTTTGACGGTTTAAAACCGTCAAACAACTAGCTAGATATTTTGCCGTTATCAGTGGAATTTAAAAAATCGTTCTAAACATAAACAATTATGTATATATTGTGCAAAATATAGAGATACTTGTCACGATATACAAGCTATCTTTTGAGCGGAATTCTAACAGATAAGCGAAGATACTTGGATACAATATGTAGTACTTAAACCACGTTACGAGGGGGTCCATATCTATCTCGTTACATAAGCATTATTCAACATAATTTAAAACTAGGTATACAAATAATTATTTGCTATAATAAATAGTCAAGAGTATATTAAAAACACATATATTACTTCTTATGCACATGCTCCTTACATTTAATTTATGCTTTTACTATTTTTTTTTTAGTTTTTCAAAACGATTGCAACTAAGATAGTTAATGCCCTTGATCAATCATCATAGGCTGGGCCAAATCTGGCTCAAAAGACAAGTCGAGATACCTCGTGCGCACAATTTCTTTGTAAACATACGCGGACTTTCGTGGCGTCCGTATTCGTAAAGTGCTGTTGAAATCAACCTCGTAAAGTCCAAAGCGTTCTCTGAAACACGTAAGAAGACGCGTTAGTTGAATTAATGTCTAATTAACGTACTTGTATTTGAGTTCTGGATTGAATTGAGTTTTTAGTTTTTACACTTACGTAAATCCCTGTATCCATTCAAAGTTATCCATGAGACTCCACGCGGAGTAGGCTACGACGTTGACACCATCATCAATTGCGTCCAACATAGCATGGAGGTAGGATTTATAGTAAATTACTCTATCGTCATCGTATAAGCCACCATGGCTCGAGAACCCATTCTCAGTGACAAATATCGGAGGGTTACCAAAATCAGCTTTTATTCTATTTAGCATTTTGTAAAAACCCCATGGTACGAGCTGTAATGTATAAGTATTGTGATTAAATTATAAAAGCGAATCCCACGTTGCTGTTGTATATAAAGATGTTTTCTCTTTTTTTGTACGTTGAGGAAAAACACTACTCAATGTTTGTTACTAAGCGGTCATCCATAAAGTACGTCACACGAATTTCATGATTTTTTGAGCCCCCCCCCCCCGTCCTTGTCACAGGTCACATTTCTAAGACCCCCCTCCCTAGTGTGACGTCACATGTTTTGCAATTTCTCATCGAAAAATTATTAAAATAAAACAGCAGTTCCGAAATTAGTTTTATTTCGTTATTTGATAGAGTTGGAAATATTTTTTAGTTTCATTAATATTTCAAATCACGCGATTAGTACCTCTAGATGCATTAGATTTTAAAATGTGATGTAACGAAACTTAGGACCCCTCTCACCCCTTGTCACACCATGTCACACTTTGTCGACACCCCCTCCCCCCTTTACGTGTGACGTACTTTATGGATGACCCCTAACCTACTAAAATTCTATTTGAATAAAGGTAGAACTGAAATCCATGTAATCATTTTCCTCACCCTAGTCCTGTTAGAGTCACCAATTTTCCATTCGTCGAGTTGGAATGTTATAACTTCGTGGTCATTCCTCCAGGATGGACCATCCGTGCTAAATATTGCTGATTTATTTTTATATGCTAAATTTGTTATGTAGTGGTTTAATCCTAACATATCAGCTGTACCTCGCAAGTAGTTAACTTCTTCTTTTGTAAGTTCAGGCAAACGAGATCTAAAGAAACCTTGCTCTAAACTTTTTGCAGCCACTCTCCTTTTAACTACTTCTGGGAAATCTCCGTTCTTGGAAAATATGGGATGAACGTAGTGACAGAACTGTAAAAACCAATGTTTTAAATACTGTTTATAGTTTACGCGAGTAGTACACATTTAAATAAAACACTTTAACAGCAGCCGTGGTCACGGAGAGAGTCTCCCCGTGACCACGGCTGCTGCAAAGCATCCGAAACGTCGGGCCGAAGTTAAAAATCATTTTCAAATAATTTTAACTAATATATCGCGTTTTAAACCGTTAAAGTGTTTTATTTAAACCAATGTTTTGTTTGAAATAAGAAGTTTAGCGTACTGCATTTCTAACATTAATGAAATTATATGTTTCATAGTAACAATAATTGCTTACTAAAAAATTTAACATATCGTTGGCTGCTTCCAGGTCTAATTCACTTTCAGAGGCTGGTTCATACCAAACCGAATTAATAGCAAGAAATACGACGCCCTTATATAAACTTCTATATAACTCGTCATAAATATGGTAGACTCTAGCGTGTCCCAAAAGAATATTCTTACTACACTCATACACTCCGATGCCTTCCGATTTAATAGCAGGAGGTAGGTTGTCCAAGTCATATCCATTCGTACAGATATGTTGTGGTTCATTAATTGTTATCCAATATTTAACTCTATCTCCGAAATGTTCGAAAACGACTTTTGCATAATCACCAAACCAATTCATGAAATTTGGGTTCGCCAAACCGCCAAGATCCTGTAAGGCCTGTGGTAGATCCCAATGAAAAAGAGTGACCACTGGTTTAATGTTATATTTAAGTAATTCATTTATAAGATTGTTATAATATTGGATGCCTGCATAATTAATTTTGTTAGGGAAACCCTTAGGAAGAATTCTAGTCCAAGACATGGAAAATCTGTAAAAGTCCAGTCCAAGTTCTCTTATCATTTCAACGTCTCGTTCGTATAAGAAGTAAGAATTAGCTGCTACATCGCCGTTTGAACAATCTTCAGCATAGCATGGTTTCGTGTGAACTAACCGATCGATTATATTTTCACCTTTGCCTAAAATAATAATTAATATATACATCGAAAACAGAAAAATAACTCATTGAAGCAGGAGGTATTCATACCATCGACATTCCAAGCTCCTTCAATTTGGTACGCTGAAGAGGCGGCACCGAACAGGAAACCATCGGGAAATCTATTTACTTCGTAATATTTGTCCGAATATCCTCTACATTGCGTTGTTACATTTAATATAACGAATCTGTGATAGGAAAGTTTTATTCAGAAGCAAATAATAATTAGCCATAGTTAGCAATAAAATAATAATTCGACACTTACATAGATAAAAGATATTCATAATAACACATTGCACAATAGTAATAGCGGTTCGTTAATCGGTCTGTAATAATTGTTATATATTTTAATTAATTATACTGAGTTCTGTTGACGTACGCATCACCTGCTTCTATATTTCTAACTCACGGTATATATTTTCTATTATTATATGTTACAAAAAAAAAACAATTGACGCAAGTATGCGTTTACGCTGCACCACTAATTATTATTTACTAAAAGGAAACAATTACCTGCAATGTAACGCCTTGGAATCCCTTTATGGGTCAGTGCATATGATTTCGATAATTAATTTAAAAAATGCATGTAGTATGAGTAATACGTTTTTAGTTAAATTGTTACAAGTATTGAAATAACGGCAGTGCATAATCTTCGCCCGTGGGGTGTCGGAGTAAGAATAGCACCTCCTCTGGGTGTCGTAAGAAACGCGTAAGGGATAAGAACCAAAGAACAGGCAGCAGCGTTCATTTTAAAAATCCCCTACCTGCGGTCGCCAACACGTCTGTCAAGCGTGGCGAGAGTCGGCACTATACCTTCCGAACACCCACAGGTACACCACGACCTGGAGCAGGCCTCCCGTCCCTTGCCGCCCCCTTAGTCCTGACTACATTATATATAGCCAGCGACTAGCTATATACACCGAACAGCTAAAACAAATGTAAATCTCATATGCATTACTTTTAAACTGTCGTTACACTTTTTAGGAAATCATTTTTGCTACTAGAAAAAATAATTAGGTTTGTTAAAAGATAATTTAAAAGGTCAATCTAATAAATTACATACAATTTAATAAAGATAATTACGCAGTTGTGTATCAAATGAAGTAATTAATTATCAATTAAATTTCTCAATACGTAATATGTATCATGTATATTTAATACTAGCTGTGCCCGCGACTTCATCCGCGTGGAATAGTGACTTGTGGTAGAATTTTTAATTATTTAGGCTTCTATTTATTAGGTTCTAGCTTTAAAAACCACGAATTTCCATACAAACTTTCATCCCCTTTTTTAACCCCTATTTGGCATTCAAAATATGCCTATACCCTTTCCCAGGCTCTAAAATATTCCAACCAAATTTCATTTAAATCAGTTCAGTAGTTTCGGAGTTAAGGCCGGACAGACAGAGTTACTTTCGCATTTATAATATTAATAAAATCTATAATTTATTAAAATAAAAAATTATAAATTGGTAAAAAATAAATAAAAGAATTATTAAAATAGGTCCAGTACTTTTTCAGTTTATCCGTTACACACAAAAATACAAATCATTCCTCTTTATAATATTAGTGTACATAGCTGTTACCCACGATATTCATATGCCGTCGTACGCGTCCCGTCGTTCGGATCGTTATTGCAAGTTAATCTTAAAAGATAGACATATATATAGCGTTGGGAACTTTTTTTTATCTGAAACCTATAGAGATGAAAAATTACCCCCGTTTTCTTCCCCGTTTCCCCGTATCTTCGCAATGTGTTCTTCCTCGATAAATGCTCTAACTAACACAAAAAGATTTTTCAATTCGAACCCGTACTTCCTGTGATAAGCGCGTTCAAACAAACAAACAAACTCTTCAGCTTTATGTATAGGAAGTAAGTATAGATGACTGAATAAAAATTTTCAATAAGCAATACGCATGTATTAAACCATTGCTTGTAAACAAGCCTGATAATTCGAAACCTAAGAGCCGTTATCAGATAACGTCAATATGTCTTATAATAATAGCTAATCTTTAGTAGAGAGATGGAATATGACTCTACGTGCTAAATAAATCAAAAAAATATAAAATTAAAGCGTTAAATGTGAATTGAAAAGGTATTTTAAAAAAGACACTGTCTGTAACATGTGATTTATTTCAATGTGGACTAGACGCGTGAACTACAGACATTACTTAAATCTAACATACATTAAAGCTTAAGTAAAACTTGTTGAGTTTACTTTTTCAGTTCATTCAGTTAGTTAGTAGCTAGTATGAACTTTATAAAAAACGAGATAAAGTAACCGGTATATAGACAAATATCAATGTTATGTTTTATATCAAAACCTTTAATTAATCTTGTCTGATATTACATATTATTAGCTAAAATTAAAAAAGAGATAAGTCTTTTTTGAAAGAGACTCTTTTCTTTTATACAAAACTCACTTGTAGATAAGTAATTCAGATTTTCGTTATTAGTCGTAACGTTATGCGATATTGATTAAACAAAACCTCATGAACAGTTCGACATCATATTTCTGCAGTTAGTAACTCTGCAGTAATCAAGTAACACTGGCTTTTATTTATTCGTCTTACTAACGTTTATTTCTGCTTCATGCTATTGAAAAATTGTCGCATAGTCCAAGAACCATGGCAACGGAAGCCGTGTCACCAGAAAAACAACGCGCCAGGATTGTTATTTCCGTATTCATATTTATCCTGACGTCACATGACTTTAGTGTAATATTGGAAGAAAACAATTCAATATATAGAGTTGAGGATATTTTAACATGTCTGGTGAGTAACTTAACATTATTATCATTTTAAAAAACCTCGTAAATTGAACATCGGCTTTGGAGAGAAGGTATGTAATCATTTGATAAATATTATTTTCTTTTTAAATAATGTAACAGCGTCGATTTTTGTCCTACAACGTATCTGTATCATGCTTTGATAGATTTACTATAATTATGATTAGTAAATTTTTTCATTAATTACGCATTCTTTATTTTGTAGTCTTTAAAACTAACCAGACGTTTGGGCGATCGTAGACGCAGTGTATACAGTTAGAATAAGAATGGTAGTATCGGTGTCGACTTTGGGCACCGCAGTGTGGGTAAAAGCTTGGAGTATGTTGTCCTGCAGGAAGATAGGGCTTTACATCTTAAAGAACACTCTAGCCCCAGAAATGGAATGGTTATATGTGCTCATGAGAATTGTCAATTCATAATAATTTGATATGTATTGTTGACAAGATTTTTTAAAGCCCTTTTACCACGGGTTCTTATATCGAAACAAAAAATAAATAAAACATTTCAATGGTTTAATACGGGATAGATACGGCCGTAGTCACGGGAAGACGTGTCTCGCCGCTGCTGTAAAACATCCGAAACGTCGAATTTTATTTAAACATGTACTATTCGCGTAAACCACGGACACTATTTCAAAACAGTGAGCCCTCTTAGACATAACATTTGAATGTTCGCGAAATTTATTATTTAAATAATATTCAACAAAAGCTCTACCCAAGATATAACCCTAAAATGGAGACTGACAGGTTGTAACGATGTCTGTACTAAGAATTCTATTTCTCAATGGAATCAGGTCAATCTATTTCTAAACAACGGCTTTTCTTCCGTGTAAAGTTTCAATTGACGATCAAATAAGCGATTACAGTGGCGTGTTGGATAAACGGTTTCCTTTGTAATACCCTTGTTGTAACGCCTAGATATATCATGGGTGCTAGATGCGTTCAGTCAGCTTTGAAACCACTTTCATCCTGTTTATTTCGTGTGTCGGACGGTCACTTAAGTAAAATTCTAGTGCATATAATACATTTATGGATGCCTTAGTAGACGACCTAGAACATGCTTCTATTTATCGCAAAGGTCCGGAAGGTATTCAGTAAATACTGTATAGTTTACGCGAGTAGTACACATTTAAATAAAACACTTTAACGGTTTAAAACGCGATATATTAGTTAAACTTAACTTTTTAACTAATATAACGCGATTTCAACCGTTAAAGTGTTTTATTTAAAGGTATTCAGTAATTTGCATAAGTAAGATTCAAGAAAAACAAGGTTTCAGCACCAAAAGAAACGGTCACGTTAATTTCATTTCATTCCATTAATTTCAGTGTATCATTTCAGAGATATAGTAGAAATAGATAAGGTTTGAAATCATAAAAAAATTACACTAAATAATATAAGCAATTACTGTACCTACTACAAAAATTAATTTGCTTAGAATCTGTTTTAGTTTTACTTGTTTGTAAAGTATTGTCTTCTTTATCGGTATCCATTGAATAAACCTGAAATTTATGGGTACTTAATATTACATTAATTTTCAGTCTTCAAATGTGAATGTAAATTCTCATTTCAGATAGCGAAGAGAGCGACGGGGAGGGTGGTCTTGGAAACTTGAACCGTTTGATTGTCCGTCCACCTGGTCACAGCGGTAAAGCGAAACGTGGACACCTGTGTTTTGACGCGGCATATGAGTGTGGGAACCTCGGCAGAGCTGACCATATCACAGAACTTGAATATGATTTGTTCATAAGGCCTGATACGTGTCGACCACGTTCGAGGTTTTGGTTTAATTTTACGGTCGAGAACGTTAAACAGGACCAGGTAAGTATTATCTGTCAGGATTGGGTGAATATAATACAGCGTTTCAAGCTATTAATGTCCAACAGCTGAGCGTATAGATCATAAAATTCTTATGAAAGCCCCTCTTTCATAAGATGGGCTTTAATGATTACTGTCACTAAATTAGTTCTGATAACCAAGGGCTATGTGCCATCACCTTGAAGCTCATGGGTCGGAGAGACTACGTGCTCTCCGACCCATGCAGGTAATGACGTCACAAACTTCGATGCTCCAAATCAAGTAAACTCTTTACAAGTAACCAAATATTCGGACGTTTTACTATGTCTAACATTAAAAAAAGCGTTTATCGTAATAACACTCCTATATTTTTTTAGAGAGTAATATTTAATATCGTTAATTTGGGTAAAGAAGTTACACTATACAACGGCGAGATGACTCCATTAGTAAGATCTACATCACGGCAGAAATGGTAAACAAAAATTGCTAATAAATATGTTGCTAATTCTTGACAATTTTCTTAGTTATAGTTTTTTAATGTAGGCAAAGAATTCCAAGAAGACTACTTTTCTACCATCGTTCGTTAGTACATCGTGGGCGAAAAATATTGAGCATAGCTTTCGGCTTCGACAGGGAAGAAGATGTGTATCAATTTGTTTCGTCGTATCCTTATTCATATTCGAGACTACAAAAATACTTAAGTTTATGGGAAAAGAAAGCGCAAGAGTTTGCCAAACGTGAATCGATTGCAAAGACAACGGTAAGGTAACGGTTTTGACATTTCATTAAAACCATGAAATTCTACTTTTAAATTAAAGGTGTGGTGAAATGATTTATTATAATTTTCACATGTTACTGAAGTTATAAATCTCTCTTAATATGCGCTACAAATGTGTAAAAACAGAAATAGTTAAGATAAACTCTGTTGTATTTGTGTACCTATCATGTGCAGTAGTACAAATAACCAGAAAAAACTTCATTAATTAGGTACGATCAGATAAAAATGTGAAATTTTGTGAAACTCTAAATAAAAAAGTAACGGCACTTGAGATTAAATAAGTGACTTACATTTAAACCGATGAATAAATTTGAATTGTTAGTATACTTAAATAATATGATACTGAAATGAAACAACAACAAAACTATAAATAAAATGTCGCAAGATGTTTGTATAAGAAATCGATCACCACATACATGAGACAATTGATTGATATGTTGGTGTTGGGTTCTAGTCCTGTTTGTATCATTAATTAATACAATCTAAAACAGTTTTAAGACATATTCATTGTAATGGTTTAGAAGAATTGGAGTTCGATTTCTAATATTTTATTCCAGCAAAAGCGTCGAATAGATCTAATAACGATTGGGGATTTTAAATTGAAAGAAACCCTAGAACAAAGAGAAGAAGCAATAACAAGAGGTAAAACTGGTGACGCGAAGAAACGTGTAGTACTAATATTATCAAGGTCTCATGGCGGAGAGCCACCGGCGTCCTATATGTGTCAAGGTACTCGTTTAAACGTGTTTATTGCATCTTAAACGAGAAGGGCGATAATAAATTAGATCAAATAAATAATATCAACAAACCTTAACTTGTGTGTGAAATAAGTTAAGTCTTTTTAACCCAGCAGACAAATTTCTGTGTGTGTTACACTGGTTGGTTTTTATTGCACAAGACAGATTCTGTTGACAGAGCCTGTACCTTGTCTGATTAAAACGATTGTTTCCCTGTTGTTCCTAATATATGCTATTCAATAGAGGCAATAAACAACAAAAGTACTCCGTAATGCAGTTTGCTTGTTAATTTTAATACTGTATTTATTTTTTTCATGATGAAAGGTTTTCTGGACTATCTGCTTAGTTCATCAGAAAAAGCGTTGGCTCTCCGAAATGGTATTGTAATACAGGTAAACTTGAAAGGTTCACAAATTATGTACGTATATCTATGATCAGAATATGGAGTTATCAAGTACCATTTTTTGTTTATTCCAGGTCGTTCCAATGCTGAATCCTGATGGGGTATTTCTCGGGAACCACCGTTCCGACCTCCTTGGCTCAGATTTAAACCGATGTTGGAACAGGGCAACATCCTACGCCCACCCAGCCCTTATTGCCGTTAATGATCTTATCAAAAAAATTACTGCTGAAAAGGTAAGAGCAAATTTGAACAATTCACAGTTTTACTGGAAGCCTGTAACAACAGAAATGCTGTTCCTTACAATTAAAATTATAATAGTTTAAAATAAATACATTTTCAGGGCCTGCAGCTTGACTTTATTATAGATTTACACGCAGATGTAAGTCATGAAGGCGTTTTTGTTCGTGGTAATTCATACGATGATGTTTACCGGTAAGTAGAGATTCTCCCCTGGACCACGAAAGACATCCTACTTATTTCTTAAGTTAATAATTAAGATTGCATTCCTTAGACTATGGTGGAAATCTCTTTACCACTAGTTTTTCATGGAATAAAACATAAGTATAAATTTAAATTACAGTAATATAGTTCATTAATAAATTTCAAAAACATATATTATGGGCCGCTACAGGCAGAGTAACCTAACTGCCATTTAAATAAAACACTTTAACTGTTTAAAACGCGATATATTAGTTAAACCGTTAAAGTGTTTTATTTAAATGTGTACTACTCGCGATACACAGTCATCTATCTGCAATTTTTATGACTTGAGTTATTTATACTTTCATAGTCTAAAAATCTTTATAATATTTACACAATAAATAGTTAAATTCATTTTCGCGTAAGTTAATTGCGCATTTTTATCATCCTTCTTATTGAAAAACACGCTTTTTGTTCTCCACTCTGCCTCTAGCGGCATAATTTATAATATTTACTTTTATTTAAATTTAAAAAATCGTTGTCACTGATAGGACACGACCCCACGATAAGCTTCTATAAATTATATAGATTCTAATATCTCTTCTTCTTAGCCGTTGGGCGTACACAGCTTTTTATATGTTATTGTTTTATATGTTATTGTTTTAGGTTTGAACGTCACGCTGTACTACCAAAATTCTTGGCCATGCGAGTGGAAGCTTGGAAAACCGAATCATGCTTATATAACACGGATGCGTTATCATTAGGAAGTGCTAGACGTTCTTTGCCTTCTGGAGCGGTGGATGCGTATACTGTTTTAGCATCTATGGGTGGACGACGGCTGAGCTCTAGGGGACCTTACATGCATTTCACAGAAGACGCTTGTATCCTTTTACTGTTTTGTGTATGTTGTGTGTACCTACATGCAAAGTGGTTTTTCATTATTTGTATATAATTTGTAACAATAAAATGTATAACTATATGTAATCAGTTAAAGTAATTTGTCGTAAAAAATGCGCTGTCGACCTATTTTGGCTTTGGATATTCGGAAATCCACAGAATGAAACCGAAACGCGATTAAGCTTCACGGCTTTTTCATCTGTGGACGATGATTCCTGACCTGGAAGGAATTTCCATGTTCCTACCGCCCATTTAATTGGACCACGTTGGACCTGGTGGGGATCAAACCCACGACCCGTTGATTATTAGTCATACAATGCTACCATTAGACCAACAAGCCCATCGAAATATATTATATTCGCAACTAAAGATATATTTATATTTCTTATACTAAAATACGAACAGATGCTAAAATCGGCAGATCTCTAGCAAAAGCCCTGTGCGACTACTATCGACACATTGGGGTTATTCCACAACGCATTAGCGCACCATCTAAGAAAAAGGAACTTTCTAACCGGCGAAGACGGAAACGACCGCCATCCCAGAGACAAAGGTAACCACGATCAACGGCTTACCTAACCACTGTCTACTTAGATGTTCGTGGATGGAATAAGGTAGCACACAATTAGTCGGCTCAAGTCCCACGCGAGTCATAAATGTCAAAACTGGTTTGTAAGCTTTCATGTGTATGTATAAAATACCTGAAAATTGGGTGCCCTGATGATCTTCGTAGTCGTTAATTAATTGTTGCCAATACATTAGGCAGCAATTTATTGCTAATCATAATCAATGGTTTGATCCTCCCCCCCCCCCCTGGTCTAATGGATAATTGAACTGGATAATTAATAGGAATATCGGTTCTTCTAGAACAATATACCAACAGATGAAAAGCAGTGAAGATTATTGGCACTTTGGTGTCAGTCTATGGATTTCCAAAACCGAAATACGACAATATCTCATGTTTAGATGTTATATGGCTGGCGTTTCCATATTTGAAGTGAACTCCATGCCAGGCTGTCCTGCTCATGAAATATGTAATGAGATCAAAGACCAAATATTTTCAATAAACTTTCCCAGGTCGCCCAGTTCTTCCCCGGAACGTCGTGTGCTTGCAACTAGAATGCTTTCGCCCCCGCTACCAATAGCATCACCACCGTTACTACGAGCTCTGCCACCAAGAACCGCACGAAATATATCCACACGTGCCAGACCCAAAACGGTGTATATCAATAACGACACATTGCCTATTATACAGGGTGCGTGTGTATTTCTTCTATGTTCTCATTCTAATCACGTCAGTTTCAAAATATTTTTTTTCTATTTTAATTATCCAAAGGCAAATTAACTTTAATTAAATTTACCTAAACCCAAAGAACCTATTCTTTGGGTTTAGGTAATCTTACTTACCATCAATCAATCTCCATGCTGGTCACCTCTTTCATAAAAAATACTCGTACGGTGTATTGAAAAATATGAATAAACCTAACGATTTAATTCTAGGAACAGCAGTAAGGACCCCGCGGTTAGCTGTCGTAGATTTCAGCGCATACATTCAAACACCGACGGGTCATGTAAGGTATGCCCCGAAAACAGCAAGACCCCCACGACCAAGCCACGCGAGGTTCACTAGCGATGAGTATGACACTCATGACAGTGATTCCAATTAAAACAAACCCATAAAGGGAAGAGGATGAAGATACCTTATGCGACGACAGTTTCACATGTTAAGACATCGTAAAAAGTCCAAGATATGAGACTTATAATAATAATATTTATACTATTAACAAATTTTAAGGCCCCAAAAATTAAATTTTATTGTACCTACTACTACTACACTGCATATGTTAATTATCACGCAATAACGGTTAAAATAAAATAAAACACTGCATATTTATTGAAACGTATAATGTCTAAGCTTCATATTTACAATCACTAAGATCTAACTAATCATTCAGTCATCACTTTCTTAAAAACAATTATTGTGAACACTATTATCACTACGAATCATCAATCATAACGGCAAATTAAAAACAGGACTGAGTATCGACAGAGATTTATTCTCAACATTACTTACACGATATTTTGGTTTCGCATCACCTCAGTGGTAGGAAGAACGCGAAATATTCGCAGTCAAAGCGCGAGCCGCCGACAGAGGGCGCTCTAACGAAGCGCGAAGCACCCGCTCTAATAAATATCTTTGGCATGAACCGATAGGAGCTCGCCGACAATTCACACGCGATTGTAACGACAACCGATAGTTATTGCTTTATGCCAAACAAGTGTCCCGGGGGAATATCGCGGAGACGGTCGCGTCACTCCCAGGCTTCGTTGTCTTCGTCCTCGGAGAGAGTGACGAGGATCAGCTCGTCCTTGACTTTCTCACGCCTGGGCTGGACATCGCTGCAGGCGGGTTGTCGACTGCGGGCCGCGCGCTTCTGCCGTAGGAGCTCCTCATCTGCAGCCGTACGAGGTTTGCGGAACTCGTAGACCAGGGGGAAAATACGCTCTACGGCTGACTGCACGTCACTGACGCTACGAGCTGAAAATTACAAATGACACGTTACAGTTTAGAGAACTACATCAATATATTTGGCAAGATCTGGTGTTCTTAGACTTAGAGCTATTATAACATTTTAATTTAGATAACATCACACCACAGGCCAATCAAAGTTATAAGCATACTTAATAAATTAATTTCCATTTAATTTTTATTCATTAATTTCAATGTGTAGCTGATATGTGTTACAGAAAAACATAGAACTATTTTATAATAAACATGAATTTAAAATGGTCAGTACCATGGATTAGATATGAAAAAATGTTGGGAAGATATATTTTACACATGTTACCTGTTATTGTGACACCTCCCGTAGAAAATATCTTCAAAGTGGCCTTGGGATTATACAGCTTATATGTGACACCAGGGTGAAGCTCGGGTTCATAGCTGAAACGAGAAAAACATTGCATTATTCAGACCAATTTGAATGACAATGATTTTCTGTTTTTAGATGTCTCCAGATACCAATCTTTTTGATTTATAATTCAAACTCAAATGATACTAAAGACATATTTCAAGACATTTATCTTTTGGTACACTTTGTATAAAAAATACTCCACAACATATGTCTATTTGTTTCCATGATTTTACATAAAAGATGACAAAATATATAAAATAAAAGATACCAATACCTACATACCCCAAATTGATATAATTATATTTTAAGACCTGAACAGATTTTTTGCTTAAAACCAGTTTATTCACAAAGTGTCCTTTACAACTGACATATAAAAATAATAGGACTATGGTGTACATTATCACGAGCGAAAGGTGTTTGCCGCGAAAGTTGTTGAATGACGCGAACTAAAATTTTGGTAACTTGTATCAGCAAATAATTAAATAAAAAAATAAACATCCAGACTGCTATATCATGACCTCATTAACAAGGCAAGAAAGGTGCTTTTTTTAATAAAATTTAGTTGTAAAAATCATCCTTTGCATATTAACTTTGTGAGCATCTCACTTTAATGAAGAAAATTTAGAAGTAATTTATTAATTTATGCAATCCAGTCATTAATCGTTCTGACTGTTACAATATACCTAAATATTGCAATGATAAATTACCTTCAAATTTAGAAAGTTTCAAATAACCTACTTTGTAAATTTAAATATCATAATTAAACCCTATACCTAAAACATCTATCCAATATCACTGTAAGCTAAATAATAATAAAATAAAAATACTCATATATGAAGACCAAATTTATGACATACATTTTCTCAGGATCAAAATTAACTTGATAGAAGTGTATTTTTTAAATTATTTATATATATATATAATTATGTAACATTATATTAAAAGTAAATACTATAAACATACAAAACCTATAAATAATTTGAAACTAGAAACTGATGAGTAAAGGAAAAAATTAGGTAGGTGCTCTAAGACTAAGAAATGTATCTCTTATGGGCAGGCACTAATAATCCTTATAAAAATAAGATTATTTGAATCTAATTAAATGACAACAAGTTAAAGGAGATCTTTTGGATAATGGGACAACAGTGAATATTACAATTATCTTGAAACAATTAAAATTAAAAAAACTTAATTGAAACAATGTTCTTGTGTTGAATAAAAATATACTCACTCTGCCTCCTTGTATTTTCTTGAAAATGCTATAATCTTTATTCCAAATGGCATGCGACATGTTCCGAGAACATTAACAACGCGAAAGTTCCTGAAACGAACTTGAAATCCTAGCTTCTGAAGCGCACGCGCATATCTTCTAGCAGCGATTTTTGCTTGCTCTTCACTTGTGGCGCCTGTGCACGTAATGCGACCAGATGACCAGATAGACGCAGTTGTATATGGGCGACGCAGCTTCATAGTCACCATACCGTTCTCCCGTCGAAACTCGACATTAACACCATTCAATGCAATCTGTCTCAAATTTAGGTGGCACTTAACACTAAAACTACACACAACATTGTTTATCACTATGTCTATCTCAGGTGTTTCCTCATCTTCCTCTTGTGCAACTGGCTGCACGCTATCCCCGGCCTCAAGGCACTGTGGAGGCACTTGCTCCGGTTGGCCCGCTTCACAGTATTCATGATCTGGCACCATGTGCATAGGCATTGCATGTGAATGGTTTGACATCCCATGATTAGTTACTCCATGTGTAGCTTTACTTAATTCTTTAATACCATTTTCCTGAATAAGTGTAGCCATGACCTCCACGGCTTTCTGAAAATGATAATTATGTCATGATTATAGGGAATAGTGATTTAGATATCACTTTACTGTAATGAGTTAATGTTTGCAGTATAAAAAGGATGTGACCTATTATTTTAGGAAGGAAGTCTCCATTTCCTATATTAAGCATAGAACTATTTGACATATAAATTGATTGTAGAACCTTTAAGTAGTATTAGCAGTAGTTCCTATTACTATAACATGAAAAATATACTCAGAACAAAAATTTTGAGAAAAAGAATATAACATGCTAAAAATAATCTCACTTCATAAATTAATTAGGTATTTTTTTTTGGTATACTATATATTCCAAGTAATTGTTATTTAAAACTTTGTAACTATTATTTCAGTTGAGGCTCCTTATCAATAGCTCAGTGCTACAAAATACACTAATTTTTGATTGTGCAATAATCAGAAAAGCTAAACAAGCCTCTATAACAATGAAACTGCATCATGATCACTGTGGAAACATGTATGTGTTTGCATTGGATATTGAAGTAGCTTAAACCATTACTTAAATTTTTTTTTGGAAATAAAAAGGGTTCTCTTTATAAAAAAAATAAAGTACCACTATGTAGATCTTATCTTCTTATGTATTGTATGTCAGCTTAAAACATTACATAAAACAACATCATATAAACTAGTGTAAAAAATCATATATTAGGCAGATTTATAAAATTTCAATATAGAGGAAATAATTTAGGGCACTTCCCACGACGCATTACGACGCGACAACATGACACTGGCACAGCTGACTGCCGGACGACCCCGCCCCTCGCACTCTTCAACCCCCGCTGCTGAACGCAAAATCGCCAGGTAACAATCTGCACTTGCAATTTGCTCTACCACAATGGTCTTAAGAAGGAATCATTGATATTGAACTATGTTGATGCACTCATGACTTAACACTATTTGAACTGAATCCAATATAAAAAAGCCCTCCTTTGACCTCACTGTACCGAAATAGTCAGCAGTTATTGACCCCTTACCAACGACCTAAGCTAAAACACACGTGATTAAACAGCACAAAGGACATCACGTTATACAGACACCTTTAAAGCGGAGGCCTTTTCTTAAAATCATTATCGTGGTATTATTCACTACCAAGTACCAACCCATTGATCAGACCAGTCGACACAATACCCAAAGCGCTATCGTATGATTTAACACAAAAAGGGTGCAATATAAATGAATAGGAAAATAGTTTCAAAAGGGTACAATTCAGTGCATGTTATAAACTAAAAATATATTAATATAGAAACAAAATTACCTGAAATAATGTGCTATATTTGTCACAATTATTTTTACACCACCAATGAAGTAATAATTTTCATTGCAATTTCGTTGAAAAAATCTAAATATCTAAGAATACACGGTTCACTGTGAATACTGTTAGTGTATTTCTATGGTCTTTCAAATTGTGCTAAGAATATTGCTTAATAATATTGCAATTCAATAATGCAAGTCGAGTATTTTATCTTCAACACGTCCTGCCTAGCACCGCCATGTTCTATTCGAATGAGAAGTGAGAACGAGATTCGAAAATCGAGAGTAAAAAGTGATTCATTCGTTCCTTCGACAACGTTCACTGTAGCCACAGACCTAATAGAACAACCCACAGAATAACTAGGGACGTGAAGTTATGTTATGTTATTGAATGGATATTTAATAATGTACGCAAATTACTTTAAAGGGTGTAAAATAAACTGTAACATGACTATTTTGAATTTTCCCTAGAATTGATCATTGATATTGAGCGCATGAATGAATTTATGATTTTTGTCATCAATTCCACAGACCATTAACATATGTGTAGGAAATATTTTTATAGAATTATCTATGTAAGTTAACTTTTATCTATCTGAGGTGTAATGTATATTTGTCAAATTGAAAGATAAACGATAACGCCGTTCTTCGTTTTTTATTCATAGTTGCCACTTTACTTCTATGCATTGTAATCTGTGTTCACCATTAAGAATTCTTATTTTTGGTAATGGTAAATCCCGTAATTTTCTGCTAACTTCAAGTTATTGTTTGATCATCGTTCGTCAAATCGTCAATGAAGCGGCGATAACTATTATTTTATTTTACTGTTTTGTTTAATATTGGCATAGTTATCATAGTAACTAAGTGTTTTTAGAAGCTTTAGATAATTTTTTAAGATGCAAGAGTTATGATACTAGTTAAATTATGTTTGTAAGCGTGCATATGCTTTGTTGTGAGAACCACCTTTATCTGCTGTCATTTTAACTTAAAGTGGAAACATTTTCGATAATGAAACATAAGCTGTTAGTCAAACAATAACTAACTCATGATAAGATCGTTCGAATGTTGTAAGATAGTTTTTGGTTGAAGTTTCGTGATGCGAACAGTGCTTTTCTTCCGAGTAGCGAATTGGAGAATGTGCGGTGGCGTTTAGTGTCAGCAAGGGTCAGAGACAGAGTTTAGTATGGGGACAGTAAAAGATGAAGAACGTATCCGGCGTCTGCGTCTGTTGGAGGAGCGACTGTGCGACCCTCGCTCAACCGGCAACGTGGACTGTCTCCTGGACACTGTCACGGCGCTGGTATCAGACTGTGATCACCCGGCCATCCGACGAATGAAAAACGTCGAAGCTTACACCAGCAGATGTATGTTTCAGTATTTTTTATATATTATAACTAAATAATAAGTTGTTTGATCTATACACGATCTTATGCACATATATTATTTTTGTGAATGTGCAAGTCCTTAACTTTGGTGTTTAAAGCGACTCATCTCAGGATATGTTTTTAATTTGATTAAGGTACAACCCTTATCTCAAATAGAATATGTAAATTTATAAAAAGGGCATATTTATATGTAAACTGACAGTTAATATAATGTAAAACACATTGTGTTTATTACTTTCAGGATATTATTATAATACAATTTTATAAATGATTATGAGCTTATTATGCAAATTTTATGTCTAATATCATAATTGCATCACTAATAATTGACTTATTTGTCAAACTTTAGCACTATTTTCATAAAAGTATAGCAATAGTAATCATTTGTGCAAGTTGTATTATATATTTTTTTTTACAGATGAACAATTTGCATCAGAAATAGTTGATTTACGCATGAAAGCAGCAGACTTTGACCTTATAAAAGTAATTGGTCGGGGTGCATTTGGAGAAGTGCAACTAGTCAGGCATAAGTCAACTCATTTAGTTTATGCTATGAAACTTTTAAGCAAAGTAGAAATGATAAAAAGGTCTGATTCTACATTTTTTTGGGAAGAGAGACATATTATGGCACATGCAAACTCAGAATGGATTCTCAAATTACATTTTGCTTTTCAAGATCAAAAATATCTTTATATGGTCATGGACTATATGCCTGGTGGTGATCTGGTTAGCTTAATGTCTAATTATGATATACCTGAAAAGTGGGCCAAATTTTATACAATGGAAATAGTCCTAGCATTAGATGTTATTCATGGAATGGGTTTTGTACATAGAGATGTAAAACCTGACAACATGTTGATTGATAGATATGGACATTTAAAGTTAGCAGATTTTGGCACATGTATGAGAATGGGTCCTGATGGACTTGTGCGTGCTAGTAATGCGGTTGGTACTCCTGACTACATATCTCCTGAAGTGTTGCAGTCGCAAAATGGTGAAGGAGTCTATGGCAGAGAATGTGACTGGTGGGCTGTTGGCATATTCTTATATGAAATGTTAATCGGCGATCCACCCTTTTATGCTGATAGCTTAGTAGGTACCTATGGGAAAATCATGGATCATAGAAATTCCCTGCAGTTTCCAGATGACATTGATATTTCAAGAGAAGCAAAGTCCCTTATTAGAGGTTTATTAACTGATAGAGCAAGGAGACTTGGGAAAAACAGTGTAGATGAAATAAAATTACATCCATTTTTTATTAATGATCAATGGAGCTTTGAAAATCTAAGGGATTCAGTGCCCCCTGTAGTTCCTGAATTGTCTAGTGATGATGACACCAGAAACTTTGATGACATAGATAAATCAGATGCTTTAGACGAATCATTTCCTGTGCCAAAAGCTTTTGTTGGAAATCATCTACCTTTTGTAGGTTTTACTTACAATGGCGATTACCAGCTTTGCGGTGGTAGAATTAAACCGGCCGATGTTGTAGACACAATATCAAATAATCATATTAATAATGTTGGATCTGAAGCTATTCTTCAATTAGAAAAATTATTAGAAAGAGAAAGGGATTCTAGAAGAAAACTAGAAGATAGACAAGTCATGCTCTGTAATCAATTGGAAGATATGTCACAGAGGGAAGTCAGAAACAAAAAAATAATGACAGATACAGATAAAGAATTGGCTTTACTCAAACATGATTTAAAAGAAATACAAAGAAAGGCTGAAATTGAAGCAGACTCAAGGCGCAAAGCTGAAATTAATTATAATGATGTTAAGAGACGTTTGGAAGAAGAACAAAATAAGAGAGTTAAAGAAGTAAATAATTTACAAATGTACAATGAAAAGATCAACATTATGGAGAAACAGTTAACCGAGATGCGCGAAAAATTAAAACAAGAGTCTGAAGCTGCGGCGAAATCTCGAAAGCAAGCTGCAGAACTAAGCGCGGCCCAAGCTGCAGCGGCAGCAGCTAGTGATGGAACCGTGGCCAGCTTAAGAGCACAGCGAGATCTTCTTGAAAGAGATTGCAGTTCCTTGTCGGAAGAACTAGGATCTGTAAAGGCAGCTAAACAGAGGGCAGAAGCAACAGTAGCAGAGGCTTCCAATCGTTTGAATTCTGCTCATGCTGAGATAGAACGATCTGCCTTGAAAATCAATCAATTGTTGAATGATAACAGGCAGATCTCAGAACGAGTATCTTCATTAGAAAAAGAATGCACATCATTATCTCATGATCTAAGAACCTCGCAGCATCTTTACCAACAGGAAGTGCGAGCTCATCAAGAGACTCAGAGATCTCAATTACTGTCAAAGCAAGAGGCGAACCTGGAGCTAGTCAAAGGTAAGTGATTTTTAATATTTTAAGTAAAACCCTGCTATTGCTCCTTAGAGCTAAGTAGAACCGAGTCATGAATGCATATACATAATATAAATTACATCACTCATTTCCTATTTGGCATGCCTCAGGAACTCTGGAGAAAATATTGGCAGGTATTGTACATTTGCTTCATCTAATAGAAAAGCATTGTTAGTGAATAATAGCTTAGCTCATATTTAGACACATTTTTTTATTATTATCTGAATTGCAAGGTTTAAAATAATACTTACATATTATTAAATGAAGGTAAATGAGAATTATTGATTGAAACATAAAAGCTTTTAACATAATTCCATTGGTATTTTATTCAAAGTAATTTACTTTTACCAACAGCATTACAAGGAAAGTTAAACGAAGAGAAGACAGCGAGACAGCGAGCTGAAGCAGCTTCTCAAGAGAAGGACAGGCAAATGTCTATGCTAAGTGTAGACTACAGACAAATGCAGCAACGTTTACAGAAATTAGAAGGAGAACATCGACAGGAGAGTGAAAAGGTACTATTGTAGTATTTAAAATTAATTTCTTTCCCTTTGTCTATTTTATTCAACTTCCAAGTGTTAATTTTATGTTATTACCATTTAAAAAACACTTTCATTAAATATACAGAGGATTGAGGTTGAACATAACGTTATTTGTGAAGGTCGCCGGTCTACAAGCGGCGTTAGAGCAAGAACGAGACGCTCGTCTTTCGGCAAGCGCCGATACAGCAGCAGCAGAAAGCGCAGCGCGGGCAGCGGCCGCTGAAAGGGATGCGAGGGCCCGAGATCTTGTTGCTGTGCGTGCTGCATTGCACGATGCTACGGAAAAGCTCGCAGCCGCCAGCGCTGAGCGGGATATGCACTACGCACGCGTGAGTCACTGCTTTATATACACAATTCTTATTACAAATATCATGTTCAATTTAATTAGGAACAGAAAAATATATATACGTCATGCGTTTCAGAGGAATGTGGCAAGTCAATTTGTCTGAATTATATCCTAAAAATCATGACTATTAAGGAATATTTTATATGTAAGAGAGATTATGGAGTGAAACCGGCTCAACAGTTTTGTTTGATTTGAATTACAATTTAATTCTGGGCGAGTTTTCCCACACTATACACTTGAGCACAAATTTAACTGTTTCGCGATTATTATGACGTTTCTGTTACGCATCCTTAATTTTCGCATGTTCACAGTTATGACAGCTGTTTTATGCCGTAGTAGGCAAATCATAATTAAAAAAATATTAATATTTCATTCCTAGTATGGTGTTTTATAAGTCTTAGAATACGTTCTCAACTAAGACTTTCAAAAATGCATGTGTAATATACGCTTAGGTTCAGCGATTTTTTGTGATAGATGAGATTTATTTTATGTTCATCGCTTCATTGTCAGCGTAAGAATATTTTAATGATCGGTGACATCACACATTACATGTGTTATTGTAGAAAGTTTTATAACATCTCCATTTTACTTCTTGTTTGTCAAATAGTTTACATTTCAAGCAAATATTTTGGCTCTTAGTGCAAACTAAAAAGAATTATATTTTATTTCGGCTTATTTGTTTAGTTTGTTTTCATTTAATAATAGTCTCATCACGCCGAAATAGATTGTCCTCCAGTATTACGACATACCTACTGACTCACTGTGCGTCTGGTATACACAAACATTTACCTTATATGCATAATACCGACCTCAGTGTTGAAATGACGTCAAATTAATACTAATTACTAATTGCGTTAAACAGAATCCTGTATTGAAAAAAATACTCTTGAGTCCTCTTGTAACAATCACAAACAATTGTTACACACATAGTTAATTTGCTTTTGCAATTAGTCAAGTGCTATCTTATCTTTTGGAGAAAGGGCAGTCGAGTATTATGACAAAAACGATGTACATTGTACAGGGGTCATACAATATGTCTCTGACCCATTAAAATAAAATTCAATTAGTTTATTGATTACTAGACTTATAATGTTATGTATATGCATAACGATTGGTTGCATTCTATAATATTTGGTGCTCATACATTACACGTTGAAATAAAATTCAAATGTATTTATTTCATATTTTCCACTCTATTTGTATAGTAACACCACGACGCTTCTCAACATTCTTACAGTGTTTAACTTATCTAGAATAAATATTTTAGTCATATAAACTCATCGCCGGTATTACCTGGTGTGTAAATGCTTATATGGACAATTGAGACGACCTTAAACCTATGATAGGGACCTAAGAACGAATTTAACGAAGAATATAAAACAAGAAAAAAATATATATATATCTCTATGACGTAAATGTTTACTGTGCTCAATTGAGAAAAAGTTCATTAATTGTTAAATTCTAAAATATTTATTGTATTTTCGTAAAGCTAATATTATTAACAATAGAAATGTAGCCGAAGGTTTTTCGAACAATCTCATGCATATTTCCATTAGTCTGTCGTTATCATCTTTGAATAAAATTATATTATTTCTAACGAAACAAGTCGATAAATAGTTTGCAATGCTGCGGAATGTACGTAATTTCATTTCCTGCTCATCTCGTTGCGATATTATCATAGATTCAAGTTTGTATATTTACATAATAACGAATAGGTACGCATTCTTATTGTACCCAATTTGTATTATGGCGTTTACGGAGTTGATATTGAATTACACAAGCGTGACATTCAACTGACTTAACAATCGTCTTAATTGATAAAAACACTAACTACAACGACTTGTCTTTGATTAACTGTTGCGTAATGGCAGATGAATTATAAGACGGAATTTTAAATGTGTACACAGACTTTCAATATATGTTTTCAAATCGATCAAAATAACACAGATCATAATATATATGCAAAAGAAAACGCTCAGGTTCAATTGTTAACGTTCTTTTTTTTTCATAGAATTAAATTTTCGTTGTTTTTAAATATGCTTCACGCTCGGCTTGCCGTTTGTTCACTCTAAAATTTAATTTGTAGGAAAAAAAGGAGTCAATGAACCGTCGTTTCTCGAGAAATTACTTGGTTTCTTTGAACTTAAACCTTTTTCCATAATGATATTGCAAGCCTCATTATTATTAATTTTAAAGCGGTTAAAAATACCTTAAATGGCATGTATACATATAGAGATACGTTTATGCTAAATTTTGTATATGAATTTGTTAAAGATGTTAGTTATGTTAGTTAGTTAGAAGGCTAATTTATGTCATTAATTCTTCAGAGTGAAGACTTGCGCTCCCAGCTTGAGAGCGAGCAACACTATTGCGTGATGTACCGAACACAAGCTAACGATGCGCGCGGGCAGCTTGACGAAAGTGCGCGCGCTAATCGCGACCTGGAGCAAGAAAGAGCCAGTTTGATGCATCAGCTGCAGCTGGCTATTGCCAGGGCGGACTCTGAAGCTATTGCGAGGTAATTTTGAATTATTGTAGTATTTAAATAAAACACTTTAACGGTTTAAAACTATAAATATGGGATGGGGAGACCACGGCTACTGCAAAGCACCCGAAACGTCGGGTCGTAGGTAAAATAATTTTGAAATAAGTTTAGCTAATATATTTCGCGTTTTAAACCGTTACTGTTTTATTTAAATGTGGACTACTGGCGTTAACTACAGACTTTATTTAAGTGTACTTGTATTAGTCCTAATAGCGCTTATTATTTTTCAAAAAAATAGATCAATAGCGGAAGAGACAGTTGGTGAACTAGAGAAGGAAAAGACGATGAAAGATCTGGAGATGCGTGAAGCTCTCACTCAGCATCGTAGCGAACTCGCGGCGAGGGATTCTCTAGTCCAAGGTCTACGAGACAGAGATCACGAGAATCGTGCTACTATCGATCTGCAGAGAAAGGTATGTAATTAAGTTTAAAAAGATCAAATAGGCAGTGTGAATCTCGATTCTCTATGTGGGCTTTGGGGCAGACACATTTCAGAGTCAGTTTGTTAATCAAATATATTTTCATTTATATTGAACAAACTTCTGTGCCTTGCCCGAACTATTTTTCACCTGGGATTCGAACCAAGGACTCAGTCCTATTCACACATACATTGCTATATCCATACCCTGTACATTTTGTGTCATTCATGTCTTTAAAAAATCTTTTTTTTTTATTGTAGGAGGTCGATGAGCTCCGTCGCAGCGGTACAGCACTAGCAGAACGCGTCGCCACGCTACAGCGCCTGCAGGACGAAGTCGATAGACTCAACAAGAAACTCAACTCTGAGATTATGCTCAAGCAACAAGCAGTCAATAAATTGGCCGAGATTATGAACAGGTATCGCTTATTTTGTGTTCCTTCGTAGCAATTACGAGCTCAACATTTTCACTTATTAAAATAATAGATTTTATTTAAACCTGATACTATATAAGATTAGATTTTACTAGCGGCTAAGGTAGTATTTTCAAAATGGAAGGGATAGGATTATATAGTTAAGTCTAAATACAGATGTGAAAATGTCATTTTGTTTTTGAAAGATGAGTAGACTATCTTACTCTATATTCTTACATTTTCTCGCAAATAGATTAGTTGGGACAAAACGACAAACATTTTCGTTTCTATAATTTTACTAAGCATAACGGTTTTTTCCTCAACAGAAAAGATATGAATCCTGCATCTACTAAGAACAAGAGCAAAATGTCTGTCCGTAAAGACAAGGACTACCGTAAGCTCCAACAGGAGTTGACGCGAGAGAAAGAAAAGTCAGACCAGCATATTTCCAAGCTGCAACGCGACCTCCAGGATTCGCAGCAGCAGTTAATTGAAGAGCAGCAGACTAGACTTAGACTTGCGATGGAGGTAACTATCAAAAGCAAGCTACCTTTCTACAAAATAATGTTTTACTATTCTTTACAGGATACTAAAACTTTACAGGATTTATTATATTCTCCTTTTATTTTATTTTTAATATTTAAAAATACTTTCTTGAAATCAATCCAGACAAGCAAACATTGTTTCATTATTTACTTCTAAGCATTCTACTATTTAGTTTTTCTTTAATTGATTAGTCATTTGAAACTTTATTGCGCTTATGTCACAAGATCGTGAGTCGACCGTAAAAGCATGATTTTATATTAGTATTATGTCATTGTTCATAGCATAATATTATTCATGCTACTAAGGAGACAACAACTATTTTATCTACCTGTTATTTACTATTAATATATTACTTGTAGTTAGTGAGTGTAAAAAAAGTACGCGCATAAAGTGTGTTCTACCTTCTATTGTCGTTGACTTTGTTTACATCCTTGTAATTTTTAGTACTTTTATTAATATTAGCATGAAATTATGGTTTTTACTAAGTGAATTTTAGGTGGTTCATAAGTTTAACATATAATACAATGTTTTAAAGTATTTTCAAATGTGTGTTAGTTTACTCAAAATGGTAATTTACAAAAATGCACTATACAAATATTTATTTCAGGTGGATAGCAAAGATGCTGAGATAGAGCAATTGAAAGAGAAGCTAGCGGCTCTCACTAGCGAGACGGCCTCCCAGTCCTCGGCGGACGCTGAAGATGGCGAAACTGAACAGACCCTCGAGGGGTGGCTCTCGGTACCATTCAAACAGAATATTCGGCGACACGGATGGAAGAAACAATACGTTGTCGTCTCCTCCAAGAAGATCATATTTTATAATAGCGAGAACGATAAGCAGAACACCACTGATCCTGTCATGATACTGGATTTAAGGTAATCGTTGTATTTGTTTGTCGACTACTTTTAAACACAAGGTTTAAAGCGCGAAATGTATTTCTTATACTATACAAAATATTTTAATAACGGCCAGACATGTCGCCCTGACGGCTGCTGCAAAGCGTCCGAAACAAAGTTTAACTTAATGTACTTCGCGGTTTGTGCCGTTATAAGAGTTTTTTTAACTGTCGACTACTTGGTTGGAGTGAAAAGAAAATAATACATATCAAGTGTTAACGCGAACAAAATAGCATCTTAGATTTTACATTAATTATAAAAATGATTTTATTGAGCAAATTTCCACTGTGCATGTTTTCTATGTATATTTTTTCTTATATGAAGTGTGTATATTTTACAGTAAAGTGTTTCACGTCCGCTCCGTGACGCAGGGCGATGTGATCCGCGCAGACGCGAAAGATATTCCACGTATATTCCAGCTTTTGTACGCGGGAGAGGGCGAGGCACGAAGGCCCGGAGACGCCCAGGACCAACCCGCTGACGGCGTGGATCATACTGGTGAGTATTTATGATTGTATATCAAGTTTCGCTATACAACGTTAATGAGTAATAGTGGGTTGTGGTTACCGCTTGAATTTAGATTAACTAGAGATCCGATAAATCTTTCTTATATAATCGGATAGAATTAGATCAACTGTTAGTGCGTTTTTGAATGATAAATTGAATCAAATGATCGCTCTATTAATGCCGCTAAATGGCTCTCTATATCTACTCTGTTTTACATTTATTGAAAAAATTCGACGATTTGGTGTAGGACTCGGTAGCACAATTGGTAGAGCAGCAGCGCGGAACGCAGGCGATGGCGGTTGAAGTCCTGCCTGAGTCGAAAATTTTTATCAATCTATATTCGATTTTTAAATTATATAGTGCCCATCATGTGCAATATTAAAGTTTTAAAACTTACCAACTGGTAACATTTTAATTTTTAAGAGTTAACATAGTCTTCTACTGTTATCGGAGCGAATGTAAAATAATTGCGATGTATAGGTAACACAGTCCAGCTGAAGGGTCATGACCTGGTGAGCATCACGTACCACATACCGACTGCGTGCGAGGTGTGTCCGCGCCCGCTATGGCACATGTTCCGTCCGCCGCAGGCTTACGAGTGTCGACGTAAGGCCTTTTATATTTTATTTTTACGCCTAATGCCTATTTTAAACCATTAAAATGTGTTTTATTTACACCCTTATTGGGAAAAATAGGTTATGTATGCCAGGCAAATACTTGTTATGTATTTCGTGACTCTCATTGTGGTAGTGTGCGTCAAAATAACATTATGTACTTCAAAGGATACACTACGATTTATTGCAGTTATTTTGTTTTAATTATTATAACATCTTCGTTTCGCAGGTTGTCGTATGAAGGTACACGCAGAGCATGTTACGGAAGCGGGCGGGGAGGGCGTCGCGGCTTGCAAGCTGCACGCGGACCGAGCGCGGGAGCTGCTATTGCTGGCGCCTGCTGCACAAGAACAGCGCCGATGGGTGGCGAGGCTCGCTCGTCGCGTACAACGATACGGTTACCGTGCTGCCCAAAACCACGACCATACTAAACTCTCGCCGAGGTAATCGCTAGTTCTAATAGTCGGTAATTCTTATTACGCTGACAACACGATATTGATAAAACGTAGCTGTGCTAACAAGTGTAGCATCAATTCGTTCGTATATAGTTTGGTTATTTTGTCTCGTATTTGTTTTATTAAAATTTAATTAATCTTCCACTGTATTGTTTGTAGTTTAAATACGAGCGAGTGGTTGTGGTACTAGTAGTACATAATGTAAACACTTAACGATTTTAAACGGAATATATTAGTAAACTTTTTTTTTTTTTTTTTTATTTAGTGGCTTTACCTTTGTTTTCCTAATTTACATTACAATACGAATTAATAAATTCTACACTCTCACCAAGCCTTTGATTAAGTTTAGTAGCATCCTAGCCTCCCCGAAAATGGGAAGGCCAAAACCCCCCCCCCCCCCCCCACATTTTTTAAACAAAAAAATTTTCCCCCCCATTTTTTTTTTCCCCCCCCCCCCCAAAAAAAAGGGGGGGGTTCCCCCCCCCCTTCCTTCTCTCCCCCCAATCAGGGCTTTTGAATTGTTTGTCGGAAAGCCGAAACAAATTAATAAAATTCTTCATTTATATTATTGAAAGTAGTACCACGGGTGAATGGAGGGGCACACCAATACCCTATGTACCTCCAACACTTACTTCACATTTTAAAATTTTTCCCTCCTTTTATTCGCCCATGTAATACCCCCACTCACCTTAACACAGCATATTTAGCCCAACGATCAGCTTCTTCATTACCTTCAATGCCAACGGGTGATATCCACTAGTGTACTGTTTTATTTAACTTTATTTCATGGTCCAAAAATTTACTTTTAACTACGACTCGGCGTTAAATATAAATTTACTAAAATATTTCGCGTTTAAAGTGTTTTATTTAAATAATCTGACCCTAATGTAGTCTTTACCTCAGTAATTTTTCTTAAACTTGGTCAAAATGTAATAAATTCTTAGTAGCGATACCATTATATATTAGAATATAATATGGAAGTTATTATTTTCAACTACTAATTCTAAGTAAATTTGACTATCATGATGTAATTTCAGAGATTCGATGAGGTCAAACTTAAAGGCAGCCTACATGAACGCATCTCAACGTAGTTCTACTTTGCCCGCGAACGCGTCTATACCACGACAATAAGACAAGCTAGATGCAGCATCTCATCAACCAGCCAATGACAGGTAGAAATAGTCATTACCAATACTGTACTATTTTCATCTCGTAAACACACGTTAAATATTGCCATAAGTTTCTAAACATTTCTAATAGATTTTTATGCTTTGAATTATTTCCTGTGACTCATCAGAACCCCTTATTAAAATACATAAGATGCTGGTAGTATTAGATATCATTGTCATACACGAAGCTTATCCTAATGTAGAAATTAGATTGGACAATAAGTACGCCTAAAATCAGAATAAGTCCTACATTTCTATAACGGCCTACTAATACGTAACTCGGTGCCTTCAAACATTTTCTTTCGCAGTAAATAGTTACGTTTTTTGTAATTTTCGCTATATTTTTATTTGTTGACCCATATGTCTGTCCAAATTATGATAATATGATTATATATAGCGTGTACTTATGTGTTTGTGATTTTTTTATTAAGTACAATAATGATTACTCAGAATGGATCTGAATGGTATATTTCATTTGGGAAATGTCGAAACAAAATTTAGTACTGAACTTTTTTCTTATGCGACAATGATTGTTCTCAAAAGCAATACACTTGAAATTTTTCTCTATAAGGTGTTATTAAATGTTTTTACAAAGATGACGATTTTCCAAGATTTTATTTTGGAGACATGTTATAGGTTAATATTTCCTCATTTAACATTCGCTTTGTTCACTTTGTGTAAATATGAATTATTTTGTTGATATTATGACAATTTTGCTCTTGTTCTTAATGTATTATATTATTACGATGGCGTTTTGATGGTTGGTGCGGCTTTTATATTTACCATCGAGTGTATGTAAGTACGTCACGATTGTATGTTGCATAATATTGGCTTACGTTAAACATATTAATAAAACCCGCAAAAGCTAATTACTACTTGTGAAATAGATAGCACATATAGCGACTCGCCGAAGTCAAGCATTCTAAGCGCGATTTTGAAAGTGGACAATACTGATAAAGATAGGACACCAAAAATATACAATATATTTTTATATAGTAGAAATTAGGTATTCAAACAGGAATTGATAATAAGAGAATCAGGAACCTCGGCTTGAGACTGTTAGTCAATTACTAAGTAAACACCTTTGGGTTAGTTGGAATACTACTGCATAAATGCTATTATACTAAAGGTACCTATTCTAAAATTGTTTTGTCGTCAAACTCGATAACACTGGGGCATATACAGAGAATGTTTAGCTGTTATTAAAACAATATTTTTCTTTTAGTTTGTAAATTGTAGTTTTTTTTAAACATACATACAGTTAGGGTCAAGACAGTATATGTAAAACGAGGTTTTGTCATTTTGTTATGGAATAATTAATCCGGCTGCCGCATTGTGATATTTTGCGTATTCTTTGAATGTAATATTAAGAAACACGTTCGAGGAAAGGATATTTAAAGTTCGACCGATATAGTACAAGCGATTCCTCGAATTTGCCAGAATATGGGGAATTAATAGTTTTAAGGAAAACGGTAACGGCACTGCACTGTTTGTACAAGAGCGTTTATATACACTGAAGACACATGCATCTGCATGTTAACGAATACGAGTGCCATACGTTCTACAATATGCTCAATACATTTACGAATGCAAAATTATCGCTAATCCCAGAGGGCTTCCTAAAGTTTACCTTTTTAATATTAAAATAAACTCACTACTTATATATATATAACTTTTGTTTGGTACAAAATTTGTAGAAGCATATCATTCGATTTATTTCTGGTCATTGATCAGATGTAACACTGCCTAAGCCTAATTTAGTAACTTATAGCTACCATTTTAAAAGCAATAAGTTTGTGTATTTCATACAGCCTTAAGATACCTTATGTCAGCCATACTCGCGGTTATTAAAAAATATATTTGTTCAATAACGTGAATATTATGGTGCCAAAATAATTTGTGTTCTAATTTTTGCTTCACGAATATGGTACAAATAAAAAATGTCATATGTACACCTATATGGAGGTAGGCTTATGTTATGTGCGGTTACTAAAAACCTAATCTAGTAATTTTGAATAAAATTTAAATAATACAAATTTCCGTTATACTACGGTCAATATCATAAAACGATCTGCCTAATGGGTATTAGATATTTTTTGTTGTTAGATTTTTCTAAGCGCAGACCCGTAGTCCATATATTGTTAGACAAAAATTTTACGCGTGATTTTTAAAGTACAAATCAATTGTTAGAGACATTGAGGGATTTGATTTACTGTTTGTAATATTTTCATTTTAACCTTCCTATTATTTGGGTATTGTTGTGTTTTCAAAACTATATGAATTTACAACGTGGTATTTTCCAAAAATCAATAAAAGAGTACTTATTCAAGTCAGTAAATTGGATATCTTCAATAATTGACGATGCAAGCATGTGTGTGAACAGCTGTGATGGTAGACATTTATATGGCAACACCCGAGGTGCTAAATGATGCAGGCCACCGACGAATATTTGTAGTTGTTACTAGTGGTTCTCGTTAAATATTTTTGCCGTTTTTATACTCTACTCTGTTAACATTCCTGCAAAAATATACTTGTTTTGTTTACCTTAGTTGTACATCAACTCGCTTGAATATTTGTTCCGTTTCTATTTTGTAGGTTAAGTTTCGAATATGCTTATTAAATTCATGGAGCAACTCGCGATCTTGAGAATTACGTACTTAGTTCTTTTTTATACCTTCATCGTCGTAGTATTGTTACGCTTATTTTTTTATTGCATTTTTTAAATTGTTAGGGCAGCTATCGCTTGTGTCATTCCATCAATTAATGTCATGTTATTATATTTTTGTTATGCCGTTTTCGATGTTTTTGTGTTGCCAAAGAAGATTTGGAGAAATTATGAAAACGAATTGCATTTTATTTTGGATTGTGCGGCGTATTATGCTTTCAATATATCTCACAAAAATTGGTTGAAAATCATGATATCAAACAATACTTTATTTGCTTCATAATTAAGTTACGGTGTTATGACAAAGCTGGAGAGTATTTTTACTTTGCACAGGTTATGGTGGTGGTTTCAGAAATACTCTCGGTTTGTCATATTGTATCGCTGCTGAACAATTGTAGTAAATGTGGGCGAATAATTTATTTTTACTTAATACTTAATCTGTCGAACCTGGAATACCATCTGAAATTCGTAAGTTCCTAGCTAGCTGTTTCGTGTACATTTTGACATAGGAACCACACCTATTTGGAATAACTGATACTATAATATGCCAATTATATTTTTGTCAAACTGTTAGGATTCGGTTAGCTTATACGGTGACGTGATCCATATATTAGGTGCGTATACGCTAGTTGACTACGTCCGTACCCGTAGATGTGACACGCAATACTAAATACCACGTGCCTTAGCTATACGGCCCACACCCATATCATGTAGGCGTATTAACATGTTATTATCGATAGAATTATATTGTACATATGTTTTAAAATAAACCAATATTTTATGGATTTTTTAAGGAATTTGTATATTGTAAAGATAATTAATAATTTTATCATATTATAATAATTAATGCCTAGCTACTAAGTGCTACATTTGTGAAAATAAATAACATTTTAAAATATGCTGTTTCATTTTAAACATTTTATTTTAAATTATATTCCATAATATGTAACTATATAACAAATTTATTTCGTAATACGCGCTACTTATGTAAGATAAAATATATTTAGGCTAGCTAATAAAATGTGACATTTCAATTAAAATAATCCGACAGATTTCTTGATGTTCTTTTGCTTCCAGAGCGGCAAAGTGCGGAATTGATTGTAGGGCATGTTAAATGTTGACACGAAGTCGTCGTGTGTGAGATAAATCTGTAATCATTATCAAAAGATTAGCATATAGATAGTTAAATACTTTTTAACAGTTACTCTCTTTTTTTAAACTCGTTACGTTAATCTCGTGACCACGGCAAACGTAAACGACACGACATCCAAAATGTCATATTGTTAAAATTAACTAATAAATTTCGTTTTTAAAACCGTTAAGAAGTGTTTTATTTAATTTCGCGACAACGAGAATTCAGGTGATAACTATTTCTAAAGTTAATTAAATGAGTAGTATTTAATTAGATATAAGTGCGATTAAAAATAATTTCACTTCTAAGTTTAAGTAATCACTATTTTCACCTCTTTGGTTAATGGGTCCACGTCAGATGGCATGTGTTCTTTGGGTCCTCTGAGAACGGACAAAGGATATTTCTCGTGCTGATCAAACTGATTCTCAGTGTTGCCATTCTGAAGTGTACTGTTCCCACCGTGAACGATCGCTTTGCCCTCCAGTGCGCTTATAATTGCACTGAATGTCTTGTGGCCCTGGAACCATAGAAATTTATGTTTAACATATGGTTTTTACGAATAAATAAATCAATTAATATATTATACAGTGAGGTGTAACTACCTTCCACATAGAACTCTTCCAATGCGGGAAGAATCCAGTGAAATTAGGGGGGCTCTCTTCCCTGGCTTAACATGAATATTGGAGTTTCAGGATCACGAGAGGCTGGATCTAAACAAAAGTTATACCATTTAAATAAACATTTTATTTTTAAAAACGCGAAATAATGCTTTTTTGAAAACTTTTTAACCTATGGCGCGACGTTTCGACGTTACGCTTTCGGGCCAATCGGGCTGTACTTAAAATAATGTTCAAATTTTGCCCTATATATTTCGCGTTTTAAACCGTTAAAATGAAAACACGGTCACGTTTGAACCGGAATCCGCAGCGTTTTGATTGCGCTGCCGTACATACCATATGAAAGATAGGATAGAGCAACATTCCTGGCATCATCTTTAGTCCGCACGCAGCAATGGGATCCAAGCCACACATAGACCGTGCAGTGCACGTCCAAGACAGCACACATCTCCGGAGCCAGCTCGTACTGGCTAAACGATACTATCTCTTCAACTGAAATGTACAATAAAATACTCTACACTTTGTGGTAAGCCCGATACCAGGATCTTTGTTAACTTTTTGCATATTTGCATTGCTAAAATTAAAACAACAATTATCACCTTCATTTATTCCGATTTCATTATGCAAAAATTACAATTATTAAACCACGTGTTTTAAACATAGTATTTAATTTCATTTATCCGAACAACAAAAAATATATAGTTGTAACTAAAAAACTATAATTATTCACTTTAAAATTAACATTGATATAAAAATATTTATGTCATGAAAAATAAAGTCAACCTACAAGTATAGTGCCCAGGTGCAGATGTTGACACGTAGAACAGGCGTGGTGGTAGAGGGCGCTGCATCTCTTCTAATGGTGAGGGAACAAGCAGGTGTCTACGGTCTCCAAGAGCCGCCCAGAAATCTGACTTCTCTTTACCTTAAAACATTTTAACGGTTTAAAATGCGAAATTTTCAGTTAAACATATTTAAAGATTATTTTAACTGTGGCTTGTTAAAGTGTTTTATTTAAATGTATACTTACTACTCGCGTAAAGTACAGACTGTATTCGTTTTGCCGAGAAACAGAAATTAATAACTTTTCCCGGGATTCAAACTTCATGCAATACTCTGTTTTAATTTTTCTAACTACCTATTTCCCTCGGACATGAATGAAGATCTACTTGACAAGCTCGACCGTTTACAAAATTTTTCATCCGGTTTATTTTTGGCCTTCGTAAATATGATCATATCTCTACTTACCGTAAGCAGCTTGTTGGCTTCCCATTCGGCTTAGACTGATTCGCATACTCTACACCTTCTGTACTCTATCCTCTTTAATCCCTACATACCTCAAACGATCTTTTAAATTTTTGGGCCCTTACACCTATGGCCTGCGGTCTGCGGAAAGGTTTATACTAGAAATTCCCAGTCACTCTACGAACTTTGCTGGTCACTCTTTTTTCCATCTCTGCTGCAAAACTTCGGAACTCTCTACCCGACTCCGTGGAACCCCCCCCCACCCCGCCCCGATTAGCTCCTTCCTTGTTTTCCTTCAAAAAGTCTTTTATATAAACATCTACTGTCCTTATCATGTTAATAAATTTCACTTTCCTTTTTTCTATTTTTTTTTTTATATTTATTTTGCTGGGTTTTTATTATTTTTAATTTAATTTAAGTTTATTTTGTTTAGTTTAAGTAATTAGTAAGTTTCGCACTTCTTGCATACTGTATAGTTTTTAATTAATCGTTAAGTTTCTTTCTACTCGGGTTGCCTGGAAGAGATCGCTTATAGCGATAAGGCCGCCCGGTACACTCTATAGTTATAAATTGCATAGTATCTGTATGTTCAGTTTGGTGTATCAAAGTGTAAAATAAATAAATTTACCCTCCGATAATATAACCATGGCATATTTTTAAGTAACATAGTTATGGACTTAAAAGACAAAATTATCAAAATAATGTCATACAGTCTGTAGTTTACGCGAGTAATACATATTAATTAATACACATTTAACGGTTTAAAACGATATGTATTAGTTAAACGCAAAAAAAATTTTACAGAAATTTCGAATGCTTTGCAGAAGCTGTGTTCACAGTTCACGTCGTAGTACATTTTGCGTTTCAAACGGTTGAAAGTGTATTATTTATAATTAATAAATATTCTATTAGGAAGTTAGTATGTTTAGTTTTGTTGTGCTCCGTTTTGCCAACTATCTGTATTTTCATGTTTCGTTACGTACACATTATATAAAATAATAAATTAATATGAAAAATCACCTTGCATAACAAGAACGTGTTCAGCAGCTGCCATATTCTTGGCGACCTCCCTTTCGTCACCAGTTGCAGTGGTAGCACACCATACCCACACGCGGGCACCTTCGCGAACCACGTAACATGCCCCTCGTCCGCCAGCAGTGGAGGCACAGCCCACTTCCACACCTCGGGCTTCTCGTGCATACTGTCCAGATACCCGGATTAATGCCCGAGGAGGTGGGATCACACGCCGGCCACTTGCTAAACAATTAAGAGCGTATATTATTACATTATATATGTATTACCTAAATACTGTCTGCAGTTTACGTGAATTGTACACATTTAAATAAAATATTTTAACGGTTTAAAACACGTTATATATTAGTTAACCTTATTTTTAGATTATTTTAACGACGGAAAAGGTCGCTGCTGTAAAGCGAATACGAAACGTTGGGCCATAGTTAAAACAATCCCCAAATAAGTTTATCTAATGTATACCGCCTTTAAACCGTCAAAGTCTTTATTTAAATATGCATTACTTTTCAATGGTTCGTATAAGACAGGCAATACCTAATTTTAGTTATTTAGATATTATTATTTTAATATACTGTATTACCTATGGGATAGGGACCATCGCAGTCAAGAGTTTTTTTTAATATAATTTGTCAGCCTATTTTTATGTACGCGCATCTTGAGCAGAAAATATTAATAATGCCTATGGCTATCTCGCGTTAGTCTTAATAGATTTGAGGAAGGTTACTTACGATCATAGTTTGTTGCGGTACCGCAGTATGTCACCATTCTCCCTTTGAAGATTTGCAAGAAGTGAGCGGGCTCCTTGCCTTGGTATACCCAAGCCTGTCGGGAGTAATTGTTAAAGATTCCATACATAATATTAGTATGCTTACTATGCTTGATTAAAAGGTTGTTAAAGTTGATGATAATTATTACAGACAGTAGTGTAGTATCCTTACCTGAATTGGAAGTCGCCCCAGCTTTGTGTAAAGGTCCCTGGCTTCCTTTGCGCCCAAATTCTTAAGGTCATTTGGAGAAGAGCCACCCTGAAGCATAAATGTTTTTAGTAGAACTTATACTCCAAGCATATACATAATAACAGTACCTGTTTTTTTTGAGTGTCTTGTTATAATCATTTATAAATTACCATCCAATAATAAAGAATTGTTTGGTCCCCTGTAGGTGCGTGGTACGTATATAAAGCGATGTAACAGTCGCGATCGTAGAACACAGCCTGCTGTGGTCGCTCTAACTCTTGCAATGCGCTTCGTTCTCGCTCACACTCCTCTTCGCGACGTACACGCCACATGCGAAGAGCTCCTGAGCCGTCATCTGGAACCTGAGCCTAAGGTAGAAGATAATAAGTGGCATATCTACTTTTCCAGTCTACTAGCTGTGCCAGCGACTTCACCCGCTTAGTATAATTTTCACCACCTCATCTTAATAAATATACCCACGACGTCGGTTGCTTCCCGTGGTTTTTGAGACTTAATCTTAAAAGATAGACTTATACTGTGGCGGACATTTTAGAGTGTTTAAAGAGGAATCATTCTTTCATATATATACTTTAGGTATTTCGCAGCGCAATACCAAATTGTACCAATCAATTCGAATCAGTAGTTCTTGAGATTAGCCCGTTCAAACAAACAAACTCTTTAGCTTTCTAATATTAGTGTAGATTGTGTGACACTTACCTCAGCAGCTAACCACGCATTTGTAGCGAGACTCACTGCATCCAACTTAGTAGTAGCGGATCTAGCAGACTTAAGCCTTACTTCGCGTCGCATATCGTACCAATTCCACTTATGAAACAGTGCAGCAAATTCCAACGGTTCACGACCAGCAATAGTGACAGATACAGGGCCGGAGTATCGACGCGCTTTAGCAAGACCTCGGGCGGCAGCTAGGGCGCCTCGAGAAGCAGTTTTAGAAGCGCTCGACCCAACCCATGCCCATACACCTCGTGCTCCCGCGTCTACTACGTAGATGCTCTAAAAAAAGGTAGGGTATACGCTGAGAATGAGAAGATTTTAATAAGCTTTCTTTTTTTTAAGATTGAGGAGGTTGACAAGCATGGTTCATTTCGCAGACGGTAAAATACCGCAGTCATATAACGCCTAAATGTATACGTATAGGCGTTATATAGCTACACGACGATGTCTGCCTGCAGTAATACATAGTTTTTGTATTTAAAATGTCTTTGTTTTAGAAATATGTAGTTTGTAAATGTATTTATGAAATATGTTTTTTCGCAATTTGAACTACTTATTGTTACTTTCTTTTGTTTTGACATTATCTACTTTTATGAGAAATGAAAAATAATTGACTAACGTCATCGTTCAAGTCAGTTCTAAAGAGTGGCGCTTGTTTTATCTCCTCTAGTCGGGCAGCCGGTTTTTGTGAAGGAACCGACACTGGTGATGCTCTTGACGGTTGAGTGGATTTATATAAGCGGGCTGGTCTCGGCGAGTCTAAAGTTGGCGCCACAGGGCGGACGGATCGAGCGCGTAGATCCAACATGGAATCGAGAAGATTTCGGTCTGCCACTGGAAGAGTTTGCTCGTAGCCATCGTGGGCGATTGTTATTCGACGGGACATCATACCTTTATCAGCACCGCGAGCCATTCTGTATGCAATCTGTCAAAAATGTATTTGTATTAATAAAGTTACAGAATATTTACACTCGTCCCTATCATTAGCTCTCTTTATCTTACACCCAAAACAAAGTACTTCAAAATTACACAAAGTAGATGTAATCCTTCTTTCGTTAACCTTTATCATAGTCTTTACAGATTAAGGGTTTACAAACCTTAGCACCGAATATTTTCTCAACGAGGTTAGCAGCGCGCCCAAGCCACAAAACAACTAAAGATGGCGTGTCCAGAACGAATACTCCGTCCGATGTGAGATGGGACCAGGAGACGGGTTCCAATTGCAACATTACAGGTCTTCGTCCACGTACTTTGTAAAGACGACCACTGTTTAGGTTGTTTGATCCATTGCACAGGATCCTAGAAATTGAAAGATAGGCTGAGAGAATATAGGCACTATTATATATACTATAGACATGCTCGTTGGTGAAATGGTAGCATGTACGGGTAGTAGATTCGATCTCAACATTTTTCTAATCAATTTATAACTTTTCTGTGACATATTGGACATTCTGGAAATCTGGATATCAAATGGTATTATCAAAATTCCAACCGGGTCACCCACTACCGTCCAAACATGAAAAAGTGAAGTTTAATCAAGTTTCGATTTCAGTCTGTGGATTTCCGAATATCCAAAGCAAAAAAGTGAAGCCCACTCTTGTCTGTTCTCCTCTATATTAAAAAAAAATAACTAGCTTAAACTTGCGTTTACATAGAAACAGCTTTGATTACATTTTAATATATAGCCTTCAAACCGCGTGTGAAACTTCGTCTTCACCTTTGATATTAGTAAAGACATATTCGTATACCTAAGCAATAAGTTAATAATCGATGCGTTCAGTACCTAATTCCATCATGGAAATAGGAGAGTAATCTAGGCGACTCTTTAGTGGCAGTCTCCCGATGAAGGACAGCCGGTGCCCCGATATGAGATAGAAGTTGAGTCGCTCGTTGCAAGGCCACAGTTCCCAGACCACCAGCTCGCTCTCCGGCCCATGCATGGATGTGACGCTCAGCATACTCTCCGTTCCCATTCTCTTTTATTTCACGGCGCTGGTGAAAGTTATTAAAAACTAATCCATAGATTACTAAGTTTTTAGAGATTAAAAATAACTTACGTAGTAATTTTAACAGGTTTATAAAACTAAGTGCAAAGAAAATATTGTTTGTATACTGTCGATTTCATTTACGCACAACATTTTATTATTTATTATATAAGTTCTATGTTAAATGTGTTGTAGACTATTTTTACTTCCTAGATACTTTACTATTAACTATAATTTAGATTTTAGGCAGTGGCGTAGTATAGGGCCAGGTGGTGAACTGCACTAGGGCCCCGCAGCTTAGGGGCCCTCTAAACCGCTCGGGCAAATCATGAACTGATGGCGGGCCGACAGAAGTATAGGTAAAACACAATGTAGAATTGATAATAATGTGGTAAAGATGAAAAAGTTTTTAAATTACGTGTTTTTGACCTTCCCATATCTATATCTTGTTCTATAATTTTGGGACCTTAAATAAGATCAAGCTACGTAGAAAAGGGGAGATGGTCCGTTTCTTGTTTAAATACCAATGCTGTTGTCCACCTAACTATTTAGGTATTATATCAAGAAAAACCTTATGATCTAATTTGAGTTCATTGAATGCCTCGAATAGCGACATTGTTACTTACAATGACATCAGGTCCTGCAGGCTGCCCGGACAAAGATGCCGAGTAGACGAGGTACGCGTCTGTGTCATAGAAGGTGCCATAATGAGAACGCGGCAGCATTTCCGTCGCTGACTTCTGAAAGGCGAATTTGGAATACTTCCTAAGTTTAATTAAAACACTTTAACGGTTTAAAACGCGATATATATTAGTAACACTTATTTAAACATTATTTTAACTACGGGCCGTTTCGGATGCTTTGCAGCAGCCGTCGTCGGGAGATGTGTCGTGTTTTGAATCGTTAAAGTGAATTTTTGTAATGTGTACTACTCGCGGAAAGTACAGACAGTATCTTTCTTAATAAAAAAAATGAAGACGATGAATTAATGCGTTGGCCGCGGGTCAGAAAATAAAAGTTTTCTTGCAGGTCTAAGTGTCATCGAGAGATTACCATGAAGTCGGAAAGTCAAACAGCACACCCACCCACTTGGTAATAAAATGTGTGAGTAAATCCGTTCATTAAAAGTTTCAATTTACGGCAAGTTATTACAATCATGTTATGTACCATTTATTTGTTAATTAATGTTTTTAATTTGGAGATACATATTCGACCATTGTTTGTATTCAGTTGCAGCGGCCGTGTTGATTAACATCTATGAATATTTTCGTTACGGCTTGGTAAAATTGTATTCAGACGAATACACTGGACAAATAATTAAATAATTGGGGCTTTGAGTGTGTAAACTCACAATAGTTCCATTTTCTCATCACGATACAAGTTTACCAACCGTTATCTTTTTACTGCGATGACGAGCTTATATAAGTAGAATACTTGAATAAGAAATGTATCTATACTAATATATAAAGCGGAAGACTTTGTATTTGAACGCGCTAATCTCAGTAATTACTGGTTCGAATTGAATATTTCATTGTTATATTAGAACTTTATTGAAACTAAAAAAACAATGGATCCCAAATTAAATATACTAGTTTACACGAGTAGTACACATTTAAAAAAACTTTAACGGTTTAAAACGCGATATATTAGTTAAACTTATTTGGAAATGATTTTTAAATTCGGCCCGACGTCTCCGTGTCCTCGGCTGCTACAAAGCATCCGAAAAGTCGGGCCGAATTAAAGTCATTTTCAAATAAGTTTACTAATATATCGCGTTTTAAACCGTTAAAGTGTTTTATCTAAACAAATTAACTATTCCTACGCGGACGAAGCTAGTAAAAAAAGCTAGTAAAGGATATAAGAACTCAAAACGGATTTCTTGTAATAACGCTTTATATACTATTCATACTTTAAAAATGATATGAATATGGTAAAATATATTGTACTTCGTACAGTCTTATGTTAGCTTTGAAAATGGTGTGCGATTTCAGAACTGGTAGTTAATATATATTCTTTAGCTTTTAACTGGTGTGACGTTTATAAGCATAATGCACCTACTTACCTTGGTGAATAAATGATGTTTGACTTTGACAATGTAAGGTAAAACTTGTATTTATTTGAGAGACCTATCTAACTTAACGACAATATTAAAAAAAATGAATAAGCGTTGTTTATTGTTTAGAGTTATTGTTGGGTGCCTTTGTTGTTATTGGTTATTTTGTTTGTTAAAGACTAAGACCAAAAGAAGTCACTTGTCTTTTTTAGTGTATCAATCCTTTCATATCATCTAATTAGTGATTTGATTTTACGTAATTTTTAAAAATCTACATAAGCAATCTACAACCAATATTACTGAGTACTTCTTTACATGACTTTACTTACAGGTACATCTACATAAAACAAGAGCACTCATTAAATGTGGGGCAGGCGGATTGGTTCTTTTCATCAGCGTGACCAATAAATCTTCTGCTCCAATTTTTTAGTGTGGACTATTATTTACGTTATTTTATACGCGGTCTCGGTCAGCTGAGTTGCATAGCGGTAGATATGAGAATGAATCACAACACCGTTAGCTTATCCCCTTACAATACTTCAATTCATACGCACAACTTGCTTGACACTGCTTTGTACTCGTTTATGAACTAAAGCCTATAAACACAACTATGCAATAATACGCAATAGAAATAGATTGGACGTTAAAAGTATTAAAATGTATGAAAGACTATGATTTTCACGACGTTTTTCCAAATTTGGTTTTCGAGATGTCCGGCAGACATAATTAAGAAATAGGTCCTGGACGTTTCGTCATTCATCGTCATGTTTACATCATTAGTAATGTTTCTGATGTTGATGATGAAAAGTAACAGCCATTTAATGATTCTTATCTTAAACCGAGTTAAAATTACGCATGACACAATTGAGACGTTCAACATAGTTACTAAAAGCGGTAATAATTACTGTTTAATTTGTTATCTATACTAACATTATAAAGCCGAAGAGCTTGTTTGTTTGAACGCGTTAATCTGGGGAACTACTGGTTCGCGGTAAAGTACATAATAAGTGTTTTACATTATTCAGAGAAAAATAATTATTTTATATATTTTTTTAGTACTTTGAACCGTTTGCGCAGCACACGCAACGGAAGCACTCAAAAATTAAGTTTTCCACGTTTTTTCCACATTTCCCACTGTTTCTTCGCTAGTCGCATGTTTCTTGATAAATTCACTACCCACCACAAAAATAATTTTTAAATTCCAAACAGTTGTTCCTGAGATTACCGCGTTTAAGCAAACTTTTCAGCTTTATAATATGCGTATAGATGAGGTTTAAATTTCGTTGTATTTCAAAAGCGCAAGCGCAGGAGAGACGTTCCAATCTCGCTGAGATAATAGTCGGTTTGCAAGCGTGACGTCCTCGCATGTTGCTCGATTTATTGCTATATGCTTAATTAACTGTAATACAACTTTCTCTTCTCTTTGTTTATTTGAATCTCATTTACCGAATGTAAATAATTTATCTTAATTATTCACACTCGCAAGGACATTAATAATTTAACATCTAAAAACATTTTAATTACATGGTAATAAATGCACATGAGAGCTTCTAATATGAAAAAATAAAAAAATCTAATGTTTTAAATGGAACTTCTAGTTTATCATGAACTTTGTCTTCTTTTTCTCGTGCCTCTCCATTACCGAAGGTTGGCCGTTAGCTTGAATGTTATTATGAACTTGAATTATGTTAATGGCAAAACAACGGTCGTGGGTTCGCGTCCTGTTTGTATAAATTTCAGAGAAAATAATTTTTAAATTGAATATTATTGTAAACGCTACGCTATAGATATAAGTGAGTTCGACGCACTTAGGACTTAAAGAGTGGTTGTCGTACTTTCTTTTGACCTGAGAAAGTGGAGTTTTGTTTAACTTTTCCATTAAAATAAGATAAGGTCTTGTTCTTTGGGGACGTAATCATGTTTATTTATTTACCACAATGCCCAGAAATAAAGATTAAGATCGCAAGACGTAATCTTTGCTGTTAGAAAGGCTAATTTAACTTGAGACTCGCTCCGCAATGAATGCTTTCATCTACTTATTACTTTCTTTCACTTGACAAAATAATAATACGTTTTGTACCGGTTGAAATGTTAAATACTAATGTTAACTGAAAGTATTTTATAGCACGGCATCTATGTATGGAGTTTCTTTGGTAAGAAATAGGTGTTATAAGGCTTAGACTTTATACATAAATTTTTCTAATGATAGAGGAGGTTCACGTGATAGTAGGTGATATACCTCAGCCTATAGCTTCTAAACAAGATGCGCTGTATTTTGGCTTTGGACATTCGGAAATCCACAGACTGAAACCGAAACGCGATTAAGCTCCACAGCTTTTTCATCTGTGGACGGTGGTTCTTGACCTGGACGGAACTTCTATATTCCTATCACCCTTTTAACATCCAGAATTCCAGATGAAGTCCAATATATTTCATAAAGTATATGATGAGAAATTAGAAACATATTGGACCTGGTGGGGATCGCACCCACGACCATTAGCCATAGATTATTACCATTAGACCAACGAGTCCGTCAAATGTATACGTTATAAAAGTTTTAACATGATTTTAAAATTACTATACTTGTAAATTTATTTTTTTTCCGAACTTTTGGCCTGGGAAACTGCACTCGCACTGGGCGACAAAACTTTTCATGTAAATTTTCATATAAACTATAGTTATTTTTCATGCTATTTTTTTTCAGTAATACAAATCATATGGCAGGGTAGTTTTTTTCAATCTATAATTTATATAGTAGTTCCCAATGTTGGGGCCCATCAGACCTGTTACAGTTTCCACAATGGGACTCGGATTTAATAAGAGCTTGCTGGTCAAATGAGTATTGTGTGTGTGGGACGCAGAAGGTTTAATCACGTTCTCCATCCCCAATCAGAAGATGACTACATAGTCAACTTCTAACTGGGGATGAAAATGAATGAAGTGAATGGTGAACCAAACATAAGGTATGTTTGGTTCACATTTATGTCGTCGACTCTAGACCTCACGAACCGACGTCAGTGCACATACCACTAGACCAATTCGGCTCCCAGTATAACTATATCTTTCGTTATTTCTTGATTAACTCTGGCCGTACAAGATTAGTCCATTGATTAAATTGTATTAATCTATCTTGATAGTTCCACGAAGAGGCGGTATAGGAAAACTGGGCGTTGACCTATAGTAGGCTAACGATCCTTTGTCACGGTAACACGGTTCCTAAACTCCATTCAAGCGAGACTAGGACTTAGATAAAATAACCACATAAGCGACAGCATATCAATTTGTTGAATCGGAGAGTCATAATATAGATCCATCGATGAAGTATTATTATTTAGTATAAAGACCTAATAATAATAATAATTAATAATAATAATTAATGCTAATAATTCTTTATTTAAAAACTTCAATATTTTTCACATGTTATTGCACATAACGACACTATAAGAATTAAAAATCACAGAGCAGGGCTCAACATGGTATGAGACGGTAGCTCAATTGGTTAGAGCACGGAACCCCGGTTCAAGCCCTGCCCGTGTCGTAAATTTTTTCAATTTATAATTCAATTTTTATTGTTTTTTTTTTAATTTTATGATAATCCATAAATGTACAGTTTAATTAGAAATTAGCGTTCTTCAAAGATATTCTCTGTCGTATCAACATTTGTTCTCGCTTTTTACATGTGCTTATAATTATTCCTTATAACTTCTTGAATGGTGCAATTTCAAATTCCCATTAATGTTTGATTAATTTCATTTTTAATATTATCTGTCTTTAAAATATATATTTATATATATGTTATACTTTAAACGCGTAAAGTCGGATCCCTAAAATGTGAGTTATTTCAGATCTTGTATGTAAAATTTTTGAAATGGTAACTCTTATGACGTTTTGCATTTTCAGCCATCATCTAGTTGCACAGTGAAAGTGCAAAGATGTCTAAAGATAATATTTTATGATATGATTATGGAAATCGTAATGACTGCCGTTAGCTAAAGCTTATCATGGTAATGGGAATATTGCGTGGTGTATCTTCGGTCATTGTTAACAGTTATATAATACTGTAACACCATTGTGTTATGGCTGACTACCTCTTTATGAGGCGTGAATATCATTGTTTATAGCTTAGATGAAGAAAAACCCGGATGTGGACTAGAAATAATCCGTGTGAAATTTGTTTATCAGATTTTATAATCAATTAATTAAAGTAATAGATATAATAATAATATTTAAATGTTTTGAAAGTAGTAAGTAGCAATTTACTGTATTTTTAAATTGATATAACAAATTAATAATCCAACCAAACGCTAAGAAACCCGTTAATTTTAATCTTAATTTCTACGTATGCAAATCTTTGACAAAAAATGTTTCAGAGCTTAGAGCCAACATACTGGTCCAGTGCAGGTTGAAGACAGAAGGGGCAGACGGCGTTAATAGTTGGAACTAGATTTTCCAAGACTAAATTAATATTTCGCCAAGGTCGGGATGGTTTGATTTATTTTCTTAAAGTTTTCACGTGGGACATGTGATAAGCCAAATATAATATAAATATTTGAAAAAAGAAACACAAATTTTGCTCGTTATAAACGTTTTTGAGAATGATCCTTACGATAGCTTTGGTAATAAATAGCATAGAATTTTATCATTGGTTGATCTTGTATAATTAGACGTATGTGTAGTGCGAATGTTTAATGATATCAATATTAATTACGTACCGTTATTCGCCATATTAGGAATGTCGTGTGATCGGGAGGAACAGTTCGAAATGTTGCATCCGTCGCTGGCCGTCCGTTTCCATTCTCTTCGTCCTAAAAGAAGAACACACTTACATAACATTTAGTTTATACATATCATGTAAAAGCTAAAATTTTTACCACGGATAATATAATATTTATTAGGTAATTCAACGTTACTTTATAAATTCCACACATTAAGAAATGAAATATTAAATACTCAATACTTATATGTATATACATATACAATTAACACTCGTAAGTAAAGAAATATTAACGAAATACGCACATATATGACAAGAGATGGTTGTTACCTGTGAGTTCGATTATGTTTAATCTTTATACATTTTTTTTTACATGTTATAGAATAATCAAGTACTTTAATCACAGAAATCGCGCGCAGAAAATTTTGTGGGTATTTTTATTTCAATAAATGAACACTCCTAGATTTATACTTGTGCATACAATGTAGACTCTATTTAGCAGATATCCAAGGTCTTTACTCTGAATAGGACAATTCACAATATCATTGACGAAATCGAGGCGTACCGCCAAAATTAAATTATGTAATCGTAGTTTTTCTATCTATGTATACCTATTTATCGAACATCTATTGTACTTAAAAGGATTAACAATATTGTATTAAAACTTCTAATCGTTCACAATGTTGAGAAACTTTTTAAAAGTTTGTATTATAATAACTGAATAATATAGCTTTTGAATTTAAAAAAAAATACTTTCAAAATTTAGCAATTATTTTACATAACCACTTTAACTAAAATAACATCTATAATGGAATATTGTAAACATCTATTTAATAATTTTTATACTTGGTTCAGATTATTTATTAAACAAGAACATATTAACATTAAACTAATTAAAAAAAATTTATGTGGACTTATAATTACTTGTTCAGCGCCAATTTCCAGTATGTGCATTTTGACAGCTATCTGCGGCTACGACCCAAAACCCATCACCCAACACACTGAAAAACCACCCACTCGTAACACTTTTTAATTCTCTAGACGACCGAAACGTCTGTACACACTCCACAGACTAACAGCGGACACTCTTCGACGAGAGAAAGAAAATTATTTCACGCTGAGTGCACTACATATTTTATTAAATGGAGGAATAAATTAAATCGCGCGAAAGTCTGCCGTGAGCGATTGATAGCGACGCGGCGATTTTCATCTGCTCTTAACAGCTTAATTGTAATTAACTGTAAACAATCATAAGTATCTGGAGCAGACGATGCATAACTACAGATTGAATAGTTTTACTTATGTCCAGTAATTAACACCACGTGAAAGGAGGAGGCCGTTTCTAATCACTAACTTTTTATGTTAAGTTTTAGCATTAAATCTCCTAGTTTTTACTTACTTAATAAAATATTTTAATTAGGTATATATAACTATTATACGTTCGAAGTGTATGTTAAAATATAGAAACCTGATAGATGTCCATTGTTATTGGGGATCAAGCTTTTAGCGCTGATTTTTCATTGAAGTGTTTTGCTAGCTCCTCAAACACATGATGCTTCTCTGAGGTGACTCGGTGACTGCTGCAAAAATTCCGTCAGCGATTTGGTGTGCCACAGGATTTGCGGTCGGACGCCCACTTTGTGTGCCTCTATTATTATTCGTAATATACACGTTCACTTTCATTTATTAGATACGGATTTTAAAATAACGTCAGATGAAAATGACTTCGTAACTCAATTTGCGACGCACGCAAATATTTTGAGATAGAAAACACGCTAAGTAGTTAAATTCTTGGAATTTAATCAGATGCATCGTTGCATTTTAGGTCTAGGCATATTCTAATAAAAGGGTATAAATATTCTTGGTACCTACTTAACATTTAGATATATACTATGCAAGTTATAAAACAGCATAAGAATAGCGAATAATTTTTATTTGCGATTTAAACAATCATTTATAACTTAAATATTAAATTCTGTCTATAGTTTACGCGAGTAGTACACATTTAAATAAAACACTTTAACGGTTTAAAACTTATAAAAGTTTTTTTTTACTTTGACGTCAGAGACATCCTCCATCCCTAGTCTTCCCGTGACCACGGCTGCTGAAAAGCATCCGAAACGTCGAGCCGAAGATACTAATCATTTTAAAATAAGCTTAACTAATATATCGCGTTTTAAACCATTAAAGAGTTATATTTAAACGTAAATATTCTATATTAAGGGCATTAAGTAATTTTCAAGACGTTTGAAGAAGGTAAATTAAAAGTTACATTTCACAAAATATCTACCCTCCGCTTTTACAAATAAAGAGGATTTAATGCAACTGTCACAAATAATTCTAATATGTCATTAACAATAGAACAAATATCAACAATGACATTTATTGGGAAATACTAGTATATACTATTGTTTACGTTTTACAATAAAGTTTAAATTTAAATATGCATACAGACGATATTTCCGATAAGGAATGTGAATTTGAAGAAGGTCCTGATGATAATCCGAATATAACGAAGAAATCAGTTTCTACGGTAGGATTTAGAAATAACTCTGAAAACGTTAGCGCTAGGCCAATGGCCCTGCGCGCAACTCAGTCTTTTACGGGAGCAGTTGAAGAATTACGTTTTTGTAGTAATATGCAAGGAATGAACATCGCAAAGGGAATGGACGTATCTTCGACACCTAAGTCGCCGCCAGTGTGCCCTTGCGGCTGCTTATTGAGACCGACTGTTACGGGACCCTTTCGGACTAGAGAAAAAAATACCCTAGCGCTGCATGTAGTACCTCCAGAAGTTTTAAATCACCATGGATACAATTTTGAACCAAACGATATAGCAATGTTTTGGAAAAAAGATTGTCGTATATTTCTATGGAAAGGTAGGTCAAAAATTAAGAAGACTAACTCGAAGAACAAGGTGATGTAGCAGTTATATATATATATATATAATTAAAACAAAAACCGTTTTTCGAGAACTGTATTTAACCATCTAAATGCATAATAAATATTTGTTGCAAAATATTGTCTTTAAATCTACTGTAAAGTTTGAACTGTATCTAAGGGTTGTTTTTCTACTCCTGGTAGAGAAGTTTCTTCAGACTCTCCACAAGAAAATCGAATATAATCAATAACTTCCATTTTATTTTCTTCTAAAAATTCTTGAACTGTGTATGATGGATCTAGCAGATACTCTTGAAAAATAAGACAAACTTCGTCATCTAAATTTGTAGCTGGTTTGTCATTATCTTTATCCCCTATCTTAAGAGGAGAGCACCCCACAATATGTTGACATAGCTGCCTACCCCTGTCTTCGATATCATTAGCTTGCTTATAGGCTAACAATGCACCATATTTTCCTGCTGAGTAATCTGAAGCAACTGAGGGAGCAGGATGAGTATATGCAGATATTTTCACATCATTTGAGTTTGCTTTCCAACACTCGGCACGTCTGAGTACAGCATTTTCCCCCACAGATCCAATAAAGAGAGCCAAAACTTCAGATAATTTCTTTCCATCAATACTTAAATTACCCAATTGTTCACTGTCTAACTCCATCTGTAACAAATATAAATAAATAAAACTAACAAAAAAATAATCAAAGAAAAAAGTCTTAAGTAAAATTTAAAAATACATGTATAGACCACCATAGCACAGTTGTAATTGTGTGACACTGCCTTAATAAGTCAATGTCTGAATATCAATTTTTGTTTTTGTTAGACAGGGCACAGATCTGATTATCCACATGCATGTATTTAAAATCAATCAGTGGCGAAGCAGACAAAGTCTTTGCCCTAAATATGTAAAAAGTTAGTAGTTTTAACTTTGAAATACATGAACAATGAATTTCAAACATAAGATTGCACATTTGGAGTCGATTGATAGGCCCTGATTGTTATTACAAGTATTAAGCTATTAGATTTGGCTAATATTTATTAAGCTTATTATTACCTACTAGTTAAAACTTCTAAAGTACTGCTAAAACTCAACTCACTTTTGTGACAGCACCCTTCGATTGTAAATTAGTGTGGGCAAACTTATAACATGCACTTGTAGCATCTTCCACCATTTTATGAAACTTCTCATTCTTTGCTACAAAATCTGTTTCACAATTCAACTCGACCAGAACACCATGATTTTTGTCAAACTTCACTGCGACTAGACCTTGAAGAGCTTTTCTTCCTGCTAGCTTTGTAGCTTTTGCCCAACCCATAGCTTGTGCTTGGTCATTGAGCCAAGCTTCAGCCTGCAATGGAAAACGTTATGGATAAGTGTAATTATATAATTTACATATAAACTTCTTTAGTTGTTAAATGCTACACCTAGCTTTATTTAACACATAAAAGTTTAGGTAGGGTTTAAATCCTGGGGAAAAATTACAAATTATGAGATTTAAGTTTTGAGTTGACATGAAGTTATTATTGCGTTACCTTGTCTGTGTCATTGTTGTGCATTTCTAATGCTTTTTTGCAGTTAGCAATTGTGTAGCCTGTTTTCTTTCTTAGTTTGGCCAGCAATGAGGACTCGGCTGCTCTAAAGCTCAGACTTGTGTGGAAACTCCTTACTAATTGGAAGATCATCTGAAAATGCATAAAAATAAGGTTTAGACACCTCAAAACAAACAGTGTAGAATGATTTATCTGTATCAATTGGTAATGTAATAGTTATTCAAAATTATTAATCACAACACCCACTCAATAATTCAAAATTAGTTACATGAATGTTTACAATGAAGATACAAGCCCTACTAAGTTGCACAGCATTTAGCTTATGACATCATTATTATATTCAAGGCCATAGCTGTTACCAATAGAAACACACTTTGAACTAGGTGACAATATACAAAATTGAAAATACTACCTTGGAATATAGTTTTATAGTTTGTTTCATTGTTTAAACCTACAAATATTATAAAATTTGTAAATGTAAGTTAGAGAAAAGGATTAAAGGTTAAGTAAACTACATGATTTCCATAATAATTGAGTAGAATACTGGCATGTAACAATCAATTGAGTCTTCAATGTTTTTTGATAGAAAATAATATCTGACGTTGCTATGGCGAAATCAATAAACAAGATATCATATTATTATAATCGGGCTAGACTAGGCTGGTTCGATTCAATTAATTATTTAATATAATATAACAAGTTTAAAAATAAGCAAGAACATTATTATTGTATAAAATAGGTTTTCTTAAGAGGTTGAGTATAATACATATCATTTACCTTTGCTTTGTAAGTATAATCGGCTTTCTTTTATGTATATCAATTATTTTATAGACTAATGTAACTGATGTTGCGGCAGAATTAATATTCTGGAAAGTTTTAGGAATAGGTTAGATATTTAACAAATTGTACTCATATTTTGTTCGCTAAATTTAAATGAAATATGATTATTTTATCGTGTGCGAATGTGTCAATGTCAAACAAATATGTCACATAACTGCCAATGTCAAAATTGTGTATTTCGTTCGAAAATAAACATTTTATAAGATAGTGATATGAATGCTTAACGATATTATAGAAACAAGAAATTTAAAAACGGTTACAACAAAAGGCAACCTTAGTTTGTGCAATCCCGGCATCATCGAATACATAATGATTTATATATATGTATATACAGATGAAATATGTATATGTATTATTTATAACAATGTTTTAAAGACCTAAACTACTAAACTGTGTATAGTCTACATTACTGCTAAATTATATCAAAATCTATACAGCAGTTTTATCTGAAAGAATATTAGGAGGAAATTTCGATAAAAAAGGGATAGTGAAAAATAAGATTTGCATTACATTAAGATGCGCTTATGTTTTATGTACCTAAATCTCATTCTTGTTAATTAATAATATACTGAGGTTGCTAAATGAATAACATGGTAACCAGTTAGACATGCTTTTAAAAATCCTTACTAATAGTATAAATGCGAAAGTAACTCTGTCTGTCTGTTACTCTTTCACGCCAAAACTACTGAACGGATTTAAATGACATTTGGTACACATATGGTCTAGACCCTGAGAAAGAACATAAGCTATAGGCTTTTATTGCGAAAGAAGGTTGTAAGGGGTTGAAAAAGGGGATGAAAGTATGTATGTTCGTGGTTTTTTGAAGCTAGTTCTATGAAACTTTCTTCTTTGGCTTTTTGGGAATAGAATTGGGAGTGGGAGGAGGAGTTAGAGTAAGAGTGATGTGAGGTGAGAGTGTTGCGGCAAAGTAGCAATTACAACATAGATTGGCTGCGATAAATGCGCAATTACATAAATTAATACACAGCCTAAATAATGAAAATTCTATCCTAAGTCACCATTCCACGCGGAGAAACTCGCGGGCACAGCTAGTAAGCTTATAAATTAATATTGTTTCAGTCTGAAAAACAATGCATAACAATAAACCAACCCGTAAAAAAAGCCAACCGGCACCATCTACGTCTGATGTTAAGCTGCCTAAAATACCCCGGGTAAAAATGCCAGATGATTTTAAAATAAGAACGCAGCCATTGTTTTCTTTACCCGAAGAAGTCCTAAAGCTACCTCCTCCAAAGACAAAAGCTGCTAAAATTCAAGCTTCTAAGACGGCAGTTAGGAAAAAGTCAAGTGGTTTGTTTAGATTTATTTTATTGATGGTGTTTAGCACGATAAATCCTAAATTTTAAAACAAACGTACCTGTTGTGAGTTTATATTTGTTTTTTTTTTTCTTGCGTATGAATTGATCCAAGCTAAAACATTTCCTCATATTTTTAGTTATGCAAAGTTTTACGGCAATGAGAAAAGCTCGAGAGGAGTTCAGAGCGAAGTTAATGAATCTAATTTGTCAATCGGCACCCGGGGAAGATGGAGATTCAGTACCCTCCGCGGAGGAGAAAAACATGCTCAGATACTATTACTATCTACGATACGGGATTGACACCATTCACGTTGCTCCACTTGATAATAAAATAATTTTGCGGTAAGGAACAATAACGTCACTGTCGATATTTGTTTATACTTAATCCGCTTGCGTAGTGACCCAAAGTGAGTCTTAGTCTCCGAAACTAAAGAGCACCAGTTCCGCCGATCTTGCGCGGCTGTTAGCCATTCGGCCATACCGAGCTCGCGCAAGTCCACCACAGCGCTCTTCCAGGGATATCTTGGCCGGCCGATGTTTTCTTGGCTCTATTTGTCTATAAGTTGTCTAGTATTATAAACATATTTCTTAATAAATATTTTGTTTTCTTCACTTATAACAACTAGTGGATATAACGTAGCAAACTACATGGTCCCAACAAAGTCGCTTTATAAGGTTTTGACTATAGTTTGTTTGTGTAGTAAACGTAATAATAATCTTAGAAACGATGAGTTCAAAAATTGAAAAAAATTTCGACTCGGGCAGGACTTGAACCGGCATCGCCCGAGTCGAAAATTTTTTCAATTTATTTTCGATTTTTAAATTTTATATTGCCTTCATGTGCAATGTAAAAAATAATAAAGTTTTCAAACGATCAGTTCAGTTAAATAAATTATTGCACTAGGAACGTTCTGCAAAAATTATGATTATTATTTTAAAAAAAAATCTTAGAATTAAGTCCGCTACGGCCTGTAGCTAGTAGTGTTAAAGTCTAGGGTAACGTATTATATAATTTACAAACACAATTATTTGTAAATTATATACTTTATTTTCAGCGCATTAAAGAGGCGTGTCACATTATAACAGGAAAACTTATTATAATAACTTACTTTTAATAGGGTACATAACTTAATACCCGGAAAATTGAAAAGATGGAAGGAAACTCTTTTCACGTGCACTGACGAAATGAGGGAAGACTTTATGATGAGTATGAAGAAAGCTATAGTAGACTTTGTTCTCAAAGACCCCAATACGGTATTTTAATATATAGTATTAATACAATATTTGCAGTATAAATTATGAAATTTCTTAATTTTTAATTGCTACAGGAAGAGTCACTAGAAGAAGAAGATACACCTTTAAAGCAAGAGCTAGCAAAGAAGGACGACGCGTGGCGTAATCGTTACGTGGTAGCCAAGAAGTATGTGACGAAGAATTTGCACAGCGTAAACCCTTGTATCGCGCAAGTTCTGCAGATCTGGTGGAAGCAGTTCAAGTATGTTATGCCATAAAATATTGTTTACTCGATATAAATGTAACAATATTATGTGACATTTAATTATTCGCCTGTGTGGAGTGATGATAAATAGAGTTTTAACACTTTATAATTTTTGAAAACCACTTAGTGCCATGTAGGGCTATACATAGCACATTTAGAGATATAAGATGTTATACGGATATTTCTGTGCAAAGCTTTTTTGTACTTCACAGCGATCTCCGCCTTATAAGTATGAAGGACATAATGACAACGAATGAAGCATATGAGTTGCAAGATTTCTGTTTTGTGTGCAAACGGCACATCGAGGCGGCCGGAAATGTTCTCTCCATGCAATGGATACCCACTGTACAGGCTGTATTTCTTCAGGTTCGTATGTGTTTTAAAAGAATTTATTTTCTGAAATTAATCTGTGCTATATTAAGTCTTGCAAGATATTTAGCTCAACGTTTAAATGATTTAGGGAAGTAAAAAGAGGCAAATACCTGAACCGAAGCAGGTGTCGAAAATGAAGCATTTCTACAATTGTTTAGCGTGTATCATGACGTATAACTTGCAAACTCTCTGCTTGAAGTCAATGAAAGATTTCACTGACTACATTTTGGATGTTGGGGTAAGGGTTGGAAAATATGACTTTTTTTTAAACTATTTAAGTAACTTTCATTATCTTATTTACTTTACTAGGGTATGAATCAAGGTTTCGTTATAAACTTGACCTTTCAAAACGAAGCTATACAATTTGAGCCGTCCTTCAAACAATTTCGTGATCAGCTATGTCTTCTTTACGACTTCGTTATTGACGCGTGTAGACAGTCGCCAAGATTGGAAACTTTATTGTACCAGGATTATGTGATAACAAGCAGAGTCACTTTGAGGGTAAATATGATTACTAAAATTTCATAGACTATGTTTTGTGAGAAGAACGAACTACTTACTAGTAAGCGTTTTCAGCCTGTAATCGACAACGATTTAGTTGAAAATAATTATAAAAAAAGTATCGCGGATCTTATCAACGAGCAAAGAATCGGGCCTGAGTTGAGAGTGCAGGATTTTGACGATTATGTTTGCTTGCTTAACGGTGAGGTAAGTTGTTTAAATTTGCATGTAATTGATTTTTTTTATATAAAAATCCTCATTATAATTATTTTAACTTTACTTAGTCAACTTCGAAAGTGGAAAACTTTATTAAAGCTATCCCTGAAAAAACGTTTGAAGAGTATTGCGATGAATCTGTAAAATACGTGACGTTGGCAAAGGAAATCCCATCCAAATTGGAAGGCACTATCGTTATCGGTATGTTCCGAATGCAAAGAGGGGACCTTATTACATCCTTAAGAGGTGCTGCTACAAGATTAGCCAATACTTTATTAAGACGGATGACAGAGGATTATCAAAACATGATAAGGATGTAAGTAATTATTTAATAATCGGGGATGATTAAGCCATAACCAGATAAAACGAGTTCTTTAAAGCCCACGACAATGTTTCAAGAAAATATATTTTCATTAATAGATTAGAATTTTCATTTATAACGTAATACACATATTATGTATGTATATACATATCATGTAAATCGATCTTGAAAATTTTTTATTGTACTTTGACACGCTTGTATAATGGACCGTATATACCGCTTTTTATACTTATGTATACATAACTATTGTTACTGTAATAGAAGGAAGTGCTGATATATATTGTACAAAATATTTTTAAGTAAACCAATATGTTTTGTAATCTAGGATATATGAAGAGTACTCAACGATCGCCAATACGCTGTTGACCCCTCCTCCAGACACGGCCGCATTAATGGACCTAATAGCGTACTGTAAGAAAGCTGAAGAGGTGTTATTGGATGAGATGGAAGACAAATTGAGGAACGTTCTACGATATATAGTATTCCTCGGAGATTATACTACATTTACTCCACTAGAAATGAAAGCAAATAACCAAAGTTTTCATTGGTAATAAAAGCTAATCAATCGTATAAAATGAAATACCTTTGCAAATAGTCGTTTACTTATTTGTGTGTTTTCTGGAATATATTAATTTAGTATGTTTTTACCTACATATTATATACTTTCTAGGTACGCTCGCATGCCGGGTGTTATTGAAGAATGTAAGGTTATATGCGATCAAAAGAAGATAGAATATCAAGAGTTGTTAAAAGTAAGGTTTATTTTACACTAGATTCACTTGCTGGTAAAAATGCACCAGAGTAGATTAGTTTGTAATAAAATATGTTTATTTTAGAATTAAATTAAGTAATGATAGAATGCCGAGATAGAATGCAGTAAAAATCTTAAAACAAATACATAATATATTTACTTAGCCGGCTGTACACAATTAAGAATGTTTATAGATACTAATTATTTTATTTTTGGGCTAGGTGCGTATTGCAAAGTTTATCGAAGACTTAGATATATACGAGGAGCAATCAAACGAACTACAATATTGGGGTGATATTAACGAACTTCCTAAATACGTAACACGAGCACGTCGTCTTGATGAAAAGTACGGTTAATTACCTAATTGAAATAGTATATGCTATTTTACTTGTTTTAAATTAAGAAAATGTCGAAATGCTATTAAATCTTATTTTTTAGATTGGCTTTGGCGTTGGCCAAGATTGACCAGTTCAACGAAGAAGAAACGTCGTTCGGATGGGAGTTGTCTCAGTATCCCAAACGAAAAGCAGTTTATGATAAACTTGTTCCTTTTAAAAAACTGTTCGATGCAGGCTTTGATTTTCTCCAAAAGCACGAGGATTGGATGAAATCTAGGGTTAGTGAGCTATATGATATGGTCTTTTTAGAGCTTACAGCGCACTTTTACACATATTTATTCTTAGGTCGGAAGCTATGACCCAGAAGATATAGAGGGCGATGTTAGTTACTTCTACAAAATAGTTTACAAATTGGAAAAGTCTTTTCAAGAAGTTCCCGCCACATTTGAGCTTGCCCAATCTGTACGGTAAGTTCAAGAAAATCATTACCTGTTTTATTCATCTCATAAAAATACTTCAACATAATTCATTTTACAGACATAAAATGGAAGAATTCAAAACGAATATGCCAATTATTCAAACGCTTGGTAACCCTGGTATGAAACCGCGACACTGGGAGAAAGTGTCAGAAATCGTAGGTTTCCCGATAGTTGTTGATGAAGAGCTATCGTTAGAAAAAGTTATAGATTTCAATCTGGTGGATTATATTGAGAAGTTCGAGAGTATCTCTGAAGCGGCCACTAAAGAAAATAACCTAGAGAAGGCGTTAGACAAGATGATGAAAGAATGGGCTGATCTTAAATTTGACATCTTGCCATATAAGTAAGTTTTTTTTGGTGGAAATCGAAAATAACTAGATTTTTTTTTATGTTCTTATCATTTGTCACTATTTTAGGGATACAGGTACCTACATCCTGTCAAGCGTGGATGAAATTCAAGTTCTCCTTGACGATCATATTGTCAAGACCCAGACTATGAAGAATTCCCCATACATCAAGCCATTTGAAGAAATAATCTAGTAAGAGAGCATGTACTAATTGGTGTGGGCATTTTATGCATGTATTTTTGTCAAGTTTTATTATTTAACCATATTTTACCCTTTGTTAATGTCGAAACTAGTGACTGGGAGGGAAAATTAATACTACTACAAGAGATTTTGGACGAATGGTTAAAAGTGCAAGCAACGTGGATGTACTTGGAGCCCATATTCTCTTCTCCCGATATCCAACAACAAATCCCTGAAGAGGGGCGTAGATTCAGTGCCGTTGATAAGGTATTTAACTTTTTATTTTTTTTATGTATTGTAACACTAGTTACGTAAACATTATTTTGGAATATACTCACTATAAATTCATAAAAATGCACCAGGTATATACAAGTTATCATTTTTGACTATTATATTTATGGTTCCAACTTTATTTTCATTTCCAATAATTAGATGTGGCGCGAAATAATGAAGGCTGCCTACACTGAGCCGCGTGTTCTCGACGTCATCAAAATAGAGAAGATGCTAGACCGGCTCAAGAAGTCTAATAATCTTCTTGAGATGGTGCAACGTGGACTTAACGCATACTTGGAGAAGAAACGCTTGTACTTCCCCCGTTTCTTCTTCTTATCCAACGACGAATTGCTTGAAATTCTCTCTGAAACCAAAGATCCCATGCGGTATGTAATTTTTGTGAGAGATATTTCGAACCCAGTATCGCTAGACTAATATAATATTTATTATTGCAAGCGTTGATTACAAAAATACCAACAAAGTATGATGTCGTAAATCAATATAATTTATAGGGTACAACCTCATCTCAAGAAGTGTTTCGAGGGTATTGCAAAACTATCATTCACAGAAGAAATGGTGGTCACACATATGCGCTCCTCAGAAGGAGAAATTGTGGAGCTGACGCTCACTATTAATACTGCCGCCGCTAGAGGACAAGTAAACAAAATCTCCAATCACCATTTCCACGAGAATTTTTAGTATCTCGGTTTGTAAAATCTCCTCAATGTAATCGTGCCTATGTAATTGTAGGTGGAGAAATGGCTTTTAGAACTAGAGGTGTCAATGAAGTCGTCCGTACATAATGTAGTAGCATTGTCGTATGACGATTATTTGAAGAGACCACGAGAAAATTGGGTCCTGGTATGGCCAGGACAAGCTGTAAGTTTCATAACTACTAATAGTAATACCCTATTTGAACTACTAGTAATCTATACTTTGTAAAATCAGGTACAATGCATTGCTATGACCTTTTGGACATCGGAGGTAACAGATGCAATACATATTAGTGTAAAGGCAATGAGAGCTTACTGGGATAAGTGTAATTACCAGATATCAAAGATTGTAGATCTAGTCAGAGGAGAGCTGAGTTTACAGAATAGAATAACGCTAGGTAAGGAAAAAGTTGCAAGATAAAACATAAATAGTATGGTAGTAATGAAATAAATTTTAAAAATAATTCCTTATTTTTAAGGTGCATTGGTAGTATTGGACGTCCACGCTCGGGACGTTTTAATGGAACTAATCGAATTTAATGTCCAACATGATAATGACTTCAATTGGTTATCACAGATTAGATATTACTGGGAGGTGCCTAATTTACTATAATAGTGATTAACGTTTTAAAAAAATAATATATCCTTATAAATGTTTAATATTTATACAGGAACAAGAAGAAGATCTTAGTTGGCAGATAGCAACTAGGATGATAAATTCTCAGCTAATGTATGGCTATGAGTATCTTGGTAACACAGGCCGGTTGGTTGTGACACCGCTGACTGACCGGTGCTTCAGGACCCTCTTTGGAGCATTGCATTTGAATCTCGGTAGATATGATGGACAGTACATTTTTACATCACTCTAACTGTATCTAAGTATTACGAATATTGCTTCAGGTGGGGCACCAGAAGGTCCAGCAGGTACAGGAAAGACAGAAACCACAAAAGATTTAGCAAAGGCTGTTGCTAAGCAATGTGTTGTATTTAATTGCTCCGATGGTCTTGATTACATTGCCCTAGGAAAGTTCTTTAAGGCACGTTTGATTACATTTTCTTGTGTTATATATGAAAATGAAATGTATTCCTTATTTTAAAATTATAATTACCTGCTTTCTATTCTTAGGGTTTGGCCTCTTGTGGAGCCTGGTCCTGTTTCGACGAATTTAACCGTATAGATTTGGAGGTGTTGTCTGTTGTGGCTCAGCAGATTCTATCTATTCAAAGAGGGATCAATTCTGGATCCACTGAACTTCTGTTTGAAGGAACACTTTTGCACTTAGATAAGAGCTGTGCTGTTTTTATTACTATGAATCCTGGTTATGCTGGAAGATCTGAGTTGCCTGATAATTTGAAGGTTTTTTTTAAACATATCATATTATAAAAAAAAAAACTATTTCACTTTGGATAGTATAACTACTTGTATTTTGATTACATCTATATAATATAATTTTATTTTAGGCACTATTCCGTTCTGTGGCCATGATGGTTCCAGATTATGTACTCATATCCGAAATAGAACTGTACGCTTTTGGCTACTTAAATGCAAAACCCCTAGCAGTGAAAATTGTTGCCACCTACAGGCTATGCTCAGAACAGCTATCCTCACAAAGTCACTACGATTATGGTAAAATTTCCACTAATATATTAGGAAGATAAAACTCATTAATTACACAAAATAAATAAAAACCAGTGATACATTCATTAATTGTAATGCAAAGAAAGAAAATAAAATGTAATCATCTTGTGGAGGGACGTTGCTCAGCTGTTCCTGCAAGAATGTCCACCGGTTACACTTTTTAATTGTTCTTTTTAAACATAGCGATGTATATACATGTATGTAATAACATTTCAGGCATGCGGGCCGTTAAGTCAGTTTTACGAGCGGCCGGAGCATTAAAGCTAAGATATCCCGATGAAGACGAAGACGTCATACTCCTCAGGTCTATTAAAGATGTCAATCTGCCCAAATTTTTAGAGCACGATGTGCCTCTATTTATGGTAAACTTTCTACATGAAAATGAAACATATTAATATTTAATACATAGTTGTACGATGAAAAGTAATAATGGTTTTTATAGGGTATTATCGGTGACTTGTTCCCTGGTCTGCCACTGCCTCTAGCCGGTTTGCCCCACCTGGTTGCTTGTCTTAAGGAAGTCTGTGTTCCTCTTAATTTGCAGGCAAATGATTTCTTCGTTGAAAAGGTTTATTATTCAACTTATATTACGCCTTTATTAATTTTAAACTTGAATCTATTTTTAAACGTTCCCATTTTTTAGGTATTACAACTGTACGAGATGATTTTAGTACGACACGGTCTGATGTTAGTCGGTTTTCCATTCTCCGGGAAAACGAAGTGTTACCACGCACTTGGACATGCTTTAGCTGCGGTCTCGGAAAAGGTAAGTTTGCTTTTGTGATAGGGTAAAAAGGTTTATTACCAAAATAAATGAAAAAGTTTTGAAACTTTTCTACTTGTAACGTTTTCTAATATTGAGGTTTTCTTTTATTGCTTATTGCATGTCTAACGTCTTATAACCAGGGTCTTATGGATGAAAATGCTGTAGAATGGACGGTAATAAATCCCAAGTCGATAACAATGGGTCAGCTGTATGGACAATTTGATCCTGTATCTCACGAGTGGTCCGATGGTATACTCGCTGTCAGTTATAGAGCTTTTGCTGTCTCCACAAATAGTAATAGGTATACATGGTTTGCAATTATACTACAAAATACATGTTACGTCTAAATATACTGCTTTTTTCATAGCTAATTTGAAGTATTTTAATCGATTATGGTTTTTATTGTTTACTCCCAGAAAATGGCTAGTCTTCGATGGACCCGTGGACGCCATTTGGATTGAGAATTTAAATACTGTACTAGATGACAACAAGAAGCTGTGTTTAATGAGTGGAGAGATAATACAATTGGCTCCAACTACGAACCTGGTGTTCGAGCCCATGGATTTGGAAGCTGCCTCACCGGCCACAGTAATATTAACAGTTTTATCATTATATTATTTCGTGTACAATATGTCGCATATTGAAATCATCCGTTACTAAACAGGTATCACGTTGCGGTATGATTTATATGGAGCCCAAAGGATTAGGATGGAAATGTTTGTTAGAATCCTGGCTTAATACTTTGCCCGCTACTCTGCACGGATTTAATAAAAATATTATTCGTGCTCTTTACAATAGATTTATGTCGCCGCTACTGTGGCTTGTGGAGTATTCTGGAAAAACTAAGGTACGACTCGGAATTTAGTCTAAAATAAAATTATAAGAGGAATAAAATTATAAGAAGTTTGATTCAGTTATTTATACAAAAACTTATTACAGCAAATGTATGTAACGTCTCGATCAAATTTGGTAAAGGCGTGCATGAATTTATTCGATACATTCATGGATGACTTCTACGATGAAAAATTTATGGAACAAATATCAGATCTGGATACTCGTGCTCAGCTCGAGGTATAAAACCATTTTTTATTTTTTTTTAATAAACAGAGGAAATTTAATGTTATGTTTAGTTATATCTTCGATTTAACTTTTTTTGTAGGGTGTATTTTTCTTCTCGTGCATTTGGTCGATAGGAGCTACTTTAGAAGCTGATAGTCGGGAGAAATTCGATATGCTCTTCCGAGGTTTACTCGAGAAAGAATTTCCACAAAAGGTAATTGTCATATTTTGTACAATCGGCATAGTGAATAAAATGATGCATCAAAAGTGGTTTACAGGTGATAGAACTTTTAAATTACCCCAGAGAAATTGCAAAGCCAGAGAAACAGTACATATTCGGTCTGCCTAAGGAAGGGCTTGTATATGACTATCGATTTATTAAGGAGGTATGAATATTTAATTTAATACACACTCATTAAGATGATATTTACAACGACAATTAAATCAACTAGTGAAATATATAACAGGGCAAAGGTAAGTGGAAACCATGGCAAGATGATGTGGTATCAGCTCCTCCCATCAGCAGAGATACTCCACCGAATCAGATTCTTGTAACAACGCTGGACAGTGTCAGATATTTGGCCTTATTCAAGCTCTTGGTGACGCATCATAAGGCAGTTATGATGGTTGGCCCTACCGGAACCGGAAAATCTTCGTATATTATAGTAAGTTCCTTTTCTGTTGTCACGCATGCCTCTTATGTTACTGAGTTTTCATTTTCAGCACCGAGTGATGCTTGGAAGAGTTAGCTATTTAGTTATAAAGCCGCCATCCTTGTCCTTAATTTCCATTCTATTTTTATGTTGTGTTATGTTTCGTTTCTTGTTTTGCGACAGTAAATTATTTGTAAATTTAAATAACTTTTAAATTTTTATGTTGGCTGTATTTCTTGTGAATAGCAACAATGTATGTACATATCTTGCGCCATAGTTGTATTATATTTACAAGTAATAATTCTTCACAGGACTTCCTTGTCAAGAGAGTGGACACGAAAGTTTACAAAGCTCTCATAATGGCGTTTTCAGCTCAAACAAACTGTAATCAAACGCAGGATATCATAATGGGAAAACTTGATAAGCGGAGGAAAGGTACAAATATTCGTTATAAATATTAAAAATATAGATTTTGTTATAATTTATAATTAAAAACTGAAATTAAGAAATTATTTTCATATTACTATTTATTAATTCCGTGACCGCCTCTGTGGCAAAGCTGGTTAAAAGTGTTGCCTAGCATTGCATTAAGGATGAGAGGTCTTAGGTTCGAATCCCAGGGAACAGTAAACTGTATCGGTCAGGCATACAAGTCTGATCAACTACTTGCCTGTAACAGAACCGACCGGCTAAACGCATTTCTCTTGTATTTATTAATTTCATACCAGTCTTCTGTATTATAGGGGTATTTGGTCCTCCGATCGGGTGTCACTGTGTTGTATTCGTGGATGACGTAAGCATGCCACAAGCAGAAACTTATGGAGCCCAACCACCGATAGAAGTGTTACGCCAAGGTATCGACTTGGGACTGTGGTATGACCGGAAGATCAATGTTGCTATGCATTTGATAGACGTACAGGTATAGATTTTACTATATCCTCTTAGCCACTTAAGAAGTCTGGATAAACTTCAAATTCAAAATTACAGTTTATGTGTGCGATGGGAAAGCCTACACCCGGTGCAAAATTGGTGACGCCGCGTTTTTCGCGCCATTTCTCATTCTTTTGCATTGATGAATTCGACGATGAGACGCTGAAAGTAATTTTCGGTCGAATTATGTTGTGGCATCTCGATACGAGGTATGAATGTTATTTATTTTTATGTCTCGAGAGGGCATTACTTACTATACTAATGTTATAAAGCTGACGAGTTTGTTTGTTTTAACGCGTTAATCTCAGAAACTACTGATTTTATATAAAACAATATTTTTGGTGGGAAGCATTTATCGAGCAGTGAGCGAAGACACAGTCGGAAATGTCGAAAAAAATTGGAAAAAATATGTTTCAGGGTTTCCTTTGCGTACGCAGCATAAACGGTTCAAGATACCCAATAATATGTATGAAAGAGTTTATTCCTATTCTAAAATTAACTTACCTTAAAGAACTTTTTTATGGTAATCAAACTTTAGCTAAAAATACTTCATATGGCACAATAACGTTTGCCAGTTCAGCTAGTTATTATATATTCGTTCTTAATTAAGGTATACATAAGGTTTATTTTATTTTATCGACATACCAAATTTCCAAAGTTAGTAAAATGATTTTCTTAGAGGATTTTCGAAGGACTTCGATCCGTGCATCGACGAGATAGTGGCAGGCACACTTGAAGTGTACAAGGAGTGTCGGCTCAACCTGCTGCCTACGCCCTCCAAATCGCATTATACATTCAACTTACGAGATTTCTCCAGAGTCATTCTGGTACGTGATCTCATAACTTTACATAGTAAATCATTTCGAATTTTTGCTCTTTTACAATTTCATCGTGCTTTTTACGATTAATGATGACGAACACGATACTTCAGGTTGCCTGGTAGGAATCGTTTCTTAACTATAAGGTCGCCTTTTATTTATAAGTTAGTACGTAAGATTTTTCCTGTTTTATATATATTTTTGGTGGTATTTGTTATATTTGAATGAATCTATAATAAATAAAATAAATACTATTACATTTTAATTTGCTATTTATAGTTTTTCTAATCAATTATCAATTGCAGGGTGTCCTCTTATCAGTGCCAGAAGTAACACCTGACTTACAGTCAATCAAACGTCTATGGGTGCATGAGTGCTTAAGAGTATTTTCTGATCGGCTGGTTGAGGAAAAGGATCGCCAGTGGCTGGTTACGTGTCTGAGGGATGCCACCGCAAAATACCTCAATGACGATTTCGATAAAATGCTGGGACGACTTCTAACTGATCCTAAAGACAAGGTCTGTATAAGTACTCGTACACAAAGACTTTAATTTGATTTATAGATTACATTCATAAAAAAAATATTCAGTTTTTTATATAATTGATAAATTTTAGTGAAACATTATTTGTAAATAGACGTATTTATAATTTTTTTGCATTATTAGATAACGGACCTTCATCTCCGTAATCTAATTTACTGTGACTTCGCCAATCCAAAAGTGGACACTCGGTTCTACATGGAAACCACTAACATGGAACATTTGAATGCGACAGTCGATGCCTTTCTTGTTGAATTCAACAATATGTCAAAGAAACCAATGAATCTTGTCTTATTTAGGTAAATATATCTTAATTATTACAACATATAAAGCTAACTAGTGTCTGTAGTATGCGCGAGCAGTACACATTTAAATAAAACACTTTAACGGTTTAAGACGCGATATATATTAGTCTCCCCGGGACCACTACTGCTGCAAAGCGTCTGAAAAGTCGGGAAAAGTGTTTTATTTAAACATATAAATTTATATAACAGGTCCTTTTTCTCAAACATTTTAACTTCAATGTATATGTATATACGTCAAAGTATGTACGTAAACAACTAAGTCTAACTGAGAAATTAATAAACATTTAAATGAAACACGCACCACGGCTGCAAAGCATGCGAAACGTCATTTCGTAGATAACTTAAAATCGTTAAGAGTTTTATTTAGATGTGTTGATTGCGTAAACTACAGACAATTAACTTAATTTTTTTTAATGACTGGGTTACGTAATGGCAACGAAACATTAAAGTTCTAGCTACTTGCTCCGTCGTGTTTGTCCGTAATAATTACCTACAAAAATTAATAGTAAACATTACGTCACTATTTAGTGGCCCGCTTAATGTGTTAATGATCTAGAGATACTGTTTAGGTTTGCGATAGAGCACGTGTCGCGTATATGCCGTGTGCTGACTCAGCCGCGGTCCCACGCACTCCTCGTGGGCCTGGGAGGGTCCGGCCGACAGTCACTGACTCGACTAGCCGCGCATATCAACGAATACGATCTTTTCCAGGTCACGGTTCCCTTAAATTATCCCCTTGCGGAATGAATGATTTGACAGTTTAAATTTGCATTAAAATTATAATCCCGTTTCCCTTGTATCGTTTTGTTTTTAAGCCAATAAGTAGTTGGTCAGACTAATGTGCACTGCCTGTCCGAAAGTATTTTCTCCCGGATAGAATGTAGGCAAAGCAATGCGGTTAAACATCCACAAAGACGGTATTCTCAAGTATTCAGAAAATATCGTCTACTTACCACGTCATATTAAAATGTTTTACCAATTTTATTTACGTCGCATACAGGTAGAAATGAGTAGAACATACGGTAAAACGGAATGGAGGGAAGACTTAAAAACTCTATTACGGAAGTCGAGTACACCCGATTTACATATGGTGTTCTTGTTCATAGAATCACAGGTAATTTTCATTAGGAACTCGTTTTCCTACGCTATTTCCATATACTAGATATTTCGCTATTGCTTCGTACTACTATACTATACTTAAACTATGTTAAAGATCAAAGAAGAAGGTTTCTTAGAGGATGTAAATAACATGCTGAATTCCGGTGAAGTTCCGAACATTTTTGGAGCCGATGAAAAAGCGGAGTTGTGCGAGAAAATGCGAGTGGTACGTAAGATTTATCGTAGTATAAATATTAAATATAACGTTGAACTTTCAGGAAACTACCTTATTACTTACGTATATTTGTACGTTACTTATTTATACGTCATATTTTGAGAAAACTCTTGAAATAAAACGCAATGAGCTATGAATACACAATAAATATTTGTACCGTCTGGAAATATGGAACGTTGATAACACAGTTCATTTGGCCCGTAAAATGTGCGCTCTTTTAAAAATATTGCAGCTGTATTGAAAAATTAAATGTTCGTTATTTAAAAGACAATTACTTTGATTTCGTCGGATCCATAGATTGACCGTCAAAGGGACAAATCTCTCCAAACTGATGGTACCCCTACCGCACTATACGCATATTTCGTATCAATTGTACGAGATCAACTCCATATTGTCCTGGCTATGTCTCCTGCTGGTACATCACTTCGTACCAGGATCAGAAAGTTCCCATCACTCGTGAATTGTTGCACTATCGATTGGTTCCAGGTGAGAAACGAGGAAATTCTTTCATAAGTCAAATCTCTAGCGTATGTTCTTCTTTTTCGTTCTTTATATAATAATTATTGCTCTTATTCCTCATCTTTTTCATTCAAATTTAATTTGGTGTGTCACCAGGAATGGCCACCAGACGCCCTATTAGCTGTGGCTACACGATTTTTGAAAGAAGTGGAACTGACTGACCTCGAAAGAGAAACAGCGATAAAGCTTTGTCAAATATTCCACACGGATACGCAAGAGCTCACGAGAGAATTCCTACTTAGATTGAAACGATATAATTATGTCACGCCCACTGCTTATCTCGAACTGATCAATATGTTCAAGTCATTGTTAGGCAAAAAGCGAACGTAAGATATGATGATAATTTGTTAACGTTATGAAGGATTTAATCTTTCAGAACAAAAGTTTGAAATACAGTTAACAATTATGTAGGAATAAAAACATTTTACACATTTATATTTACAGAGAGCTAATAACAGGTGAAAAGAGATACATAACTGGCTTAGATCAATTAGCAATTGCTGCTAAATCTGTAGCGGCTTTACAACAAGCGTTAGAAGTATTACAACCCAAACTCGCAGCCGGTGCAGCTGCTGTTGCTGAAACTACTGCTAAGGTAGAAAAGGAAAAAGAAGGTGTGGCATTAGTAGAAGCTGAAGTGCTTGCCGATCAGGCGGCGGCCGAGGAACAGGTACGAAAGTGAAATTTACCGTTTAAATTTACAAGCTTAAATCCTTCGGTTTCAGTTTATCCTAAAAAATATACAATTATTTAGGCACAAGAAGCACAAGGCATCAAGGATGAATGCGACGCTGATTTAGCTGAAGCAATGCCAATTTTAAACTCTGCTTTAGCGGCTTTAGACACTTTAACACCGCAAGACATAACTTTTATCAAGACAATGAAGAGTCCTCCCAGAGGAATCAAACTCGTAATGGAAGCTATTTGTATTTTAAAGGTAACAGTCATCGATACTTATTTTACAATAAACTTTGTATATGACAATTAAAATAATGTAATGTATAATTAAAATATTCCTGATTTTTACTCAATGCTTTCTAAGCACGATGATCCGGTAAGTACAAATATTATCTTTATAATTAGGTATGTGGCCATTTCATAATTATATTATCAATTTAATTGCTAGGAAATAAAACCAGACAAGATACCAAATCCATCGGGAGTAGGTACCATAGAAGATTTTTGGGGTCCATCAAAGAAACTTCTCAACGATATAAAGTTTCTTGAATCTCTACAAAATTATGATAAGGACAACATTCCTCCACCTGTAATGAAGAAGCTTATGGCTACTGTCATGCAAGATGATGGATTTGTTCCCGAGAAAATTCGAGCGGTTTCTGTTGCTGCAGAGGGTAAGAAAATGTACAGTAAATTACAGCACTATAATTTGAAAATACCCCGTTAATAAAAATAAACAATGGTTGATCTTATTATTAGGTATGTGTAAATGGGTCATTGCAATGACAAAGTACGACAAAGTGGCGAAAGTTGTGGCGCCGAAGAAGCAACGCTTAGCAGCGGCTCAAGCTGTGTACGATAAAGCCATGGCTGCTTTAGCTGTTAAACAAGCACAACTTAGAGAGGTAAAATTATGAAAGACTTATAATTTTAACGATTACGATATTTGTTAGGGGTGTATTTTCATGATTAATTTGGTTACGTGCTTTAAAATTATAGTATAATTTCATTGTATAGGTTCAAATGAAATTAGGAAAATTAGAAGAAGCATTATCAGAACAGAGTCGACAACAAAAAATGTTAGACGATGAAGTAATGGACTGTAGTAATAAATTAAAAAGAGCGGAAATGCTGATATCAGGATTGGGAGGTGAAAAGACCAGGTGGACGCAAATCGCTAAGACTTTACGGGATACTTATAATTCACTTACTGGTATATACTTTATTTATGTTAAAACTTTATTTAAGAGAACTAAACATTTCATATATTTAAAAAAATAGTCTTCTGAATAACTATTTATTTACTTATCATTTAAGGTGATATTCTAATCGCTGCGGGAGTTATAGCATATTTAGGCCCCTTTACAGCATCCTTCAGATTCCAACAAGTAAGACACTAAGATAATGAATGTTAGAGAAATTAAGGTTATTGTATAAATAGGTAAACCTTTAAATAATGTCACCTTTTTTTAGATAAAGAAATGGGCCTTAGCTTGTCACGACTGTGGAATTGTATGTACACTAAACTTCAGTTTAATCAAAGTACTCGGGGAACCGGTGACTATTCAACAGTGGAATATTGATGGACTGCCTTCCGATGACTTCAGTGTTGAGAGCGCTATCATTATAATGTTAGTAATATTGGGTTATATAAAACTCACAATAACTTCTCGTTATAAGTTTTTGGCAATAGTTCAAGTTTCCAACTGTGTAATAATGTTATATTTTTTTAACTTTTAGGAATGCCCGACGTTGGCCACTTATGATTGATCCTCAAGGGCAAGCTAATCGTTGGATAAAAAATATGGAGAAGCCGAATAACTTATGTATAGTTCGGATGACACAAGCAGACCTTGGTCGCGTATTAGAAAACGCTGTTCAGTTCGGACAACCGGTAAGTATAGAATTAAAACATATTTTTAAGTTACTTAGGGTATAAAAACTAAACTTAAATATAACAGGTATTATTGGAAAACGTCTTAGAAGAGTTGGACCCAATGTTAGAGCCACTTTTACAACAACAAACATTCCGTCAAGGTGGTGCACTGTGCATTAAAATTGGTGACACCATTGTTGAATACAGCAAAGATTTTAAGTAAGTCAAATTATAAGATCTTCCTTTCGATGTTTGAATCGCAATCCTCAATCTATTTCTATCGCTTTGAAGGCTGTACATTAGTACGAAATTAGCAAATCCTCACTATCTGCCCGAGGTTGGAGTTAGAGTTACTCTAGTCAACTTTATGCTCGCAAAAGATGGTTTGCAAGCACAATTGTTAGCCCGAGTAGTGGCAAGAGAGAGACCCGACTTACAACAGGCAAAAGCAGATTTGACCACTCAAGGGGCCGAACATAGAAGGCTCCTGCAAGAAATCGAAAAGAAAATCTTAAATGTACTTTCTACCTCTGAGCATTTGCTAGAAGATGAAGAAGCGGTTCAGGTAAAAGAAGTGTCCTGTTTTCTCTTCCAGACTTAAGTGCACAAATTTATTCAAATGTATTTAAAAAAATCACATCATACATATTTATAACCACCATCGTTTTATACAGAACCATGTAAAATAAAGTAGTAATAATTTCCTATAATAGTAGCTCCACAATAATTAACTTCTTTTATAGATCCTTAACTCGGCGAAGGATACATCCAACGAGATAAAAGAAAAACAGGAAGTTGCGATGATAACTGAAAAAGCAATTGACACTGCTAGAGACGACTATGTGCCAATTGCTGTTCATTCTACTAATCTTTTCTTCCTCATTGGTTTGTTTCATTTTAACCACAATTATATAATAACGATCGAATAAAGTAACACATGCATATGGTATGGTATATCTTCTTTAGGGATGTACTGTACACTTACACGTGCTTCTAATCTATACTAATATATAAAGCTGAGGAGTTTGTTTGTAATTCTTTGAACGTACTAATCTCCCTAGTAGTTCCTGAAGTACTATTGGGAATTGAAAAAAATCACTTTGTGTTGATAAGAACGATGAAACAGTCGCCGACAAAGCTAGTTATATTAGCTTGGCTTTCAAACCATTTTTACACCAGTACCAATAATAATAACAACGAATTATTATTAATGAATAACCAGCTTATGAAATTTGACTGAATGGAGTATTTGTTTTTAGCATCTCTGGCGAACATAGACCCAATGTATCAGTATTCATTGGGGTGGTTCGAAGGTTTGTTCACGGGGTCGATTGATAATACGGAGAAAGTGGACGAGATACCGGAGCGGCTCGCGATATTACGTGCTCACTTTACGTATTCGCTGTATGCGAACATCTGCAGGAGTTTGTTTGAAAAGGTTTTTTTAAATATCTCTTTATCTCTCATTATCATCAACAAAGCTATTAAAAACTGTCTATAGTTTACGCGAGTAGTACACATTTAAATAAAACACTTTAACGGTTTAAAACGCGATATATTAGTTAAACTTATTTGAATTTTTAACCCTGTGACCACGGCTGCTGCAAAGCATCCGAAACGTCGGGCCGAAGTTAAAAATCATTTTCAAATAAGTTTAACTAATATATCGCGTTTTAAAACGTTAACGTGTTTTATTTAAACAGAGCAATTGTCTATAGTTAACGCGAGTAGTATACATTTAAATTAAACACTTTTAAACGCGAAATATATTATTTAACTTACTTGGTTTGTAAGAATCAAGCTAAGTAAATACCGACTACGATGAAACAGGTGGAACTTGACATTAACGATACAATCCATTTTCGGTACTTCCGTAGTTAAAATCAATTGTAGATAAGTTTTTTAATACATTTCGCATTTTAAACCGTCATAAGTGTTTTACTTAAATCATCAAGATATTTTTTTTATCTTATACTGCATCTAAAGATGTAATAAACCTGCTATTATATAACGTCAATTATATGATTAGCTAACAACAAGATTATTTAAGCCGATCCAAGGTCTAAGATCACCTTGAAACACACAATAAATCTAAAAATATGTATGCCTTTTATATAGACAATAATGCCTCCCTGGGAAGAGAGAACCCTGGAAGAGACCTGGACTCGAATCTTTGGGTAGTACACAAAAGTCTAACTACGTGCCTGTAAATAGAGGCAATCAGTTTAAAACAGACACAGTCAATTGACTACGGATTTTAACTCCTTATTTATTTTTAAACTCCCCTTGTCTATGTACAGGATAAAATGGTCTTCTCTTTACTATTAACGATCACGATAATGGTAGCGGAAGGTCGTTTAGATCGTGGACAAGTGATGTTTTTGTTGGGTGGCGCTCAACCTAGACATGTCCCGCCGAACCCTGTTGCATTTCTCAGTCCACAAGCTTGGGCTGAGTTCAACTCGTAAGTATATTTAGAAAATTGATATTTGAACGTAAAGTTTATATCTATTTGTGTCTCTATGTGAGTTTAGAATGTAAGTTATTTAAATTAAAAATCGAATTTTAGATTGAAAAAAATGTTACGATACATTCCGTGCTGTCGCTACCATGCTCTAAACGTCTTCGTCGTTTATTTTCAACCTATTGACATATTATGCACATACTTGTAGAAATATTCAAACATAAATCGATTTTTAATTTATACACTGCCATTATGTGAAATATATTAAACTTTTCAAAGTTATTATAACTTACATTTATTTTACATTATTTGTTTAAAATAAAAACTGAAAAGATTAAACTAAGCAACTTTTTCTTCTGTCGTTTTACTTTTATTTGAATCTGAATGCTACTCATGTTTTCTCATTTACGTAATGTATACGACGTGAAATACTAATGCCTTTGCGAACCCATATTCACTATAGTTTACTTTTTTCTACTCATACTAATATTCAAAAGACATTTTAAATGATGTCTGTATACAGGCTAAATGAAATGGATAAATTCCATGGCATTGTTAACCATTTTACTACGAACCTTCCGGCTTGGGAAGCTTATTGTGACACTGTAGATCCACAAAACCAACCTTTACCCGAACCATGGAATACGAAATTGGACATGTTTGAGGTGGGTTGACTAAATTGACCGAGTACTTTACAAATTTTCTATAAATATTACAATAAACACTTTTAAATATTACAGAAAATGATGGTACTTCGGTGCATGCGGTTCGATATGATGGTGCCGGCTGTTCAAAACTTTTGTGAAGGTATCAAAACTTCCGTAAAATCAATTATGAACCGAACAGGTTATTAGTTATATCTTTTGGTTCCAGCTAAAATGGGGCGGCAGTTTGTAGAGCCGCCATTGTTTGATTTAGCGTCGTCTTACGCCGATTCACACTGTTGTATACCGCTTTTGTTTGTATTGACCCCCGGTTCGGATCCCATGGGAACGCTACTTAAGTTTGCTGATGATCAGGTAATTAAATTATACATGTTATTGGGTTGATTGGTGATTGAATATCTAGGTGAGGGTTCATAACTTAAAATCAACAGTAACGCACTACAGTTGCATCATGACAAAGTAAAAAGGTAATTTTGTTGGCTTTAAACGGGTCACAGATTAAAAACATCATAAATTTTTACTTGGATTTGAGTTGTAAATAAGAAATGATTCTCGACATTTCGTCTTTGGTAAGACGAGGAATGACGTAATCCACTGGTGACGAAACATTGAGATTTATTCCTTAATTTGATGACCAAAAACCTGATTAAATTAAAGACATAATGTTGAATTGAAAAACTATAATGTTTGAACCCATTCTGTAAAATATTTTAGCAGGCGAGAGCGACTGAAATACAATCTTCAATAAAAGTTCACCCTAGATTTCATCTCCGTTATGTAATGATAGTCTTTGGGTTAAGCTTTTGAAGCGAGAAGTAATTTTCCGAATGATATATCTCATGTAATAAATGTTTTCAGGGCTTCGGGTCATCTCGGCTATTCTCTTTATCACTGGGGCAGGGTCAGGGCCCGATCGCCGTAAAGTTAATAGACGAAGGTGTTAGGAGCGGAACGTGGGTCGTGTTGCAAAACTGTCATTTGGCTAAAAGTTGGATGCCTATGCTGGAAAAGGTAACTTATAATAAATAGAAAACATTGTTTTTAGGTATTCCTACAACTTAAAATATGGCTTAAAATCCTAACAGCCAATAAAGTATTAGGCATATCTATCTACAGGACACAAAAATAAAGTAAAATTATTTTTTTTATCACTAAATTAAGAAAACTAAATTTAACGACGAGGTTTAAATACTAAATTAATAATATATTTAGTTATTGAAAATTGATTCATTGCGTGGATATTTTATTATATTTAACGTAATAAATATTGGTTTATGACTAGAAATCAAAAGTTATTTATTACTGATGATTCTAATTTTTTTTTATTAAAAAATTATTTTATAATTATAACATTTTTTTTAATCTACACAGATCTGCGAAGGTCTTTTGCCCGACTCCACTCACCCAGACTTTAGACTGTGGCTCACGTCTTACCCAGCGGATCATTTCCCTGTGTATGTGCTACAAAATGGAGTTAAAATGACTAATGAGCCACCTCAAGGTGAGTGTGGGAATCTAAATTGTATCTATATTAATACTATGCAATGTAAGTTAAAAGTCACAAAGACTATATAAAAGTCTATATGTATATTTAAAAACATCACGCATTTACGCAGGTTACAAATTAGTCTCGTCCTTACAAAATCTTTATAATAAACTAGCTATTTCAGCGACCTGTCCGCTAACACATATTCACAACCATTGTTTTGCCAAGCCCATTAAGATTTTCGACTCAACATTTGTTTACCATACATAAACTGATATTTGTTTTTAGATGAGGGCGCTTTTATGACGAACCATTTTTTTATACATATTTTTGGTTTATTGCACAAAAAGTATCAAATAAATAAATAACTTAACAGGTCTTCGAGCAAATATAGCTCGCTCTTACCAGAGCGATCCAATCAATGACCCCGAATGGTTCGAAGGAAATAAACAGCCAGACACCTTCAAGAAGATGTTATTTGCGTTATGTTTTTTCCACGCGGTCATTCAAGAAAGACGACAGTTCGGTCCATTGGGTTGGAATATCCGTTACGAGTTCAATGAAACTGATCTGAAAATTAGTGTGACACAGCTGTACATGTTCCTTAATGAATATGATGTAATGAATATGATAAAAGCTTTAATTTTGACCGTGAAATCGAAAGCGGGTATTGAAAAAAGTATGATAAAACCTTTAATTTTGACCGTGTTAAAAATATCGCGTTTTAAAGCGTTACGTGTTTTATTTAAATGTGTACTATCGGTAATGACAGTATTAATGGACCTTCTTTATGTCTGTATTCTGTATGTACAAGTTTTGTCTAACTGTCAAGGTTATTAGATTATTCCTACCGAATATAGCTATATCAATAGAGCATTTTTCAATTGTTTAATTACTTTATCTTTAGCTTAAGGAGTACGTAGTGTTGTAAATGTTTATTTAATTTAATAATGTTTCTTAGGATGTGCAATTTGTTGCATTACGCTACTTGACGGGCGAATGTAACTATGGAGGCCGTGTGACAGACGACTGGGACCGACGCTGTTTAAACACTATCCTTTACAAGTTTTACAACCCTCGTACTGTTAATGAAGACAAGTATCCTTTAGATCCCACTGGTATCATTTCTTATATAAATACTATGTATAGCGAACTCTTGTATCTGTTACTATACTCTGTGATATGGCAATTAGTTTCTCATTTAAACTATGCTGGTCATTATTACAAAGGTAGTTATGTTCTGACAGGTGTATACCACATACCGACATTACGGGAACACTCGGACTTTATAGCATTCGCCCGGTCTCTTCCCGTGGCCACACCACCTTCCGTATTCGGTTTCCATCCTAACGCGGACATCACTAAGCATTTCCGGGAAGCTGAAGACCTTCTAAACACAGCTATTTTGACACAGGTAATTTTGTATCGTTTTTAAAACTGCTGTAAACTCCTAACCTACATGGAACAACAGTAGATCATAACACATTATATCATGTCTTAAGCGTTATATTCTACTTCACACCTGTTAATGCAAAAAGGAAATTCAACGTCGAGGATAGTTCGCTGCATTATATCGATTTTATTCATCTCGCCTACATAGTAATAAAACTTTAGAGATTAATTTCTTTAACGTATGTATTATGTCGAATAATGCTTGATGATTTGTAGTGTAAGTTGTTAGTTAGTAGTAGTTGTTGTAGTTTTTACTGTACTGTAGTAATTATATTGATCTTGTATTCTGTTTCATTAACCCTCAACGTCGGCAAACAAGGATCGCACGGTAAGTACTCGAGACAAATTTCGTTACAACTCGATTTCCCTAAAGAAGAAAGTAATAACATATTTTAATGCTTTAAGGATCTTCTAAAAGAATACTTGGTGAGTTTATATTACTTTTGTGGCGAAACGATTACACGCTTTTATCAAAGAGCTGCTTTATTGTGTTTTTATTCAACGGCCCTTTGTTTTGTTGTTTCTCTCAATGAGCTTTTCTTATTCCTGATGTTCTTTTGCTTTACAGCTTTGTTATTTTTATCACGCTTGGCATTTTGTTATTAGATTTTTTAATAACTGCGGTTATAACTATTAACTGTTGCAAAGAAACCATGTTTTATAGCACATTTGATCACCACATAGGATACAATGGCAGCTGGCGGCGCCGGTGCTACGCCAGAACAGCAAGCTATGGCCATAGCCGAAGACGTGCTAGCACGCCTACCAAAACAGATTCTCTCTGGCCCGTCACATGAGGGTGACATTAAGCCAGCGGATATGACGCCAATGTCGATAGTCGTTATACAGGAGGCAGCTAGATATGAAAGATTGGTGACCGTTGTGAGGACTAGTTCTAGAGCTGTTATTGGAGCTGTACAAGGTCATATATTTGGTCCTGAAGTTATTATTTAATATCACAAAAATATTTACGTGTCACATCATTGTAGGTGTAAGTGTATTAACGGATGTAACCGAAGAAGTCCTCACGAGTATGGTCAGAGGTCGCATACCAGCTCTGTGGGCGGGCAAGAGCTACCCATCGCTGAAACCTCTAGCTGCTTACTTTGACGATTTACTCGCAAGATTGGCCTTTTTACAAGTAATTTTGCAATCAATATATAATGTCATACTTGTAGAATTATAGCTATGTTAATAAATGTTTATTTTTCCAGCATTGGCATCAGTACGGTCCACCAGTCGTTTTCTGGCTATCGGGCTTTTATTTCCCGCAAGCTTTTCTTACGGCTGCCCAACAAAGCTATGCAAGAAAGTATAAGATACCTATCGATCAGCTTGCATTCCATTATGAGGTATGTTAAAATATATAGTTATTTAGCGAACACAGTACTTTGATCATCAATTAATAGTAACTCATAACTTACAGGTTCAACGTACGTTCGTTCTCGAAGAACCGCCCGATGAAGGTGTTTATATTCGTGGTCTATTCATGGAGGGTGCGAGATGGAACATGGAGGAAAGCTACATTGATGAATCTTTACCCAAGATACTGTACGACGAATTCCCGCCAGTAATATACTCTCTACAACTTCATTATGCTTTTTTCTTACTTGTTTTTATTATAGAGGAGGTTAGACAAGCATGGAGCTCACTTGATGATAGATGAAATAGCCCAGCTCTCTATCACATAAACAAGATGCGCTATCGACCTATTTGGCTTTGGATATGCGGAAATCCACAGACTGACACCGAAACGCGATTAAAATTCACGTTTTTTCATCTGTGGACGAAATTTCGAGGTTTCTACGACCCATTTAATATCCAGATTTCCAAACGAACTCTATTAAGCTTCAGAAAAAAATACATTGAAAAATGAGAAACCCTGTTGGGGCCAGTGGGCATCGAACCCACGACCCGTGGGACCAACGAGCCCTAATTTTGCTATTCTTATGCTTTCTTACTTTACATCTCAATTTGGTCAACTTAATTTGCAGGTGTGGCTGATCCCGCTGAAACGCGAGGATATCCCTCAGGATGTGTTTTATAATTGTCCTCTGTATAAGACGGGAGATCGCCGTGGGGTTCTATCTACAACTGGTCATTCCACTAATTATATTCTCTTTATGCGTTTACCAACATCTCAGCCACCTGACCATTGGATAATGCGTGGTGTGGCTCTCCTTACGCAGTTGCCTTTCTAATTTATACGTGACGTACAAGGGCTCAGTGAAACAGTAAAGAAAAATGATTCACAGTTTGGCGTATGATGTAATTCTAGTCACTGGCATTAATTGTCTATATCGCTTATGGATAATCTTATGTTTCGTCCTTTTTTTAAACTTGAACGCACGATTTTGATAAGTTATCAATATAGTGCGTTTGTCGTGAGATAAATAGCATTAAAATTACTAATTTTTACTTTAATTACACTTAATTTATTATACGTTAAATATATTTATTTTTTCAAATAAATTATAAAATTTACTCTCTTATTTCAATACAATTCAATACCCTAGTTCCTAAAAACATTTAATGAGATACATCTTTGGGGTCAATGTCATTGCAGTTTTTTTATCGAATGAGGGAGCTTGGCTATTACGAAAGCGGTGACTCGAACTTTAAGCGTATTACGCTGCCCTGTCATTTAGCATGAAAAACCTCGCATCCCAGATATGGCATGTATTAAATAAACGAGCAGGGTGAAAGGACGTTAGCGCAGGGTTGGCTATTGACTTGACAAAAAAATTAAATGAAAACTACACATTGAAATAGCCTCAGTTAATATATTTCGAATTAGAGCGTCTGGTTTTATTTTAGGTTGTATCTACGTAAACGCAAATATAGCTTAGACTTTCCTTAAATATTTTTCTCTTGAAACAATGAGACTCCAAACAAATGATAATTTATTATTATATAGATTAGTCACGTTCTCTAGTTCTATACCATAAAGTCAATTCGGATAAAACAGAAAATATGGATTCAGTTTAATGAGCAACATACTGAATGAAAACTTCTGTGACATTTCAAAGAAATAAGGTGAAATGCTCAAAAAATTTTATAATAATTTGGTTCAGTAAGTTTGAGTCGTCTGTTACACTTCGGCTTTGTTCTGACATTTAATTTTCCTCGTAGAGTAGCCCTAGCGAGAGGGAGCAGTACGGGAGGCACTCGGTCTGGGCCGGCGTCGCCCCGGCAACGTGAGATATTGATCTGCGCACACCCCCGCACCCCGCACAGCATCCCTGATTCCCGTGCCCTCCCCCCTCGACCCTTCCCTTCTCTCGCCCTCCCAGCGCCCTTGATTCTGCACGACCGCCGCCCTCTCACCCCATACAAATATGTACTTATTACACTTCACACTACAGACTCTCGTAATCCAATGAAGAATTTTCACTCGTGCTTTTAAAATTACATAAAACCTACACCGTCCTTTATACCTACTAATTAAAGCAAAGCTGAAGTGGATTATACAATCTTTGCAATAGCGAAATGTTGAATTTTGCCTTCAAAACAAAGAGCGTCCTACTTTTGTTGGTAGGCTTTGTCTTTATTTGAAAGGACATCTTTTAAATCTTATTTTTTCATTCTATTTATACATAGAAGTATAACATTGTACATTATCAAAATATCTTAATTTATCTGGGGATATTGTTTTATACATTTTATAATGTTTCATATTATAAGAATGACGAAAGAATACGCACGATAAAAGCGATATTTTTTACATACATTATATGTTACTTAACATTTCTTGACAGATTCACGTTTAATGTCAAACTAAAAATAATTAAAACGAGAAAATAAAGCTTAAGAGAAAGTTAGATGGTGTCAGTTACAAGTGTACGAAGCTTGTGAGATGAATACAATTTCACGTCAGTGTCCTTCCTGTATTCATTATGGATGCTGTAGTATGAAATGAAAATAACATAAATAAAACTCTATGCTCTTTACCAACCCCAGTGCCAATACCTGTGGCCAATTTGCTCGTTGCTATGACGAGAGACATGCCATTATCTCGCCACCGGTGTTGTATTCCATTTGCAACGTTTGAGAGGAATTAATTAGCTTGCCAACTCAACCTGTGATTTGAACGAGCTTGGATGCAGTGGGAAAGCTACTAGTGTTGGAAGAGTTGGAAATTTTAATTGTCGCATGCATTGATGGGATCGTTGGTCTATTGGTAGCATTGTATAATGGCATCAACGGGTCGTGGGTTAGATATGTTTCTAATTTTTCAATTAATCATTTTCCTGAAACGCACTGGACTTCGTCTGGAAACCTGGATATGAATGGGTGTTAGGAATATAGAAATGTCGTCCGGGTCACGAACCACCGTTCACCGTTACAGAAAAAGCCGTAAAGCGTTTATCGCGTGTCGGTTTCAATCTGTGGATTTACGAAAATCCAAAGCCAAAATACACATATCACATGTGCACCAAATGCCATGTCCTCCTCTATCACAAAAAAAAAAAACAGATTCTTAATTATATGGCCATTCTATAATCTGTGGTCGAATTGTGTTAAAAGTGGGAGTTATCTTTCAATACATAGGAAACAAGTTTTCCTAAACCACATAACTCTGATTAACCTGAAAATATGTTTTAAGAATGAATCGCACTACATAAAGGAAAACCGTATTGACTACAGGTAATACAAAGAATAATGTATACTTAGTTTATTTTGTAAAGATGAAGCTTAACGCAGTTCAATTCTATCTCTTTCTATATTATATCTCAAATTTATATATAACCCGTTTATAGCAAATGTTTTTTTAATCAATTAACATAAGTAAAAATCCTCATTTATTCAAATTAGTGACATGCATTTCTTTGTATGTGTTTGATAAAGTATTTGTTTAATATTACTTGTAACGGTACTAAGATTTGATATATGCAATAATTTATTATTTTTTATTTTAATGATGAATGTTTAAAATAATGTTTTTTCCCAAAACTACGACACTTTCATGAAATACGAGTATTTTATTTTATATTTCGTATCGTTATCCTTACGTGGCATAAATTTATATTCGATACCTTTTCTGTTTATACCTATTATTATTTTATATAAAACAACTTATAAAATGGGAAGGCCATTCTTCAGCTTAATACGTACCTTTACAAACCCTTATAATTAAATAATCTACGATTGACTAGATTCGAATTTATTTTATTACATTAATCACCACAGCTTTGATGTATATTTGCTCGGTCGAAAACATTGCTTACTCTTCTTATAACCTTCTACCTATACCCTGTTAAATAAAATATAAACCCACGAGTAATTTGTTAGCAAAATGTAAGTCCGTCAATTCACATTAAGTTTAGACTGTCTGATCCGATAAAAGCTCGTATTAGCCCGGCCATTCCGCTTCAAGCTATTTTAGGTCGTTTTATATACTTATATTGCTTGCACTAAGGATCTATTTAAACCAACGGCGCTGAGCGAATCGTTAGAAATGAAAGGGAAGGCTTTACGGCATTTACCTACGACCGCCGGCTTACCAATTTTAATATTACATGTTACAGGACTGTTTTAACCATGCATGATGGCGTACAAATATTTGCAACAACTAATGAACACTGCATGAATATCGAAATATGAAATACGGAATAAGTTTCGTGGTTAACCGTGTTGTAATTAAAAACTCGTTCAACCCGAAATCCATTTTAAAGTGCGGTTATATACGTTTGTAATTAATTACACTCGAAACAGTCGCTATGAATGTATTAAATCCAAGAGAAATGTAATAAATGTTAAGCGGATTTTGTTATTGCTTTCCAAACGCATTTGTAAAATATTAATCGGCGAATAACTTTTATGTTATTCGTAGTGTAATTAGATTTTAAATGTTTTAATAAAATTATAAAGTCGTTACGCCTTTCCGAGCTAGTTCTCGATTACATTGATGAGAATTACTCCAGAAATATATTTATAGCACATGGGGATATTAGCTTTCGACTCGGTGGATAAGGATTAGGAGCCCCTTCGAGTGCCGCCCGGACGAATTGCGCTTCGTTATCCCGTATATACGAGCGCAGGTGTATTTATTAAGAGGAAACAGTTCGGTATTCGCATTATGCGTGTTCATCATCGCTAACGTGTGAATCATTGTTTAATTGAAGCTGCGCAGGGCGGCGGGGGCGCATCGATCGTCTGCCGTCGCCATGGTTACGCTCCCCGCTCTCGCCGCCCGATTCATTTGTAATCATTTGTTTCGCGACCATCGAATAATGGTACTCGTCAAACAGCGACGATTTGATGAATTACTGTCAGGTATATAGGTGTTATATATCTGAAAAGATATGCACGAATGGTCTACATCGCGAGATAGTCAAGTAGTTCGATGTAATAATGAACTTTTCTGAAAGGAAAATCGATCAAGCTAAAAGTAGAGCAGTGTTAACTTAGACTAAACAGTTCACGTATTGTCATCGTTATTGCTTGTTATTTATAGTTTTAAATAGATTTCCACGTTTAAATATCGACATTCGATATAAATAGCTTTTAGTGCGTATAAATTTAGAATAACGTACAAATTATAAACCAAGGTTTTTGAGTACTTAAAATTTCAGCGATACTACGTCGTGGCTACTCGAGGAAATCATTTAAAAAATATTCTCTTTATTGACTACGTTTGTAGTGAGTATACGCTGTTTATTATGGTTCACTTAACAACTCTCAAGAATTTCATATAACATCCATTTGATGTTGCTCGGAATATTTTTGCTATGCATAGAAGAGGTTGCACAAAATAAAGTATTTGAACTACGAGTATAACGTAGCGCTACTTGAACGTTCTTAATCATAATGGAATTTCAACTCAATCTTGCTTAGTTTTTACTATCATAGCTTGTAATAGTTAATTCTTAATATTGGACACGTTGGTAAGGATTTGAAGTACGGTCTACGATAAGGATTAACTCGAACTGGTATTCTTTGTAATTATCTCTCGATCGGACTACAAAAAGTATAAAGAGAATTAACCCTAGCTATAGCTCGTAAGGGCGACGGGCAGTGGGCGAGAGCAGTGTTGGGTTTTCTCGAATAATTTTAATAGAAGTTTTGCGTGGGTTTCGGAGGAGAAAAGGGAAAGGGTGGCTAGGGCTGCGAATTTATGTAAAATACTTTAAACCCTGTTTCCTTTGATAGATGAAGCAGACAAATGACTGTCTTTATGTGCCCTTTTCCGAATTTATGAGAAAATAAATATTTATCGACTCGATGCAATATTTTAGATGAGATAAATTAATTTATGATATAAAACACTGACCATTGCTCTTAAGTTCTTAAAAAGTTATCTCGAGTTGCTTGGAAGAGACCGCTTGGGATCAATTATCCCGTCTGTACCATTACGAGTGTACAACATTAGTGTTAAATAAAACACTTTATTGGTTAAAAACGCGATATATATATTAGATAAACTTATTTGGATATTATTTAACTATCGCCTGACGTTTCGGATGCTTTGCAGCAGCCGTTGTCGCGGGGGATTGTTACAAAGCATCCGAAATAAGTATATAATTAATATATATTGAGCTTTACAGTTTATTTGGCAACTAGTGCAATATAGTCTTAGATGCAATAAATTTAAAAAAAGAAGAAAATATTTTTGGCACCCCTAAGCCCGAATGTAGCGGGAGGTCGCAAAATGAGATTTCCTTTGAGCCAGGACTCGGCGAGTGGTGACCGCGACCAACTTCGGATCGGGTCCTTCATATATCATGCGACGCACATGTACATTGCATAATATACGCTTTTGCGTTGTGTAACACTCGCACACTTTTGCTTCCATTATTAATTGCACTGCCCGAGCTTTTAGGGTTGCGATTCGGGAGATTTTTTTATGACAGAGGAGTATAGACAAGCGGGGGGGCACCTTTGATTAAAGTAGAAATACGACCCTTTAACATCTAATTAAGATGCGATATCGACCTTTTGTAACTTTGCACATTCATAATCCATAGACTGGTCCGATAGAGCAGAAATTTCATAGCTAGATTAGTCCAGACGGTCTAATATAATAAAGAAAAATGAAATGATGTGGAGACATGTTGGACCTGATGGGGATTAGTGGCTATATAAACAAGATAAACATACCTATATATGTAACAGGAATGTTGTTGTTATGTTAAATATTGAAACTGATAAGGCACTATTTTTCGAAAACGCATTTCATTCTGAAAAGTTTTCCTAAACGTTTGACAAATTTGTGACTACATAAATATTCTTAGTCTCAACCAATATAAAATTGAACGATACACACAAAAGCTACGTAATTTTAAATTGTGTCATTTAACCACAATTAGAAATATACAAATTGATATTCAGGACACTGTATGCTCGCTACTTCCTTGATCACACAGCGCCACCCTTGCGTCATCAAGAGGGCCATTACAGTCTATCGGAGGGAGATCGTACTCAATCACGGATGTCCATCTCGGAGATAGCTACCGGCGCTTTAATTTCACTCTACCCACACGACTCTTCTGTCCAAGCGCAAATATGACATTAGATAATACAAATTTTAAAATTTTTCAATCTGTACCCATAAAAATGGATAAATTTTGTTTTCAAAATAGACTTTGTAAATCAAAATTTACCCATAAAATAATGGTGGCTATGGTAATGGCTTTTTGACATTTATTTTCGTGTTACTGAATTAAAAAACTTGTATTTATTTAAATTCTAGTTCTAGTCCTTTTACTAAATTGTACTAACGTTACGTTGTGGGCGATCTCTTCTAGGCATCTCAAAACGGCAGAACAATTAGTTTATGGTAAATCTATGGAGATCTGCAAGGCGAAACAAAATATACAATCTAAAAAATAAAAAACTAAGTCCACTATAAATAATAGTTTACTAAACATAATTTACATCAATAATGGATGCAAAAGAAAAATGCACGTTAAAGTTTAAACACCGTTGGCATGTACTTCGTGAGAAAGATGTAGCCATTACGAACTAGTCTTAAGTTATTCGATGTAGAGTTGAGGCTGAACTGGAGTTTGGAGTTACTGTTGGGCAAAGTTTGGTGCACGTTTTATTCTAGTTCTACGTGCCACCTGACAGGCTACACTCCCCGAGTGCATTACGATTTGTTAGTCGTAATATATTGCCCACTACCTTATGTATCTATACAAAGCTGAAAACTTTGTTTCAACGAGCTAAACTTAGGAACTATTGGTTTATTTTTTTTTGTGTTGCTTAGAGCATTTATCGAGGAATGCTATAAAACATCACGCTCTGACGTATAGGAGCGAAGAAATCGGGCAATTCTGGACGAAACGGGGAAAATTCTTCATCTTAACAAGGTTTAACAGTTCATGTGAGTTAATCTTAAATCGTAGACATTTTGTTAAAGATCATTAATAAATGAATGATTATTCTTTCCCAAATATTTTTTGGGTATCTTGAACCGCTTTCGCAGCGCACGATACGGAAACTCGTAAATTAATAATTTTCCTCGTGTGTTCCACATTTCCCCTGTTTTTTCGCTCCTGTTGATCGGTGGATATGTTTTTTATAGCCTAAAATCTTCCTCGATTAATACTCTAACCAACACAAAATTAATTTTTCAATTCTAACTAGTAATTCCTGAGATTTAGACATACAAACTCTTCAAATGTATATATTAGTATAGATTAATATTCAGACGAAAACCTAGTATATTCAGATTTGTTTAAAAAAGAATCTTATTATGTGTCGCGTAGATGTAATATGGAGGTGGGGTGCACCCATTTTTTCCACATCCATGCCCTCGACTCGTTTGCTTGAAAAACCAAGCGGACTATATTTGACACTTTTTCTAGCGTGCATCATATTGCTATGCAATCGTGCCTTTTATATTTTTTGTTAAATTGAATTCCTGGCTAAAGGCCAGGGCTATCTCGCAACAAGTTTACGTCAAAATATACCTTAAGTATTTATCAGGTTTTAAGGAGCGTTGCTTTTTTAGAATCAATAGATATGTAGGATTCGGTAGTTCAATTGGTTAGAGCAACAGCACGGAACGCTGACGATGCCGGTTCAAGTCCTGCCCGAGTCGTAATTTTTTTTTAATTTATAATCGATTCTTAATCAATAAATAAATAAATTATGAACTTTGAATAATTTCACATCCCCACATTATTTTTTGCCAAGCTTGTACAACTTCAGTACCTACCTATTTGAAAAGTTTAATTTTTAATTTTTTCACTATAATTTTCCGGGACTTGAACTTAGGACTCTCGTACACAGTGCATTTAATTAAAATTGACCTACAGAGGCTTTCTATGGTCACATAAAACATTCTGAAAAGGTATATAAAATACTTAGAATATAGGTGCCGTAATGTTTATTAATACAATATCTTTACGAATAATATAAAGCTGTAGAGTTTGTTTGTTTTATTAAACGCGCTAATCTGCTAACATACATCATTTATGGAGGAATCTTTAGGAAACATATACAGTATATAACATCACGTTGCAGTAGGATCGAAAAAACAGCGGTAAATGTGAAAAAGAAATGAGGAAAATTATTTATCGTTGAGGGCTTAAAAAAAACTGCAATATATATATATATATATACTTTTAATTTTGTCTATCTCTTAAGATTCCCTTTTACGGTTATCGAATGTAGTTCGAATTAACACATTACTTCGTTAGAGTTGTATCAACATAATAATAATCTTGCAAACAAGAAAACAGCGTTCGCCGGATCAGCTATATATTAAATAATTTCCTAAAATTTTCTTCTAGTTCAAACTTTTTTTTTTCAAACCTCCTACTCAAACTTTCTCCCTATTTTATAAATTTATAAATAATTACAAAACTTCTTATCAGATTGTATTTGGTTGAAAAATTGTATTTCGGTTCGTAAAAGTAGGATGTCCCATTGTTCCAGATCATATCCTTAATTTTTTATTTTCCTTTTCCCCAAATCTCCTTCCTTCTAAAATTAAGTTTAAATTATGGGTCTATAGTACATTTCATTACTCTACTTAATTCTTCCCCACTCAATTCTACAAACCTTTCAAATTACTCGGTCAGTATGGAATACCTTACCCTTTATGGTTTCCCTCCTATCTTTAACTCCTCTCCCTTTATGTACTTATTACCCATCTTAATAAATTGTACTATTTTTAATATTTTTACCAATTTTTTTAGTTTAGTTTCCCTAATAAGTTTTGAAATTGTATGTAAGTTTTATTTTGATAAGTTTAAGATTTTTTAACATTGTAATTTTGTTTCCCCACCTTTTGTTTTCCCGTAAATTTTTTCTTTATTTGGTTCTGAAGAGATCTTTAGCATAAGGCCCCCTTACTCCTTGTTTATATATAAGTTTATATTTTTTTATTTTTTTTTTTCAATAAAGTGTAAATAAATAAATAAATAAATAAACGAAATATTTAATTTCACTTTTATTAATCTCCTCGGTATATTTGACGAAATAAAACGTTATATTAAAAGGCACTACAAAGACTAATTTAATAACTTTCATAGACATTCTCGATGTTATTAGTTTTATATTAAGCCCAGTCGCCATGGAAACGAGGTATGCCCGGGCTCACGCCGACCTCGCTAATTCACCTGTCTACCACTCACACAAGCACACTATTTCATTATAGTATACACAGCATCCATTCTCATAATTTATATATAAACCTATAGCTGTGTGCAACGCCAACATTTAACACAACTACAGTTCTTTGTCTTTGTTTAACCCAGTAGAAACGTTTACAAACGGGGCTAGTAGTCACTTACAAATATTAAAGTATTTTATCATTTTCCCACAGCTGGGCACAGATTTTCTCTTCTAATAATGAAGTGTTTTAGTAGAACCCAGGAACTAAGTTAATTTCCGTGAGAAAAAACACAGCTGAAGATTGATTCTAGACAATTTGTAAATAAAATATAAACAGATACGTCTGTATACGATTTGGTATTATCTATACTAATATATAAAGCTAAAGGGTTTGTATGCTTGATTACGCTAATCTCAGAATTTACAAATTTGAATTTGAAAAAAATACCTTGTGTTGGTTAGAACATCTATCAAAACACTGCGCTGCGACAAATAGGAGCGAAGAAATGTGGAAAAATCTTTGTGGTTCACCGTTGCGTGCGCTGCGAAAACTGTTTAAGATATCCAAAACATATGTATAAAAGAATGATTCCTCTTGAAATTATCTAAAAAACGCGACACTACAAGTCAATATTTAAAGATTACCTTGCAAGAACGTCGGGACGCGACCGGCGGCTTATAAATATGAAGAGGTTTGCAAAAACGAATTTTTAAGCCCAAATCAACTGTAGTACGTAGACGAAGACGCGGCCACAACCAGTTCTAAATAAAATATAAACAAATACGTCCGTATATAATTTATGATATAAATGTTACAGTTACAGATATTATTTATCAAAAGTTTCCCACATTGAAAATCAATACAGTGTTGCACTCCTGAAATTAAGCAGAGTAGAGCTGAAAACATTCATTGCCACTCTCCAAGCAAGCATTCATTAAAGTAGGCTTTGAGCCGGTGTTTTATTAAAACTGTCGCAAGCCTCGGAATATTGCATTTCAAGCACTACTTAACTAGACGCCTGGCACCATTCCAAAGCCCAAAATGCTATCTTTAGGCAAGGGCTATAATATTCCGATTACGATACTCTTTATTTTAAACTGTGACTTTTCATTGTGCCGCGTAAAAATAGTAATACAATATAACTCATTAAGATTTATAGATATAGTTGTTTCAATGTACCAATGGCCAACAACTTATGAGAATTGGAATCCATTAATCATTTTGTAGATTTTTGTTAACAACTTCGGGTAGAAGCTAAAAATTAAATAGGTGGTAGAAAAATAAAAAATTGATTTTAGATTTTAAAAAAGGGACGACACGATTAGGTTCTGTAGTTCTAACTAATAGATTTTTAATTAATATAGTGCCATCATATTCGTGTGAAAACCATCTAGCGACCTGCTTTTCACGCGCTGTCTGGAATTTTTATTTTTTCTAATATCTTAAGCAGATAAATTAAATTGATCGATAGCGCTTTTGAATTAAATGTAAGCACTTTGATATTTCACCTTCCATCTATTGAACTCCAAATACTCCGCTTCTCATATCTATCATAAAGTGAGGCATTGCATTATGACATCATAATATACATATACATATTATATCAGCAACACATTCTTCGTTTAATCGTGACAAGAAACAACATTTAATACAAATAAATACTCCTCATTCTTTAAATGTAAAAAAAAACTACTTTCAAACATCCAACTTATTTTTCAAATGAATGACTATAAGTTGCTTTATTATTTACAAAGGTTTTATAAAAACATAATTTGTTTCTAATTAACGTTGATTGTCTTGTTGATTTTGTTTGACAACACGTTTTCTACAATTCCAGCTTCTTACAGATTGTTGATAAAAGATACAGATGCGAATATCTAAAGAATAGAAGATGTAATTTAGCGGGCCTTGTAATATGATTGTTGGTAAAGGCGAAGTAACGAGCTTACCCCGAGGGAACGCGGCGAAGCTACAAGCTACGATGCGCTACGGTCATTTTCAATTCAAATAAGGTGCTACATTCGTAGCTGTAACGGCACTTCGCGGTTATAACAGACAAAGCGTTTTTAGATTTTTAAGTAGATACCATTTTTATATCTTTAATATTAAGTTATACAATTGAAAAACTTGTGATATTAACGGTATATTGCTGATCGTGGATACGAATAAGGTAACTCAATTGTCGAAGCAACGACACGGTATGCTGTTACGGTATACGGTCGTGGGTTCGATATCAGGCCGAGTCAGAAACTCGTGGATAAGTGACAATTCAATTAAAAAAGATAACTTTTTTCCTAAGAAACATTACATTTATGTTCAAAATTTTGTCGAGCGTGAGTGAATTTTATAAAACAATCAGTGTTTTTATAAGGAGCTCAAGAAAAGTTTTACAATACTTTCATATCGTTAAGTCATTATCTGAACTTGAACTAACAAAAGACACTTGTTGAAGAATATTAATGAAAAGCTTGATGCTCGAAAACATTCATTATACATTATAGTTTATTCGCGTACATGACTCAGCAAATATTAGTCTTCATTCACTGGCCGAGTACGGCGAAGTAAAAACATCTGATCTATCTAATGAAAATTTTGTAAAATTTATGCTCCTTCGTATCGGGGGCTGTTTGTTCGCCTCGGGATGAAAGATAAATAGAGGGTAGCTATTGGCGAGTTTGTAATGAAGAGCACTCGAAGGCATGAGCTAAAGTCGCGGCCGGGCAAACGCTCGCGAGATGCACCGGGCAACCCTTAATTGAATACTATGGACTGAGCTAATCGCAGCTTGTTTAGGGGTGGCAATACAAGATTTTTTTTATTATGTAACAGCGGGTCATTCTTAGACCTATAATAAACTACAGTAAGACCAATAATACAGATGAACCAAAAAATATACACATAAGAAGCAATGGATCTTTGCTTTACTGTATTTTTAACAAACAGGAGTCCAAAGCAGTAAAAAGTTTGAGAGCCCGGATATCCCGGGCATGTTGCAACCCTAAGCTCAGCTGAGATCGCGTGGGGTTGCCGGGCAGAGGCTAGTGGGGGAGGGGAAGCAGCCGGAGCCACGCGGGCTGGCCGCGCCCCCTGCGCGCGCCGCCTCACCCGGGGAGCTCATTCAAGTAGCGAGCGCGCCCCGTGTCAGCCGCAACCCTCAGGTATGTCCATTTTGCTTTTGGTGTTTGCACGTCGTGTACCGTTCCGCGCTCCGTACTCCGCGAGTGTCAGTCGTGATGTGACTGTTGTGTACCGTACCGTACGCGGATACATACGCACCAAACGGCATTCGGCACTGCGAGATCCGTGTCCACGATGTATAGTGCTCGACGATGTGACGACTGGCCATCGACATATGTGTTCGTAATTGACGAATCTATTATTAACTAGCACAAAATTTAAATTACACACTAACGATATTTTTTAACGCGCACCGTGCTTTATGTCTGCATGTCCTGTCTGAGCTTTATTTATTCCGAGGCCTGCAAGATCACAGGTAAGTTAATTTATTACCTTACTTTACCAAATTAGCACTTAAGTAAAATCTTTAAAGAGGTTATAGTCCAAAATTTGCATATAGATACAAATTAAATCTGGTTTAAATGAAAAATCAATGTCCCGTCTGGCATTGTGCGAATTTCTAGGGATGTCGATAAATCGGGGTGGGTGGAGTCGAGACGAACTCTCGGAGGCTGGGGAGGGACGAGACGACTTTCACTGGCGCCACACTTCACCTTGTCGCCTGGCATGATGCCAGTCTCCGACTGCTTAGCCTCAGCCCTCGAACCCTTAATCATGCAAACTACACGTATTTTCTTGTTTGTACTAACATTGTCAGCTACACTATAATGTTCTCTATCGCCAAAATAACCAATCAATGAAAATAAGTAAAAGCACATCTTGTTAAGATATAAATATTCTCACTTTTATTTGCTTTAAATGTTGTTTAATCAGTGTCGTTAGAAAGAATTTTTTCCTAATATTAGACACTCCAATGTTCTACTCTTCGTTGACGAGCGGCATAAGTCTAAAGTGAAATTTGTAAATTACACAATGTTATTGATGAGTGATGAGAGCCTCTTTCGATCTAGATCTAAATGTATTATATCGCGTACGTTAATGGATTACGCGTGCGTGTTTTTACACGCAATGTTATTTATAGGAAAATGATTATTGAGTACGTAACTCGCTACGGCGCGTAGCGGCCGCTACGATAGATCGTTCGGTATTCGTTGCAACTATGCGAAAGAATATAAATGTCAAAACTTAAACATTTTTATTATTAAGTTCAAAGATAGTTATAGTTTGACAATTGATACTAAAGTACTGTGCAAGATTTTATAACGTGATATAAGCGGAAATAGTGTGTCGAATTTTTAATCTGTAATCATTTGGTAAGGCTTTTATATAATTTACACCGCTTTTAAATAAGGTTTAAGTTCTGACTTTTTTAATAACAAATAATGTAATATCTGTAGTTTACGCAAATAGTATGCAATTAAATAACATACTTTAGCTGTTAAAAAAACGATGTATGTCCAGCGTATTTTGAAATTATTTTAACTACGACCGACATTTCGGATGTTTTGTAGCAGATGTGTTTGTGGGGGTCAATCTCTCCTAGGAAACTAATATATATCGCATTCTATACCGCTAAAAAAATATTAACAGTTATTACATTTCTTTGTAATTGGTATATTAATTACCTCTACTTAAAATGATGTGGTAGAAATAATAAAATAAATTGTTGATTGGAAAAATTTCTATTACTATTCATAGTGTATCGATTGAAAAACAGCTTTGATAAACACTGATGCTATCAGTGCAAGCACTTCAATTAACCATTGATAATGTACTGATAATATAAACGTATCTCTAAAAATATTTTGTTTATTTCTCTTATTACAGTTAAAGTTATTAATAATAATTAATTTAAAACCTCTAACTTCATTTTATTTTCTTAAATAATATACTGAAGAACTTGATGAAGGCACGTTTTTACACTCGCGTAGACTTTCTTATTTTCCCGCCATACAAAAATACAAAGAAGAAAAAAAATGCGAGCCAATTTGATGATTAAGCTATTTAATGTTTAAGCAAAAAACTACAAGAGAAACAAAGTTTTCTATTTATGTTCATTTACTCAACACACTATAAGACTACTTATTTAAACACTACAATATTTTATAATGTATGTACGTACGTACGTTTTTATTAACACTATTGTATAAATTACAAGAAAAATTACAAACGAGACTTATTATTTTATATACAGTATTTTTAAATTTATTACGATAATTATTTAAGTTTGGTCAAGGCCTTCGCAATGATTATTCCATGTAAACCAATTTCCAGTTTAAAATAAATCGCAAGATATAGGCAGGAGGCATTTTGCTACTCCTCATATCAAGTATTCGTAATCGCAACTACATTTTATAAGTAACTCTTTTCAAATGTATTTTTGAAAAAGATTATGTGCTTTCACACTTATGAATTTTTATGTATTCATATGTACCATTTTTTTCAAAACCTGATTGATTGTTTGTACTATGGGCATTTAAATAATTTCCTTCGTAACTAATGTATTAATGTATATTTTGTAAAAAATAATTAAAACATTAATAATGACATATTTAGAGTTGACTTGATAAGATAATATATATTTTAACAATTAGATTTTCTATACACAAGTTTACAATAAAGTTCGGCTTTCTTTATCGTAGCACGCTGTATATAAAAAGAGCATAATATTTTAGAATACGTACTCATAATCGCGAGCGGTTGCTATTACAAAATTCATTAATAAAACCCAAGGGCCGGGTTCCCCATATTGCATGATGCGTGACGCATGCGACATATGCGCACACGACTGTCAATAGAAGCCGCGCAGCTGCGTACGTTCACCCCGACTAGACAATACTAGGACAAAAACCACCCTGTATTTTGGGTGATTAATTCAAGTCCGTATTGTCTACGCCAAAGTTTCACTATTTGCGCGCGCTACATGTTATACCTTATTAAATGCAGGCCCCATTATTATAATACGCGTCGTGCATATTAATGCGAACTACATAATGTAACCAGTTTAGTTTGAATGGAATTGATACCATTTTGTAGTAGAACGGAGAAACAATTTAAGCAACCTAATAAATCTCCTTTCTTAAAATCTTCCTTCTCTTTTCTATCTTCTTCTGTTTTTACAGGCTCTTTAATTTGGAAAGGTGATCTCTGTGATTTTACGCAATTACATACCATAAAAAATACTTTAAACAAGTTTAACAAATTACTTAATTTAGTATTAAATGATGTTCTTGCTTTCTTTGCTTTTGCTTTTTCTTATCTACAGATTTTAAAACAACACAAGTATCGCCTAAACTTGCTCAAATCTTCCCATACGTCATATCCCGTTTATTTTTTATATATAAAAAGAGTTAGTAAATATACGAAATAAGGCTTAAAATATCGTTTTTTAACTTCTTTCCACGTTACATTAATTGCTGAAGTTTGTCTATATGTGAAACTTACGTGTGAATGTTATCAAATTCACACGTTAAACGTTGACCCTATTAATTATTTATTGACCCCACACTATATTTAATAATAGATGATGGTGAATCAACTCGTCTGAATTCAGGAACAATGGCCGAATCGAACAATCGATTCGTTGATCGCAGCATTTGCGCGACAGCTGCGGGGTGGTTCCGTGTGACGACTGCGCTAGAGCGACTATTTCGCAACCAATGTGTTTGTTTTATCGTATTGACAAACAAAACAAAATCTTTTCAAAAAGGCAATAGCGCGAAGTAGTTCTGCTAATTATATAAATAAGTCGCGACGCTCGACAATTGAAAAGCAAACTTGGATCGTTGGTAAAGTACTTACTTCGTATTGCTTCAACTAGTTTAAAAATTAATTAAAAGCCTTACTCAATTTATTAGTTTTAAAATGTTCTATTAGATATTGTACCCGTAAATTACAAATAAGAGATCTCGATTGCACCATTTTAAAGAATAAAATAAACTTGTAGAGCCATTTTTTTTTTAAAACACAAATTAAAAAAAACAGCTTTATATGCGCCAACCTATAAAACGCGATATGAAATGATGTATAATAATTAAAAGAGGAAAGAAGATGACCTTGCTAATTCTTGGAGTTATAATGCAGCACTTCAATCGTAACTTTTTTAAAATGCGGTTTAAGCTATGAAAACCAGCTTGCGCTTTTTTACTAAAAGGATAGCTACTCGGTAGAGAAAAAAATTGCTATATAAGATATATAGAAAAGAATAAAAACAAACATACAAATTGTGTTAAATAATAAATATATGTAGGCATTAAATGGTAAGTACATTTAGAAAAAAATAATACTCTTATAAACTAAAGTTCATCGTCCTCGCCACGCGAATCATCACAACCCTTTTCTATTCGAAGCGTTATTATTAGCATTCGTTTAAAGTGGGTCAAAAAATGATTGATAGATAAGCCGCGTAATTTCAAATCGCGGGGTATATTTTAATGCACTGATGAAATTCTAAAAGAATTTTAATTTGTTTAAACTAACAGTATGGGATTCGTGCTGCTACGGTTAACCAGGTTAACTAAAGTTAATTTCCAATACTTTAATTTACCTTTTTTTTTAATGATAGACGAGGACAGACAATCGTGAGGTTCACTCGATGAAAGAGCCATATAACATCTCAACAATACACGCTATAAATCTATTTTGACTTTGAAATCTATTTGAACTTCACGATTTTTTCATTTGCGGGCGGTTGCTCGTGACCCGGACGGACTCTCGATATTTCTACCGCCCATTCAATACGCAGCTTTCTAAACGAAGTCGAACATAATTTAAAAATCGAAAATAAATTGAAAAAAATTTCGACTCGGGCAGGACTTGAACCGGCATCGTCCGCGTTCCGTGCTGTTGCTTTTGAGCTACCGACCAATTGAGCTACCGAGTCCTACACCTCATCGTCGAATTTTAATTTTTTCAATTTATTTTCGATTCTTGAATTACATAGTGCCTTCATGTGCAAATGTAAAAAATATTAAAGTTTTCGAAGTCGAACATGTTTTAAAAGAAAAATATAATATCAGACAAGGTGGGATTCGAACTCAAGACCAGTTTATTATTAGCCATTGCGACCATTAGATCAACAAATACATAATCAAATAGTCACTCAGGATTAGTATGTTGGTACTACAAGAAACATTTAAAGCCAATTGTTACCTTTCTTTTGATTCGTGTCTATAAGGTCGTAGGTTCAAATCTACGCTAATGATTTTTTTAAAGTCTTTGTAACCAGATTATTATTACATAAAATAATGTATATTTAAATAAAACAGTTTAACGGTTTAAAACGCGATATTTTAGTTAAACTCATTTGAAACTGATTTAAAAATTAAAGATCAGTTTCAAATAAGTTTAACTAATATATCGCATTTTAAACCGTTAAACTGTTTTATTCAAATGTGTACTACTCGCGTAAATTATAGACAGTGTTTAGAATATATATTCATTGAATCTGTTTGGTATCCTTCATATAGGCGCTTTTGTTCCTACATTTGTCGAAAACCTTTGTTGTATTTCGTTTAGATAAACTGATCTATTTATTTTGTACAAGGAAATGTAATCAACCACAAAAGAAAAGTTAAAAACTACTACGCGAATGTAGGTTCAATGATCTGTGCGCGAAAGGGTCAACTGTAGTACGTGGTGAATACCGGAAGTTGACAAGGGCTTCCCTCTTGTCATCCGATTGTCTTTTTTACCCAATATATCAATAATTGAGCAATATTGGATTTTGTTACATTTTCGGGCAAAAGAACTCGGTTAGATTAGACCTTAAACTACTACTTAAACTACTTGTAACATATTTAAACGGCGTGCGGAAACAATAAGTTTTTTATATTGATCGAAAATAACCATAATAATTTCAGTCGGTAAAAAACCAATTAGTCAAAGTGTCTCCTACACAGTAATGTGTCCGCCCCATACCCTATAAAAGTAATTGTACGTTTAGATGTTTTTTTATCTAAAATGCTGGGTAACATATTTAAACATATCTTTTTCGTCCACGAATGTAACAATTTCTGTAAGTCCTTTTAACAGGTCACTCGAAGTGACACTATGCAACTGGTATTTCCCTTCTAATCTCTATCAAGCCTAGTATCAGATTCCAGTTTTGCCCTACGTTTGCTACATTCTAGCGAAGATTAATAGCTCATAGGGATCTGTGAATACTGATTGAAACATTCATTGCATAAGCAAGAACATTTTCGTCCTTAGCTAACAAGCTTGAAGAAATTTAAATAAAACGTTTTAACGGTTAAGTAAAACGCAAAATATATTAATTAAACTTATTTACAAATTATTTTAAGCAAGGCGTTTCGTATGTGTTGTAGCAGCCGTGGTCACTGGGAGATCACAGATGTAGTGTGTTCCTAATGTCAAAGTAAATCTGCTACACTAACGCCATCTGTTCCTTCGTAGTTGGTTCTTGGCAAAACTAACCGGGTTTTTACAGAACTGATTAACGGTGACCTCGCGTTTATCAGAATGCTGTTTCTTGGAATCTATTTTTTAATATGGGATCCCATACTAAACTACTCTTATTACGCGTTAACTACAGACAGTATTTAAGCATACAGAAAATTAATTTATACGGTAAGACATTACGACTTTTAACACAACCTTAATATTATATGGTGATTTGACTATCAAAATAGTAACGTTACAAAAGTTTTCGTAAGTAACCAAAGAACCCCCCGTTATTCAGCTACCTGACCCCTCCTACGCCTAATTACGATTGTTTGCATTTCTTCACCATGGTGAGCCTAGAATATCACATTCAATTATAAAGTAAAATTCTTTTGAAATAAATATAAATTTAAAGAGATGAGTGACATTTCACTTAAACTTCCATTGGTAAATTGAAAAGTTATTGTATCAACATACCGTGTTATTATAGTAACGGTACGGTGTGCTACTTATCGTCCATTCCAGTATTGCTTATGTCAAATAATTTTCGAATTTTAATAATACTTTTATAGACAATACTTGATACTATCAATTACTATGACTTTTTTCTTGTGCTACAATATAAAATAATGGGCATGCGAATTTTTTATAAGATTTTATTAAATCAAAAAGTGCGTATAAATGTTTTGATTAAAATTATTTTTTACACAGTTATTTGAATATGAACGTTAGGGTAAAGGAAATTAAAGTTGCATTTCGATTAGCTTAAGTATGTAGCTTAGAAATTCTTAACAAAATTGCTTTTAAAAATCTAATATTACCGACATGCATACAATAGTGCAACTAGATGATACATACTTTTAAAGGTAAAAGTTAGAACTTTAAAGAGTCCACGATGCTTGCCTTACTTTTTGAACATGTTGTGTTTGACCTGAAAATTATACTGAAAAAGGCAACTTCAGGATAAAACTTAAAGAACTTCTACTGATGGAACTTTCTGGTTTAAAATGATAGCGTGTTCAGTATAGTGAAATGAAAATGAAAGTCCCGTAGAGGCGTATGCATCAGCTGATCACGATCGATGGTACCGCATTCCACCAGCTACAGACATAATACCATTTATAAATAGAAGATACATTACACACGAACATATTTATTCAGGCAAACATGGCAAAATATTATACCTAGCAATATAAAATCTGACAATGACTAACGAATAACGGAATTGCTAAACTAAACACATTGCCTAGCATTGTGTGAAAAGTCCTAAGTTCGCATCCTGGGAAAACGTACCTAAAAATTTTGGGTAGTAAGACACAGAAAGAAGAATAGATACAAAAATTTGGTTGCCCCTAACAAGACGTATTATCACTCAAGACATATCAAATCCAGGTAAATGTTACTTTACTCTATTGTTCTTTTTTTTAAATAAACAGACATGAAAAAGTACTGACTAACATATATAGCTGAGCTGATTTTCAAATCTATAGCATTAATTCTAATAATAACTCTTCACTTCAATATTATAATATCAACGGAGTATATACGAAGTAACACGGTACCAGAATTATATACGTACCTAATCAAAACACGATGTATTTTTATATCAAAAATGTTAACAATACATGTAGCCAAAATTTTATTCCCTACACGTTTGACAATAGAACAGCTGCGTCTAGCTATTGTTCCATTCACCCCTCGCGGAGTAACAGGACTTCGTTCGCAAAGCGCATGTCTATGAAAAAACTAACTTTCCAACTTGATAGAGTTCACTGGCCGTTTTAGAGTGATCCATATTTAAATCTGTTGAAAAGCGTTGCCTTCTCTAAGTACTACAGTGTTTTCTATGGTTTTTCATTCTTTTTCTAAATACTCAAAGGTTTTCTATGTTTATTCATTTATAAGGATTCAGGTTAAGTAGATAAGCGTCGTTTTTGCGAGTAAAAAGGAGCGTCATAATTTTTAGTAGGCGCAGAAATAATTACAGTTAAAAACGAGAATCTGTAAAAGTGCAAAATGTGGAGACAACTTTGCAATCCTTACTTTTGCTCGTACTTTGTTGCAGGCTTTTTTTAATACTGTCGTGTTAAGTCGCAACGTTCTAAATACGTCACTAGGTATACTGTATCAACACGTACTTGTATTAAAGTTGTAGTTAACAAAATGATATACGTATTTATTCTAATTTAACACTGATAAATAATAAGTGATTTTTTTATTTAATGCTCGAATACTATAATAAAAAAAAATACTTTGTAACTTATATTTGAGCTGTCGATCTTGTTGAGTATAAAGAAGTGGAAAAAGAAGATATGGAAGAACAGAAAGCAGTCCACCTCCTCGCGTTCACTGCTGGCCATTATGTTTCCAAGTCAGTCATAAGGCACGCGGTGAATGCCAAGAGCGGGCTCAAGCGACCAGAACCCGTAAGAGTTTTTTTATAGACAGCAGAACAGCCAAAGAGGAGAATAACAATAATCTACCCAGGGACGAAATGCCGCTAACGAGCAATTCGTATGGCAAATGTACGAAGAGATGCAGAAGAATGTTTAAGAGTTGCTATGGACGTATGGTAAGGAAAACGGTATACACAAACGGCGGTGTCTTTGCCGGTGTTGATTAAGTTTAATAAAATATAAGAACTGACAAGGGAAACACCTCAATATAATATGTTCCTTGTCATATAATTCGACAAACATCTTTGTCGACAGATGCTATCTGTAACAATTTAATCATTTGTCGTTTAATTTAAATTAAAAAGGTATAATATAAGTAATGTCCACAGTTTATGTGTCTAGTACACATATAAATCAAACACTTTTAATGGTTTAAAACGCAAAATGTATAAGCTAACTTGTTTAAAATTTATTTTTAATAACGGCCCAACGTTTCGGATGTTTTGCAGCAGCCGAATCACGGTTGTTTTAATTGTAATATAATTAATTTGAAATGCATTTGTAATGTATGTTAGGTACATGTGTGTGTGTGTTCAGCAGTTATAAAGTTTGAACCCTTAAAAATTTACTGTTAAGTTCGCCTTCGCTTAATTTGTAAGTTAAAAATTAAGCGGTACAGACTTGTGACTATATAGTTATTTATAGACAAAGTACCTACACACGTGAAGAAAGATTAGGCATAACTATTCATATTAAACGCAAAAATAAGATAAAATAACAAAATAAAATATAATCTTATATATTGTACTAGCTGTGCTCGCAACTTCGTCCGCGTGGAATAGTGACTTGGGACAGAATTTTTAATCATTTGGGCTGTTTATTTATTTATTTAAGGGCGCCTTTAAGCCAGTCCATCTATGTTGTTAGTGCTATTTTGCCGCAACACTCCCACTTCCACTTCCACTCCCACACCCACTCCTATTCCCAAAAAGCCAAAGAAGAAAGTTTCATTGTTCTAGCTTCAAAAACGAAAAATTTTCATACAAACTTTCATCCCCTTTTTGAACCCCTATCAACCCTTTTTTGGCATTAAAAATCTGTGTACCAAATGTCATTTAAATCAGTTCAGTAGTTTCGGAGTTACAGCGGGACAGACAGAAAGCCTTACTTTCGCATTTATAATATTAGTCTTATATATTGTATAATAATTTAAAGTATTAAGCATACTTTTAAATTGTGGAAGTAGATGGTGGAAATAGATGTTTGCAAGTTTAAAATGCAATAATATGTCAATGTAGCGATTGTCTTCAAATAATGTTATCGGGCTATAAAGTCGGTCAACTACCTCGTTTACAATAAAACAGCTGAAATTGCAACTACAGTCGATGTTACTCATGACAAGCAGACTTTTTAGTAAATCGTATTGTAGGTTTAAAACCCTTTGGTAATTTTTTTCTTTTCATTGGACACGTGACACGCGGACACAATCTTGTGTCTGTTTCATTGTGAAAAGAATTTATTGCAAATGCCCAAAGCCAAAAGTGGTCGACAGCCTATATTGTTATCGTGGTATTTCACTTTTCCTCAAGTGAAACCTCTGTCCTTCTGTGACAAAAAAAAACAATTTAGGTATTTTTTTTGGTTTTTCTGGGATCCGAAGTTACACATCACGAGTAAAATGCGTTAACCAAAATAATAACCAATGTTTGCCATCTGGATCTTCGCTCGCATCGAGCAGTGTAACTCCGGTCAAATTTAATTGGTATGAACGACTATGTAAATAATGTAACATTTTTTTTTATAATAGCAAATAAATGCATCTTTTTTCCTTTCTTACAATAAGCGGACATTAAGTATTGCTATGTATAACGCACAATTTTATTTGACAATGGACTTTTTAACGTTCTGAGAAATGGAGTCATTTGTTTTGATTTGCATGCCCTGTTTACCGTTTTATTATAACTTAATGCTTATAAGAATTTTTGTACCCGTTAATAGACCAGGCGTTACGCAATATGTTTGGTGTTATGTAACACCACTTAGTTTACACTTTACGAATATAATGTAAAATCTTTATTGATGTTTCACGTGTGTGTATTAAGGTAAATTAGATCTATAGCTTTTACCTATCATCAAACCGTTTTAAGTGTTTATTTAATTATTCTTATTACTATTGATTATTATACGGTGTGTGCTTTTTAGGACATTATGAGAAAATCCGAAGCCGAAAATTACAGGATAGTTTCTTAGGAACCATTTTGTCTTTTTTCTAAAAACAATTTTCAGGTACCTGCGTCTCAGATTTGTTTCGTCCGACACATAAAAATATTCCGTATACGAACCCATCCGTAATAAGATAGAAAAATTTAAAAATTTTCTTCCTTATTATCATTGTTATCGTGCTCGACTAAAAAAAATAAGTATTTATTTTAGCATTTTTTTAGCTTTATTCAAGCATCAAGAACTTTCGTTAACGTAATGAAGTCTAATGATATGATACTAATATCAAAGTACGTCTAAAATTTCCTAAAAATGGGTAATTTTTCTGTTAAAAGATGTGTACTATACTTAGATACTAATTTCAGTAAGTAATTCATGGCTGATTTCGAGCAGTTTAAAATAGTTGAGATAAATCTTACTCGGCGACATGATCTAGAAAATTCTGCATTCATTCTTAGTAATTATGGGTTGTACTTCAAGACGACGCCATAAGCAATTATGCACTCAATCAACCCAAGCCTGAGAATGGTAGATCAGTAAAACATACCTAACTGGCGATTGTTTCTTCTATACTTCAGTAATAAAGCCGTAAACAAATGAAAATTAAACTGGTATTTTTTAAGTTTATTTAAATTTCGTTAAAATTAATTATTTATTATTTAAAACTACGGCCCAATATTTCGAGACTGTCTCCCCGTGACCACGGGTGCTGCAAAGCATCCGAAACGTTGGGCTGTAGTTAAAACTAAACTTTTAAATAAGTTAAAGTAATATATATCGTGTTTTAAACCGTTAAAGTGTTTTATTTAAATGTGTATCTACTACTCGTGCAAAATACAGACAGTATTTAAATACGTGGTGGTTAAATCTTATGTGTAACATAAGTAATAGTTATAGTATTTTACAACAAAGAAAGATCACTGAATTACGCATCACAACGTTTGTTACAACAAATAAGAGGTTTATCTCGTGCGTGATTATGCTCACGCGCATGTCCTGTCAATACGAATTAGGTATGTACGTATTACTAATTTATTACATAGGAGAAAATCTCATGGAGTATCGACGATAGTAATCGATTTCTCTATAAACGAAGATTGTAAGTGATTATATAATATATTGCATATTATTAGAGTTGACTTGTCAACAGCTATAAATTCATTGCTAATGAAAATAAACGCTTTTGTAATTTTAAACGAAATCTATTCATAGTATTTTTTAATAAACAATTTCACGGTTTAAAACCCGGTATGTATTAGTTAAACATGCTTTACGACGTCTCCGATGTTTGCAGCAGCCGTGTTCTCTCAGTGACCACGGCTGCTAACTAATACATATCGCGTTTTAAACCGTTAAAGTGTTTTAATTAAATGTGTACTACTTGAGTGAAATACAGACACTATTTAGTTTTGATAGAATACATTTTTTAAATGTAAACCAAGTGTTTTTACAGTATAGAACGCTAATTTTCAAATATGTACGTGTGTTTGATATGTCTGAAGAATCAAACGAATAGAACGAATTGGCAAGTAAATCGTACGCGACGATAAGAATGAAGTGAGGAAATGTTGATAAGATCTTATCAAACGAATGTCATACCACGTATCGATACGGTTTCTACAACGTTATGTTGAAGTGTAAAAAATATAATCATATCTGATTACTCGACTGGGAAACGATAGTTATGTTTCTCATTATTGAAATACGTAAAGGTTTAATTTATAGTTTCAAATACCAAGGTCAAAAATATTTTAAATACAATGATGTTTAGTAGTTCAACAATTCGATAGGAAATTGACAATTATAGATCATGTATGCAACTACGAGTTTTCTATTTAGAAATAAGATCATTTACGGAGGTGGTTAGTGTTACTTTTAATTTCCCCAAGCTATTGAGATGCTGCCAACACTGATATTGGTATATGACAATGAAGGAATTCCGCAGTAGAAACGAAGCCAATATGAGTCAGCGCGTCGGGTTTAACCCTACTGTTGCGCTAGTCAGAAGTGTGTTCTTCCAGAGTGAATTGATTCCTAAAAATGACTTATTCAACAGTTAGGATCAGCCTGGTATCCTTAACGAGGGCCTAGTAAGTAGTTTTATGACTCAATTTTTCAAAAAACCTATTTATCGCCTACATCTCAATTTATTCGATGATAAATCCTGTCCGTAGTTTACGCGAGTAGTACACATTTCAATAAAACATTTTAACGGTTTAAAACGCGATATATATTAGTTATTCTGAGTTTCCCCGTGACCACGGCTGCTGCAAAGCATCCGAAACGTCAGGCCGTAGTTTAACAAATATATATCGCGTTTTGAAGCGTTAAAGTGTTTTATTTAAACATTCGATATTACTTTATGAGAATTATTTATAAAAAGTAATTCAAAAAATCCTTACTCGTCATAAAGTCATCGTTTCAATTATTGTTTTGCCCTTAATTGATCGACTTAAGCAAATTATATCGCTTAAGTGCAAGTAGATATTAATTCTTCTGAGTATTTATGAACAAGGTTAATCACCTATGTTGATAATGTGTAGCTTGTTTTTACACAGTATAGACAGAGATGTGTTTATTTAGACTATGAACTGCTATTGAGAACACCTTTGTTCATCTATGTACTTCTTGTGGAGAATATAAAAAAATATCTGAATATTGTATATGATTTACAAGTCTGTTACTAAGATAATAATTGTTCAAATACAAATAGCAAAATCACATTAAACCTTCAAAATGTAATAAATAAGGAAAATCTAAATTAGGGCGTAATGTGTAATTTAGTGATCAATAAAAAAACGTATTGTTTTGAAAGAGAACGTCGATTCGTAAAACACGTTCCCTAATGATGTCTGCAATTAGCACAGAAACATTTAACATTGTTGCTAAATTGCTTTTCCTAAATGCGTGTAGCACCATTTTAAACGTTAATAAATAATCTTTCTAACTAGTGAAACAAACATACATGGACTAAGTTTCCAGGCTTTGTGAATAAAAGCTTACGTACCTATGTATTTGCATAACATCTGTACCTATAATAATCTTGTATGCGTTGTCAATAATACAAAAAATACATGTTGCTATGAAAGTAATACGAACGTTTTCTCATTATGCATCGAAAACAATGACCGCAGATCTGCATATCGCTTTGTTCCGACACGTTCTTAATTAATTTCTCGTTGTAATAAATATTAACAATTTACTAACGCACCTACTTAACAAATGCACAACTGGATTGCCTTTTCAGTACATTAAGTGTAATTGAACCGAGGAAGGTGATAATTAGTGGTGTACGAAAATAGTCGAGGAGCCGGGCCCTGGGCCAGGTGACGTAAGCGCGCCAGGGCCGCGGAGGGGCAAGACGGGCCCCGCGCCAGTGTCGCGCGCGCTCTCAGTCGAGTCGCACGCAATCTAGTCGCCCGCCTGCCTCCGTCTGCCGCCTCCGCCACGGCCCACTGCCGCCTGCCGCCCGTTGCCTCCATCGCCCACCCTCCGCTGCTACTACTCCGACGCCACTCGTGAGTACACCCCTTTCACCCTCAGCCTACGAGCGCAACCGAAACCCACTTTCCACTCGGTGCATCGCAAATCGCGTTACCGATGCAGTTTCACCCATCATTTATTAGAGTGCAAGGTTTCCATGCTTTCACGTCGCTATGAGCGTTAATTCGTCGTTTAGTATAGGTCTTAGATTAGTAATACGGACACAGAGGAGCGTTGCAACCTTGGCGCATCGTGCAATGCAGCGAAGACCTTGCAAGTCACACGTCACGGTAACCTCGGCTCACGCTCTGCTCGTGCCGCTGGCTGTGACGTATGTTTGCTATCATTATAATTTCTCGCTTTGTACGTCATTCATTGCTCTATAATTGCGTTCGGGCAGTGAAATACACAAACGAAACGTCCAATGTAACGCTAAATACGATCGTCGTCGTCAATGACACGAGCGCTAATATTTGATTGTATATTATGCGACGGGTAAACAGCTGAGCATTGACGCCGTGCTTGAGATAAAAAATAAGACGCGGTCACTCAAGGACGGTCGACCACTATCGAGTAGTATTTCCCGTTTGTAGGCACCAATTTTCTGACGTGCATCGGGCTGATGACGGGAGGGAATCGTGTCAAAATTCGGTGCACACGACGAAGGCTCGAAGGGCCTCAGTTCCCCGAGTTATCGCAAAGGAAAAACACGCTATACCTACTTCGTTGTACTGTTGAGCTCGCTATCAGCTGATGCGAACATGCGGTGTGCGGTCGGTAACTCGGTTAGTCACTTGTTTTCAAGCCATTTTCATCCTTATACTAACGTAAGAGCATTCGTGATACTTACATTATTGTGCGTCGAGAACTTGCAAGTTACATACATAAAATGCTATGACTATGTTGTTATCCTCCGATTGCGCGTCCCTCCTTTAGAATACAAATTTAGATGCAAATATGGATTTCTACGAATGTTAATTTACTTTTTTCCCATATTTTTCAATTTATGAAACATGCCGTGTCGTTTTTTTTATATAATATATAATCTCGTTGGTATATGTTGTACTCGTTAAATACATGTGAAATATCTATTGATATTATATATTATTTAAAAGCGCTAGCTGTCAAGTGTGTTCTTATATATATATGTGTTGTATATAGGTATTCATATAAGGACAATATTATTTTCAGCGACTAAAAATAAACTGTTTTCGTATAATTAGTGAGCCATTTCAATGATTTATTTAGGTATTCACAAACACTGTTTTGAGCAACATTGACGATAGCCTCTAAACATCTTTAGTCACTTTTTTTACCTCGGACCGACATTGATCACTGTTTACAAAACCGGTAGACCGCGGTTACCCTTCGCCAAGCACCAGAGATGGAAAAACATTTCAACACAAACATAACATTAAACAAAGAAATAATATTACTGTCTTTTTAAATCCTTACTTTTTTAATTATACGCAACAGATTAGTAGATTATTTGTAGACCAATTATAATTTACGCGAAATCTTAAATATCATCAATATAATTTTAATGTTCTTTCAGATAATCATGGTAAGAAAATATGAACGCATTAGCGGCCGTCAGTCGTGGAGTGAAGAAGAAATGGCTAAAGCAGTGGCCGCAGTGGTATCTGGTAAAATGGGATACAAGCTGGCTGCGAGAACCTTTCAAATACCCCGTTCCACACTTCAAAGGCGGGCCAGCAAAGTGCGATACCAACAACCAGATGAACCCAAACCTCTAATGGGGCATTACAGGAGAGTATTCACAGATAGTCAGGAGAAAGATCTCGTCGGCTTTATAAAGAGCATGGAAAAGTTTTTCATGGGCGTCACAAGAAAAGACATTAGGGAATTGGCGTTCCAATACGCTGAAGATAACAATTTGAACCACCCGTTTGATGTGAACGCTAGAATGGCCGGCGAAGACTGGGTACGTAATTTTCTGAAAAGGAACCCGGAGCTACTCAATAAGTCCGATAAAGAGTACGAATTGGAGCCCGTTAACTTCGATCAGTTCTACCACTTCATGTGTCAATCATGATGACTTTCCAAGGAGATTTAAACTATTTAGTTATAAGGTCACGTCCACCCAAAAGAGCCTCACATACGGCAGAGTCCTAAAGTGTACGTTTACTCTGGCTTTGCGTTAAATCGTATTGTAATTTTATAACTTTTTTAAAATAACGATATTGTGATCACTTTCCTGGTGGCCTTTGAGCGAGGCGAAATAATTTCCTTGTGATCAAACCTGCATCATAAGCTGCTACGGGTAAGGTTAGCGGTGATTGTAAAAAATAACTTTGGAGGTTGGTAATATTGAGCAATTTTGGAAGTATTTAACTTCATACTGGATTAAGGAAGCTGAGCATGGCTCGTTATTATAAGTCCACGGGATAACTATATTTAAAACATAAATGACGGAGTTAATTAATATAAAGTTTTAACTTAGTTAAACGCCATCTAACGTTAGTTACACTGTGCATAGGTACTTATTTAATGCAACATTTAAAAGTTATTTTCTTATATTTTTATAGTTTAAATTGTGTTATTTATTGATAATAGCAAAATTATGGGCTGTGATAAGGAGAAATTGTATTTATGGGAACATATCATCGAAAGATGTTTCGTAGAAAAATTATTTAGCACTAAGTGTTTTGTACATAGTAATATATATTATATATATATCGTCTTTTAAAAAGAATCTAGACATTTTATTCTGCCGTTAAAATTATATAGATTAAGTCATCCACCATCCTGTAATATATACTTTTCAATTTTAATACACAATAACAAGATACGTAAAATTTATCTGGACTATCTGTACTGTAACAATAGGAATAACCACAAACATAATTAACGATTAATATTGATTATATTAATATTTTTTTGTATATGTAGAACTATTAACCTGCCTTCATTTATTTCCTAATCGTAAATTTCCCACTTATCCTTCTATAAATTATATTGTTACTTCTTGGTTGGCTTATACATTGTAATGAAGTATTGTGATATTGGTACAAGGTGATAGAAAAAAAGTTAACGGTCTTAACATATAAATAATATAGGATTCGAATGTTCTTTTTTTAAATTGTTATAAATTATTAAAACTTGTCAAATTATTTAATTTTTATCGCAATTGATAGCTCAAAAGTTAACCTACAAAGATGACGTTACCTGATTTAAGTTTTGATCTCTTAAACTTAGCTTTAGTGAAAATGAATAACGCGTTGAGTTAAAACAGTTACGATATCTATCTGTGGGATGGATTTGAAAGCCAAACTATGTTATTAATTTAAGATAATTTACTATGTAAGTACTTAATTTTTGAATCAATAAACTTTTTAAAATTTCAAAAAATTGTTTTAATATGCACCTTTGTAAATTCCGCTTTTTATTAGTAAATAATACTTATTTCAAAATTACTCTTCGATTTTTACTAATTTTACTCACAATTTAGACATAGGTTTAATTAAAGTATAATATTCTCCATTTACCGATACAGATATACAATTTTAGTTAGTACTATCCCATATGTAACATTAATAAAAAAATAACTTTTCTAATAAAAAAGAAGTGTCCTTTTACACGCTATTAAAAAATAAGTGATTTTCAACTTATTGTGTATACCTAAAAAAACCGTGGCATGTATATAGCTAAGTTAAAGTCTCTATGCTCAAGAGCTTCTAAGCTGTAAAAGTCGACTGAGTTTAATCAGAAATTTAAGTTAACAACCATAATTAGTTTATACACCTTGAGAGGCATCTTCTTAGTAATTCTGCTTGAGAGCTTATAAACTATTATAAGCTTTTCTAACTTCGTCGAAGCTTTTACATGAAACTCGATCTTCCAACATTACAAGTTGCACATACTTTGAATTAAAAATAGAAACGCTTAATTTTTGTTCATACTTTACAATAGTACTAATAAATTTGATTTATAAAAAACGAAACTACTAATACATAACAGGCATACATAGTTAATAGAATAGCTTTAAAACTGAGCTTATAGCCTAATCTAGATACTTCTGTACTGTCTATTTAAATACGACACGCGGGCTAAAAGCAGACAAGTACGGTTTCAACTACATAGTTCTAGTAGTATATTATAAGTGGACGTAAATATAAGAACCCAAACGCTATATTCCTAAGAATATTGCTCGCATTATTTCTCTGAGATCTCCCACAAAGAGCTTAGCGGAAAAGAATAATGAGACGCTTAGAAAAGATCTATTGTAGAGAGGGGCTTGAGACGGACGTGAATTTTGTGATACCTACAAACGTAACTACATCATTGTCATAGTATTTTCTTTATTCCAAGGTATATATACCATTAGTCAACACGTGATAAACGGAGAAAAAGATGATTATCATATAATACTGACTGAATTAAAGTAATGAATTTAATGCTTCGGTTCGAGCCGTAGTCGTGGATGTGCGACGAACTTTGAATAAAAAAAACATATTCACATTAATAATCTTAATTGTACCCAGTCAACTTCTTCCAATTCCATCATTCGGTGACACAACACTCGTCGAGAGTTGTCGATTTTTATGATAACAGAATTTACTTGCGGTGTGTATCAAAAAAATGTTGCTGCAAGAGAATGGAATAATACATTCCTATGTGATGCCTGGTAACCAATGGGCTCCAATATATTTCCGAAAACCGAATTTCCCTAGAGATAGTTATACACTAAAGGGACATTTTGTTCGAATATTAGCATGTACAAGTATACACACAGACAGATTTTCTTTTATATTTTGTAACCGAAATGTAATTAAAATACATTGCATTACATTAGGGCCTCATTTTAGGCATATTATATTTTTTTTATTATTGACAGCGAATTGGACTATTGATACCTGGTAATAATATGCTGGTGATTTCACTTCACTTATTACTGATTAATTAGGAATATACGGTATGTAGTTATACACACAGCGAAGTCCACTTCTCACAAAAGTAAGTACTGAGTTTCTTGTTTAGTTAAGTATCCCGAGGCAATCCAATTACATCGACGACGATGTTTGCTGGCTCAAAGGCAAGACTCAAAGTTCAGAACGCTCCTTCCGCCCCAACGCACCTCTGAAAGGCTCCCAGATCCAACCGGGTGTAGTAAAGGTCTTTTTACTGGGAGCAAGCCAATGTTTCTTATGCCACCGCTCGTTAGCTATCAGTAATGGTATTGAGACGTTCAATCAATTTAAGAAATGCGGTGGAGTTCATTGACGACAAAAGTAATTGGAAATGTCTTTTGTCCTCCCTTTTGATAATATAAAAAAGAACCTTTTATAGGCAACTGTAGTGTAGGGGAGTTGTGTCACATGCTCCAGTATTGTATTATATTTAGCATCAAATATGTTTGCAGGGAAATATGTGTGTTTTTCTTATGTTCTCTTTTTAAATTGTAAAAATTCCTTATGAACTGAAATAATTCTTTTTTATTTTTTTTATAATATAAGAAAATATTTTTTTTCTAGTTTAGAAACGCTTATGAAGAATTTCATTTATTTCGTTGAAACCTTAAATATATTAATTATACGTTTCTACCGCCCATTTAAAAGCGCCTTGCAAAAATTTTTACCTAATAGACAATTATCGCTAAACTAAAATTACGTAATGTAGCAAATTAAAATATATACACTAGTTAAACAAAAGAACAAGTTTATAAGCGAAAATACTTACTTAAATTTGCTATTATCAGTATACCCAATTCCAACGGTCCCAAATCCAGCCGTTAATAAAGGTATACTTTGTAACGAACGTTTTACAAAAAATAATGGACGATATTTCGAAGTTAATAAAACATTCGTAACAAAGCAACTAGGACAATTCTAAAGTTTAATAAAATGCAACGCGAACGCAATAAAACGAAAAACTGCTGTTCCACGGCTACTCGAGAGACAAAAGCCCACCGCGAGATAAATATTCATGTAAAAAAGCACTGAAAAACATTTGAATGTGAATTCTATCATCCGATATTTAAATCCGGCGGCGGGTGTGCGGTCGGGCGGGCGAGAAATTTCCTCAGGCGAGAGCGGGCATGCAGGAGGGGGGCAGGGCTGGTAATTAGGCGGCCCGGCGGAGGCTGTATTGATCGAGCGGTCTCCTAGCAACGCGCGAGATGGCAGCACAGCCCTTGCACCGGTGCCGAACGCGTTTTTTGTCCAACTTCACTCTAGGTGAGACCGTTTTGATGTAATCTCAAAGGAAATGATTCAATTCGATTCGCCCGCTGTTTTCGGGAGATTACGGTGCTATTAGTCAAAAGATTCTGGAGCTGATGAGGAAAATTGTCAGATTATTTTAGTGGACTTCTTTGTGTAGGAAAAAAGCATACGAATGGTTTAGTCGTGTCATGACTGTCACTTTCGATTACCTCGTTGTTTTAAGTCACGAGGTCCTGAATTCGAATCCCACGTGGGTTAAAATGTTGGTCAGAATTTAATGGTTATAGGTGTCATCACGACCATATTTCGTAGAGCATGTAATGCCTTCTGACGCCGTTATCATTGGAGCAGCGTGGGTGTCACCTCTAAAACTCCATCTCCTATAATAAAGATGACTAGTTCCCAGCAAGGCATTAATGGTTTGAAACGTGACAAGAATGCTTGATCGGCGTAGAAAGTGTAAACATAATTATATAAATATTATAAGGAGACATTTATCTCGATCATCCGGGGCATCCACTGCAAGGCACGTCTCGTCGCTTGTTTGTTTCTATCGTATTAAGAATTACGTATGCACTGCATGTATATATTATTTTAATTTTACGCGTCCAAATGAAGAAACAGTTTTGCTATAATTTAGACTCGGTCAAACAAAAAGGTTTGAAAACTTTTTCAAAGGCAATATATAAATAAAAACCGATTTTAGATTGAATAAAAATTGATGACACGGGTAGCTCTAACCATTGTTTTAAATAGGATTGCCATAGGACTGAATATTGCTCTAACCATTTGTATGAAATGACGATTGTTCTAAACGAAGTATCGTGCTTGAGCGGTCCTGGGCTCCAATCCCGGAAAACACAAACTTTCAGTATACTTAAGTTATACCAAACATTTTATACTTATGATCACCGTAATAGAAAGATGGACTAAGAAATATCCCGTCTAGGTTTCTTGTGTATTTTACTCAATAAAAAGAACAGAGTTATTTCATTCATGTACATACAAAGTGGGTGGTGCTACACGGACATTCGGTGCTCGTTTCCACTAGCGCATATTTCTCGAGATTCAGGCAAAATGTAATAATGGCGTAACGCCCTTCGTGAGCCACATTTTATCTGACATATTTCACCCTGTTCTATTTTCTTATAAATTTCCCTCGCTGTACAAGAATACGAATAGGCAAGACTGTCGCTTTATCGCGTTACTCACTGGTGATTGCCACTGAAATTTGATGATTAATTATTATTATTATTATCAGGATTCATTTATTGGTGACGGGCTTATAATCACCGGGTCGTGAGTTCGACCCCCACGGGGTCCAACGTGTTTCTTATCTTCTTATAATTTTTCTGCAGTTGAACTTCATCTGAAAATATATTCAATAGGAGATAGGAATATCGAAATTCCGACCGGGTCACGAACTACCGTCCACAGATAAAATAATCGCGATTCCAAGCCAATTTATTAATATATAAATTCCAAGCCAAAATAAGCCGTAACCTGGATGGAATTTCGATATTCTAATCACGAAATTTTAATATCCGGATTTTCCAGTATTTTAGAAAATATATAAATTGAAGCTGTACCTGGTGAGGATCAAACCGACTCGTTGATACATATGGTAACTATACCATACCAACCATACACGGGCCAACTAACCCTTCAAAGATGAATACTTTGAAATAAACAAATATAATACATCAAGTAAATACATTTAATAACCGTTATTTATCTAATATTAATATGTATTAATAAATAACCGACGTCATGTTCAATTTTAAAGCCATGAAATCTGTATAGGTTGATGTTTACGACAGCAGTGGTCGTGGTTGCTTCAAAACATTGTGATTAAAAATTCCTTCGCCTTTGCCGTCATGTGGTCTTAATTTTGTGGTACAAAATTTCTGATTTGCTGTCGAATAAATTCCTTCTTGCCAAAATGACCGCCACCAATATATAGCTAATAAATTAGCTGCTTGTTGGTGGATAATTGTTGTTCATTCTCTTTTGTTTCTTCTAATGCAAAATGTTAGACCAAAAATATTTAGGACACAATTACATAAAACATATGTAATTGCGTCCGAAATATTAATTCACTAGCTGTTCTCACGAATTCGCCCGCGTGGAATTTTTGGCATCACATTATTTATTTTGGCATACAACCTCTTCAGCTTTTTAAAGGATAGACTACGACCTTGAACCATGCAGACATTTTATTAGATCATTTAAAGAAGAATCTATCTTTCATACATATTTTTAGACTTCTTGAACGGTTAGCAGCATACGCAACGGAAGCGCAGAGAGATGAATAATTTTCCCCGTTTTTACACATTTCTTACTGTTTCCTTGCTCCAGTGGGTCGCAGCGTGATGTATTTGCTTAAAGCCTTCCTCCTTGAAATTGTCAAACCAATTCAAAAGACAAGAATTTTTCAATTCGAACCAGTAGCACTTTAGTTTTTTAATATAAGATAATACCTACTTTATGTGTGTATAAGGTTTAAAAATACATTTGTTCTAAACAAAAGATACATAACCTACAAAATACATATACAAATCTAATTTAATCACATCGAACCCTAGATGGACACCATATCGGATGCTAAAATAAACTTCATACAGTACATTAAGGGTAGTCTCCTTTGTGAACTCTCCAATCCAACATCTATACAATCACACACATAGATTCCCCGAACAGGGTATTAATTCGCAGTTCCAAATTGCACACTAGGTATATACAGTTAATATATAATAATCCATGTGTAAATGTTAGCTGACTGGAACATGTCGGCCCGGATGTAACTATTGGCAACAGCCCCCCGCCGCTCTACCCGGGTTCCGTGCAGTCTATTCCCGCAAATAACCCGATGGATATACGGCCTGGAATCGCGTGAAGCAGAGACCAGCTACGATTGTATCCCGTTGTCAATTGCATCACCTAGCTGGTGCCACCTGATTCCCGTTGCCGGGAGGGCGCCTCTGGCTGTTTGCCGGTTGCCTTCGCTTTGTGCCCGCTTAATAAGTTGCTATATTCAGCCATGTCGACTGCACACGACAGCGTTGATGTGTAGTAATTACTTTTCGAGCAGATGATTGTTCAATACACCCTTTATAAGTCGCCAAATCGGAAACCGACGGAGTTGTCTAACTCTTTCAAATGAATTTCGTTTGGTATAATTTTTGTTTCTTTGTTAAATTGAGTCTGCCCGTATGAGGTCTACAAATCTCGTAGCGTCACGTTACGGTGGCCCATTTCTGACTGTAGTGTCTATAATTGTTTATATGCCTCTAGCAAAATTTATCATGTTTTAAAAGAATTTAAAATACAGCGTTTACGTGCATATATAAACTATAGACAGGAGTAGTCTCTAGTAACGCAAATAGTACCTACGCTTTTAACGGCTTAAAACGCGAAAGGTACTCGGTAAATTAATTTAAAAATTATTTTAACTACGCCCCGACGTGGTCACGGAAATTCTTCCCGCCAAGCACCCGTTAGATCGTTTAAAGTTTAACTAATACACTTCGCGTTTTAGGCCTTTAAAGGTGTTTTAGTTAAATAGGGATTATTAAATGCATAAAGCAATGGGTTAAGAACCTGTTGATAAAGATGTACAGTAAAGATGCATGCCCAAAATGATTTCACCATAAATGTATACCCAATTGTTAACCCTATGCCGTTTATACGAGCAAATTATGACGTATCTGTGTAATATGTAATTGTAAACCCATGTTGCTGATCAGAAACCTCATGAACCTGAGTAACCCCACGCAGAAATGTGACAGTGTGTGACAACGGCTTACAGTATTCAGAATATACTGGCCGTGCCCGCGACTTCATCCGTGTAGAATACTTATTTTGGCCATCGGAGTTCGTTTTTGCAAACATCCTCATCGTTATAAATTATAGCGGTTACCCACTGTATTCCGCGCCCCGTCGTTCTTGCAAGTTCATCTTTAAAAATAGACATATATTGTCGTAGACATTTCTTAGATCATGAAGAGGAATCATTATTTTATACATATTATTTGGGTATCCTAAACGCACGCACACAAA